CCCATGTTCAGATATTTGGCTCCAAGGAAGCTATTTGCACCTCGTAATCGGTAGTATTCAACATAGAGAAATGAATCGGGAGAGTATATCTCGGGGCTACTTGTAGGATATACTAATCTGTGGTACATTGCAGACTCATTGCTACGAAGCATACCGCGCTATTCAATGTGGAGACTACCTATTGTGTCACAATAGCATGAGACAATAGGCATCTAGCGCTATAAGTCATCCCCAAGATAACCGTGTAAGCTGTCCTGCGACGCCGATTCGTAGGTATATATAATCCAGATCCAGAGATCCAGGCGACCCCTGCAATCCAGCTTACTTATGCATATACTCCACTCATAGCGAAAGGATACGATATTCACCGTCTGTGAAAAGATTGAACTTTACATCCAATCATGTATTAAATGCCAATCACTACCATAGGGAATAGCGTCAACACAGAGAGCCACCAACAAACTATCACCATGAAGCGGCCATTGACAGGCTGTCATTCCGCATATAACGAGGCCAGACCGCCAAAGACGCGCCAGCGACCATCAAGTATTCAGATGACGTGGCCATCGACAATCACGGAAGTGGACAACGACGTAGAGTCAAGTGTTGCAAGACATCAAGACAGTTGCCCAGATAGTTATTCACTACCGCACGCTGAACCGAAAGAAACGCTATATCTTAACTCGCGCGCGAAGGAACTCTCCCAGAGAGTAATCACTGAGCCCAATCCGCTAGCAGTGTTCAAGGATGGCAACGATGCCGAAGACGCCGTAACCGTGGCCCATCTCATCTTTCAGCACGCCAAGTCTCCCGCGAGATTCGTAGAGGAGGTCTTTAGATCCATTTTCGTTCCCGATATGCGTCGTTTTTTCACCAAGGAAATCCGCAAGCGTTTCCGTGAGCATCAACGCAGTGGCTCACTCTCAGACAGCCAGGAGGAGAAGTTGCGAAACGCAGAGGTGCGCCTTGATGATTGGGATACTTCAAGCCATACCTCCTCGGGTCCATTCAGCCTGAAGTAGGTGAAATGCTCACTTAACGATTCCGCTATATATTTCAATATTAGCTAACCACGTACACACAGGAGATTCAGTGAGCTAATTGAAGCCATCAATAATGCAATGGACGAGACGCCGACCCAAAAGGGAGAGATGATTGCAAAAGACGAGCTGAATCAAGATAAATATGCCGATCAGATAATCTGGGCTTTAAATCACTCTTATTCGTGTTCTGATAGAGCTCTCAGAACCTTCCAGATGACGTGGCTGGGAGTTCTGCGCCCAGTTTTCAGGATGACAGCCAAAACGGAGATACCAGAAGCGCACGAGGAGCAATGGCGAGACTACATCGGGTCAGCACTGAAAGAGAATCACATCGATTGGATACTGGGTAGGTCCAATAGTTACCTTACGGCTACGATCGCCCAGAGGGTGGTCTCTAACGAAGAGACCCAAGAACGAATAATTTCCATGTCTAGCATCGCTCATAGTCACAAGAACAAATGGTTCAAAGACAGGGGAGAGTGTATCGACTTTGGATGCAAGTTCCCCCTTAAGAGTGGTCTCCCTGCTGATGTAGTCCGAGGATTTGCGCAGTTGCAGGAGAACACAAATTTTGGGCGGTCACCTAATAAGCCTGGACTCATAAACCACTACAAGAAGGCGCTGAACCTGCTGGAAGAGTTCCAGGCTGAGCCTCATGTTGAACTCCTCTGCATTTTAGCTCTCACTATTGGCATGACATCCGACATGACTATCTATACCGTACCTAAAAAAGGGGTTAAAGATGAAGTTGCGGGGTTTGCGATAGCTAGCAAATCCGTGAAGCACAAGCGAGGAGGGACGCGTGTAGCTCTCCTCGCACTACGAATGTTATGGTACCTGATGCCTGACAAGTTTGTCTGGAAAAAGGCAAAAGGGGAGGACTTGAAGATAGAAGAGGAGACAATATACAGCACTCAGTCTGTGCGTGAAGCAACTGGTGCGTCTCATCCATCCTCTAGGGCTCTGGGACTAGTGTGCTAACGGAGCCCAGATCAATATATGATAACGAACAACATGGTTGCCGCATTAGGCTGGTTTGATTATCGCAAGAACAACACATACACCATATCTACGGAGCTGAAGATAGCCCGCAAAGAAGTGTTGGATGCACGACTAGAGGAGCTGAGAAGCTTGATGCCGAAGCCGACGGACTTTATTCGTGCAGTGTTTCAGAGCGATGATCCAAAGTGGGTAGACCAGTGCAAAGCTATCATCAAATGAGATGTAATCGACCATAGGGACTGCATGTTCCCTTTCTTTACGTCAATAGAAAAGAAAGAGAGTAGGTGAGTGATACGCACCCATGGTTGACCTTCTTTCGATTGCTCCATGAGTTTTTGATTGGAAATGATAGTGAATAATCGTCGCTATTCAATATGGAGAAACGAGAACTGAACTCTACCTCAGACTCTACATCCGGAATTCCACAGCTTATGAGCAAGAACTCATTGCTGCTTTACGTAAATGCGTCACAAATATAGAGGTCTGCCAGGTAAGAGATCACTCTACGTGTACATGCAATCATAACGTTAGAAATATGTACTTTATATATATTAAATGGATAGATGAAGCACCCCCATCATACTTGTGAAGTAAACATGGGACGAACAGAGCCAAGAACTATCTAACAACTAACACCCTACCCATGTAAAAAGATGAGCTATTAAACACTACAATATTAAATTCTAATACTAGTCATATTGCACAACTTGGCTTCGCTAGAGTAATGCAAACCCACTACTTTTGCTCCTGTTGTTGTGTTGCTGCCTTTTCGCCTCCATCAGCGACGGCGGCTGATTTTCGCAGTTTGAGCTCGTCGTAGATAACCAAGCTCACCCAGATGGTTACCAGTATGCCTAGGATAACGTAGCTTCTAACATATGAATGCGTGTGAATGATGATATTCTTTTTTGCCAGCTGAAAGCCCAGTCCACTGTTGATCATGCCTAGAACGATTGCGACTCGTCCTATCCAGCGGTGCATGTAGGCGAATATGCTCTTACGGCCGGTTTTCTTGAAATACCGATGCTGCAAGATGCCCAGAACCGGCTGGAAGATTATGATTGTCAAGACGGCGATGAAGCCTATGACGACGTGTGCCTGTATAGGAGAGTGGAGGAAGCCTGCGAATTGAGCGACCTTGATGCCGAGAGCCATGCCGCCAATCATCATGACGAATGCTAGGATCTGGATGGGTGCGTGTATAGCCATGATTTTATTACGGAGATAGGTGTTTCTTAGATAGGGGATGTGGTCGATGGGGAGGTGGATTGAGATTGCTCCCAGCGGATAAAGGACGATGAAGACGATGGACATGATGCAGGCGTGCCCGTTTCGCTCTCGATTCCAGACTTTAAAGGAGGTTCGCTTTTCAATCGAGTGCACATCTCTGCTGTCGACTTGGCTGTGAGTTTCTTGTGCCAGAACCAGAGTTGAGGCTATATGCAATTTGGTCAACCATTAATTCGTATAAGACACCAATATCGAGATCACTTACCAAGTATCAAGAGAAGTGCCGACAATGCAGTTCGGTAATGTCGCGTCATGATGGATTATTTCCCAAGTTTTTTATGAATTGATAGATTGTCAACCTTGCTCCCAAGTGAATCCCAAGGTCAATATATCCTTGTTATAGCTCATGGTAGACCAGTTCAGTCTTTAATACCAGCAACTCAAGCCGTCTGATCCGTCCCGATTAGGTGAGCCGCCATAAGACCGACTCTTGTGGCGTTGAGCTGTCACACGTGCTCCCGGAGGCACAACAGCCCGAGATACAGAAATAGAAATGGTTCGGGAGGACTATTCAGCCGCAGCGGATTTAATGATGCTTACAAGAATAGGCGACGGCCTCTCTGCTTCAACCCTCTAGAGTCACACGCCACACTTAGATCTGATCTCGAGCAAAGTGATTCGTCCTGTTTTCTGGGCCATATCATGCTTTTTTTGTTAAGCTCGTTATCTGTTTGATAGATCTGGTTTTTTACATCCCCAATCTGGATGACATCAATCTACATCGGGTTTACAGGTGCTGCCGACGGTCGGTTGCAGAGGCTCAAAGCATTTGACCGATTTACTCAGACTTCTAAAATGTCAGGTACTCTTGGGGATGATCATTCTGCATTTCAAATCTCGGCAAAATGTCAAAACTTTGGACCGGCGCTGTTGAATCTAACCCATGCTTGCCCGCACTGGCAATCCATAGCGCCATGCTATAAGCTTTTCGTAACCATTAGACCTTTCAATCTTGTATTTCAAGTACGAGTATGTCATTTCATCGATATGTGCCCAAATAGTATTAGGTGCATACATGGAGTCGATGGCGTGGATAGTATACAATGCAAGCTATACTAGTTCGTCGCCCGGCATATCCGGCAATTGGAAGAAAGCATCGCATTCGAAGTCCTCAGGGTTCAATTTTGTAATACCCATGTGATTGAATGTCATGAATACGGCAATTGTACCATTCTGCTCGGATCTGACTATAATTCACTATTATCTGTGGTTTCCTTGAAATGTCGTACAGATGCATGTCCTCACTTGAATAAGCTATGTCTCGTCGAAATCTAGTCAACTGTAATCTCGAATTTGCATCATGACGCAAAAAAAAAAAAAAAAAGTTTCCCATCTAGCCTGTCCTTCTATTGGATATCTGTATGGTTCAGCTCTCTGCAGATCACCGAAACGAATTGTCTTTGGTCCACGTATTTGGGAATCCCCTCTTTGGAGCCCAAGCAGATGGTAGTTTGGGCATCAAACCATTGGGTATGCATGTGCATATTGCTTACCAATGGAGAAACAGAGTAGGTATCATTAATAGCGACCCTTTTCTGACTTTACCATGGGCTTTCATATCTTTAATTGGCCGCAGATAACGAAAGGTACCACAAAGGCGGCTCTTGTAGGAATTTTGCGACGTTTAGAAGACATTCGTATATAGCCGGGGTTAGTCAAGTTGACACCAGTATTCCAAGTCATGAATCAACTTACAAGATTTTTTGTCATAATCTCAGTATTTTCCTCGGCATATTCCAAGTGATTTCAAATGTGAGAGTCATTATGACTGCAGAATCTCCCATCCAACTCACTCATGGAGATTATACTATCGGATGGGTTTGTGCGTTGCCCAAGGAACAGACGGCAGCCCTGTACATGCTGGAAACCAAACATGAAGACCTTCCAAATCCTATCAACGATCACAATGCATATTACCTTGGGAACATCGGGCAGCATAACATTGTTATCGCTTGCCTCCCTATGGGAAGGATCGGTAATAATAGCTCAGCAGTAGTTGCAACCCGGATGATATCCACTTTCCCGAATATCAAAATTGGCCTGATGGTGGGAATTGGAGGCGGCGTGCCTCCAAAAGTTCGGCTTGGAGATGTAGTGGTCAGCTGCGCAAAAAATGGTTATCCTGGTGTCATCCAGTGGGACATGGGCAAAACTGAAAAGGACGGGTTTAAGAGAACAGGGTCTCTAGACAATCCCCCAACGGCACTACTGACGGCCATAAGCAAGTTTGATACTGACCCAACCGAATCTCGGGCCAAAATGTCTAAGTACTTGGCCGATTTTAAATCTCGGAAAAGCGATTTCATCACTACTGATACCCTTAAAGACGTTTTATATAAATCCAGTTACATTCACGCGGGAAGAAGCCGTGGCTCGGAGGATGATTCATGGGAAGAAGAATTGGAAGATGAGGGAGAAAACTGCAACCTATGCGATGAATCCAAGATTCTCAAAATACCGAAAAGAGAAGGCATGATGATACACTACGGTCTAATTGCATCGGGCAATCAAGTAGTGAAAGATGCTGTGTTCCGAAACAAACTCAGGAAAGACTTTGAAGGGAATCTCCTGTGCCTCGAGATGGAGGCAGCTGGGTTGATGAACGATTTTCCATGCATCGTCATTCGCGGCATTTGTGATTATGCAGATTCACACAAGAATAAGGCCTGGCAGGAGCATGCGGCGGCTGTGGCAGCAGCTTATGCAAAAACACTCCTTACGATGCTGCCAGTGAGCGACATCAATAGGATGCAAACGATCAAAGGTGGGTGCTCTCTTCAGAGTCTTCAAGATGGAATATTGATGATTTTGCTAGATTTGTTTTCTCCTACGCTTATCAAAGCTGCAAGGGATTTAATAGCGCCTCTTTGGAGCGATAAAAAGCAACAACAGAGCACTTCCACGCCTGGTACTTGTGTCCCGCCTAATCAATTTCTTGGAATATTCTAAACGTTCACAGATACTACAATAGAAGCCATTGAAAAGCCACAAGCGAAGTAAGCTCAACACGGCTGGCTAGAGAGCCTCATCACAAATGGAATTGTAGAGAAAGGCGCTAATTATTTGCCAAGGGACACTACCCATGAACCTAGCCACACAGAAGTTTCATCTCAAGATGAAAATACTGAACCTGAAACCAAGAGGGTCAATATTAACGATAATCCAATATCTCCTCTTCCATTGGATAGATATATGGATGATGAACCTGAAACCAAGAGTGTCAATATTAGCGATAATCCAATATCTCCTCCTCCACTGGATAGATATATGGATGACAGCAGGTCGCCAACACGACATTACTCAAAGCTGTCTATAGATAGCGGTATCGGTTGGGGGAGCATTGATACGCCACTTGTACTTGCTTCTAACCCAACGGAAGTGCCTAGTCTTCCCATTTCACCACTTGAAGAGTCGCCAAGCATAAACCATATGTTGCCTCCATGGCGTGATGTTTCGTCAGGTTTTGAGCAATTGGATGCTAAATTTCGGACGTTTGATATGATGCGGACGTCGATTCAGTTATACAAAGATAAGAAGCGGAATGATGTAGAAGCTCAGTGGCTGATCCAACAGGCCGACGAAAGAGGAAGCCAATTAATGCAACTGCAGATGGATTTGGAACAGGTAGAAGATGAGCTTAGAAAGCTTGAAGAAAAGAGACGCGCATTATCGAAACAAGAAACAGAAATGAAGCAAACAATACGCTACCTTGGTCAACGGCAACAAGATGCTGAAGAGTACCAACTTCAGATATCCAAACAATGGGCATCAACGCAAAGGCGGCTGGATGAACTCTTGTATATTGATGGCGGTGGCCGCGAGTACGAATATGAATTCACTAATACAAAAGGCTGGAGGTTGCTGGAATGGGCAATCGAAAAGGACGACGCTGAGATGATTAAGCTTCTTCTCGATGACAGTATTGACCTAAGAGCCAAAGATGATACGGGTTGGAATCCACTGATATCGGCTTCTCGAAATGGACAAGCAGACATCGTCCGACTAATTATCGATACAGGAAAGGCGGATATCGACTTGAAAGATAATAATGGCTTCACGGCACTAAGTTGGGCTATTAAAAATAACCATGAAGATGTTGCTCGTCTGCTGCTCGAGAGGGGAGCTAATGTGGACTGTATACGGACACTCACTGAACATACTGGATACGTGTATTCGGTAGCCATCTCGCGCGATTCAAGGTTGATAGCGTCAGCCTCAAAAGACCGGACTATCAAGCTCTGGGATTTAGCGACAGGTTATTGTCAGCAAACGCTTGAAGGTCATACAGACGTCGTGTGGTCAGTGTCGTTCTCGCACGACTCAGCGTTGATAGCATCAGCCTCGGCAGATAATACCATCAAGATCTGGAACGCCGCAACGGGTTACTGCCGACAGACACTTGAAAGTCACACTGCGCCTGTGAGAGCAGTGGCTTTCTCTCACAGCCCAAGAGTAATAGTATCAGCATCAGTGGATTCAACTATAAAGCTCTGGGATTTGGCAACAAGTCAATGTTGCCGAACTTTTGAAGGACATAGAGGCATAGTATGGTCTGTGGCCTTCTTACGCGATTCATGGGTGGTAGCATCAGCCTCAAGGGATCGGACTATCAAGCTTTGGGATATTGCAACTGGCCAATGTCGAATGACGCTTGAAGGGCATACTGACACCATATGTGCAGTGGCCTTTTCATACGACTCAAAGTCGATCGCATCAGCCTCTGTGGATAAAACCATTAAGATATGGGATGTAGCTACAGGCCAGTGCCAACAGACGCTTGGAGGCCACCACGACGTCGTCTTTTCAGTGCAATTCTCGCGCAACTCGAAGATGTTAGTGTCGGCCTCCAAAGATGGCACCATCAAGCTCTGGGATGTAACAACTGGCCAATGTCGGCAGACACTTAGAGGTCATGCTGAAATGGTGAGATCAGTGGCCGTCTCCCATGATTCGAGTATGGTAGTGTCGGGATCGTGCGACAAGACTATAAAGCTCTGGCATACTGGGCACATGATCTACTAGCTGCCCCCATTACATACAAGTACTAACAAGTATTGTATTCATTGAGAATATACTTCATTACTCAACTTGATCATTCGTTCCTTTGTCAACTTCCGCCCGCTGCGGCCTAACGACCGGCTTAATCTCCTGCGAGACTCCCAACCAGAGGAGGTCTGGGCGGCTATAGTGACCCGTGCAATCGGCAAACATCTTGTTCACCACTAATTCGTCCATGTCCAAATTTGCGTAAACAATACCCTCTGACGTCTCTTCGATGTGATCTGTTATGCGTCGGCCGTCTGGGCCAAAGATGGTCGAATGACCTCCGCCTGGGGTCGACATGAGAGCTCCACCAAGCGTTCCTAAAGAGTTGATTCCACTTTCTGAAATCACAGCGGTGCAGTGTAGCACAAATGTTCCAGATTCAATGGCATAGGTGCGTGAGAGTGTTTTGCAGCCTTTGAGTTGCTTAGAAAAGTCTGAACAAGATACAGTTGGACGACTATACATACCTTCTGCGGTCATTGACCACGGGATTTCATCTCCAACCTCTGAATTCAGAGGAGGCCATGCTGCGACATGAATCTCTTCGTTCTGTGTGATGGTGTTGTATTTGAGCAGTGGCTGGATATGTTCCCAGCATGACAATGAGCCAACGCGCCCAAATGGGAGCTGCGCCACGCTCTGCAAGCAATGACCAGAAGCGTCTCCGAACACGGTGCGTTCCATGTGAGTTGGCTTCATTTTTCGTCGATGGACTTTGATCTCGCCATCAGAACCAATGAGAACATTAGAAATATAGAGTGAGTTGTTGCTATTCTCTGAGAAACCCAAAGAGACTGCAATACCAGCCTCACGAGCGCAGGCTTGGAGCCTTTCCATTTCTGGAGAGTCCACGCGGAGAGAATTTTTGATGTAAGCAACGTTGAGGTCGAAGTCAACGAGTCGAGACCTGATGTCACGATATTATTTAGCCCATTGGAACTTGTCAACTTGCACAAATCTCTAAAAACTAACCATATCCAACAAGGGTACCCTGGAATCCAGGTCTCAGGGAAGGCGACAAGTTGAGCATTATTCGATGCTGCCTCTGTTATGAGCCTGCAGGTCTTTTCTATTGTTGCCTGGAGGTCAAGCCAGACAGGCTCAGCTTGGGTAACGGCAACGCGAACGACACGATCGGGCATGATGAAGTGAATTTATTTCCAGGAGCTGTAAACAGCGGCTGATTATGGATATGAGATGACCCTTTTGGTCTTGCTGGTTGCCGATTACGGTAGTTGGGTATTGTACAGATATGATTAAGTATAGCCTCCGATAAAGTGTGCGCTTGAATTTGGCATCTGACTGAAGGTACGGCCCGGGTTCAACTTGATAAAAAAAATTGATATCTTCTGCATCAGATAAGTTTACAATATTGGCTGCACTGAGGTCATCATGAGATAACCTAGCAAAAACCCCTCATTCCTCTCACGATATATTGCTGTGCAACGCGCCGGGATTCGAATTCCGGCGTGTTGCAGCTCTAGAAAGGGATAGGCCAATGCCTTATCGGCGGAATCAACCGAGTGTATGGGACTGACCCCGCGCGGTTCTGACAGATTTGATTGCAGTCGTGCATTAGAATGGCATCGTAGCGGGGCTGTGGTACAATATGGAGACGATTTGCTCTGTTGAGTGTAAGGTGTAGCCTTGGATGAACATTGTTTACCATGGTTTATAGATACGATATTCATTCATGAAGAGGGTGAAATCCGAGTCGAGATATTAACAGATGCCATACCAGCATCTAGTGAAGGAGGGAGATGGTGATGGAGATGCTGCAAAGGAAGTGAAACAGCTTACAAAGAGAACAAGTATCAGTGACAATGATTACATGCAATGAGATTGTTATGGCACATTTCTCTAGCATAAATGGAATGGTTGACAGACTGAGAATCCATGGCTTCTGGATGATGACACAAATAAGCCCCGGTACTAGCCCATAACGTCCAGCATACAGGCATTCTTCTTCATACCAAACGAAGCAATCCAGAAGCATTTATTCAATTTAACATTGCAAATTATTTGCTCTTCATCTCACAATGGGGCAAATGAGGACAGACAAAGTGCGGCTGATCGGGTGTACGGCCCTCACGGCTGTATAAAGCAAAGAAACTCTGGATAGGCAAGTTTGGCTGGGAGCATGCATGATGTGTCCCACCATGTACGGAGTATGAATCCGCATGCCGGGATTTGCATTGGGCTGCTTTGGCAGTATGAATAACGCACGGAAGTTGTGTTTACAACAATGTTTTGATTGCTGATCAAGTGCTAACAGTGCTGGCACCTAACCGTGGTGATGGCCTCATTTGGTGTCTCTCGCCTAACCTAGAGTGTATTATTGGAGATGGTCTTCCTGCAGCAAGCACAGCATAAACATTTGATAAGAGAAGCATATTCCAGTACAGTATAGGTGACGGAGTATAAAGCGCTTAATCCCTTTGATTACAACGTATTACTGCAATCACATGTATTGAGCATCATGGGATCACGACGGGGCAGGCCAAACCACCACAGAATCAATCAATCAGACAATATGCCGGCCAGCATTCGAGCCCAACGCGACGCAACGCAACGCAACGCAACGCAACGCAAACCACACCAGAGACGCACGCGCCCGCTTTTTTGTTACACGCATTGCATCTGCTGTGACACAATGTGCATGCACAGCACAGCACACAGAAATAAATTGCGTGCTCCATCGACTCACATGCGCCTGCATGCAGCCAGCCTGTGATGGCCCGACCTGTGTTTTTACACCGCCAGAACGTCGACCACCTCACTCTGCCGATTCTGCCCAATTTTCCATTTTTGTTTTTGCCAACTCCATTCTCAATTCTTTCAAGATGCACCACTTTTGGAGAGAGGAGAGAGGGGGGAGTGGATTCCCCGCCTGCCCGCTTGCTGGGAAATTTTCCTTGCACGTGCCTGGTGCTTTTTTCTTTTGCTCCAGGTCTTCTTTGCTTGTGGTTCTGGACACGTACGAGTAGTTACGGTTATCTCTCCATGCGGGTATTACTTAGTTGGGGGCCAGCCAGGGGTTCGGGGGGTCTGGCCCGGCATGTCATCGAATCCCAACGGAACCATGTGAACAGGAAGAGTGAATGAATTGATGTCGCTCCTCTTGTTTTGCCTCAACTCTCTGTGCCGGCCCCATTGACCCGAATCGGGCGTCTCGTCCAGCGGTGAAGCGGCCACATACTGAAAGGGTAGAGGCAACAGGTCCGGTCCAGCGCCATGCGGCCCGACGCTGCCACTCGGTTATAATGCGTGCATGATATCTGCCTTAGCCCGTCCAGCGCATCGACGGGTTTTTGGTCTGATTGCGACGGGGGTCCCTGGTCGGGGCTGGTTCCTGAGGGGTTGTTTGCGAGCGAGCCGGTGCAACGTCGAGGCTGGTCAGATCGCAAGCCATTTGTCACACACGATTGTGCCTTTATTTGGTGCTGGGAGGGAACCAAGAGATGAGAGAGGACATGAAGTCAGCCCCAATCAGATAATTGACTCAATGGCAGACGTGGATGGAGGTCGAATGAAGAAGCATCCCGCGTCTTGACTGCTGTGTTTGTCTGCTGCCCTGCCTCTCTGTTTTGTTTTGTTTGTCTTGCCGTTGCTTTTTTTTTTCTCACGCGTGGAGCCATTTTCGGTTTGAGCTTCAGCTGGCCGTGGCCAATCATTGAGCCATTTCGCGGTGAGGTATGCACTGTAGCCCAGCGAATGTGATTGTGCCGTGGCTTTTGGTGCCTGAAGCACTCGTAGGGATCCGTGTCTATGTAGGCCGGCAGATGCATGTACTCGTCATGTATAAGTAACAGATGGATGGATGGTTGGATGGATTGATATCGAAACAAACGCGATCAAGTGATGCACTGCTCGAGCTTCAGCGCTGTAGGTCCCTGTCTGTCAGTGCAGTGGTAAGGCACCATGTAGCGATGCGCCGCCTCCAGGTAGCTCCTCGCAGCAGCCTGGGCGGGCCAGTACCTTGCAATCAGTGCCCTGTACTCGCAAAATAGCCTATCGGCACACCTCTGGCAGCTTCCCCGCATGAAGCTCCTGCGTTGGCGCCAAGCAAAAACTTGCCCCGGGATCCGCGCCCACTAGCTCCAAGCCATTTTCACCTTTGGGATTCCCGCCTGTTTCATTTTCTGGTCAGAGGCCCGGTGGTTTTTTTTTTTTTTTTTTTTGTGTGTGGCATTTCACGACTCGAAGAGAGAATTTTGTTGACGACGACGACGACGACGACGACAGGAAGCACGAATAAAGAAAAAGACAAAAAAAAAAGAGAGAGGCAGCCAAACTCGACACGCAGCCCAGAGACTCGCCACTATTCGCAGCTGTGCTCGCTCCTTATATCTGGCCACCGACTCCCGTCATTTCAACGACCAGCTCTACTTTATCTATCTACACCTCATCAATCCATCACACCAGCCACTGCCAAAACACCGGCCCAGCACGCAAAACAATCCAAAACAACAACAAACCGGCACGGCACACGAGAGCGAGTCCCGGCTGCATCCTGGTCCCCACCAGACCGTCTCCTGGGCTCCCCCTCACCAAAACCAAAGCGTCCTCGCGCATCTCGTTACTCCAGCAAGGGGAGCTCGGATCCCTGCGCGGCTGACTGGCCTCTGCCGTGCCTGTCACCAATTTTTTTCTTCTCTTGCATCTCCAAAATCATCTTCTTTTCTTCTCTCCCCCCAGAAAAGTGGACTGGACTGGCAGTTCGTCGTGGAATCCGGACTGCGGCAGCTTGGGCGAAAACAAAGGGGCACTTGCCAAGCTGAAGGTTTTCTAGCGCAGGGCCGTCGCGTGCTGTCAGTGGCTGGCGCACGTTTAGAATTTTTTTTCAGCGCAAGGTTCCATTTTGCATCGAGGCTTTGAGACGAGAAGCATTGGATTTGATTTGGCGCTTAGCCCACCCGGCCTCACCCCCCGGGAGCAGAAACTCGGCTCGACGCCCTGCCAGACGGCAGCTGCCGGGCGCAAGCCCACAAGCCGACTGCAGCGATTCGATTCGGGCGACGTCCATGATTTGGAGAGACTCCCAGCTCTTAGCTCTCAGCCTGCTCCGTCCGCAAGTCATTGACTCTCTCGTCGACCTCGTCTTCGTCCACATTCCCCCCTCGTCCCATTCTTCCACTCCTCGCGGCCAACGGGGCGGCAGCTTCAGCCCATCTGAGGCCCCAAGATCGCTCCGCCCGGGTCGGAATTTTCGAGCTAAGTAGCTAAAACTTCGGCACGATGGATCCAAGACGGTCGCCAGCTCTCTACAACCGCCATCACGCCCGACCGCATTTTCCCCTGCCACCGACCTCGACATCGGCATCGGCATCGACATCAGCAGCAGCAGCAGCCGCGCCGCCAGCCTCGCATCGCATCGCCAATCCTGCGTATGCCCACCAGCGCCGCACCTCGGACGCGCCCTACCGCCCTTCGCACGTCCGCGAATATTCCGAGCCCAGCCATTCGCGTGCCCAGAGCGCTTCATCGCTGCCCACCGCTCGCGAGCTGAGTCGCAACATGCCGCCGCCCACGTCGCCTCCCCAGCAGCCGGGGCAGCAGCAGCAGCAGCAGCATCCGATGTCGCAGCATCACCAACAGCCTCACCCGCAGCCTCACGCCGTCATGTCCTACGGGCCTCCGCCACCCAGGCCCCCCCCCGTGGCTGTTGGACCGCCCAGCGCCTTTCCTTCAGGTCGCGAGCTGCCTGCTCTGGGCTCCATCGCACGCGCTGGTTCAGCGTCTGGCGGTAGCTCCATGTCCATTTCCTCCATGCTCGGTGGTCCGCCTCCAGCCTCGCGAGAAGCTCAACCCCCATCGACTTCGCAGCACTACGCATCGCACTCGGCCCCAACATCCGCCTCGACCTCGGGCCCTGGCTTTGCGGCGTCCATCCAGGCTTCGCCCCGAATGCACTCTGCGTCGTCCGAGTACGCCCCATTTCGACGGCCTCAAACCCCCGATCTTCAGCGACCATACGACCCCCGAGCCGGCACTGCGCCATCCCCTCGAGGCCCCTACGCCACGACCCCCGATGTCCAACGATACGGCACACCGCAACAGCAACAGCAACAGCAGCCGCCCTATCACTCGCGACACCCGTCGAGCTCGACCGACCCATCGCGAGATCCATCGAGACTGTCTACAGGACCGCCGCCTCCAGGCCAAAATCCTAATCAGTCGAGGCCGTACGGTGGCATGGCGCCCCGGCCGATGGAAGTTGGGAGGGTGCCGGGCCCGGAGGACGCTTACGGTCGTCGGGAAGAAATCACGCGGTCAGCAGCTGGTCTGGATTACGGTGAGAGGACTGGCCTGAGGCCTTATCCGTACGATGATCGCTACAGAGCAGAAAGAGAAAGGCAAAACGCAATCGGGCTGGAACAGCAGCAGCAGCAGCAGCAGCAGCAACAACAACAACATCAGCAGCAGCGAGAGCGAGAAGGGAGAGAGCGAGCATACTCTGGAGGCGACCCGACCCGACATCCGCTGCCGCCGCATGACCAAGCCCATCGCGAACCCCCGGTACATCAATCTGCCCCCTACGGCGCGCCCCCTGCAGAGCTCCTCGACCGGCGCGATCCCCGGGACCCTCGCTGGGGACGACCGGAAACCGAGGCGAGCTACAGGGCCGCGGCCATGGACCACCAACGGCCACACCCAGACTATCCTCCCGCCTCTGGACCCTATGCGCCTCATAGCTCCTCAGCATATCCTACCGCGCCCCCCGAGAGATTCCCTCCAACTTCCCATCCCGCGTATCCCCAGAGCTCAACTAGTGCTGCCGGCCCGCCCCAGCCTCACGAGTCTCCCGACCGAGCCCGAATGGAGCTTCATCACTCCCAGCAGCAGCAGCAACAACAGCAGCAGCAGCAACAACAGCAGCAGCAACAGCTACAACAACAACAGCAGCAGCAACAGCAACAGCAGCCTAGACCGCGACCTCTTGATGACGTGCCTCCTCCTCTTTCGTCTGCGCCGTTTGGTGGCGGCGCCGGACATCATCAGTTTGACCCAGCGAGAAACAGAAATGTCGACGACCCATCCGGACCTGGTATTCACCAGCGCAACCTGCTGGCCATCCAAGAGATTAACCGCAAAGGGCGCGTATCCCCACTCCCACAGGCCGTCCAGGGTGCGCAGCCTCAGCAGCCAGGACCCGCCGCAGAACCAGGCATTAAAAGTGAGTTTGGTCGCATGTTTGCGGGCATTGGTAGCGGCGTGAGCTTGGGTGGCCTATCGAGCCCCGTTACTTCGGCCCCGGTGCCGTATGTCAACGCCGCGCTGGCCAAACGAGACGAGATGGACAACCAGACGGCAGATGCTGGGCCAGACGGTACGGCCAAGGGCGCAAGGGGCAGAAGACGGAAGCATAATACAGACGAGAGCCGCGACGATGATAGTTCGGGCAGATTGACGCCGGTTGGACGTGGCACAAAGCGTGCGAGGGGACATGGGCACCACCACCACCAGTAAGTTTGGCTTCGGATCCATTCGATCATTTAGAATATAAAGGCTAACCACGCATGTTTTTTTTCTTTACAGTCATCATCACCATCATCACCATCACGCTCCCGAAGGCACCGCTTCTCCAACAGCTGGAGTAACCACGTTTAAGAATTTCAAGGGCGTCACACCGATGGAATCCCCGACTGAAAAGATGCCGAGCACCGCGCATCATCATCACCATCATCACCATGCGCCGCGACCCGCGCAGCCGACCCAGGCCCCGAAATCTGCTCAGAGCCCCCCGACCGCGATCCCGCCCAAACCGCGGACCATTGTATCTTCCAAGGCCGTCTTGGAGCAAGTTGCTGGCCACCCCCGCCACCACTTGGGCGACTTTATCTACCAACCAGACTTGAAGGCGGGAAGGCTACTCCCCAACACCCCTACGCACCGGGGGTTCTCGTCAAACCCAAAGCCCCTGCCGCTGGAATTGATCAAGGGGAAAGAAAACTGCACCCTGACCGTCAAAGTATCGCGTGTTCACCTATCTTCGGTTGCTCGAGAGGAGATTACCGCCAGGGCATTCCTTTGGGGTACAGACGTGTATACGGACGACTCGGACGTGGTCGCAGCGTGCATTCACGGAGGGTGGATCAAAGGAGAATGGACCGAGGATGTCGATACGACGCTGCTGGATCTGGATCAAGGCCTCAATGGGGAAACTAAGCGTCGAAAGGTTAAGAGCCAAGAAAACGAGCCCGCTAATGCCACATCCGAAGGCCTCATCTCGGCGCCTCCTGTCGCAGGGCCGATGCCTATCCCTGCCGAGCGCGACCTACATGTCAACGTTTTGATACTTCCTCGACTCGTCAAATACTCCCCGTCTACGCGATACGGAATTACCAGCCGCGAATTTGGCGGCGAATACGGATCACGACACGCTGTCCATGATGGTCTGAGCTACATGGTCAAGAGCATTCGCTGGGTGCAGAATGGCGCCCAACCCCAGGCTAGGCTTCGCGGAAAGGGTCGACGAGAGCGCATGAGGGAGCAGGCGGCCAACTATGTGATGATTACAGGGCTTGGAAAGGCTGAAGATTTTGACAGCAAGCCCAGCTTGGGCAGCGAGATCTCTGGCAACTGGGGGAAGAGAAAGAATGCAGATGAAGTGTCTGAGGCTAAGCGTCGACACAGTGAAGGAGATAAGGAGAATCAACCCGACGAGAAGACGAGCGATGACGCCCGCTCTCAAGAGCATGACCAGGATAAGGATGTTGAAATGAGAGACATGGGAAGCGAAGAAAAGGTGGCAACGGCTGAGGAAAAGTAATTGGCTTGGTTTTTTTTCTTTTCTTTTTTTTTTTTTTTGATCCTTTATCTATTGTTATTTTCTATTGTCATGAGGATTTATTCAATGAAGGGTTCTTCTCTACATGGGATGGGATGGATATCCCTTGGGAGGAAGGGACTCATATATAAGGGCTTGTATTTTGGGCGGACAGCAAAATAGCGAGGGCATATGCTTTTTTTTTGGGAGTGGAATGGTGGTGGCGGCCATTATATCTGGAGCTTTTTTTTTTTTTCCATCTGTCTTCCCTTTTCCCCCTCTCTCCTCTCTGGGATATGAAGAAATACCCCCTCTACTCATCATGATGCGTGGGATAGTAATAGTACATGCTTCAGAATCTATAGTGTAATGTACAATTCGTCGCTATGCGCGACGCTGGTATCTCCTCGCAATTGATCTTTCCCCATCTTACATCTTTTCCACCTGTCAGTGATTTTTTTGGTTCTTCTCTTCGTTTGTGTTGTAAATTTTCTCTTTGTTCGTATGTGAAAATCTTTGTTCGAATCGTTCCGCGCCTTCTGTCGCTCCCCTCTTCATCGCAGCCTTCAAAAATCCGTCACCCTGCCGTTATAGCTCCAATCGCCATTCCCACCCCACCGCAAGGGCTCATTCTTGGGACCGCCCACCTCGCCCGTCTTGGGATTCGTATCACCCTCGAATTCCGGGGGCGCGCCGCGAAAGAGGCCCTGGTTGAGGGTCGTAGCGTCGTCTGTCTTGACTGCGGAGGCGGAGGCAGAGGCGGTTGTTGTGTGGCGCGGTGATTCGGTGGATGGAGGGGTTTGGGTTGGTTCTTGGAAGGCGGAGGAGACGGCGGCGGCGCGCTGGAGGCGTTCGAATTCGGCTTGTTGGGCGGCAGGGAGTTTGGGGGGGGATGGGCGCGAGGAGAAGGTTGATGAGAAGCGGGAGGTTGTGAGGTTGAGGTTGAGGTTGAGGAGAGGGAGGGGGAGACGAGGGCGGAGGAAGGGAGGCATTGCGTTTGTTGATGCTGTTGTTGTTTGTAGTATTTGAGAGCTGGATTGGAGCTGGAGTTGGGAGTTGAAGCTGAGTTGAGCTGAGCTGAGCTTGTTAGTTGTAGGTTGGTGAGTTGAAAGATGAAGCTTGGCGATGACGAGATGGGAAGAGACGGAAGAGATAGCCGAGGTTTAGGCTTAGTGGGGTGACTCTACTGGCTGGTGGCAATGGCTGATGATCTACAACGATGGAAGATGAGATGGACACTGAGATCGATCTGACGATAGAACGCAATATATTAGAGCCATATTAATATTCGTAATATAATATCCTTTAGAGAGCAATAAACTCCATATCCATATCCATATCCAATACCAAGCATATAACAAACATCACACGCCACATATTCCCTGATACATCTCACTTACACGGCCGCAGCTCCCTCTGGCCGCAGCCACTCAAACGTATCCAGCAAATCAAAATTGAAAAAAGAGTTGAAATCCGGCGACAAGTCCATGTTCCAATGCCCTCCCTCGTCCAGCATGTTCGTCTGCACCGGTGCCTCCAGCGCCTGCTCCAGCACCCGCCGCACGACCTTTTTGATGCGGAAGCAAATGTCGGCGTTTGGCGACGACGGCATCACCCAGTCCAGAAACGCCGCCAGCATCCCCAGCTTCTCCACGATGACGGCCTTTGTAGCTGCCGCGCTCCTCGTGCCGTGGGCCTTGCCGCGGAGAAGCTCCATGCACAGAATCCCGCCTGCCGGGGCCGCGAACGAGGCCGTTGTCCACTCGACGCAGTCTTCTACCGTCTTGAGCCGGTTCTGGTGTGTCCAGAAGAGGTGGGCCAGCGTCACCATCTCGAGGCTGATTTCGAAGAGCCGGGATCCCTCTTCTTCGCTCTCTTCTTTGCTGAGAAGACGCTCGATGAAGAAGAGGTTCTGTAGGTGCTCGAGCCAGATGAGAAGTTTTGCGTACAGGTCTTTGCCAGAGACTTCTGGGTTGTTGAGGTCGTCGGGCTGGTAGAGGACGCAGGACGGGAATTCGGCAACGATCTGCATCTCTCGCCTCTTCAAATTCCTAGTCACGGTTAGCAGAAAAGTTCCGAGTTGATGCCGTTGCTGTGTGATTCTTACAAAAGCGCCGTCTTCCCACCGAAATCCATGCTCTGCAGAGCAATCTCCAGAATCTCATCTCTGACATACGATAGCTTGGCTCTTGCGCGCAACGTCGTCGACAAATAGATTTTGCCATCGGTGCTCCATCCATTTTCATCCACACGGCAATCGCTGTAGTCAGCCGGATTTGACAGTAGCAATTCTTCACTCATGTCCAGGGGCAGTGGCGTTGACGAGAATCTTCTGCTGAGAAATGCTGGCCGCCCAGTAAACGTGGCCGTGACCTTGTCGTGTGTGAAGATGGCGGCGAACAACTGGCGCTTGATTTGCGTGGTGACGGAGAAGTCCTTTGGGTTTGCGTTTGGTTCGACGTGCAGGCCGAGATACGTCGTCAGGGCCATGAGATCGCCGTGTGTTCTCCAGTATTGCATGCCTGAAATGAGAAATGGACTCGTTAGTTGGATGATTGACAGAAGAAGTAAAAAAAAAAGAAAAGAAATAATGGACTGGGTAAGTTACCTGCATCCCCAGACTCGTTGGATTCGAGCAAGCTATGGCCCAAAACAAGAAACGCCAACATGACATTACTATTGGCTCTATCGCGACTGAGTTCGATACACTTCCACGCAGCCATTTTATACTGCTTCACGAGATGGCTCGCATGTGTATTGTGCAGAACCTCGCAGTCGCTGGAAATGGCAGTCATTTCAGGGAGTCTTCGAGCACCGCCAGCCCAAAAGACGAAAAGCAAGCCGAGAGACTCCCACCGCAAATTTGATCCCGAAAACTCGTCAAACCACTTTTGCGGATCTGAATGCGACTCCCCAAGAGGAACCGCACTGTTTCGGCACAGCTTAAACGACATGCGCCTGAGCAGCTCCTCGTCTCGCACCTCACGATCCAGAGTTGTCGCAAATGCCGTCCACAGGGAATCGTTGAGCCACCGGCCCGAGAGCGTATTCCAGCCGCCGTAAAAGCTGGTGTAGAGCCTAGTCAGGAGCTGAGACGAAGCCTTGTCGGGAATCTGGCGTAGGGCGCAGATGGCAAGCTCGTCTAGACGCGGGAAAACCTCTATAGTCTTGAACGGCGGCATCGTGTCTGACTCGGACTCGCATTTTTCTGCTACTGACAAGCTGTTTTGCGCTTCTTCATAGAATGCAGAGAAGCTCGTTGCGCCTAGATAGCCTACGTTGCTCTCCGAGAGATTCGCTTGAGGCGTTCTGCTGACGGGAACTGAGACGGAGACTGAGTGGATATTTGCGACCTGAGGCCCCTGAGATGGGACGGCTGCTGATCTCGACAAGTTGATGTGGTGATTCTGCTGGCCTGGCTGAGCCAGATAGACGCACTTTTCTGATATTCCTCCGCGCCGACATCGCGAGCAGACCGGAATGCGGTGGTCACAGGCGACTTTTCGTCTTCGACAGGGCTCGCAGGCCTGTGGACGGCCATTTTTGCGCTTGGGGGCTCCAGCGAGGGAGAGGTTTCCGTCCATGGCTGGTGCGATGCTGAAATGGGATGCGATGCGATGAGATTCTCAGTCAGTTGATGCTGCTCACTCACTTTGAAGATGGTATCATCGGCTTCATAATCAAAGATTAGTCATCTCTCTCATTTAGTGTTGATATAGGTTCATGTGCTGGATCAACACGACGATTTGCTGCACTGCAAGACGGTAGAAGCTATTCTGAGTTTGATAAAGTCGGATATTCCTATCGTGTTTTTGAAACTATCTCTTTGTCTCTCAAGATGTAATGTATTACTCGCCAAGACACCAGTCATGCAGGTCTCAATCATCTACCCAATCTTAGACGCCGCCCGAAACCGGTGGCAAGTAAGCTCGTGTCTTAACCCACAAGTAACTAGCAGACAGGATTCAAATTGGCAAGTCATTCTCGCAAGACATTCTATCAACATGGCCAGTATAGAAGAACTTGAAACCTTGAAGTTTTCATACTTTGACAATGTCTCCTAGTCTAAATCGGCCCATAAGGCTCTTATGCCATCATTGGAGTCAGTTGCCTCAATCTACCCCACCATATCTTTTCTACCCCAACTGCCGTCCAACTTATACAAAGCAGCCCCATATCGCTAGTTTATTACGACCAGTGACGAGTCAGAGCAAGCAGAAATCGGAGTGAAAGCCATTGCGGATAGATCTATACACTATATAATAATTACCCCAAGCCCCCCTGTTCCATATAAATAAGAATTCTTCTCAGCTTCTTAAACTAGTAAGTCACGTCTCCTGTAGTTCATTTAGCATGGCCAAAGGTTCACATCGCAACATGGTGCCGTCAAGTACAGAAAGCATTTTCCTCGACGACACAGCCAGTCCAGAATGGCACTCGGGGGTTTGTGTCAGCAATGGCACCATGAAAGATCCCACTATTGCAGACATCGATGCTCGCCGACAGGCGGCTGGGAAAATGGTGGCTCCAACAGCTGCCTATGCTGATTCCGACATGTTCAAACTGCAGTGCTCTCGAGTCAGTTTCATCGTTTCAATCTCTGTAAATTGCAGGTGACTTACCAAGATGAAAAAAAGACGTCCAAGAAGCCAGCAGCAAAACGATGGGACAGTAGGACCTCATCCCAGCAGCCCTCGAGGAGACATCCTATATCTAACAATGCCATCTCAGATCACCTAACGGATGAATGTCTAGCGCGAGCTCCCGGAATCTTGAAGGTAGCCGCAAGGTTTCTCAAGAGACCGGGAATGATTTCGCTGGCTGGCGGCCTTCCCGGTACTGACTACTTCCCGTTCAACTCTATAAGCGCTGCGATTCCGGCGATCCCTGACGAAGCTGGGAGCAACATGTCCGAGACCGAATCCACCATCACCATGGGGTTGCACGATATCGCCTCTGGGGACGCAACGTTCGACCTCTCCGTGGCTTTAAACTATGGCCAAGCTGCAGGTTCAGCCCAGATGATCCGTTGGATCACCGAACACACAGAGCTCGTCCACAACCCTCCTTATGCCGACTGGGACACCTGTCTAACCACCGGAAACACAGCCGGCATATACCAGGCATTGCGAATGCTCTGCGATAAAAATAGAGGCGACTCATGGATAACCGAAGAGTATTGCTACGCCTCTGCCCTAGAGACTGCGCTTCCGATGGGCATCAAAACAGTCGGCATCAAGATGGACGCCGATGGCCCCATACCAGAAGTCATGGACGAGCTTCTCACCAACTGGGACGCTGCGAAAAAGGGAGCTCGAAAACCACACGTCTTGTACACCGTGCCAACCGGACAGAACCCAACAGGATCGACCCAAAGCGCCGCAAGAAAAAGAGCGATATACCAAGTCTGCCAGAAACACGACATCTACATCCTCGAAGACGACCCCTATTACTTCCTCCAGCTACGATCCGACTTACACTCTCAACACAACCCCTCAAAGCCTTCCGCCAGCACATTCCTCGCCAATCTTCCTCCTTCGTTTCTCAGCATCGACACCGACGGCCGCGTCATGCGCATCGACTCCTTCTCCAAAGTCGTCGTCCCCGGCGCAAGAATGGGTTGGGTGACGGCATCCGAGCAAATGATTGAGCGCTTCATCCGGCACGCCGAAACAGCCAGTCAAGGGCCCAGTGGCTTCTCCCAGGCTCTCATATACAAGCTTGTCGACGAGAAATGGGGCCACCAGGGGTTCTTGGATCGGCTGCAGCATCTGCAGACTGAATATACTGCGAGGAGAGACGTGATGCTGGCGGCGTTTGACAAGTTTTTGCCCAAGTCGATTGTAAGCTGGAATTCCCCAAGTGCAGGCATGTTTGTAAGTCCATATGTATATCTAGATGCGTGGGTGCCTATATAAATGCAGAACGGCTAATCATGCTTAACAGTGCTGGATCCGAATCAACCACAGCCTGCGCCCCAACGCAAAACTATACTCGGCTCTCGACATCGAAGAAGAAATATTTGCCGCGTGCCTCAAGAGAGGCGTCCTCGTCGCAAAGGGCTCTTGGTTCAGGGCCGAGCCGGATATGCCTCTCAACGACGTGTTTTTCCGCCTCACGTTTGCGGCGTCGAGTGCTGAGAACATGGAAGTGGCTGTTCGCACGTTTGGAACGGCCCTCCGCAGCATTTTCAAGCTGGAATGAACTGAGCCAGTTGCATATAGATAGCATGGATATGGAGTTGGAGGATCAACTTGGACATTTTTTTTGACTGGTATCATTTCCCTACGGACAGCTAGTTTGGCATCAATGCGTGTTTACGCTGAGAAGATAAAGCGGTCTTATTGGAATATTAAGAATGGCGTACTCAAATCCTTACCGTAAATTACAATTCTTATTGGATTTCATTATAACATTCTAAAGTGGACGCATATCGATCAGCCGCCTCTATACATGAACCAATGGCATCAAACAAATGCGACTGCTTGAACATCTCCGTAAACAATTTTATAACCGAGTATGCCATCTGCTTAATCGTCGTCGCGCTGAATTCGTCATCCAAAGTTGGTTTAAAGAATGGCGTTTCTTTTAGTATTCGTGCAATGACGCGAACCAGGACCTTCTCCTCGTCATGCAAGTAGTGACTCTCTAAGCTGGCTCGCTCCAGCCATTTGCTTAGAAATAGAGCGCATTCCAGATTAGCAATGCTATGAATGATGCTCCAGGATAAAATCTGGGTTTTCGATGCATATCTAATGCCAATCCGCACTGGTATGCTGAGTGCGTGTGCGCTTTGGAGAACAGCCGAGTATAAGCGCGGCGAGCGTTCTGGCAGGGGGCATTGGGCAAAGGAGGCTGCAATAGTAGCCGGATCCCTGCTGCTAAAGCTCCGGCTTACGGGCGTGTTGAAACATAGCCTTATCCAGGCAATGCGAAAAACAGCCGTGGCGTTGAAACCCAGCGGTGCCATGTGGGCAATGGGCTGCGTGGTAGACTCCCTGCTCGAGGCCCAGCCGCTATCCCAACGACAGAGAGCCCGTCTAAACTTCATATAAACCTCCTCTGACAAGGGTGCTTCGTCGAGAGAAGCGCAGGCAGTATCAATGTGTAATAGCGTCTCCCTCGTAAGCTGGATCTGCTGCACCAGACCATGAATCGAGACCAGGCATCCAAACGCTGAAGTGCGATGCCGCGTATTTCGTGATTCACGGGGGACTACCAGGTCTGAGTAGCAATCTCCAAAAGTGCCAGTCATGGGAGGGTCGCGACGCCGCATTTCTTCCCATTCGAGCGCTGTAGTAGCCCACCAGTGAGCCTCCTGCTGTGGCATTTTGATCGACCAAAGCTCACGAGCCATGAGTCGCGGTGGTGTGTCGTAGAAGATTGAGTGTAGATTGAAGATGATGAATGCGATGAAAACGGTACGTCGGCATCCTTCGCGCTGGATCCATTGCGACCAGGTCTCATCCCCCGACGTATCTTCTCGACCCAGATAGCCTCCTTGGCGTAGGTGAAATACGATTTGTTCAGCCAAAGTGAAAGCATCGGGCAGCAAATTTTTGTATTCCCATGAACACAGGGACATGCAAATGATCATGGCTTGAATCGTCTCAATACCGATGACTGGTTGGTTTGCATTATCTGTTGAATTCGCTGCAACATTGGTCACCCCTTCGAGAGCCGGCCTTGCCTGTATAGTTGAGTTGCGTGCCGCTTCCACTACGGCTGCTGAAACTTTGTTGAGTCTCGCATCTATGATGCTTTTCGCGGCGTAGTATAGAGACAAGGCCGATTCAGCCTCAAATCGATACTGTGCGCCCATTGCAGCCACCGCGAAAACAAGCTCTAGGGGCATTTGAGAAAGTCTTGTTGCGGACAAGTGCAAAAAAGGTCGATGTAAATTAAAACTGGAGAAGCCTTCAATGTACCTGCTAAAGGTGTGCTTTGAGGGAAGCTGGAATTGTAGGGGAAGAAGAGCTGCGTTATCTTGAACAGAGGCAGAGATTAGGTCGTACTCTTGGGGGGACATGTAGCACGGGTTTCTCGACGCAGATGGCAAGTATGCTTCGGTATTCTGGATGGTAGTCGATGCGCTGGGCAATCTTGGGCGAGGAGTTATTGTGGCATCTTTAAGAGGCTGGTGGCGCAACAATTCAGAGGCGCATGGCAAATCATCGTGCCAGATAGATTCTTCCGCTCTGCTTGAGACGTCGCTGGCAGGTGTCGTTGTCTCTGGTATCGTGGGTATATCGAGAGACGGAGCAAAGTCAATGGGCTGAAAGTTCATGGGAAACTCTGGACTAAAAAATGAAAGCTCAAAAGGGTTGTGCTGCAACTGAAAGCTATCCCAGAGCAAGTCCAACTCATTCGTGAGTGCTGCTGGAATCACGTTTGCGACATCGGAGGGGGAGGCTTGGGTGTCACAATTGGACAGAACCGATCCAGTACCCGGACCGATACCAGTTCTGAGCCCATCGGTTGATGCAAGATTCACCATGGGAACTTCAGAACTGTCAACCGATTTTCTTTGCCGGCTAGAGACACTGGGACTGAGGGGCCCATGACCCTCTGACTCTTTTGCCAGCTTGACATGGCGAGAGAGCAGGTCCCTACTTCAGATGAGTACTGAGAAGAACCAACTTTACACGAGCAAATTCGACGTACTGACGTGAGAAGTTCCGTCCACAGATACAAGCATGGGGCTTCTCTTTGGTATCTGCCAATAGTCCAGGTGGGTTAGTCGGTCATTGAATAAGACGGCGGGATGCGAGTCTCATAGAATCACGTACGTGTTCTTTCATGGCGGCGCAAGTGTTCAGTCCTCAGAAAGGATTTATTGCAGTACTGGCAGGGGGGCACTTTGACCTTGTGCCGCATCTTGTCTGATACATGTCGCTGGCCGCTGTGAGTCGCCTCTTACATGAAGACGGCTAGAATCTACCCCAAATCACAGCCGCCGAGAGATCCACCCAATATCACACCGACCCAGGCGAGAGCACATGCACAATCACATGATATGGCCAGCTCCCGATGAGTCGGATTTTGGAAAAACAATGGTCCATTAGTGTCATACAAATTCGTCATCCTTGTATGGAGTAAGGGACATGCATCAGAGGATGACCAGGTTTAGACGCGGATTACCTTCTATTTTCTTGTATAAGCCGCTCAGAGTTATAATAGGGGTTTCCCGGATGGATTACAGCAGTAGCCAAGATCCCGACCCTCCCGTCATAGGCGAGAAATAAGTGCCCGACTTCGGATCCCGCGCACCGACGCTATCCAGCCGTCATGCCGTCTTGATCCTGTTATTCCTTGCCTAACAGCAACATGGGACGAATTTAGCTCGCTGCCTGCTTTTCTCGTTACCATTCTTCATTTCTACTTGTTTCTCGTCCTGTATAGACAAGAGAAAGAGACACTATTCCACATCTAGATGAATTGAATCCTTTCTAGCAGGATTGTTGAGAGACGGAGATGCCAAGCGACTTAACAGCATGTTGGTTGATTGTGACCAATGCTTAAGTAAGTAGCCAAGAATGTAGAAGTTCTTCGTATGTTACATACTGAAGAGCTTATAAGAAGCATGCATTCAACGACCCATTCTCTTTGGAAAGAGCTATAGCCGTGCTATATGGCCCTCTTCTGTCTCGAGTAAAGAGTTTCGTAAATGCGCCGTATTCGCAGTGTAGGAGACCCCGTTCTTCGGTAAACTAAGAGCTGCTCATCTTCGACAGAGCATCAAGTCGGAGGCAAATCCCCAAGCTGGTCTAATTTCCTATTCAAAGGGGGCGAAAGTCAGCCAAGGTCAGATGGGCTAACATCATGTGTGCTATAGGTACTAGATAGTGGCCATTCATGCATGTTGTACACGTACTCGTAGTTTTCTATATTGCTCAATGACGCCCCCTGATGTGAGTGTACACCTACCTATATTGTTAGCATCGTCGCAAAGTATAAGCATAATCTTCACCTTCACCAGCGAGGACGCACAGAAACCAGACACAGCTTCAATCGCGATTGAGTCCCAGTTTGAGCCCAAATTTGAGCCCCTGTAGGTGCTCCGAAACAATTTCTGCAGTTCCGGATCTGCATCACCAATGTGCGCAAGCACATGCCAAGAATCACCGCCCCGTGGTTTCTTCGAGTGATGCCACTTGCAAGAGCAGCGACGCAGCGTCCGCATCGCATGCGCCGTGTTACGTGGAAAATGGCTACTGCAGCCTCGAGTGCAATGATTATGTGGCTCTGACCACTCTGCTGGGCGAGGATTTGTTCAGGTATATTTTTGCAAAACAAAATTATTCTAGCTCTGTTGTGAAATAAAAATACTTGCTGCCTTTATTGTTACCCTACTTGTTACGCTATTCATTCAAATTGCGTACGAAAGAAAGGGTAAATTAAAAAAGGGAAGAGATCACAAAAGTATCACCATTGTTTACACATCAGCGTGTTTTGCTTATTGCTTGCATAGAAAGCTAGCTGGCATTGACTTCCATATCATATCGTCATCTAAATTCGTGATATACGTGATAAAGCGCAGGCAAAAGAAGAACCCACAAGCGAGCAAATATGTATAGAGAAAGAAGAGCGGATAAACATTCTGCTCCAAGCATCAACCCGTGCGCTGGCGTTTTCGCTGTCGCGCTCACTTGGAGGCGGGCAAGCTGAATCCCATTTCCTGCCAGGACTCGAATTCCTTTTCAATCGCCGCAAGCTCCTCCTTGAACCGGTCAATGTTCAATTGGTGCGTGTTGAGCGCGTCCTGCGTCTTGTCGGAGTCCTGTTGTGGTGCTGCGGCACCGTCGTCCGTCGAAGAGGACACAATGTCCTTGCCGCCCCCCATCTTCTTCTCCTCCTCTTCAAGCTTCTGGAGGAGCAAGCTTTTCCGCCGCCTTGTCTCCTCTAGCCATTCCAGGCGGGCATCGGTTATCTTGTTGGACATCTACAGATTGGGTCAATACGGACTGTAGCAGCACCAGGAGTAGCAGCACTAAAATTTACGCCTTACTTGGTCTCCGTAGATTGGGTGTCTTTCTTGCAATCTTTAGCAGCTGAGATGGAACATGGAAAGGGTTAGTCTGGAGGGCCAGTTAATCTGAGAGGATCCCCCCCAATTACTCTGCCGGGGGGCAACACCAGTGGTATGAGAAAGCTGCAGGGGTTGCATCGAGGAAAAGGCCCAATTGGTACCCAATGCCGAGCCGGGGAGACGACTCCATTAAGACTGATTGATTACACAGCATGAGAAGCATGTGAAGCACGCGAATGGTGGAAGCTATCTTGTTCAAGGGTTAGCTTTGGAGGGGCAAAAACGGAGTAAAACGGCACCATTTTGCCGTTTTGCTTTTTTTTTCTTGCTATGAGATAAGAGAGCAGAGCTGTCGAGTTTAGCTCTGAACAACTAAGAGGATCTAGAGTAGTATGGTTGAATTAGCCTTAAGTTCTTTCTTGAGCTGCTATCCAGCCACAAATGCATCAAGTCCACCGTGTTGGTTGACCTGCCAAGCGAAGCAGCAGGATCTGTCTGGCCCGGGCCGGCCCGTATCAAACGTCGTACTGGCCAAGATGACGGACAAACGCGTAAAGACGGCAGATGGAACGGGTGTTGGTTGATATGTAGAAGCCGTGCAGTTACTTGGACTTATACCAATATAAACACCCTACCTGGGGCATAGTTTTAATACAGCAACACTAAAACACTACGGGCACCAAAATCCAGCAGCGGGCTTGGTTGCTAATATAGGATGCTAGATTCTGCTAGTCCACCACGCGGTTACATCCAGACAGCAACACATTATGCTCTTATAGGCATCTACTTGACTCGGTACCAAGATAAACATCAGGATCTGCACACATTCTACACTAGGAGATTTGTACTTCTGTGTAAACGAAGACAAAGAGACGCCCCACAGACGCCATGTTTGGAACAGGGAAGTCATCACACGCGCTCTGAATCTGGCCTTCAATAGGTTCAACCTCAGTTTTCATCAGCCAATTCTTTATGTGCGAATATATTAATCATCTGCCCTAGCCTTGCCGCATCTTCCATCGAACTCAATCCAGATCTAAAATACCCGGAGAATAGGGCTTGCTTCCTTGCCTCGCCTACACCAAACGCCCCGCTAGCGTCGGCTCGTCTATATTTGTGCAGACAGACAGATTTCGCAGACCGACACCAAATCGGGCAGCATAACGGGCGTCAAAAGTCCCGCACAACTCTCCTCCTATCATACTACCAAGATGGCACATGCGCGCCTCTAAGAGAGCTCCGCAAGATGCCGAATCGCCGGCCAGCCACAATGCCGATCCTGTTGACCTGCTGAAACGGGCATGAAGGCCGCGGGGAAGCTCATGAGATCGGTTTTGGATAAGTCGTGGTCGAGATAGGGCTTCTGATACGACTCTAGCGAAAGAAAAGAGAAAAAAGATTGGTGATCATCATGTTTACGGCGGCTGAACTAGAAATGAGACTACGGTTGAAACTTATAAAACCAGAGGCACGGCTTGCCAAGATGAAGGTCCTCTTCGTCGCCGCTGAATCTGCCAAGGCTCCGGGGAAATCTTTCTGATCTGCAAAGCTAAGCCAAGCTAGTATACTTCTATAAACCATCTTCAAAATGTCTTCCATCTCAAAGGTCGCTTTGGTGACTCTGGCTACGCTCCAGGGCGCCAATGCCTGGGGAGTCTTGGGCCACGCAACCGTCGCCTATGTTGCGCAGCACTATCTGAACTCTGCCACTGCATCATGGTAAGTGTATAGTATCAATGAGTTATTGCGCAGATTGGCGTGGTGTCTTTGATCAGTGAACAAAGACACTGACAAAACAACAGGGCCCAGGGAGTTCTCAACGACACCTCCAGCTCTTACTTGGCCAGCATCGCCTCATGGGCTGACACTTACCGCACCACCACAGCTGGCAAGTTCTCAGCTCCCTTTCACTTCATCGATGCCGAGGACAACCCCCCAACCTCATGCAACGTCGACTATGACCGAGACTGCGGCAGTGCGGGCTGCTCCATCTCGGCCATAGCCAACTACACCCAGCGAGTTGGAGACGGCCGTCTCTCCAAGGCCAACACCGCCGAGGCGCTCAAGTTCCTCGTCCACTTTTTGGGCGACATTACGCAGCCTCTGCACGACGAGGCCTACGAGGTTGGTGGCAACGACATCAGCGTCACATTCCAGGGCTACAGCGACAACCTGCACGCTGACTGGGACACTTATATCCCTGAGGCCCTCATTGGTGGCGACTCCCTGGCCGATGCTCAGTCCTGGGCCAACTCTCTGATCAGCGAAATCACCTCTGGAACGTACAAGTCTCAGGCCGCAAGCTGGATCAAGGGCGACACCGTCAGCGATGTCATCACCACCGCCACTCGCTGGGCCTCCGATGCCAACGCTTTCGTCTGCACTGTTGTCATGCCCAACGGCGCTGCTGCTCTGCAGAAGGGCGACCTGTACCCTACCTACTACAACTCCGTCATTGACACCGTTGAGCTGCAGATTGCCAAGGGCGGATACCGTCTGGCCAACTGGCTCAACATGGTCTACACCTCCAACATTGCCAAGCGTGAGGAGGGCTCTGTTGAGGCCCGTGATACCTCTCCTCTGCCTGACCTCATGGGCCGAGACTTGCTGCCTGAAGCTCGTGCTCCTACTCGTGCTCAGCTTGCTAGAGCCGCTATGGACGGTTCATGCTGCGGAACCGGCCATGCACACAAGCACTAACGTAGTTTAATGGGATTTTGAAGCTGGATAGGTTTAGCAATGGGGCGGGCGTATGTGGATTGTGTAAAATAGGGCGCTGTAAATAGATTGGGGTTGGCTTGAATAGGTAGCGATGAATCTATGTATGTTCAATACAAAAAAGTCGAAGAAACCAAGTTGCTAAGGTCGCTTTATATATTCCGCAAACTCACGTGCCTCTTTTGACTTCAAGAGTGCAAGTCATAGCCAGAGTCCCAGCTAAATATCGACGGGCACCATGTAGTATATCGAATAGCTCCAAGCACAAAGTAAGCTTCTGACAAACCCCCTGTCACATCTCAACCATAATTGCATACACTAATTCGCACAGAAGCGACGCCACATCATTATCCGGCTGACAGTGAGATGTGCCAAATTTTCCATGGAAACCATAGTTTAATCTCCAAACTCCGTGATTACGACTGAGTATGTCCGAGTCGCTCTTAAACCATGTCTAAAACTTATTACTAGGACTAGTTGTTACTCATTTGGTGACCTGTGACCCCGAAAACGCGGGCTTGAGTCACACACAGCGTCTAGTTGGAATGCCATAAAAGTGGTATCCGATTCAAAGCGAATGCGGCTTACAACCCCCCCAGCGTTACGATCCGGTCAATCGGAGCAGTAACCAACCTCTTATGGACAGTTGGTTACGTCACAATAATCACTGCAGTTAAGATTACTGGCCTAACCTATTACCCTGTTTGGCAGAACGATATGACGGATCGATACAACCCGGCGGCGCCATTCGTTAGTTTATCCAAAATGCGGTCTATAAACCGAGAAATAGTATAAGCAGCTTAGGATTAATAAACGAGGATTGCGGAGTCATTGGATTTGTCCGCTCCGGCCCCGGATTGCACAGAAAACACGGAGGTGTTGCTAGAGGCGTATAATAGAGCAAGATCCGACTTATTCGCCAGTGAATTTACTTGATAGCACATCAATTGACTTAATTGCAGAAAACAAATCCTCTCTGACTTGATTGCGAAAAGAAAACACCCTCTTTGCCGAGTTTCATTATGGGTCTCTTGTCGTCGTTTGCCTCCACCAAAAACGTCCAAGTCTACGCCCTTCCAACGGGGTGGGTACATCTGCCCGACAAATGGCTGTTTGAAGATGGCGACGACGATATTAAGAAAGCACGAGATCGCTTTCCAGACTATAGTTTCCTCGTATGCCATCCATCGGGAAAAAAGATTCTATTTGATGCTGGCATGCCAAAGGTGTGTGTCTTTCAACGGGGTCTACAAACTGTACATGATGAAGCCGAGACTCACTGAAGTTGACTCATCCGAATATTTAGAATCTAGATGTTATCCCACCTCTCAATCGAGCTATTGACCATATCTTCGAGCCTCATGTTCCTAAAGATGTACGCGATCTGCTTTCTGAAGGCCCAATCTCGCCAGACTCGATCAGCGCCATCATAGTCAGCCACATTCACTTCGATCATATTGGCGATCCCTCTACATTTCCCGGTATCCCTTACATCACAGGACCCGGGACCAAGGAGGCCGCAATGCCAGGATACCCCACTGACCCGAATTCCACGATGCCAGGTTCGCTCCTCAACCGTGACAATTACACGGAGCTGAACTGGACGGATGACAAATGGACTTCCCTGGGCCCCTTTCCGCGCGTCCATGACTTCTTTGGCGATGGAAGCTTCTTCGTTGTCGACACCCCGGGCCACCTCCCAGGCCATGTCGCCGGATTAGCCCAGACAAAGCCCGACGAATGGGTCATCTTGGGCGGCGATTGCTGCCACCACCGCAGTCTGCTTAATGGCAGCCGCCAAGTCAGTCTGACGGGATGTCCCGGCGGAACCAGCATGCACAGAGACACGGCCGAGGCCCTCAAGTCTATTAAGAAGCTCAGGAAGCTTGACCAGGATGATACTGTCTTTGTAGCGCTTTCGCACGATACCACGTTGGAGGGCAAGATGCCAGAGTATCCTAAATCCTTGAATGGGTGGCGAGAGTCAGCATGGTGGGATTCAATGCGTCAGGAGAGGATACAATCTACAGTGGTGTGAGAAGTAGAAGCAATGATGGAAGGTGGTTGAACTAAGAAAAGGGTTGGTATAAGACAGGTTTACGTTGATGGATGTATGTACATAAATAGCATGAATCACATCACACTTTTTGGTTGGTCTATGAAGCGGTATGTACATAAAGATAGACACATGTCTCAACAATAGCGAATGAATTTCCTCGCAAAGTACGTATCACAAAGATCTGCGCCGTTTTTGTCCCGTGAATCATACCGTCCCATGATCGCCCCGATTCTTACCTCGCTCGTCGCCCAGATGACCCCCCCGGCTGATTCAAGGTTACATGCTGTGAACCCCTGCAAGTCGATCACTCGCTTGCCCACTTACACTTAGACATATGCTTGATTCCGACCAGGACATCAAGCCTATTTTTGTTTCAACACTACAGTAATTTGACATGCACCACAATCTCGGTAGCCTAGGTAGCTTCATTTTACTTTCATTGTTGTGTCGCCGAATCATGCAGTAGTTATATAAACATTGTATCCAGCATATGAATGTATATACATGTACAGCCCCAGCTTCACGCCTAAGCATTCACCATGGCGTTGTAATCCACCGACGGCTTCTTGACAAAGCTCTTGTCCTTACCCGTCGCCTTCACGCTGGCCGCATACGCGCTCTGCAGACGGTCAGCATCCTCCTGTGTAATCCTCAGATCGGGCACCAAGTTAGGACGCAGAATCTCCGTCACAATCTGTGCCCACTCCCACGGCTCCGAAGTGCCGCCCGGCAGGCTGTTGAAGTATTCCCAACCCATGACACCGCCAATCTGGCCGTACTTGTTGACCAGCGAGATGATGGTGGTGTTAAGGTTGCTCGTAGGAATCCAGCCCGCCCCCTCGGGAGTTGTAAGTTGTCCAGCAACAACCGTGTCCGGCGTGTAACCGTTGGCCACGATGCGATCGTAGTCAGATGTCGACTGCATGCTGCCGAAACCACTGTAGAACTGTGTGTTGTACCAGGCAATGTTGGAGCCCTGCGCAGTCCTCAGCGTGTTGTAGTTGAAGCCGGAGAGGTTAGAGCTGTTCTCCAACGCCGACGCAACAGGCGCCAGTGTGATGAGAAAGTCCGGGCCAAAGTCCGCCCTGAGACGGGCAACGAGCCGCGTGATACCGGCCTGGCTCATGGGCTGCTCGACGTCGAGATCCATGCCCTCGAGCTGGAAGTTGGTGATAGTATCACGCAGCTGGCCGTAGTAGTGCTCAAAGGTGGTTGAGTTTGTAGAATCCAGCGTCGCCGAGTTGAAGGATCCAGGCGCAGCTCCACCCACCATGCCCATGACCTTGACGCCAGCCTGCTTCATCGTGATGGTCTCATTCCACAGCGTGTAGAAGTGAGGATCATCAGGCGGGAAGTCGTTGAGGTGCACGACGCCGCCTTGGTTGATGTGGAATGAGCACACAATCAGATGCGTCAGCGCAATGCCCTTCTCGTTGATGAGCGGCAGCATCGAGATGGGGTTGTTGTTTTGATCGTGAGTCGTCTGGAAGTAAACAATCAGACGCGGCAGATCAGTCGGCTCGGCCCGGAGGTTCTTGACGGGGCTCGCCAGCGACAGAGTCGCCAGCATGGACGTGAGGTAAACAAGGGCCGACTTCATGGTGACGCAGATGGCTCCAACAAACTCGATGACAGGAACAGACAGCAGATGAGGCGTCTCCAGATTTCCATCGCCAAGACGGGACGGGGGATCGAGTTATATAGATGGACTCATCTTAGCCACTCCTCCTCCTCCTCCTTCTCCTCCTTATGCCACCACTACCGGTGCAATCTCCCCAGGAATCGAGGGGCTTCCAACTTCCACGTGCTCTCTCTTTCTCTCTCGTCCCCTTTCTCACCCGCCGGCAATTAGATTCAGATTCGGGCCTTTAGACCGCCAAGAACGTCCTCCTCCTCTCCCCTCTCAAAAAAACCCCCTCAGAGCGCCAACGCTCGCATGAAATTCCAATAATCGTGAGCCCTTGACCCAAAGCCAGCTTCTCCCTTCGGAACACTTAGATTCATGCAACCTTCCCTACTGGGCCACGCCAAGCGTCAAATGCTAAAAGTCAATGGCTGTTCCGTCGGCACGGGAGCGGGGACCTGGCCGGGGTTCCTCCAACCTGGAATCTCATAGGCTGCGTCTCATTGCCAAGGTTGTATTTGGCGCACGCTAAAGCAAGCACTTATCAAACCTCAAGTCAAATTAGCCGTGGCTGCAAGTCCCAGGTCCACGATAGCGCCATCACACACGCAAATTGCCACGGAAATGGCTGCCAAGAGACATTTGCATTACAGAAGATGAAGACGGCCAAGTCTCTTTGTGCCATTTACTGGGATGCATTATTCGTATAGTACGAGTATATGTGATAAGGCGGCATAGAGCTCCCGAAAATGGCATGAGACAGACGAATCAAATCAAAACGGGCGCCTAAACCCTGTCCGTCATCTTTTGAGACAACTGGGGATTAAAGTTTCGCCATAATGTTATTTGTCTCATAGTAGTATATGCACAACTGCACTAATAATAACCCAAGATTCCGCAATAGGGCATTCTGGACTCATCATAGGCTATACAGAGATGCTTGGCAGCAAACCCAATTTTGCAGAGTCAAGAGGAAAAACGCACAACACGTGCACAACATAACAACATAACAACCTGCTATGTTATGTTCAGGGAGCGGATATTCGGCATCCCAGCGACTATGAGATGCAGAAGAAGCACCCTTTATCGCCCTGGTTCTGCAAGTATCCGCTGCTATCTCGACCTTCTGGTATCTTCCTCTATCACTATCACATGGAGCAACATCAGCTAGACAGATAAAGGTCATGCGTGTATTATGTCATGTAAGCTGTCGAGTGACTGTATCCATACTAGTGCTACTATTCGCTAGACACAATGCAACCGCTGTTAATCTCGTAATCCACCAACATCTCCTCATTTTGGACCCTGAAATGTCGAAAGAATGCGTTCCTGTTTAAGGCGTGTGCGGAATCTTTGAAGAGATATCACCAGATGATGACACCTTTGTTTCGGCAGCTTTGGCGGCACTTGCTTTGGCGGCACTTGCTTTGGCGGCACTCGCTTTGTAACTAGAACCCGTTGGCATTACCTCCTTGTTCTCCTTGTTCTTTTTCCCGTTCTTGTTCTTGTTCTTGTTCTGCTGGGTAGAATCTGGGAGATCATCATGGCAACAATCGGGCGAATATAGCTCCCCAAGATGCGCATTGTTCCACATGTCCACCAAATACTTCAACGCATATTGAATCATAACGTCGAGAGCCTATATGAGCCGCACGAAGACATAAGCACGCTGTCATCCTATACATAGGTACGTCCTTCAACCTACCGCCAAAGTAATCTTGGAACGCCCATTCCTCTGAAGGGATAAACACGCCACTTTACGCTGATAGAGTAAATTGAGGCATTCCTCCGTAGAAGGATAGAAGCCAAGCTGTTTCATGTCAGCCTCTTTGACCGTGCTCACTCAAAGCACCACTTACCCAAGTGCACTTTTTTTGGGCCAAGATGCATTCGATGCAGTCCCCGTCGTTGTCAACTGGGCAGTTTCAAATCAGTTGCGCGACAACCACATCAAGGCGTGAATTGGCACATACAGCTATCTATTCGACACAGATACCTAGGATCCCCCTCTGCTAGACCGAACGCGCAATGCATGCAGGGTGAAGGGCTAGAGAATTGTCAACCTGGCATCACTACCACGGAACGCATTATAATCAAGCATACTACGATACGAAACAAGAATCAGATCCGAGATCGATATTTGCTGTGCGTTTCGTGCCTTTTTCGTCCCACATGTCGAGAATCCGCTTTGCAACGGATTTTGCGGCCTGGGGCATGGGGGGTTGACGACTTGAAGCCGTATTGGATCCGCGAGCTGCACCACACAAAGAAGCCATGTTATTTTGCGCATGATGTTCATAATGTGAGAGCTGTGTACTCGTTGCACTGGTAGGTCCCTTCGGTGTATTCGCTTCTGAATCGGTGGGTTTGTTGCTGTTGACGGGCTTGCTGTTCATCGTAGTTGAATAAAACGTTATGGTGTAGCCGTCAGGAGTAAAAGACAGAAAAACTGACAAAAGTTGATGAAATGAACGATATACTTCTTATTGGTGATGATCAAAAGAGGTGCAGGGGAGAAATCTGTTCAATTTCCGTGAACCGCGTTGAGGTCATGACATACATGCGGGTTGTCACTGCCTCTTTCTCCCAGAGATAAACTCTACCTACCTGCTTACACCTTTCTATCAACTGGCGGAAGGAGTCTGGGTCCATCTTAATGTATCTTGGTGGATAGCAGTACCAGTGATGGCTCAGGTTACTTGCGGTTGGTGAGTTACGCGATACAACATTCTCTATAGGGTACGGAGTACATGTATCGTCTATTTGCCAGTCAGCAGAGAGGAAGCAAGGTCTAGATACGGAAGATCTTTACAAATGCATTTATCTTAATTTAAAATATTTATACCACTGAAGGGAATTCTACCCCAAATCACCTGTGCGCAAGACAAAACGCACAAAACAGCTAACAAAGCAGAGATCCGTCCGCATCCTAATCACTCCCCTGAATTGAAGCATATACTCCAAGTGCGGCCAGCCGTCACATCAGATTAAGGAATCATAATCCATGTCAAAATGCTGAAAACAAACGCGTATCGATCAGAATCCCAACGCGGTATACGCCATAATACCAACTTGCAAGCTCAACAAGCTAATGCAATTCCACCAGTTCAACCACCACCGATCTACCACTCATCATTGCCTCATATACGCCAGCATCGCTATGCCAACCACAGGCACCATTGCTGTTCCCAATACCTTGAAAATCGAGGATCTGATATGAGGACCAATGACAGTCTTCAGAAGTGCCTGGAACTCGGCGGGCGCATTGCCTTTAGGGTAGCGCGTCTTGGGGATCTCCTTGTCGAGAAAGGGGCAGATCTGCTCCCAGCCAAATCCGCCTTCCAAAGTGCATGCCAGAAGCTGGTCCTTTGGAGCCAATCTCTTCACCTTTTGAGCACTGCAGTTTCCCGTGTTGTTAGTTGTCTGCCACAGACACGCAATAATGGACCATGAACATACTCCAGGATACAGTCTCTCTTTGCGTCCTCCATACCCGCGTCCAGGCCCTTTCCGTGAAACATGACCTGTTCAAACGCATCATGCAAGGTAACAAAGACCTTGATGAAGCCATCAATGTGCTGAATCACATTCAAGGGGAAGGTCTTTCCGGCTTTGATGGGCTCAGCAATGCTATTGTATACTGATCGTTCCCAGGCGTCGACATCGCGTTCGACGATCATAAATTTTGCGTCCGGGTAGAACTCGATGAACTCTTCGATAAAGAATTGGGGAATCTCGACAATGGCCTTGTTTTGTTTTGATCTGATTAGTATATGCAGTCCTTTGTGAAACATATACTGAGAGGAGGGAAGAGGCCAAGCTTACATCGTAGTTAGCGAGCCACTTGTCAAACTCGGCCTTGCCGTATGGCTTTCCTGCGCCTAGGAATTTGCAACGCAATGCCTCTTCAAATAGTTGGAGATGGGTAACACCTTGGATGACTACTTCGTACATGTGGTAGGGCCTATATCCGAGTATCTGGAGAGCTTGGAAAAGAGAGAAAGTTCCAACACTAGTGAGGTTAATAGCGTGTTTGGTAGATACTATTAACACATCTGGATGGATTAAAAGAGCATACCGGCTTCGGCTGAATACGATCAACTCCTTCTCCCTCACCTTTTCCGGTGTGGGGAGTCTGTCGATCAGGCGAGACATGGCGAATTTAGTGGAATCGGATGCTTAAAAGACGCTGGTTTGTTTTGGTATCGACAAATTATGGAAACTAGTGTCCTCGAATCTACAGAGTTCAAGATCTGTATTCGACAACCTACGGCCTTATATATATATGAATAACCCATGCTAACTTTTACAATAATCTAGTTTTACAGCTGGAGCTTCAGGACAGGGGCAGACGGATCTTCTAGTTCCAAAGTCTCTCCAAATGTGACTCCATTCGGCTTCGGGCTGATCAACTCTTCTGACTCGACCTGGGGCTCAATTACGTGGGCTGATTGGCTTTGATCGAAAGTGATTGGGCGGGCCACCAGGAAATGATGCTGACGGGGCGCCATGAACTGCTGGCTGAACTGTTAGCATAGCCATCTTCAATGCGTAATATGTCGTCTACGAGACGAGACCGAAAGACGAAAACCAGGATATATCATGACCACATTCTATTGAACTGGTTTCTCTCATATTCAATCGAATGCACAAAAAGCGAGCAAATCCGGGCCAACATTCTCTCGTATCCCTAACAGTCGGATATGAAGCTTTTCTGAGGGGTTCTCTGAGGAGTAAGCTCTAGCACTGGTGGTGTCTTTAGTAGGGAATAGCTTTAAAGCTACCGATGGGCCGAGCTCGAGAATTGTGTCTGAAAATAGGCCAACCTTCTTCAAGGGCTGACACGATGCATGGCGCGAAAGGGTAAACTGGGAAGCGAGAGAGCGCGAGACTCTATGCTGGTTAGATCGCCGTACATTACGATACGCGTATGACGCCCTGTGGCAGTGTGTTAGTCACGTTTTTCTAAAATAGCAGGGCGTTGTTTGCGCTGCTGCATGTATTGCGGATAGTTGTGGGAATTAGTTTGTTTTGTCGAGACTTGGCGAGGAATATGAGCCACAGCCTTACGGGATGACGCTGACATTGAGAACAATGGCCGTTATATAGCCTCCACCCAGGTCACCTATCATATTTGCCCTATTCGTATTCCAGTAGTAAGGGGGAAGAAATAACATGAAGTTTTTCTGGCAAGTTTGTCAAGAGTCACATGGAGGATTATTTACCATCTTGCATATTAACATTGAAACAGCAACGCAAAGAAACCTCCCAAAAAATAATACAAAATATATCTACTCCGTATTCACTCGAACAACGAAATTGGGGCAATGCCTTGTTCTATGCAGCACTACTTTGGCGTCTTCTTGAATGGCTTGCTGAGTGGCTGAACCGCAACTCGTGTTTGTGGCTCTTTGTTTGCGCCACTTGCATGTCACCAGGAAACAAGTCGAGGCTTTGCCAAGCCAACGATCCAAACCACCCCAAATGAAAAGGATGAATGATGAATGAACAAATGATGCCGTAAGCAATGCCCTGGCCACGGATCGGCATATGTATTTACCGGCTTCTTCTTGAAAATTCCTCGCCCTGTCTGTGAAATCAGCGGTTGCGCCGAGTGCGGAATGGCTCGCTGACAAGAAGGCTGCCACTTTATCTCTTCACCCATTTGGTGGTGTCATGAGGGCATCAAGATTGAGGGGGGCACAATCTTTTTACACGTTACATTCACCTGTGAGATATATAAAACCGCCGAGCGTGGAAGGATCCAAGAGATATGCCTGGGGCCGCTGCGTGGGAGGCATGTGTTGCATGTGTTACATGTGTTACATGTGCCTGTAGCCTTGATAGAGCCGACGAACCGGAATATTTGCAATTCAGCCAGACAATCGCTTCCCCACGCGTTAAGAGATTGCAGCCGCGCTACAGGCCTCCCAAGCTTCCGTAGAGACCCGTATGGAGATGGCACCTCCCGCTCCGTGAGCGATTTCGGGGCTCGATTTGGGGACCAATATCTTGGGGGAGGCTTCATTCTATCGAACCTGGAGCATCTCTCACCATTATCGGCAGCAACCAAGAGCCCCCACTAGCGGCCACAAACTCGGGGCAGCCCTTGCTCGTTTCTTCTTGTGCGTGGGCGCGTGCGCGACATGTTGAATGATGGATGAGAATTAGGAAGAGGCCGGGGGAGGCAGCCAATAAGAATCTGACGATAAGCAGCCCTGGCATGTGGCGGCTAGTGTGAGCCTTTTGGGGACCTGTTTGGAGATTCTGCGCCCTTGTACTCCGTAGTTTGAGTTGAGTCGGGTACAGTACGGAGCTGATGTGATGTCGAGATATTATTAGATGGGGAGCGAGCGCGGGCGGACGGAGTAAATGAGCGAATTGGCCTACATGAAAAGCAGTTGCTATCACATCGTTTCCGCGTTTATCGATGAAAAAAAAGTGATGGTCGTGATGGTGGGAAGGGAGGGGGGGATTTTCTTTTTGCATGTGCCACAGAATGGTCTCATTCTCACGCAAGGCTGCCTCAGTTTTGTCTATGAATTACTCTTCCTCTTGTAAGTGATGTTGAATGTCTCTTGTCACCAATACCACTAGCCAAGGCCTAATGGTGCATTGGAAGAGGTATTAATTTCCCTTTGCCGCGAGCAGAGTCGCATCGTTTGCAGGGAGCATGTGTCCAGACCTGTGCCTTGTATATATCCGCGGTTTGGATGCCCGAACGGCTCAAACTGCAGCCGAAAGCGTGGAACCGAAACAGAGGCCAAAGCTGGAAGCGTTCTTGTGTCCTCGGTACTGCTTCGTGTTTCGGTGTCTCCCTAGCTTTTTCTCTTGAATCAGCCGAAGGGCAGAGTTCGGCATCACCACCGAGCAAGTACTCGTACAGTGGTACATGGAATAGTAATAGTGATAGTAACAGCTAGTATCTGCACTGTGCTCACATGTCAGACTGCCGCTTGTGGATGCAAACGGGCACGGATTCGCACGCGGCCACTGGCGGCTGTAGAGGTGGATGCCCTCGCCTCGCGTCCAAGAGCGACACGATATGACTGATAATACGTCCATACGATATCGCCGTGTTATTATCACGACAATGGCGGCGAACGGGCCAGGACAGCGAGTACCTCGTACGTACAAACAATCAGGCGGCCTTGCCTCTCTCCTTTCTTCGTCTTGTCCTGGCTCTTGGTTCCTGGTGCCACGTCCCTGACATAGACTCGGCGTAATCCGATTCGATCCAGCGTTGAAATCATAACGTAAAAAGAAACCAAAAATACGTGGCCGAAGCTCGTTCTCGGCTCATCGCACCGCCTGCGACCAAGGAGCACTGCCGGCAGCTGTTGATGCTGTGGCCCGTACTCCGTTAATAGTGATCTCGTTATGCAGTGGAAGGGAGTACCTGAGCTAAGACACGGATACACCGTCGCTGGCATGAATAGCATTTTGATCCATCACGGTAGGCCCCATTTCGTACCGAGTCTACGGTTAGTGAAGGAGTCTCAGCTTTTGGAGCGCACAGCCTCACCAGCCACTCTTGGTGTCAGGGATCCAAGGATTGCATTGAATGCTATTTTGCGTTTTACAGTGCTCGGTAGTGCCAACTTTGATGTCTTGCTTTATCCGGATCCGGTGGCGCCCTTTTGTCTTGGTACGAGCATCTGCGCGCATGTGCGTGTACTGTACTTTGTATTCTATACGGAGTAGTACCCACGTACGTACGTAGGTACCTGTAGTAATAATACCAACTAATAAGCTTGGATTACTGCATGTCAGGTCAGCTCAGATCGGGCAAGACATTGGATGTGATAATCCCTACTAAGCGCAGGTCAGACAGACTGATGCATGCTACTGTCTGTAGCTCGATGAATTGATCACACCTGCATCTCCGCAAAATGCCAGATCGTGGAAAACAACTCAGACAAAAACAGTCATATCGCGAGTCATCGGATGGTAATCGGAGCAGAGCGACTGGCTCCAGCACCACGGCGTCGAAAAACTTGGTGAGGCGTTTATGTAAATTTTTAGGGTCCATGGCAATCAAATGTAATGACACAAATCAATGAGCAAAGCCTCACGCGCTGCAGCCACTCAGCATCCAGAACCGGCCGAGACTAGCGGTCGAGCAGCCACCAATTGCCTCTGCCAAAGCCCCCTTATCAGGTACTTTGTGGATGGAGTACAGTGTAAACGGAGGGAGTGAACTGGGAGTGACGGGGAGCGAGGTACCGAATACCGGAGGCCAAGTATCGTGGGAGGGTCCGGGTATTCTCACAAGCCAGACGATCGCTGTGGCTGGGCCCTGTCGCTCTACCGGCCCGGCTGAAATCAAAGTAAGTTGAGATGATGTTTTGTTTTTTTCGTTGGGATGGAAATGGGCGGCCGGATAGATTGCAAGTTGGCGTTGGGGGCGTATCTAGATGAAGGAAGAAGATGCGAAAAGGAAAAGCAAAAGAAAAGTGAAAGGCAAACAGTAAAAGGCATTGATGGGTTCTGCTCAACTTCTTCCTCCACTGTACTGGTGTACCTTCTTCTACGGTACTGTGCCATGGCTACACTACAAGATCCCTTCGCCCATCAAAACAGTACAGCCATCCCTTGTACCGCTACTCTCGTCCACGCACACAACCAGATCCCCCGTACCAGTACCAGCAGATCCGTGCCATTCCCCCCATCATCCGTGTACTGCTACCATGACAATCGTGGCCCCATGCCGGTCGCACTAGGTGGCACCAAGATAGCAGCAACTGGGGCCTCATGTGGCGATACCCATCCCCTAGCACTGGAAGTACTCCATGCTGGTGTACTCCATACTTGTGCGACAATACTGGGGGATATCCCGACTCTGGGGCTGAAGGTACCCGGTTCCGTCTTTTTCTTTTGGCGCTGATGCTTCCAAACACATATAAACCCTCGCCGCCCGTGCCCGTCCACGGATGTAATTGTTGATACTGCATTGCATTCCATTTGATTGCTTCATTTTTAGTCCATTCTTTGGTCTTTTCGAATACCCATATATATACCGCTGGTTGAACTGCACTCGGCTCGCATTCAATCCTTCTTCCCCACTACTACTTCTTTCTTCCTCCCACAACACAAATCCACTTTCCACAAACACACACACACAACAGTCATCATGGCCAACCGAGAAATTCTGTCGTCTCGAACTGAGACTCTCAACAAGTACCTGAAGCTCGACCAGAAGGGCAAGATCATGGCCGAGTATGTCTGGATCGACTCTATCGGCGAGACTCGATCAAAATCCAGGGTGAGTTGCTTCCAACGTTTTTTCTTATCTCGACCCCTGTCCCCGTCAGCTGCATTGTGCATCCAAGCATCATCTTGGCAAAATGCATGCAAAAAACCCCCGACTTGTCCCGTTGCCCCGCCACCTAGTGGGCAAAAACTTGACAGGGGGGGCGACTCGGCCTCGGCGAGTGAAGAGGCAATCATGACGCCACAGCTTGGCTGCTGTGGCTGTTTCTCCGGTTGTCTTCTGCTTGATACTTTTTCTAGCAGCGATACTTTTGTCTAGTAGTGGCTAGTTGTCGCTATTGGGTTCTAGTTGTCGCTGCTATTTCTGGTATCTCGACTCAGCCACCGAGCCCGCAATACGGGCGACCCGCTGCAGGGTCTGGGATGACTTGATTGTCTCTCTCTCGGCCAGCGTCGGGCTCGGCAATGAGATCGCCAAAAGGGGACCCAGGCGGTGACGCGATGACTCGCGCGTGTGTGACGTATCGAGAAAACAAGTTTACTGACTCTCTCTCGCGATAGACGCTCCCTGAGCTCAAGGACAAGGAGTACACCCCCGAGGATCTGCCCGTCTGGAACTTCGACGGCTCTTCAACTGGCCAGGCCCCTGGTCACGATTCCGATGTCTATCTTCGCCCTTGCGCCGTCTACCCCGATCCCTTCCGTGGCTCTCCCAACATCATCGTCCTCGCTGAGTGCTGGAACGCCGACGGCACCCCCAACAAGTACAACTACCGCCATGAGTGCGCCAAGGTCATGGAGGCCAACGCCTCTCTCGAGCCCTGGTTCGGTCTCGAGCAGGAGTACACTTTCCTCGACCACGACGAGAGGCCTTATGGCTGGCCCGTTGGCGGTTTCCCTGCTCCGTACGTCACCTGTTTCACATGACGTTGGAAATGTTTGCGCTAACCTCTTGATACAGTCAGGGTCCCTACTACTGCGGTGTAGGCAGCGGCAAGGTTGTCCTGCGTGACGTCGTTGAGGCCCACTACAAGGCCTGTCTCTGTAAGTTTGGGTGGAATCATCGTGTTGCATTAGGAATGAGTTGCTAATACAGGTTTCAGATGCTGGCGTCAACATCTCTGGTACCAACGCCGAGGTTCTGTCAAGTCAGTGGGAGTTCCAGGTCGGCCCTTGCGTCGGCATTGAGATGGGTGACCAGCTCTGGATTGCCCGTTTCTTCCTTGCCCGCATCGCCGAGGACTTTGGTGTCAAGATCTCCCTGCACCCCAAGCCCATCAAGGGTGCCTGGAACGGCAGTGGTCTGCACTCCAACTTCTCCACCAAGCAGATGCGTGAGGAGGGTGGCATGAAGTACATCGAGGAGGCCCTCAAGGCCCTCGAGCCCCACCACAGCGAGTGTATCAAGGAGTACGGTGAGGACAACGACCTCCGTCTGACCGGTGACTGCGAGACCGGCTCCATCGAGAAGTTCAGCTGGGGTGTTGCCAACCGTGGTACCTCCATCCGTGTTCCCCGTGAAACCGCTGCCCGTGGCTGCGGCTACTTCGAGGATCGCCGACCCGCCTCCAACGCTGACCCTTACCGTGTCACCAAGATCCTGATGACCTCAATTTTCGGCAAGATCTAAGTCTTTGGCTTAGAAACTGTGGGGGAATTGAAAGGAGAGGATGTGTGTGTGGCGAAGGGAAAATTTACATAAGGGGATGTAACATTACGGACACTAGGGAGTTGCACTTAATATGACCTTGAGGGAAACAAATGGTTAGGCGTATGGGTTGTTCTTTTTCAACATATATCATGATGACTGGGCAGTCGACTTTTTAGACTTGATAGCTGTGTATGCGGCTTAGATTGATTTACGAATGCGAGACAAGGGCTTTGCAACAAGCACCTACATATCACTACTATACTCTCTCCACCATTACATGACCTGCTGTGACTCTACATGCCAAGATTTGGTGCCGCATTTTAAGCTTATTTTGTACCTAAGCCATGAAGAAATCTGGGGAATATCCTTGTTAAATCCTCTTCATATCTCATCACAACACCCTGGTCTAGGTATTGTGGCTGGTTCAGTCGTCTCCCCCTGCCGAGTAGCGCCACAGAGCGCCTGAAGTGCTCTTCCCATGAGCAAGTTTTCATGAAAATAGATAGAATGTTTCAATTAGTCTTGGGACGAGCATTATAGTTTGGACAGCAATCGTCGGGTATCGAGTGAATGAACCTTGTTGCTCGTCTGGCGCAACATTTCGCCGGCAGCCACTTTGAACTCTCCGAGATGGGCCGACAGAGTGATACATGGCTGTTGGTATTTCTTTTATGATATTTCTTGTAGTTAGATGATGTGCTCAAGATTTTCATCGAATGGCTTGAATTGCATCATGGGTTGAATCTAAAGTCAAATCGGGCCTAATCGTAGATGTGCAAGCCATGAGGACGAAGAGACGTAGAACACGCGTAGAATATGCCGAATCGAAATCCAAATAACATGGAAAGTTATGGAATATTCAACACGCCTATGCCTTTGGGCTCGCGATAGCCCTTTTCGTGATTCTAGTGCTCATTTCCTCAGGGATCGGTTCTGTCAAGAAGATGGTTAGTTCAATTGTTCGTGACAGGTTGACAGGTTGACAGCTTCTGATTATCTCCCATTTGAACATTAGGTAATATGTCGTAACTTGGGTGATAGTACTTGCCAGATACTGAATCTTTCTTCTCGTTACTAGGGGTTGTTCAAGGGTTACTAGCCATTGGTTGAACAGTAATGCAGCCAATGCCTGCCTGCCCTTTGTTCCTTGTCGCCTTCAACATCTGAAGCAGTGGAAAACACAATCTCCACAAGGATTTCATAATCTAGAACAGTCACTCAGCTTGGTGGCATGTAGACAATTTGCTTCGGTGGGCGTATCAAGACTCGTTTACGAATTCAAACGGCGTGATTGCAGTTGCCAAGAGAAACGATCCACAGGTGCTATGCAAAATGGAGAATTCTGATTGTTCGTCTGATGTCTATAGAGAACTTTAGCAGTGTGTGCCAGTCACTGGGTGCGGCGAATGGAGATTCCAGCACCCATTGGCCTGCTGGCAGCACGCTGAAGTTTTCTTTTGTGCCCCCTAGAAAAGGATCTCTCTCGATTTATTTTCTTCCAAGGTTCTCTTCTCTTTTGCATCACACAGCTCTCTACTCATCTTCACTTTTCAGCCCGAAGTAGATCAAGCATTCGCACTATCATCTCTACATCATCTCTACCCATCTCAACTACTGCACAATAAGTTGTCACCATCAATACCCGCACCACAATCATCATTCACGGCATCAGACATCAAGATGTGCAAGGAATTTCTCACCATTGCAATATGCGCCCCCCAGAAGGCTCCATCCATGTCCTTCACTTGCGGACAGCTTCATCTCGTCGCAGAACGACGACAGGTGTGTGACAAGGCCACTGGGGCCTGTCTTTGCTTTGTCGGAACCTGTGGTGTTCTCGAGAGCGTTCCCTCTACCCAAGGACTTCGTATGTCTTCCGTCAAGTCGATTAGGTGCGCCGCCTGCACCTCTCGCGAGGAAGAAGTTGGTGATCGACGGACCAACGAAGAGCTCATTGAGTCTCCCCTCCTGACTCGAACTGCTATCAAGTCGTCTGAGCAAAAGATAAAATTCGACGAGATCATCAAGGATCTGTGGAATGGCAAAGAAGATTGCCCGTACCACGTTCTCTCGACCGTCCGAGAGGGAAGCAACAGCTTTCCCGTCACCAGCAAGAATCTCTCTGACATGGAAATGGACAAAGAAGAGGATAAGGACGGAGTCGAGAAGTCTCTCACTGCCAGCTCTGGCGAAGATGCCATCAGTGACAACGTTTCGGAAGCCTCGAGTAATGCTACCCACGGCAGCAACGGAAGCCTCAACAGCAATGCTTCGCAAGAGTCCAAGAAGAAAGACACTATCGATCTTGGTCGAAAGGTGGGACTTCAAGCCAGCATCTGGGCCAACGCTCCCGACAAGTCTCCCAAGGGCATCAAGCACACGAGCTCCCCTCAAGTCCAAAGCCCAGTCAAGCGACAGAAAGCCGCAACCCCCCAAGGACCCAAGACGCGAATGAATCTGCCCCAGATCGCAGCTGCAAAAAACTTCCTCCGAGAAGGCTCAGCTTGAAGTTGGGTGGAATTCTTTGCAAATTGGAAGAGAGCAATTGTAGACTCGGAAGATTAATTGATAGGGGGTGCAGGAGTTTGGTATTTTGCAGAGTTGGATGGATACAGACGCAGGAAGATTTAATTTTGCACTGAACAGTTGATTCTATCCATCTACCAAATAATAGGAATTGAGCAAATAGACAATAGGTGCCCAGTGCTGTGAAAATTTTCCTCGTAGAAAGTGAATGTGACGCGTGTGCTCAAATAATGGTGGTAAATGCGTATATGCACCTCCTGGGGAGTTCTCCTGGCAGCTGCCCTATGGCTCGACATCTTCCAAGGTTACCACTTCACCTCGACAATCATCCCCTTGCACACGAGCCATCGCATATTTTTCTGCCTTCAGACGTATCAACATTTTTCTCTGTACAAATCCTCTATCTGGTTGACATGTCGGAGAAGAGAAAAAGTAAAAGCCTCGAGGAAGTGGAACGCGAGCTCGCATATTTTGGCCTGACTCGACGAACTGCCGCTGCCATTGTCCGACTAGCGAATAACCTCAAGCAAACTAGAAAGCTGCGCGCCGCACATATCGAACTCTTGACGCCAGGCAGACGGCTACATCCTCCCTCGCCGCTGGGCCAGATCGTTTGGAACCAGAGCGAGATCGAGATTGTTGGCAAGATCGAGAGCTCTAATCGACACGACAACCAGCCAGAGCCTGCCTCTTGCAATGAGACTTTCTCTTCAGAAGCTACTACAGTTTGCCTCCCCCTTGAATCAGAATCCTGCGCTGCCCGTGATACAACCCAACCATCCCCCTTTCTAGAATTCAGTTGGCTAGCACCTCTAACCTCTCCGGTAAAGGACATGAATGCTCTCGGCGATCTTGTTCTATCGAGGATAGAGTCGGTCACACTGACCGACATTGCGCCCATTGTCGATAGCCTTTCGATCTCGCAAGACCCTCCCCCTCCTCCGTCGGATCCCTCGACAGATGTTCCTCCTGCAGAAGCTGAAGAAGACGATGACGGCGACAATACAGACGATTCGAGATGGTGGTGACGGAGTATCTATTGGCAAGAAAAAGGAAAGAATATATGGCTTAGTATTTGGGATCTTTACAGAGTTTAGCTATGGAAGCGATCGGGCTTGGAGCCCACACGGAGTGGAAGATTTATGCATCAGGCAAACATGTCTTCTAGTATTGCTAGCATTTGCAATGCCTACTCTACCATGAGCTCTTTTTTTTGTTTTTGTTTTTGCAACACCACACTTAATGCAACGTGGGAAACACCTTCTTGAACGCAGCAGTAGCGGCTATGGATGCCCACCACTGTCTTGTCCTACCTCCAATCGTGAAGCTTGGGACTGATTTCTGGATCAACTTCTCCAGGACGCTAAAGTCTTGGATCTGGGTCGCATTTGTGCCTGCTCCCCACAAAGCATGTGCCAGCCAAGCTGTGGCATGGAAGTCCGCTTCTGTGACAGCATCACCGGCTGCATATGGTAGAACCAAGAGCGAGTCCAGGCTGTCCAGCACCCGAGCAAACGCTTTGTAGGCATCGTCCGAGTCCTTGAAGAAATCCTTATGCTCATCTCCAATCTCTGTTGTGTAGAATTTGTTGAGGGCGCCGTTCTCCAGCACTTTGGGTCCGTAGAAGGAATGGCTTGGATCGGCAGCCTGCTCCTTTTCGAGCCTCGTCTGTCTATTAACCACAAAGTCTTTGAAGCCGCTGGCCTTTTTGCCCGTCATCTCCTCCTTGTCCCGCGCGAGGAGAAGAATGGTGTTGGTCCCTGCATCGTGCGAGTGGACGAGATCAAGTATGGCCTGTACCTTGGCCTTGACGGCGGGATCTGAAGGGACCAAGGCGTTTCTTCCCTCGAGTGCGTCAATGTATCGAAGAATGTCCACGCTTTCGGTGAGTGGCTTGTCGAGAGATGGAGATGTGATGCTCGGCACGGTGCCGTTGGGATTGATCTTGATATACTCGGGATCGAAGTTTGCGCCCGTCACTAGTTGGTTGTTAACATTATTACCATTTGCGTCTAGCCGGATGGTTTTGAATCTTAGTTCTTACTGAGGTCAATCTCCTTCAAGTCATATTTGTCTTCTGGAACGCCTTTCTGAGCCAATGCCAGATGCGCTACTTGGGCCCACTGCGAGCCTGCGAAAGTATAGACAGTAAACTAAAGAGGGGAGAGACGATTAGTGCTGAGTCTTTCCAGGGCTGTTAATAGAGTTGTGCCTACCTGGGGGGCCATCTTTTCCGCGGAGATGTTGGAAACTGGAATGGCGTAAAAATATTTCTGGAAACAGGTGTTGACTGGTGTTTTCGCGCGCGGCTGTCAAGGTGAAAGGAGCAAAATTCCTTTATGTATGCTGTATGTACCCTGTAACGGTTGAAATCTTTAGAATTGACAAGCAAGTTGAACAAACTTAATGAACGGAAATTTGGACACTATTATGGTTTATTTATGTATTCAATGTTGGCTTTTGTTAACTGAGGCAGAAATCGCAACATCGCGAGAAGATTACACATTCGTCCGAACAGATTTCCGCCGCGGCAGAGACTTGGAATAATTAGAATACTAATCAGATCCGAAGTTTTCGCAATACCAGAAGCTATACCCCTAGCTCAAGAACAAGTAAATAGAAAGGTTGCAACCGTAGGTAGTTGAAAAGAGCGGGTTGCGCTAATATAAGCTTGACACATAGAATTTGGAATCAGGCGCTGTTGCAGATCTCTGGTGTGCCGCGCTGAGTGGCTTGGGCAACGATCTAATTCCCGGCAAATCGACACGCTTCAGTGGCTGAAGAGTGCGAATTTCCCACCATTGAGTGCTGACAGCAGTCGGTCCCTCTGCTTTGTTAACAAGCTTATTTGCTCAAGCCACAGCGGCTTTGGCGTTGGTCCGAGTTGGTGCGGAAATAGAAACGTAACACGATCCAATCATGATGTCAACGCTTGCACGAGGAAAACGTGCTCTACACTCCCAATGGAGTAATTTCTTAAAGGGGCATTGCCCAAAGTCGTCAATCAACGCATATACCGACTTGGGTGCTGGAATCATGATGTGGAAACAGGTCTATTTGCGAGTTGACGATGCTCCCTACACGCAGGTTGGGTTCAGCTGCTCAGCCTTTTGGTTCAGACCCCAGACCCCAGACTCCAGACTCCACCGTCATCAAGTTTGACGTGTGTTGGTCAGATATTGGAGCATCAAGATGGTGAAAGTAATTTGAATAGACTATGCGGTTGTAGAGAGACTCAAGGTATATAATAATGGTTATGATTCTTCGTAGCTGCTCTCATCTTCACCATCATCATCACAAGATTCGCTTCCTCTCCTCATAACTACCCCTTCATCCAACTACAATAATCCCTAAGACAAATTCTACAATCACTTTATACTTTCAATTTCATTATACAACTCTCACAATCACCATGAAGTTCTCTACTCTTGCTTCCATCAGCCTTACTGGCCTCACTGCTGTCTTGGCCGCACCAAGCGGTACTCAAGGCAACAAAGGCGCCGTCTTCGCCCTGACAAACGCTGTCAACAACGAAGTCATTGCATTCTCTCGCAACGATGACGGCACTCTGGTCAAGACTGGAACCTACCCAACCGGCGGCCATGGCCAGGGCGTCGACTTCGACACTCAGGGGGGCCTTCAACTCAGCGCTGACAACAGGTTCCTCTATGCCGTCAACCCGGCCAACGACCAGGTCACCGTCTTCGAGGTGGATGGATCCAACCTCAAAATGATCCAGTCCATCTATGCTGGTGACCAGCCCCTGGCCATCTCCCTGAGCAGCAACGGATATGCCTATGTTCTTGATGGCTCCGTCGCCTCCACGGGCATCTTTGGATTCAGGGTGAACAATGCCACTGGCCTTCTTTCGCCCATTACCAACTCCACCATCGCCACTAGCAACCCCATTGGTGTTCCAGGCACTGTTGCCTTTTCCCCCGATGGCCACTCTCTCATCGTCACCAACAAAGTCGGCAGCACCATTGACATCTTCACCGTGGGATCCACTGGCCACGCAAGCCCAGCCCCTTTTACATCAATCGCATCCAGCGGTCTCCGTCCCTTTGGCGCTGTCTTTGGCAAGTCCAATCTTCTCTACGTTGTAGAGTCTGGTCTCCCTGCTCTAGGCAACGCCGGTCTGTCCACGTACCAACTGCATGGCGGCCCGGCCCCCGTCCTGGAGCCCATCACCAAGTCTGAGAAGAACCAACAGACGGACGGATGCTGGGTGGTTGTCACCCCTGACGAAAAGTACGCTTACACTGCCAGCTTCGTCACCAGCGCCATCTCCAGCTACTCTGTTGCTAAGAATGGCACCGCCACCCTGATCAAGGGTGATGCCGCCCTCCCTGGTGATGGAAGCGAGCCTGTCGATCTTGCCCTTAGCAGTGACGGTACTTACCTTTACAACCTGCTCCGAGGCAGCGGCGCTATTGCTGCATGGAAGATCCAGGCCGACGGCTCTCTCCAGTCGATTGGTGGATCTTTCGGCAAGGGTCAGGGCATCCCGGTTGCAGACGGTGCTTCAGGCCTAGCCGCATACTAAGGTCTTGATGCATATTTGTAGAAGGTGTCGAGTAGTGTTGGACACAGCATTAATGCAAGGGGCTAATTATAAAGGGGAGATGGTGGTCAGGAAATAGATTGCGGTTTCGTTTGTTTGATGGTGGTTGAGTTGTGGGTTAGAATGCGGCGACACATTTAGCATTTGTATATATTAATATTCTTCAAGTGTAAGCTGCAAAGCTTTACTTCGCTGATATTTATAATATTTTTCGACATACTTCTATCAAATTGCTTCTTCATCACAGTAAATATTGTGCATTTGTAAAGGCTCCTGAGCGTCAATCATCGTCGTGTCATTAAACTACCTGAGTCCGGTATATCAAGGGAGCACTATGGCGCATCCACCATTCAAGCTTCGTGCCTCTTCCTTAGCCCAATATCCTCGTGTAGTTCAAGCTCTATTTGTGTTACGTCCACAGTCTTTCTACCTGTACGGATATCTTCAATATCAGGTACAGACGAATGTTTCTCTCCCTCAAAGATGGCGTCGATTTCTTCCAGCGTTTTGCCTTTTGTCTCTACCCAGTAAACAGCCTATTATACGTTAGCACGGTGAAAATCCACCGCATCAAAGTTGGGAGGGCCTCTTACAATAAGGATAAGCGTGATGATGTCCCATGAGCCGTTGATGATGTATGTTTTCCATCCAATGTTGGTTAGCGCTATGGGCATCACGAACGTGAGGAGAAGACTGGGCAAGAGGTTAGTTGAATTTGAACAAGAACAGACTTTCGAAGGTACTAACGCCAATCCATTCAAACTGAATCCAACCAAAGCCAATCCGTTGGCTCGAATAGGATAATTCATCACTTCTGGTGGGTAAAGATATAGCAAGGGCGTGAAAGCAATGGAGTAAATTCCCTGGAAGATGAACATGACGGCGACATCTCCGTAGATCAATGCCTGGGAGGCACCATCGGGGTTATCTGCGTACATCTTGGACAAGCCACCGATGATGAAGAGGCATACGATGAGAAGACTCTGCGAAAGCAGGGCAGTGGGCTTTCGACCCCATACCGCCGCCAAATGAGTTCCTCCAAATGCGCAAAACAAACACCAGACGTTGAGGACAACATTCTATGCAGACAATTAGCAATCTTCACTAGGAAATGAAGTTGTAAACTTACGGCCTTGAGCTGGTCATTGTAGTCTGTTATACCTGCCGTGTCTAGCTCATTTCCAAGATAATACGACGCAATAACATTTCCAGCAATGCATGAGAACGGCCCAACCGATGCACCAATCAAGGTCCTCTTCCGCGCCGTCGGAGTCTTGATAATTTCCATGGGACTCATTGTCATTCCGTTCTTCTTCTCCCATTCAAGAGTGTCAATAATCTCTTTGTAGACAGCCACCACAACCGGGTCATTGACGTCGCCGTCAGCGTTGGTCTGGGCAACAGAGAGACGGGCATCCTCATAGAGCTCTTTGCTCACCAGCCAACGCGGTGACTCGGGAATAAACGGCAGCACTATAATACAGGCAAACGAAAAGATTCCCTGAAGCAGCGATGGAAGACGCCAGGCCCAAGTAGACTGCCACTGACCTGTGCCAAGAGTAACTCCAGCAGCAATCAGCGAACCAACATAGTAAAAGTTGTTCAGAATCTGGTGGTGAGTGAATAGTCAGCCTCCTGAGAACACCTTCGTTTGCTTAGTTCAGATGGAACGGGTGAACACATACTCCAACACCCCACGCACGATACCTGCTTGCAAATGTTTCGCTCAGGTAGACGGCACCGGCGACTGATGAGATTGCACTACCCCATCCAAGGATGATTCTCGCCACAACAAACATAGCAATGTTCTGTGCCGCAGTCTGCAGAATAATACCCAGAAGCGTAACCACCGAGCCCCAAAATATGGCGGGACGGCGGCCAAGGCGATCTGTCATGACACCGGCCCAAATCGGGCCAAAGAAGCCACCGATGAAAACGGACGCTGTGTTGAGGCCGGTGGTGGCATTGTTCAACTTGAAGTAATCCGTATATGAAGGCAAGATGTTCAAGCCGTTGAGCATGGAACCGTCATAACCACCGGTGGCAGACTGGACCATGGAGCAAATCAGCAGAAGAACAGAGAGAGTGGCGGTAGATTCCGGGACCCAGGCCGGGATCCAAGTCCCTGTTGGGGTCTTGCGAAGCATTGTGTGCGTGTGTCTCGCTCTCAACAAGTATATAGGTATACCAATACTTGAAGGTGCCAGATCAGAGTTCAGTCGATGAGTGCCGGCGCCGAGGCGATTAATATCCCTTGACCTCTATCGCGCCTCCTCAAATTAACTATATGCATCGTTCCCCCTCATCCAAGCGACTATAGATCGTCGGCAGATTCCAGACATTGTGCATATCACTCATCTGCATGTAACCAAGGGCGTAACATCGACTGCGCAAATCCAGCTCATGGGCACCACAGACCGCCTGATAGCGGACAATTCCCAATCAAAAGTTCGCCGAAGTCGTTCATTCGGGTACCGGCAGCGTAGCGGGACGCCACCAGATGGAGAAGTCCTCATGGCCGATCCCCAGATATCGTGAAGCCGTCTTAAGCCCTCATCGCAGATTGGCCAGTCAAACTTAGCCAAGTCCAGGCCCGTCGGGTAAAAGTGGCAGACTTGCATTTGATTTCCATTTACGGACAATCTTTTACTTATCTAAAACCTCAAGACGATGTCGCTCTTTGGTCGCGATACCCCGCGTTGTTCCCCCACTGATCACCAGACATAGAACGAGTCTAGTTTCGTCTCACTCGAAGCAACGAGTTGCGGATAAACGGCCTTTTAGTGATAACCACGCCCGTATTGATGACACGAAACGACCGTGATTAAAGACGAGACTGAAGATAATAAACAGCTAGCCTCAGCGCCCCGCAATTCTCGACAACTGGATATTAACAGCGAGGCTATAAGAAGGGTGGAGGAGAATAGCACGACAAACTAGCAGAGATACGGTCAGCATCTATCGGCCAACCAGAACATGTCGAAGCGACCGGTTATCGCCGTTGCTGGCCTTGCCTGTGAGACATCGACCTTTTCGCCCGCCGTCACGCTTGCGCCGGCTTTCCATCCGAAGCGCGGCGATGAGATTGTCGAGCGATACGAGTTCCTCCACGCCGATAAGCCGCTTGGGATAGAGGCAGAGTGGAAGGGCGCTCTGATCGGACATGCGCTTCCCGGAGGCATTGTGACTCTCGAGGCCTTTGAGACGCTCTCCAAGGAGATTGTGGACAGACTGCAAGTGATTGTTGCCGAGAACAAGGTCGATGGCTTGTGGTTCGATATCCACGGCGCCATGTGCGTGCAGGAGCTGGACGATGTTGAGGCCGAGCTGCTGAGGCGCGTTCGCGCTGTCATCGGCCCAGGTGTTATTGTATCGGCGTCGATGGATCTGCACGGCAATGTCTCACGGGAGCTGGCGCATATGTGCGATCTCATCACCTGCTACCGCATGGCACCGCACGAAGATGCCATGGACACCAAGGAGAGAGCGTGCCGCAACCTCGTCAACATTTTGCAGGGAAAGGAGCCTGGTATGCGGCCGTTGAAAGCTTGGATCCCGGTTCCTATTCTACTTCCTGGAGAGCAGACCTCGACGCGAATAGAACCCGCCAAACACATTTACGCTGCGGTGCCGGACGTTGAAGCCGAGGATGGCGTCTTGGATGCGGCAATATGGGTAGGCTATGCTTGGGCTGACGAGCCGAGAAACCGTGCCGCCATTGTTGTCACCGGATGGGATGAAGCAGCGGTTTCTCGAGGAGCAGAGAAGCTGGCCAAGCTATTCTGGGATGCGCGAGCTGACTTTAAATTCGTTGCACCTACGGGAAGCTTTGCCGAGTGTCTCGATGCTGCAGTCAAATCGCCTCCCGAGGAGCGTCCATACTTTATCTCTGATTCCGGCGATAATCCCACGGCAGGCGGCTCGGGAGACATGACCTGGGGGCTGACGAGGTTGCTTGAGAGGCCCGAGTTTAAATCGCCTGATTCCGGATATACTGTCATTTATGCAAGCGTTCCGGGACCCAAGGCGATTGAGACGGCTGTTGCTGCAGGTGTTGGAGCAACTGTCACTGTGACTGCCGGAGCTGACGTCGACAATATTCATGCGCCGCCTCTTACGATGACTGGTCGCGTTCATTCCATCAAGCACGGCGATCGTGATGCCGTGACCGAGGTCGTCTTACAAGTTGGATCAGTGTTCGCCATCTTGACCAAATTACGAAAGCCATACCACAAAGAAAAGGACTTTACCGATTTGAATCTCAGCCCAAGGTCGGCTGATGTTGTTATTGTCAAGATTGGATACCTCGAGCCGCAGCTGTATGACATGGCCAAGGGGTGGATGCTCGGACTGACGCCAGGGGGCGTTGATCAAGATTTGAAGAGGCTGGGTCATCATCGGATACGGAGACCAATGTGGCCTTTTGACGAGGACTTTGAGAAGATGCCCGAGTTGAAGACGGTGTGGATTGATAAGTCGAACGAGCCGTTGAGCGGACCAGACGTTTAAGAGGTGCAAATGTACATGTACGATATAGAATATAAGGCACGAAAACTTATAGACTTGTAAACTTGTATGTTATTCTTCTATAAAGATCGTGTTATAACCAAGAGTCACAAATCTTTCTGCAACGAGAAGATGCTCCAGAGGCACAAGCTAAGCACGATTACTCTTCCAGATCGGTGCTAGAAATGACATCTTTCCACTCTTCCAAAAGCCGAGTCGTCTTGTCGCACTTATTCTTGATGACATCGTACGCATCAGGTCCAAGCGGCATACGCACAGGAATGGTTTTACCCTTGGCAGTCCCTTCCTGGCGAACAAGATCCACGACAACGGCTACTCCTTTCTTTGGGTCACCACTTTGTGCGTAGTTCTTGTCCGAGAGTAGCTTGTTGAAAGCCTTGGATGCTTCGTTGTACTCTGGGATACTCGACTGCACAGTCTTGAGATTGCTTTGTGAGAGGAGATCGGTTCTGAAGAAGCCGGGTTCAACCAGTAGTGTACGAAGGCCAAGTGATCTCACTTCCTTGTTCAAACTTTCGACCATTCCTAATGATGTATGTGAGTAATTAAAGCTTCATATTTCTGCACCGGAGTGCTCCTGGTGAACACTTTACCTTCTAGTGCAAACTTGGTTCCAGAGTAACCTGCGTTGAACTCCATTCCGCTCCATCCCGAAATCGAGCTGATGAAGACGTTTGTGCCAGACTTTCTTTCTCTAAAATGGGGTAGCACGGCTTTGGTGGTTTTCAAGGGCCCAAATACATTCGTCTCAAATGCATCATGGAACTGTTCATAGCTAATAAGACATCAGCACTTGACTGTTCAATTTCCATTGACCAAGTATAAAAATGAACTCTTACGAGAGGTCTTCCCATGCACCACCCAAGACATAAGCTGCATTGTTGATGAGAACATCTAGATGGCCATAGATTTGAATGGCGCTTCTGAAGGTTTCGTTGATACGCTGCTGGTCCCAGGTGACGTCTAGTTGAAGCACCGCAGCCCCCGTCTTCTTCAAGTCCTCGAGGCTTTCTAATCGGCGAGCAGTTGCAATTACTTTATCACCACGACTGAGAATCTCATTGACAAAGTCTCGTCCAAAGCCGGAAGAACATCCAGTCACGAGCCACACAAGAGGTGCCATTGCGATAAAAGTTGATGATGTGGTACAGAGAGTAGAAGAGTGGTGTATATCCGAAAAAGAAACTGATCTTGAGAGTATCGAGCCATCATGAAAACCGTTAAATTTCATCGACTTAAATACACAATGAACAATGTCTTTTTACAAAATTCATGAAGCCATACTCGACCCGTTTGTCTGCAGCGGACAGAGCGGACTGGAGCGGAGAGTGGGGATCCGCAGGAGCGGACCGTCCGCTCGATCCTGGCCGATGGTGTTTCGAGGAGACAACGCCGAATACATGCTGTTTGTTCGGATATAAATGCACGAGTATATAGGAGTTTAACAGTTTTACTTGGAAAGAATCAAAAACCCCGACAAATTTACGGATGGTACAATGATATCGCCGGGATCTGTTCATTCGATTATTATTGGGCTTCCATTATGTACTGTAGTTCACGAGAGTGGGGCGCTATAACATCTCTCAGCACATTGTATGCCTCAGAAAACTGAATCCATAGAATATATAAAATCTTACTTTGGCAAGAACACTTCAGAATAGCAGTATGTGATGTTCAACATGGTTTTAAGGTCATTGCCACTGGAGATATGAGACGTAAAATCCGAAGAGTTAGTTGCAGAAGTCTCATGGGGAGCCGTACCAACTGTTGTGAAGTGGTATTTTGCGGTTCTCGTATTCTATCAAGCTACCAATTAATTTGTCTGACTATCACCAACGAATTACTCAGCTCTATATGTGAGAAATGCGCACTGAAATCTCAATTAAATAGTGAGAGATGCCCCAAAAGACATCCATTTATATATCACTTTGCGATTATGTAGTCCTGGTCTTGCTTTTCGTTCTCTTCCCGCCGGTTTTCATTTGTGTACCTGTAGAGCAAGTTGTCCCAATGCTTAGAGCATTTCAGCGACTACTTACTTGTATGAGGCAAACTCCTCAAAAGATACCATCAAGTAGTGTGCTCTTGTCTAAATTGCCATCGTAAGATGAACTGAACCTTCTCTGTGCCTCAATGCAGGACTCTCAAAGTGCGCGTTGTTTGCAGATGGCGAAAGCATGGCAGAGATTCACATACGCGTACCTAGGTATGGGATCATAACTCAAGCTGGAGAAAAATAGTCCACCCCGGTACAAAATTAGCCTGAACTACACTTAATTAAGCATAAGACGGTACATTCTATTTTCCAAGTCTCGGTGAATATCATCGTCACCTGTAAGATGGCATAGCCATGGTCAAATAAGCAGAGGCAGACTCGATGACTAATCGGCATTCCTAAGCACCAGCTAGCTTTACTCAGCGGAATGCTTAAACCTAAGCTTCAACTCTAACTCCGCGAAAAGTGGAAGACATGGATGATCCAAACAAAAACAAGCGGATAATCTCGAGGAGAATATCTTGAATCAAGGAGGAACTACCTGGATTGTCTCCAGCAACCATCTCACTACTCTGACGCGATGCCGCCAAAAGTCTATGCATCTCAAGCTTGTCGAGCCTGTCGGTACATGATCCACACTTCACTGTCGCCTCCTATCCCTATTGAATTGCCTGAATGCTGACATGATTCATCTCAGGCGTCTGAAGAGAAAATGTACTCGAGAGGTTCCAACCTGTGCTCTGGTTAGTCTATCCCATGCGGCTTCATACGGCCATGTCCCAACAACTAACGATCACGGCAGTGCTATCGTCTGGGAAAGACTTGCGAGTACGCTGAAACTGCAGCTTCGGACTCAACCATATCTACCAGGCTTAGTCACATTGAACAGCTTCTCCACCTAGACGGGGTCTCTCCGTCTAGGACCTTTCCGGGCATCAGTCCTGCCGCCTTCTTCCCTAGACCAGCGGAGGCCTTTCCGCTGCCCTTTTTCTTGGATTCTGAGTTTCTGACTCCTCAGGGACTCAACTCTCTCTCTTGGAGTCACCACCCACAGCTTCATCACATGGTAGCTGAGCAGCTTGAAGATGATCGAGTAGCTCTCAGTGAAGGGTACCTCAAGACAGTGCATAAATGGCTGCCCATTGTCAGCCGGAAGCGCCTCCTTAATGAGCTGAATAGCGATCCAGCGGAAGCGGATGGATGTCTTGCCATTTTTCTCCTGTGCATAAAATCATTCAGCACTAGGGACGGAGAATGTGCTAGGACCTCATCATGGTATTTGTCGGCTAGGTCGCTTTGTTCAGAAGCAGAATCGGCGGGCTTTGTCTCTCTAAGACTTGTTCAATCTCTTGTCCTTCTAGCACTCTACGAGCTGTCCCATGCCATCTATCCTGGCGCATACCTAACACTCGGTCGCGCATCGAGACTAGGTATTCTTCTGGGCATACATGACAGGAAGAACAATCAGTTGTTTAAGCCTGCGGAAACCTGGACTCTTCGAGAAGAGCAACGCAGGACGTGGTGGGCGATATTTTTGCTTGACAGGTACGTGACTCTTTGCACTCGTGTTTCCACTAAAAGCAATGTCTGACTCGCATGCTCAGACTTATGAATATCGAAACAAATCTACCGCTTACTGTTCCTGAACCAGTTCAAGACGAGCTATTACCGATCAACGATGAGGATTGGGATGAAGGGAAGATTGTTCCCAGTGAGCCTCTATTCACCATGTCATTCAGCAGCTTAACATCCGTGGGCTCCTTCGCAAAAATGTGTCAGGCCGCCCACATGCTTGGCAAAGTCATGTCTCACAAGGCGAATAAACGCTCCGTGCATGACGTTGGGAGTCTTCTCCCTGAAGCTGTAGCACTCCATTCGGCGCTGTCGGCGCTACATCTGTCCATCAAAGAATATATTGCCGGAGTAACATCTCCCAACTTTTCCATCTCCGGCATCATTTCTCTTTCTTTGTGCTGCTCTGCTCAGCTTCTTCTCTACAACATGTATGGCTGCAACGAGCCGCTAGTTCTTATCGAGCAAAGTCGAATCGCCATGGAGACGGAGATGCAAAGTGTTAGCCTCGATGGAATCAAATCCATCTCCTTCAATGTTATGCCAGCAATCGCACGCGCTAATATCGAGTGCCCTCTCATAGCACAATGCCTCTACCATGTGGCGACGGAGTGTGCATGGTTCGTGCGAGAGGATCATGAGCCACAGATGTACAACGCCTTGGAGGATGTTGTGCGAGAGCTAAGATCTACTGGCGAAAAATGGAAGATTGCAACGGAATATCTTGCGTTGCTGCAACAGGCTGGCGTTTTAAGTTTGATCAATGTTGACACGGATGCATCGTCTACACTAACTCCATCATCTGGATAATTACACTCGAATGTATGCCAGAGACGGATATTCTTTTGTGAGTTACATTCGATAGGATACCAAAATACACGGGGTAAAGAAACTCTAATATAGATGTCAAGTATAGATATTTATGAATCATGTCACTACTTGATGCAGGCACTCCTTCAACGCAAATCCCAGCATTGGCATATGCCTAACATAACTCATACATCCGTCGACTTTGCCACCTCGACCATCCTCGCATAGCCTTTCTGCAAATCGTTAAGCGTCTCTCCATATAATCCGTAACAGTCTGATCCCAGTTGGACTCTCAGGGCCTTGCTCTTGTCATGTTCCGCCCAGATACTCTTAAACAGGCCTTGGCCCTCAACAGCATCAACCACTCTATCGCCGAACTTGGCCGGGTCTCCATTTACTAGAGTCAAGTCTTCCGACGCTTCATTAATAAAGTCTATCCAAGCTTGAATTACCGGCTTGTAGTCGTCTGAAATGCCGCAATCTGCCTTGGAGTTGTTGCCCGGGAAAGGAGTTCTGAAACCACCAGGCTCAATGATCAGGGTCCTGATGCCGAACGGCTCGAGCAGAGTGGCATAGGACTCGGTCAGAGACTCTGTCATTGCCTTTGCAGCACTGTAGATCATTTGCTCTGGTCTAGGGGCGAAGCCGAAGATGGATGATATGCTGATGAGAGTGCCTGTTCTGTTGCGGCGTAAAGTCGGCAGCAGAGCCTTCCAGACGCGAATGACACCCAACAGATTAGCTTGCAGATACTGCTGGATCTGATTCTCGCTCATGTCCTCTACTGCTCCGATCAAAGTGCTTCCAGCGTTGTTCACAACAACCCAGTGGGCTGACTCTTTGTCTTTCCCGAGGCGTTGCTCTTCTTGTGTTACGAGCCGTCGTATGGTCTGCTCAGCATCGGGCTGAGCGATATCCAGTTGGAGCCATTGGCCTCCAAGTCGGGAAAATTCTGGATGCTCAGAGGACGCCTTCTCGATATTACGTCCTGTGCCAATGACGCGATGACCAGCGCGGAGGGCGCTCAGGGCCATGTTGAGACCGAGACCTGAGGACGCGCCAGTGATGAACCATATTTTCTTGGATAAGACGGCGGACGCCATTGTGGTGTTATTTCTTGTATAAAATTTGATCAAAGAATTCAACAGAAGTTGGCCCAGCTCGATGAAGATGCCAAGAAGCATGGGGAGTCGGTGGCCCTCTTATATGAGGCCAGCCATCACCTGTGGTATGCCCAATATCCATCTTTAGATGGATCAAACTTGCAAATGGACTCATCTGGATTCTGCTAATTTCTTTTGCTGGGTAATTGAGTCATTGTTTGATTCCTTTTCACACTCGCGATCCGCCTCTCTGTCCGCTCTGAAGTCCGCTTCACGCCACACCTCTGATATTGAGGGTCATCATCTTTATGTAACCCGGATCGAGCTGCAGAGGATGGATTGCATCTCAGATCCTTCCAATACGGCTAGATCCAAGCTAAAAGACCTCTCCGCTATTGGTACCACGGGAATTCATAGCTCCCGCTTGGGGCCGCTGAGCAAGCGGACGAAGAGCGGGCACGAAGCGGGCACGGCGGAAGATACCGCCAGGCTCATGGAATATTGCGGGCAGTGCGAATTGGAATCTACGTACGGCCTCGCTGCCCCGTCTCAGTGACGAATAGACTCGTCGATGGACGCGGAAATAGCTTTGATTGCTACGGCAATTAATAATTTGATTGATTAGTTGACGGCCCATTTCCGTTGTGGCATTATTCATCGTTCCTTTTATGTCGGTTGATCTAGATCTGATATTAATGCAGATCGCCCGAGGACGGCTGCATGAACTGCTTTAAAAAGGATATATAAGCTAGCAGCTGCTCAAAGGTTATGACAAGTCCAAACTTATTAGATCAAGTTCCTCAACAATAGAATACACACTTCCAATATATTCCCAAATGGCTCCGACTAAGCTGATTGTTGTGGTTGGTGCCACCGGAAACCAAGGCGGCTCGGTTGTTGACGTTTTCTTGTCTGCACCTGGCTGGCGAGTGCGGGCTCTTACACGAAACACGTCGAGCGCCAAAGCTCAAGCTCTCGCTGCCCGCGGCGCAGAAGTCGTTGCCGCCGATTTAGATGTCCCATCGACGCTTGAGCCAGCTTTTCGAGGCGCAAACGCCATCTTTCTCGTCAGCGACTTCTGGGGTTTGTACGGAGACCCGGCCAACAAGGACAAGCCCAAGCCGGGCCAGGCCCTGAATGTCTGGGCTGCAGAACACGAAGTACAGCAACTGAAGGGCGCCATCGATGCTATAGCAAAGGTCGCGACTCTGGAGCGTTTTGTCTATTCCTCTCTTTCGAATGCGACCAAGTGGTCCAATGGCAAGTACACTCATGTGTATCACTTTGACTCCAAGGCCATTGCAGAAGACTACGCAAGGGAGATATATCCTGAATTGTGGGCCAAGACGAGCATCTACCAAGCCGGATTTTTTCTGAGTAATTTCGTCTTGAACCCGATCTTGCAACCAGTTAAGGTAGATGAACATCGGGTATTGACCGTATGAATAATTTGCTGATTACAGTCACAGGGAGAGGATGGCGTTGCCCGGTTCATTGGCAACATAGATGTAAACGTCAAATTCCCCTTTGTTGCCGCTGAAGAGGATTCAGGTCACTTTGTCAAGGCCCTTGTGGACGAGCCTGCAGGCAAGAACCTCATCGGCTACAGGGAGTGGCTCACTCACCGAGAGCTTGCAGCTGTCTTTACACAGGCAACTGGCATTGCGGCTGAGGTAATCCAATTGCCCAATGGCAAGTCCAAGGTTGAGGAGCCACCTGAACTCAAGGTGGAACTGGATGATAACTTTGCGTACTGGAATGAATTTGGCTATGAGGGGCGAGCTGACCCTACGATTGTTCACCCGAGAGACGTGAGTGGTTCAATACCTACTTTTGCATTTATAAACACTGACGTTGGAGTTAGTTGGCAACCCTTTCAAAGCTCGATACCGTGTTCAACTATTTCAAGAAGCAGGACTGGACCAAAGTTTTGGGTTGAACTTGAAGAGATGGCTGTAAGCCGTTGTTGTGCTTGAGTATGGTAGCTGATGGGCCGTCGAGCAGTTTATTTGCAGTGATTAAGGTAACGACTGAATAGATAACAACTTTAGTCAACAAATTCCAATCAAATGAAAGCCGTATGCTGTACGCCCTTCGGAAGCTGACATTAAGAAACCTCTACACATACCAGTGCTCCATTGCCCATATGACATCTTGTCGCAACTGTGCTTAGTTCACAGGCCGGCAACCTCGTTTTCACTACACAAGAGAAGAGAAAATATTGAACAACGAACAGCGGCAAATTATTTTGCATCCCAGAATTCCATCAACAAGCCAAAAAAAAAAAAAAAAAAGGGAAGTCTGAGACACCTGTGGGATTCAGACCCTCCCTTCGCACTACACTTGCGATTCCAGACTAGCCTTCACATGGCGCCCTAGACTAAAATGACAAAAAGATAAACTCATGACACCTGAGGGATTCGAACCCTCGCCTATTACTAGACCGCGAATTCTGGATTGCTCCTGAACACGGCGCCTTAGACCACTCGGCCAAAGTGCCTTTGTTGTTATTGAAGCTCGGATGGACTATTGGATATGAAGAAGATAGAGGCCTGATGTCTCGTCTTTTTGTTGATGAGTTGGGTACCCTAGACTTTGGGCTTAACAGAGCGGAGGAAATGAGACTACGAGGAGATAAAAGAGCGAGATGGAAAAATACGAGCTGACAGATGATATTGATTTGTGGTATGTAATATGCAATTAATTTACTTAATTGTTAATCACCTGGCCAGTGTGTTTTGGTTGTTATCGTTGCAACTGGGCGAAAATTGAGTTTTGACCTAGACCCCGGATTTGAGAGAGCGGAATTGAACTCGCGGAAGAATAAGAGAACGAGAATAATAAGCTGATGGCTGGCTATCATTGAAATATTAATGTGAGTATGTGAATTATGGCGTCTCAATTATTAATGGAGTAAGTAATTGTTGAGAGATGAACCGAATGATTAAACATGGCTATTGCAGGTGAAGCAGTTAGTCCAACAGCGCAGACTAATTACCCCCATCTTATTTTCAGGCATGGGCGTGGTTGCTCGCCTGGTTCATATACTATTTGGCCCATTCAGGTTCCGCTCATTGATGTACAAGTTATAAAGGCAATGCTAGATGCAGGGGCGGGTACTTGGGAAAGAAGGAATTGAAGGCCGCCGGCGGCCGCCGCTTGTAGGCCGCCATAAGTTGTAGGCCTCCCGTCTTTTTCACAGCATTTTTAGCCCCGGCCGAGGCCTGGATACTGTAGCTAAAAGGTAGTGCTGGATGCAGAGGGGGTGGTGTGTATTTAGTAAAGAGAAAAGCGAAAGAGACAACTTTCACAGCATTTTTAATCTCGCCCGAGACCTGGATAGCTAAAACGAGGTCGTGATTTAAAGCTCGCAGTACTGTCAAATGCTAAGCTCTACTGTTGCTACCGTAGAAAAAGAACTGGCATTTTAAAGCCTGTCTCATGGCTGTGAGTTGTTGAATGAATGATTGGGGTAAAGACGAACAACCTACGCATTTCGTTTTGAACAATATCTGGAGACATTTCAAGAATTGTCTTTGAGCTGTGTAGCTACCGGTCTCGCGGACTTTCGCTCTACAGCCAGACTGTGACGGAAATCTTTTGACTCTGGACGCCGGGACAAAAAAAAAAAAAGGATAACGAGACGAAAAGAGCAAAAAATGAAGCATTGAACTCCTCCGGGAAGGCTCGAACTTCCAACCTCCTGATTAACAGTCAGACGCGCTAGCCAATTGCGCCACAGAGGATCCACTTGTTGATGTTTCCAAGTTGTGCAAAGAGCATATAAGAATGTTTTAGTATTAGGCACAACTTTATTAATGATCGTTGAGCATACGGAGTGCCTACTGAGACAATTCCCTTCTTGGTTGATTCTTCCTTTGGCTTCATCTCCTCCTTGGCTGAGTGCAAGTCTCATACATAAAAATACGGGAATATATGATAAAGATGTCGGTACCTCTTACAAATATCTGTAATTATTCCAGCATTAATTACACCGTATTGACGAGCGACCGTGAAGAGGCAAAGTTATGTTACACGAAATAGTCTCAAAATGAATACCGAGTTGAATTGATACAAACATTGCTTCCTATGCAATGTGTGGAATGACCCTTGCTTTCCTTAACTGTTTTCATATCCTTACATACCCAACCATCAACGCTCATTTACCTATGCCTTTAGATATGTACCTACTCTGTACATATGTGCATGAACAAAGAACGCCCGACAAAGCCTATCCCAACATCTCAACCCCCCCTTGAGAGACAAATTACCTCTTAAACAGGGCAATATCCAACCCCAGAGGCTTCCTCAAGAAGCCCTCTCGTGTCTCCATAGGCCCCTGAAGAACCTTTGCGCTGTACCTCCTCGCCCAGGTAGCTGCAATCAATTTCATCTCCATCTCAGCCACGTTTCTACCGACGCATGCTCTAGGTCCGTGGCTGAAAGGAATAAAGGCATCCTTCTGTCGCTGAGTCAACTTTGCCCATCTGTCTGGGTTGAAATCCTCAGCATCAGGGCCCCAAATATCCGTAGAGTGGTGCATCGTGTAGGTGGGAACGCTGAGGACGGTGCCGGCAGTGAAGAATTCGCCGCAGATGGTGACGCCAGGAGACTCCGGGGGGACTTGGCGAGGGAGACCAATACCGGAAGTCGAGTGGTGGCGGAGAGTCTCGTTGATGACGGCAGCAAGGTAGGGCAGGTCGCGAACCATTTCGAATGTTGGGACATCGACGCCCTGGGGAATAGCGGCATCAAGCTCAGCCTGCATCTTGTCGAGGACACCAGGAGTGCGGACGACGTAGTTCAACAGCGCGCACGAAGAGTTGGAGGTAGTGTCACTGCCTGCGATGAGCTGGGTCAAAGCCTCTGCTGTCAGCTCTTCTCTTCCAAGCGGCTCTCCCTTGTCGTCACGACCTTCAATCAATCGGGCGAGGAGATCTTTGCGTTCAACGTCGGGAGGGTTGTCAAGTCGTCGCTTCACACAGGCAATGGCAATTCCGGCAAGATTCTGGATGGCGGCAAGGCCGTTGCTGTAGAAAGGATCCGGAAGATATTTGGCATAAGGCTTCAAGGCCGGGAAGCAGCCCAGAGTCGCGCTCACTTCACCGCGGCGGTTCAGAATCTCAATGGCTGGTGCATAGATGGGTGGGCTATCCGGGGCATCTCGCACTTCAGCAAGATCTACTCCCTTTTCAAGCATGCCAAAGGGAGCTCCAAATGCGAGGTCACCAATGACGTCAAAGGCAAGATAGTTGAACCAGGGAAGACAGTCGATGCGAGCCTCCTTTCGGCCATTCTCGCCTTTGTAGGAGCTAGTGTCGACGAGGCGATCCATCTGCTGGACAAAGAGTTCAAGATTCTGATGGATATACGGCTCAAACTGGACGATGGACTTTGCGGAGAAGGTGTGAGAAACCATCTTTCGCTTGCGAGTGTGCTCAGCGCGGTCGCGCGTGTTGAAGAGGCCACGGCGAATCGAGACAAAGGCATCGTAGAATTCACTGCTACAAGTCAGCATTTAACCCATCAAGTGTGGAATCGGTGAGCCATACGACTTCAAGAAGCCATTGGAGTGGCCATAGACGAGATTGATGGCCTCGTCATCGGCAATCGAAATGTGGTTTGGCTGGATTCGCACAAACTTGCCCAGCTTCTTGTGCAGCTTATCTACAGTTTCGTACCGATTGCCTCGACGACAGACGGACAGCAGCCAGAGATTCGAGAACTGAGCTGGAAAGGGAGCTGCAAAGCGGCGCAGCGGCCCGTATGTGACAAAGTACTGATGCAGATACGATGCGACCAGCGCTCCAGCAAGAGCAACAATCGCCCAGGGCGACAAGGCGTATTCAATCAGCGCCATGGCGGCGATTGTCTTTCAGCACTTACGCAGCGATTCTGCGAGGACTTGCGGTTTGCGATTTGACTTGGGCAAGGAAAAAGCTAAGATGCGACTTTTCAGACAGCTTTTGGTAGGGCGACAAAGCTCTATATGCAGACTAGCTCCGGGGATGCGGAGACGGCGCCTCTTTTGTCGTCAACGGCGGCTGACCAACAGATGGTGACAGGGCTTGTGAGTGTGATAATCGCTGGATGGAGATTTGACTTTGGGGAGGACGCGGGAGGAATGAAGCGCCTCTCGTCACAGCGCCTCGGAGTTGATGAAGATGTCAGCACAGCACCAAGAAACCCCGAGACAGGATGCTTCGAACCAGCCGTCAATATATACCTGACCTGCCTCTCTCAAGCTAAACACCATCCCATGTACTCGTACGTATACAATCTACCACCACGATAGTCTCCGAGCCCCCAAACCCCGCAATCTGCCCCAGACGCCAAGGGTGAATCGGTAGACAGTAGCGGCTTCTAGCTTGACCCGACAAGTATGGAATCCTCAAGTCTTGTGTGTCGCCAAACAGGTACAAGGTCTGCCCGGTTTGCCCACCATCCGCAGGGGAGGGGCTGTGATCGCTCCGAGCTCCCGAGGAAAATAGTTTCCGGCATGCAGTGTCGGCAAACGAGATTCTGTATGGCTTCCTGAGTTTTTCGACGCCCTTTTTTCTTTCTATTTTGGGGTCTCTGGATACTGGCTTTGCCTCCGCGGGTACTCCGTTCCTGGTCTCGTTTTTGAATGGAGAGGCAAAAATAAAGGTTTCGGTAACAGAGAGCGGGAATGGCGGATTGGTTTTGCGTTGCGGCTGATTGGCTGCATCCTGCGGCAGACTGGATGTCTGCAACCTCGGCGCCGCAGGGCTTATGAGCGGCAAGCAGGCATGGATTACTGGGTAGTATCAGAGCCTTCGGTAGTAATCAGCAAGCCTGGATACGTATCGCGAGGGCAAAAAGGAGTTTACTAGCAACCTTTACTGAGACGGTGTGGCGAGGATACTGTATGAAGTTGTATACGAAGTCGCATTGTGCGCATGCTATGACGCGTATTTGGTACTAGCATGATGACATCGTTTGTGATGGCACAGAGCATTCCGTAGATCGGGCAGTGTTTTGTTATTAGACACAACCTACATGATTTTTGCCTATTGCTCTCGCGGAAAACTAGGAATATGGTAAGCTGATGGTTTGCGATACTGGAGCCATCTACGAAGCGATATCTGCCATGTCACACTGTACAACTCAGTTGCGAGCACCATTCCTGCGAGTCAGGATTTGCATCGTCTTGTTAGCAAAGTGAGGGACTTTGGCCAACTGTTCAATATTGCTCAATCTAATTAACTCATACAAAATAAGTACGTGATTTCCTCAGATCCTGATACGCCCGCCTGCTCGCATGTCTCATCAAAGCGTTCCGGAATACGGAATAGAGTATAAGGCAAACCCCAGGAACTAGTGCCTCCCCTATTATGCGGTTTTCTTCTGCCGAACTTAGCATCCGTATCTTAGTCGTGTGGAGTCGCCGAGTCACATCCTGGAGAAGACTCCGCACCTGTACCACCTTCGGCCCCGGTTCTCCAACTCTCCCATTCCGAGCTCCTTATTATCTTCGTCAGAATATTCGTGGGAGAGGAATCGCCTGCAGGTGCCTTCTTCACTGTCAGTGTCTTCTAGAACTTCCATTTCTCCTCCGCGGACGAATTCGAGTACTTCGGCGGTTGGGAACATGACGTAGTCCAAATGGCTAATGAGGTTTAAGCACGAGTCTGTCATCTCCTCTGTTTCCTCTTCTTCTCCCTCAACCATGACAAAGTCTCCTGGTTCACCTCCACCATTGTCATCCCTTGGAACTCTCTTTTCTGCGTTGCTCTCGATGTTTTCATCTTCTGCTCGGAGCTTCGGCTGGGCTTGCTTATGACAGCATAATTCCCCTCTTTTGCCACTCTGAACTTTAGCATCCAAGATCCGAAAGGAGGCAGAAAATGTCGCATCTTGTAGGCCACCTTGGTCGTCGTGTGCTTGGACAGAAGATTCTCCAGTCGCCAATGGACTCGGACCGGCGTTATCCGAGATTAAAGGGCCGTTCCGACCTGTAACTACCTCGAATGTGTAGCCAGAGAAGTCGAGGAGGAACACTTCAATCTCATCTCCAGAAAACCCCCGATCCTCTTCTTCCGAGTCCTCCTCATCATCATCAATAGAATTATCTGGCGGCGGTATGTGAGTGTTGGCTAGGGATCGTCGTGGCCTCTCCAACTGTTGAGGGGAGAATTCGCTGCCATTATCATCTACCCACTCTTCTTTGCCGGATTTTATAGACGCGGAGTCGAAAGAGCAACCGTCAAAATTTATGAGTGAGCTTCGCGAAGTTACTTCTGCAACGACATCGCCACAACTGTTTGGGGAGTCGGATCCTGTTCCCTTGAATGTGGAAATCGGGTCTACGTACGTATTTTCCCACGACAACTCCATCCTATCGGCTTCATCAATGATACAGTCTTGATGGCGACGTGTTAAGTCCATGTCTCGAATCGGAATTCGCGGTTGTCTGTTTCAGTTGGTTAGCTTTCGTGCGTGTCCATGTATGTTGCTTTCCAAGACCGTGGTCATGGAACAAATGGACGAGGATAATTAATTCCATCAATGCTGTTGACTTGGAATATTCCTATCGCCATTCGTTACCTAATACATATCAGACAATGAACAAGATGATTGGACCGATCTCTCGAAGCTTGACATGCACATAGGCCTCTCATTTCTCTGGTTATTTGTGCCAGGAGAGACCTCTTGGTGCGCGCGTGGAGCTCTGTTGAAGAGACATATGCGGAATTTGGCAAATGAGAAACTTGGAAAAGGAAGTTGAACCGAATAACTTACTCTTAGGAAATCGCCTCTCATCCAGGGAAGTTATCGGTTCAAGGCTGATTGCTGCTGACTCTGATTCTGCTGCGACTCTACTTGTTGCAAGGGGAGTGAAAATGCAGGGAAACAGGAAGAAGGAAACAAGGGCGTGGTGACATTAAATTTGCATGCCAGGTTGGCTACAGAAAAATTTCCGTTGAAGAAAAACTGAAAAAAGCGCTGGCCAGTTGCCATCGGTCCGTGGTAGCAGTTGGCGTTATCATCTTAATGGCCCTCGTTCAAACAAAGGAGCCAGTGCTATTTGATGAACTATTCGGGCTCAAAAGTTGTCTGTTCCATCCTTAGATATAATGCAGAACCATGAGTGAACATTACTACTTGGATATGATATGTAGTATGACCTTGATATGGGGACCAGCTATTCGGCAGCAATTCAGGAGTCATCTCCAATCCTATTCTTCTTGTAAAACTTCCCTGTCTCATTTTTCAAACACACAAAGTTCTCTTTGACTTTCTTGGACTCTAGTTCAAGATCATAGAATGCAGAATCATTCCTTTGCAAATAATAATGTTAGCTACACACGCGATACTGCCCCGGAGACTTTTGCGAGAGCAGCGTTTATTCAGCAAAGTCGTCTTCAACCTTGCGTTACCAAATCTACAGATTACTTGCATCATTTACAAAAAGAAAAAAAGAGGAAAAGGAAAATATGAGGCATGATTATACCGGTGGTCAAAGTCTGGAGTTACACAATATTTAGGTACCGCATAATTCAGCGGACAAGCACAGAATCTTGCAAAAGTGTTTTGGTCTTAATTTTTTTTTGCACGGAAAAGACAGGACAAGATGAATTTGGAAATAGCAGTATTGCTGCTCATTGGAACAGAAAAGCTATTCAATATCTTGTTCTCACAGTCTTTTTATGGTTGATGCAGGCCCTTTTATGCTCATGTATTTTTTGGCACCCCAAATTGAACTCCTCTCTTTGACTCTTCTCACTCCGCAAAAACTTTACGCATTCAATCCTTTTCGCAGCAACAAGCTAATCTGCGCGACGCTCTCCTCTGTCGTCTTCTGGCCCGCCATCAGATACAGCACATTTCCGAGAACTCTGCAATGCACGTTCCAAGAGCCATTGACACTCTCCGGATCGCCCGCAATGAGACCATCTCGAAGACTCTGCGCTGCATCGCTAAAGTATCCTGTGCCCCCTGATGCGTCCTTTACGTGGATGGCGAGAACGCTTCCAAGAGCCCAGATTCCCGCCACACGCTCCGTCTGACGAGAAAGATCCTCTACTAGAGTTCGCGGCCAGGTTGACCAAATGTCAACTGCAGATTGGTCACTTGCGGGAGAAGCTTCAGGGCTTGTCCAGCCTTGTGACTTGGCCCAGTTCCAGGACCCGCTGTGGTCCATCCTTTGCAGCTCCTTGACTGACTCCACGGCGACCTGGCAGCCTACGGGATGAGCCGTGTAGCTGTGCCCATGGAGCAGAGCATCAGTCTTATCCTGGGAACTGAATGTCTGGAAAATATTCTCCGAAGCAAGCGTCGTGCAGAGAGGAACCAGACCTCCAGTGAGAAGCTTTGCGTGGACGGAGATGTCGGGATGCGTTTCGAGGAAAGAAGACGATGTGAAGCGGCCAAGACGATAGAGACCAGTGAAGACCTCGTCGAAGATGATTGGAAGACCAGTCCATGCGGTGGGACTGCTGGGAGACTCTTCGATGGGGGCATTTGGCTTGCGGAAGAGGTCTGGGGATTTGCGAACAACGTTGACAAGGGCGCGCTGGAAGAGAGGATCTCTGCAAGAGTAAATTAGCAACAACTCCATTGTCTGGTGGGAAAAAATAGGGACTGATGCTTACACCAAGGCCATTCCTCCAGCACCGAGAACAACCGGCTCGATAATGACAGAACCGAACCGACGGCCCTGCTTATGAAGCCTCTCCAGCGTCTCTCGAATAAAGGCTTCGTATCGGAGATGGTGACCCTTCTGTTCCCTACCACCAACATCAAAGATTTCCGACAGCGAACCAAAGTCTGCATCTTCGCCCAAAGCCTGCCTTAGCTCTTCGGGCACATTCACACGCCACTTGCCGTCAATGCACAAAACAGTGGGATAATCAAACCAGTGCCCTTTGCCATCATACCACTCGACCTTTTCGTTATATCCACTCGGCTCCGAACAGTCCATGGCGCCGATGGTGTCGCCGTGATACGAGCCCTTGAGGCCAACAACTCCCAACTTCTCATCCGCAGCCCATCCATACCGCAGCTTTGCTGCTCGGAGACCCATCTTGAGGGCGACTTCGATACCGGTGCTACCGTTGTCGGAGAAGAAGACGCGGGTAAGTCGCGGGTTTTCGATCCCCTTGAGCAGTGTTGAGGATAGCTCTGCAGCAGGACGATGGATACCGCTAGCAAACATGACGTGGCCGTAGCGACCAGCGGCGTAAGCAGCAGCAAGAGTGAGCTTGGGATTGGCATGGCCGAGACCTTGAGTCCACCAGGAGGCAGAGCCGTCGAACGAGGCTCGCAGAAGACTGTCATTTTGTGACGTTGGAGAAGCAGGGGCCACCGTCTGGAAGTAATCGCCGTGAGCTGAATCTATGACGTTAATGTCCTTTGGAGTGAGAAGGCTCTGCTGCGTAAAGGGATACCATATGTTCTGCAGAGCTTCAGACGCCATGGAGTTGAGGGATGCAATACGCTGCTCATGACGGCTATCCAGGTGGGAAATGACATTAGTCGTGTTTCCATCCTGGGACTGTTCCTCATAATACTGCGACATTGCCCGGACATCCTCTTCGAGGCTTGATTTCCTTTCGGGTGGCTCAGCCACGCCCGCAACGGGTACATTGTGATGCTCCGCAAAGTATTCTGATAGATACTCAAAGTTCTGATACTTGCCCTCCTTGAACAGCAATATCGATTCGACATCATAGCCTCTCATGCGAAGCGACTCAAAGGCCGATATCGTCTGAGAGATTCCTCCAAGCCGGGAATCACCTACAAGAACAACTGGCAATCGAAGGGGTGCGTATAGATCCGCCTGAGTTGTTCCCGAGGGGCCGGGCGAGTGAACACCGCCGGCAGTTTCAACAAAGAGCCATTTCCTGCCAATGTTGGCGCATTGAGCTGCGTAGTCTCGGCATTGGAATAGAAGAGCATCATTTGAAGGGATTGTCTAGGGTGAGATGGTACATGGTGAGACCAAGGTTCAAGTGAGGTAAGAGGTGTGACGTACAGTATTGGAGAGCCGAGCTGCAATGTGTGGGCTGACTGGGATTTTATACTGAAACAACGTCTTGTTGGAAACCTCCGGGGCGAACTTTAGGATATGACTACATGGATGATGGATTGGTTAATCAACAAGCACACCAGCATCAAGCCTCGAAGTGTGCAATTTGTTCATCTGCCCAATGTTAACCACAATTCTACGAACCCTCTCTTGGCAAAGACCATCACCTACACCGATCATCAGCCTCGCTATCTGGCCCCGTTGAAACCGGCTTCAGAAACGCTACGCCGCCAGGGCTCCGTCTCGCAGCAGCCTTGCATAGCAGCGTCGAAAACACCGTCTTCCCCACCTCGGTATTGGCACCGAAGATTTGATACGATCGCAGCGAGCGCCAGAGCGGCGACGCGAGCGGCGGCGGTGGCTGCGGCATATCAAATGAACAAAGACGAGAACCAATTGATTAATCTGCCAGACAATCAACAGTCCGTGAGAAAGAAGAGGGCCATTCTTAGTTGAACTTCAAAGAGCCTGGAAACGGATACTTTGGAGAGGGGAGCCGAACAAGGAATGTGGAATTACGCCCAAAAGGGTAATGGCGGATACGACAGCTCCAAGCTTTCATCTCACTTGGTTTTTTTTACAGCTCTTTTGTTGGGGGCCATGCCGATCTCCGTTCACCCTTTCAGGAGTGGAGTTTGAGTTTCCACGCCTTTTCAGCCCTGAGCCGAAGGACGGACAAGCTACAAGCTATTATTGAAACGGCTCAAGGACAGCTCGAAATCCCTCATCGCCGGCAATTATTACTAAACGAGATGCTAGAACCCATTTCTTTGGTACGGCCCCCGCGGGAAAGCTCGTCGCATTTGCCCCAACGCGGACAAGCGGCGTTGAATCGTTTGTTCAATGGGGCGGCAATTACGGTATTCGATTGGCAATTTTTGTGAACTGCAGATTGACAGTCGAAGTGGATATTGGGGGGGTTTCCCAGTTCAGACATGTGATGGGTAGTTGATGCATTTTGCATGGGACGCCGATGCAGGCCGCATATGACTGCATCTCATGTCGGCTTTGTCTATGAACTAGCCGGTTGCGTTTGACGACAGGGAATGCATGCAATTGATCTGCGTTGAACAGTGACAGCATAGCAAAAGATTCAGTTGAAGGGATACGTCCAATTGAGCTCTATCCGCGACTCCAAGCCAAAAGATCAGTTTGAGCCATGCCGCCAAAGCTCGACGACACTCTCGCCTCCATCCTCTCATCCCGCTCCTCTCAAGGCCGCCTCCGTCGGCTCACCATTCCGTCTGCCACCTCTGTCGATTTCTCTTCAAACAGCTACTTGTCACTATCATCTAATCCCGATGTCAAAACCGCCTATGTATCCTTTATCCTGCCCCATCTGCAGTCATCCAGCCCCGAAGCCGGCTTTGGCCTCGGATCTGGAGGCTCCCGCCTGCTAGACGGCAACTCAGCTTTCACAGAGGACCTTGAAAAACGAATTGCCGAGTTTCATGGAGCAGATGCAGGGTTGCTGTTCAATTCAGGCTTTGAGGCCAATACGGGACTCTTTGCCTGTGTGCCGCAGAAGGGAGATGTCATTGTATACGACGAATTGATCCATGCAAGCGTCCATGATGGAATGAGACTAAGCAGAGCGCAAAGAATGCCCTTTGCGCACAACAAGGTCTATGATTCAGCTACAACCTCTCCAACGAATGGAAAGAGCAAATATCCAAGCCTAGACTCTCTTTTGAAAAGCTTAACGGAGGATGCCCAAGTATCAGCCGGCAAGAAAAACATCTTCATTGCTGCCGAGGGCGTCTACAGCATGGATGGAGACCTTGCACCGCTAAAAGAAATCGTTGAATGCGTTGAGAAGAGACTACCTCAAGGGAATGGCTACGTGATTGTCGACGAGGCGCATTCTACTGGGATATATGGCCGGCAAGGAAGAGGTCTGGTGTGCCAGCTTGGATTAGAAGACAGGATATGGGCTCGAGTGCATACTTTTGGCAAAGCTATGGGATGTTCAGGTGGTGAGTTTCTCTTCTCGACTTGTCAATACGTCCATTTAATGGATACTAATGCAAAAGTAGCCATTGTTCTCTGCTCATCTACGACAAGATCCTATCTCATCAACTACGCCCGCAGCTTCATCTACACCACAGCCATGGCCTTTCCCTCTCTCGCCAGCATACGCACAACTTATGACTTCCTCGCCCAAGGCCACGCAGACTCTCTCGTCCAAAACCTCCAATCACTCATCCGTCACATGCACACTCTTCTTACTCAGATCATTGAACGACATGGTCCATCACCAGAGCTCTTTCGCATCAACCCCGAGGCACCGCAGTCACCAATCTTACCGCTGCTCACAAGCCGGGCAAGAAATCTGGCGCAATACTGCCAGGAGCGAGGTTTCACTGTGAGACCAATTGTAGCGCCTACGGTTCCGGCGGGACAAGATAGAGTGAGAGTGTGTTTGCACGCTGGGAATACTGCTGAGGAAGTAGAGGGGCTGTGTAAGGCGGTGGAAGAATGGGTAACGGGGGCTGTAAAAAGTAAACTATGATAGTAGACATGCATATGTATAGCAGGTGTATGTATATGTATATATTGATTGTGAAGCCTCACTCAGACTATTCTCACGCCATCTTTCTATGACGATGCTTGATTATTTTCTTTGCATTTAACTTGTATCTTTTCTCATAAACCATATAAAAACTTGTACTTTAGGCCTCCACTGGCTTCTTGTCGAAGCTCTTCATGGGCTCTAGTCCCCATCGGCCAAACATGGCGCTGTCCTCGTCCCAGCCATTGCACTCCGTCGTCAACATCTTCTCACCAGTGAAGATGGCATTGGCACCAGCCATGAAGCACAGCGCCTGCTTCTCCTCCGACATGGTCTTGCGGCCAGCGGCAATGCGGATGATGGTGGCAGGCATCAGCAGACGGGCTGTAGCGATGGTGCGCAGCATGCTTGTGAAGGCGATGGGCTCGCGGTCGCCCAGAGGTGTTCCCTTGATGGGCACCAGGGCGTTGACGGGGAAACTCTCGGGGTGTTTCGGAAGCGTAGACACAGTGTGCAGCAGACCAACACGATCCTCGGATGACTCGCCCAGACCGAGGATACCACCAGAGCAGACGTTGATGCCGGCATCGCGGACGTGTCCCAGCGTGGTCAGGCGCTCGTCGTACGACCGGGTGGAGATGACGGACGGGTAGAACTCACGGCTGGTGTCGACGTTGTGGTTGTACGCCGTCAGTCCAGCGTCCTTGAGCTGACGAGCCTGTTCGGCATCAATCATGCCCAGCGTGACACATGCCTCCATGCCGAGGGCCTTGACGCCCTTGACCATCTCGACGACGTTCTTCAGACCTGACTTGCGGCCGCGCATGTCACGCCATGCGGCTCCCATGCAGAAGCGCGTGCTGCCGTTGTCACGGGCCTGGCGGGCCGCTTCCAGCACGGACTCGACCGATTCCATCTTCTTGGCCGCGAGGCCCGTGTCCTTTGAGTAGCGCGACGACTGGGCGCAGTAGGAGCAGTCCTCGGAGCAGCCGCCCGTCTTGATGTTCATCAGAGTGCATAGCTGGACCTCGCCAGGGGCGTGAAAGCGGCGATGCAGCGATCCCTGTTGGCAAACAATGGTCAGCGCAACTGTATCAAATATCAAATACATGGAATTGCTCGCAGTCATTCATACCGATTGGTAAGTCAGCTCCAGCAAAGGCTGGTAGTAAATGGCGGCAATCTCCTCCCTGGTCCAGTTGTTGCGCGGCTTGGTCGCGGCGACCGCGTCTGCCATCAGCTTCTTCCCATCCAGGCCCGACTTCTGCTGCTGCGGGGGAGGGGGAGGGGCAGCTCCAAAGTTGACGGGAGTCTCAACGGCGGTGCTGTGGCTGCGGCTGTTGATCCTCACGGCTGCTGGAGCCTGCCAGAGCGGCCGTGAGAGGGATTGGGCCAGTCGGCCAGCTCTCAGGGTTGTCGAAGCCCTCATTGCTGCGGTTTTGTGTCTTGTGCTGGTGTTGAGAGAGTTGAAGAGCAACAGCTGCGACTCTCCGGCAATAGTGACAGAACGAGCTCGGAGCTAGTTGAACGGGCGGGAGGATGGACGGCTGATTGGCTTCGGTTGAGGGAGCGTTCTTCAGCTTGCCGAGCTGCGGATCCCCAGCTGTAAATCGGAGGCGTCAGACTCGACCCAGAGAGTCAACGGCAACGTTGCTCTATTCCTATCCTATCTTCTGTGTGTTCAGTAATAGACACAGCGTGCCTGTCCAGGCATTAGCTCGAACGCTCGAAAGGGCGCTGAAGCTCTCCAATCGCCTGCATTGGCTTACCTTCGCGGCTCTCCGCATTGGCGCAGCATCACAGCGGGGCTTCAAGTTCAACTATTCAGCTATTCGCACCGTCTGCCGTTTTGTTGGGCTGGCCCTGGCCACAGCAGATCCCTTAGCGGCATAGCACAATCTGGCCGGCCGGTGTCATTTAGATGCGTAACACGATTCGCATCGCATGCCGCGCTAGTCGTCTCTGGCAGCGATGCGATGCGATGGGCGAAGGGCCTCGGCAAGGATTCGTCATTCGGGAATCAAATTCCAAACGAGCGGGTGGCTTCGGTCCAGCTTGGAGCAGCAGCTCGGCACAAGGAAAGGAAGACAAGAAGTGTCTGTGTGCCTTGATCGGCATAGGCATAGAGAGGACGGGAATTCGTTGTCATTGTTCTTCTGTCTGATGTTCCTTTGTGCCGGAGAGGGTGGAAACTGGCTGCGGCACAGATCTGGAGGGAGACTGGAAGAAGAGAAGAAAACCCGCTGCGATCCGGATGATTTCAGGCCCGAATCACTTCCCAGTTATGGCTCTGGCAAGACAAGAACGCATGCAGTTGGATTATTCACCATGAATGGATTTGAAAGACGACTTCTGGGATGATTCCAAATCTCAGTCAGCAAGGCTGCAGGCCATTCTCCAAATCTGGCAAAAAGAGGGAGCTATGGCCACTGTCGGAGATTTTTTTGCTTCTGAGTCATGCCCGCCATCTGCGAAATGCTTGACACCAGATACCAGATCGAGCTGAGAGCATCTTTGGTTTCTGGAATCACAGAGTCTGTTCAATGTACCGCAACTGCGAGGTTTGAATGAGTGAGACGTCAATTGATGTCTGTATTGGCAGCATCAACTAACCCCGAAGGCCATTATATTTCATAAATTTTGCTTCATGGGCAAACAAAATTCATGTTGTCTGTTGCTCTCGAAGTGTTGGCATTAACCAATGCAAAATCGAACCCAGATCAAAGCAACTAACTGCATGTCATTCCTTACCTTGTTCATTCACACCCACGGCGAGATTATATAGACAATACCAGCTACAGCATCGTTGCAACCTTTTCCGAATCATGTACTGTCCGCCTTAGTCCATGGCGTCATGCGCCTCTATATAGCGAGCTTGCGGGGTCTCGCACTTTGATGCTCAGTTGTCGCAAACTGACAAACGCAGGCTGGATGACACAATGAGTACATGTAGCTTAGTAGCTCTCCCGTCATACGACTTTATATAAATCCAACCTTGGGACCCTGATTTTCTACATCTTGAGATCGCGTTGTGCACGCTATTATTTTGGTCTGCATTGTCTCAATCTTTTTTTATAACCCAGAAGAATCTGTAAATCATCAGCCATTTGTCGCCATCATGCCTCTCCCTGGAGCCTCCGGATCAGAGTATGTCACTGCTTACGATTTTCATTGTGCCATCACCTCACCATTCTTTCAACCTCGTTTCCCTTGATACAACTTTCACATCACCATCAAAAATCTCTATATTCAATCCTCGTCTTCATCATCATCATCATCATCACCAGCTAACTCTCCTCTCCCAGCCTCTCTGAGCTTGCAACCCATCTCCTCAAGCAAGGCCCCAACAAGGTCCTCCCCACGCCTCGCCGTGTCCGCATCATCTTCAATCAGACTGTCATCGTTGACACCACTAGCCCCGTCCTGGTCTGGGAGCACGATTATTACCCCCACTACTACGTTCCCGAGTCTGAGATTAAGAATGCCACTCTCAAGGATGTCCAGCCTGTCAAAGGCGAGGCCGATGCCACCGCGCGAGTTGCCGTTGCCGAGCTCACCGTCGCTGAGAGAGACGGCATCCCAGCAAAGACGACCAACCGGGTGGTGAGATTCGACAGCAGTTGGGGAGAGCTGGCAGGACTAGTCAGGGTGGAGTTTGCAGCAGCGGGTGAGTTTTGCTTTATTTGTGTTCCCTTTCTCGTCCTAATAATCGTCCATATGCTAACCCTCACTCAAGACATCTGGCTTGAGGAAGACCTCCCCATCTACGGCCATCCCAAGGATCCCTTCAAGCGTATCGACATCCTCCCCTCCACCCGCCCCATCGAAGTCCGCATCGCCGGCAAGACCGTCGCAAAGGCCTCCTTCGCAAACCACCTCCACGAGACCGGCCTCAGAGTCCGCTACTACCTGCCTCTCGGTGCCGTTGATCCTGCCATCCTCCGCCCCAGCAAGACAACCACATACTGCCCGTACAAGGGAACCGCCGAGTACTACGACGTCGTCCTCGACGGTAAGGAGTACAAGGACGTGATCTGGTATTACAAGTCCACTATCCACGAGAGTGCGGCTATTGCAGGCCTCGTGTCATTTTACAACGAGAAGGTGGAGATCTATCTGGATGGCAAGCGGGTTGAGTAGACTGAACATATCACAAGCGTCTTTACAGCCTTTATTTAACAGCCGACTAAAAAAGTACTGAACCTGGCCGGCTTTTCGTCCTGCAACTTTTGCATACGCTCTTTAATGCTTTTCTAGCCTTTTAGGAATGAATTTACAAAGCTACATCTTTTGTCACAAAAATGGGTTACCTTGGGTAGGCTAGGCTCCTCGAAGTAAAATCAGGCTTTATAGCGAATCTAGCACATCAAAATATTAGAGCAATTCATACAAGTATACTGTTATGTCTCCCTACTAGGTAAACGTGAACTTAAGATTACAAACGTCTCTATCACATGTATATTCATCCGAATTAACTCAGGTACTCAAGTGATACCAATGAGTGTATAAGAGTTGGTGAGTTGTACTGATATGAAATCACTGTGTTCAATCCATAATCTTCCCTATGATTCCCCTTTCCTATCATGTGGGAGACCATTGATTGGGAATTAAGTGACCAAACACGGGGATCAGGTATAAGCAGTATTTCAAGCAAAGATCATAATAATGAATCAGAACCAGCGGAATTCTGAGCAGGCAGCTATTGTGAAGATCAATAGGTCGTCATAGTGTTGGAGCTAGGTGAATACTGGGTTCACGAATTCATTCGCCATCCGGGGATCGAAAAGAGATGCGTACACGTCTATGCTAGCTAGGTTGCCAGGTTCTTTGTTTCGGCCGGCTTCTACTGTGGATCTCGCCCTCTTTGACCGATCGGCTTATGAAGGCCGCTTGGACTATTGGATTGGAGTCTACGAAGTATTATGAATCTCTTCCTGACTATTGGCGTGGCCACGCTTAAGCAACCACTCTGCACCCATCATAGATCTACCACTCATCTTTACTCGCATTTTACTTTTTTAACATTTACAGCATCTGTAAGCTCATGATTATTGCTGTCGCTAATCAAGAACTCCGTTTCCCCTCGGCCGTAAGCTAAGGTCAGCCGTCAGCGCCAACTTATCGGCATCTCTCCGCCGAAAGCGGCTCCACGGCGCCGATATTCGCAATTGAACATTGGGACTGCAGGCTAAAGCTGTTGGAGGTGCGGAGAAATCTGGGGTAATTCCTGGGGGCAATGCGCGGGGGAAAAGAAAGGAGTTTCCAGAAACACACCAGAGAAAGGTATATGTACAAAGGCTAGATCTCGAACTTGCTGAAAAGCATGGGGTAGTCGATCCATTGAGCTTCTTTGGTGTCACCACTTCGTTGAAGGTTGTATTTCTCAAAGGATTTCGGAGCAAATTCCATTAATTCCTTGTGATAAATATGGCAGAGAAGGAAGAATTCACCGGCGTCCATATGGACGAGGACGTTGAAGCGACCAAGGAGGTATGCAATGCAACACTCAAAATCTTTGCCAAGTCCTCCATCAATACTAACTGTTGTAGCACTTGTCTAATAGTCACTATGGATCATCATTGTCACACATCGACGCTGCCCGATCCAGGGCCTTGGTGCGGAAGCAAGACTTGAGAATCATTCCAATCACAGCAGGAATCTATCTTCTGTGCTACCTTGACCGATCAAACATTGGAAATGCAAAGGTCTTGAACGCATCAACAGGCAATGATCTCTTGACCGAGACCCACATGAGCACTTACCAGTACACAATTGCGCTCATGGTCTTTCTCATCGCGTATGCGATTTTTGAAGTTCCGTCCAACTATTTCCTCAAGAAGCTGAAACCTAGCCGCTGGATTGCCTTTCTCATGTTTTCCTGGGGTGCCATCACGATGGGCATTGCTGGAACACAGAACCACGCGTCAGTGACAGTAGTGCGATTCCTCTTAGGTGTTTTCGAAGCAGGTAAGTGGTAGAGACCTTTATGTGCCGGACAACAATGGCGTACCTTTGCTAACAATTTGTCTTCAAGGTCTATTCCCCGGTTTGGTCTACTACTTGACGTTTTGGTACCGCGTAGAAGAACGATCCATTCGAGTTGCTGCCATTCTGGCATCTGCCACCCTGGCTGGCGCCTTTGGTGGAGCAATTGCCTTTGCTGTCGGCCATATGAACCAAGTGAGAGGCATTTCTGCCTGGCGGTGGCTCTTCATCATCGAGGGAGCGCCATCTGTTGCTTCTTCCTTCTTAGTCTGGTTCTTACTTCCAGATTATCCCGAGACAGTATCATGGCTCTCGACCGAGGAGAAGGACTTTGCGGCGTTGCGGCTCTCCGATCAGGGCTCTCATGGGTCTGGGAAACCTCTAACCTGGGCGGAAGCCAAATCTACATTGTTGGAATGGAGGCTCTGGGCTCACTACTTTGTAAGAGCGCTTCTGCAACGCGATTGAAACGAATGGCCGCTGACGACTTTTGGTGCAGATCTACTTTGGCATTTCTACCCCGTTCTCCAGCCTGTCTCTCTTCACGCCGTCCATTGTTGCTGGACTTGGAGTAAGTTATTGATTCTCTCGTTCCGTAAAGTTATGTCGATTCGGGAGTTGGACACTGATAATCATCGTCCTATTAGTTTACCGATCTCAAGGCCCAGCTCATGACTGTGCCACCCTACGCGGCAGCTTACGTTGTGACCTTACTGGCTTCATGGTCTGGAGACCACTTCAACAAGTGAGTTGATCAAGTTTAAATCGTAAAATCGCTGAATAACTGACAATTGCCTAGACGTGCTTTGCATTCGGCCGCATTTTCCCTTATTGGAGCTATAGGTTTCATTGCTTCGGCTACACTTCCAGCCGATCATTTTGCAGTACGTCAGGCTCGTTCTCGTCTTAATCGCTCTCACAACTAATGTTGCTGTCTAGTCTCGCTATGGTTGCCTTATTATCGCGGCCTGCGGTTCATTTGCCTGCATTCCCCCATTGCTGGGCTGGCTGTCCTCAAATCTGTATTCAACTGCTGCAATTGGTCTGGCTATTGCGCTCAACATTTCCATGGGAGCGCCGGGTCAGATCGTCGGCGTGTGGATATACAAAGCCGATGAGGCGAAGAAAGGGTATCCCACCGGGCACTGGACTAACGCCGGCCTGCTACTATTTGTTTCGGCTTCTTGTGTCGGAATGCACTGCTATTATGTGTGGCGCAACCGGAACGGCGGAGCAGGGAACGGCGTCTTCTTCAAGTATTAGGAGGCGCAATAGACAGTCTTATCGTCAATTGTAATTACAGATAGAACTGCCATTTCGTGTAGTTGTCAAGTACGTTTTTGAATACTCGCGACTCTCAGGTGCTAGATGTCAATGGTGAAAGTGCCTCCAATTTTGTATACGAATAGAAAGCCATATTCGGATGCCCCTGGCCGCCGCTGAACGATATCGGCGATCTGACGACTGGAGTCTAACACGAGCCGGTGGATAAAAGGCCATGTTAGGGCGCAATTTGGGAGCTAACTCCAAGCCATTGGCCGCTGTTGAGATCATCCGGCGGCTGGTCAGACAAGTAAACGTTATTACCCTGTCCTCCGAAGTTATCGGCCCAGTCCCTCCGAAGGTCCCAGCGACAATGTCGGACGGCCAAGTGAGATGAGCGTCGACGCATCTCAGGCTCAGGCGTGCGACCGCTGCCATCGGCGCAAGACCAGATGCGACAAGACCCGACCGGAATGCAATCCTTGCAAGAAGTCAAGGTCTGCATGTGTTTATTCTGAGAGGGTCAAGGAACCCACGTTTTCGCGAAGTCATGTGCAGACTCTCGAGCGCCGCATCCATCAGCTCGAGGCGGCGAACAAGGCACTTACATCAGCTAATACGGCGCATCGAACGGCCGCCCACAGAGCAGCAGCACGAGATGTGGAGGCTGGATCCAGCTCTCAGTCTTCTGTCGCCAACGATAACGACGTTGCGAATGAGGTGACTTTTCTTTCCACCAGCATTGGCGGCGACAGCCTCTTCCTGGGGCCGACGAGTGGTATCATTCTTGCCAGCCTAGTAAGAGCCGGCGTCGCGGTCGATGTCGAGAGAGAAGCACCGACCTCGTCCGCATCCTCTGTGCCACCTCACCGGAGCCCCGGAAGGACGGATTTGGGCACGGGGGATCGTTCACTTCCGGCGGAACAGCTTGCTCGAGGCCTCATCGAAGCATATCTGGCACATGATCATCTTAGCTACCCCTTTTTGCACCCGCGGGCAGTACGGGCAGTAGTAGATGGCATCTATAGCGATGCCAGCTTTGAGAAGACGCACCCCTTTGAGATGTTCATGTTCCACATGATTCTGGCCATTGCTACGTCTCAAGTATACAAATTCAACTGGAGGGTCTTGCCAGATGCAGAAACACAACTCCAAAAGGCAACCGACTATCTCAATGCTGTGCTGTTTGAGGGTGGGCTACGAGCCCTGCAAGCCATGCTACTACTCTGCCAGTTCCGGTTGAGCAATTCTACGAATCATGCTTCTGATAGTAAGCGGACTCCAATGGCTCTTTCACCTTACTGGAGCAAATCATCTAACCAACGTCTTCCCCATCAGGTCTATGGCACATTGTTGGTATCGCAGTGCGCATGTGTTTCGAGCTCGGGTTGCATCGCGAGGCCATGTACCGGACAGCTGACCCGAGACGTGATGCTGTCGATGTGCCTTTCCTATCACCCAAATACGAGGAAAGCCAAGTTCGTCGCAGATGCTTCTGGAGCGTCTATGCTCTCGACAGGTTAGCCATTCCAAATGTCACTTGATTCTCCCAGAACATCTGCTAATCAGAAAACGTTGAATTTATAGAGTCGTATCTGTTACGCTAGGACGCCCGCTGGCGATTTGTGTTGAAGACATCGACGTTGAACTCCCGACCGACGACCTTGAAGAACCAGCGAGCGTGTCTACTTTGAGTCCTGGGAGCGACCGAGACTCCTCACAAATACCGTCTCGGTATCGCACGGCCATCTTTGTCCATATCGTACGCTATCGTGATATCTGCGGTCGGTGTCTCACTTCACTGCATCGCGGCGTCAAGGGGGGTATCCGATCTGCAGCAGATTTTTACCAGAAGCGTGATGAGCTTGCCGCCGAATTGAACGCATGGCGAGCCGAAACAAATCGTCTCAATACACCGGAGATGGACTTGTCGACACCTCTCGCCGAGGCCCGATCTAGCTTTCGGTCAAAAGCTTGGTATGAGCTTCTATACCATAATGGTGTCCTCCTCCTCTATCGACCATCCGCCTCGACAGTCTTGGATGGAAGAGATTGGTCTCATTTGCAGCACATATTTTCAGCAGCAAGGCAGTCGATTACTCTCTACGCCTATCTCTTCCGATCGCGTAAGATCAATTTTTCCTGGATGGTCCTTCATGCGGTTTTCATGGCCGGAATATCCTACATATATGCCTTGAGCCGACATTTTCGTGAGAAGAGGCGTCGTCGTAATAACGGAGAAGGCGATGGCATTCGGTTCCAGCTACTTCAGGAGCCGACCATTGTTGAGATTGTCAACGATTGTCGGGCATGCTCAAATGTTATTGTTGGCGTTTCTGAGAGGTGTAACGCGCAAAAGAACTGTCATGAAGTATTTGACCGTCTCAGCGATGCCCTTGTTGAGGATGCAGTGGAAGCATTCTCACATACTCGCCAACCCAGCTCCCTAGCCGCGCCGCAAGATAATCATTCGGCTATGATGGCTGTGCAACCTCCAAGTAATGATATCCATATGCAAAACACTCTTGTTTCCGAACCTCCCTTGGCAGGAATCGGATCTAACAGCGGCGGATATAACTCTCGGGAGGCGGCTCTCACGGGACTTGGCGAAGATGGCTTCCAAGAGGACAATGGAAGGCAGGCATTCGGTCTAGGCACGCCTCTGGCAGCCGACAATGCCCTCCGAGACTGTCTGCCTGAGCTTCAAAGGATGTATAATATGCCATGGGGAGATGATGCGATCTTGCAGCTCAGCAATGACTGGCTGGGCGAAATTGGGGATTATTACAGGTTCATGGGCAATGAATGGGGCATGAGTCAATGAATTTTTCGTACAGCGGCATGTATTTGATTAGGCAAAGCCCATAACAAGGAGTCTTGGGAGAATTTTTTTTTTTTTTTTCTTATTCTACAATGTATGCAATAGTACACGGCTGGTTTCATATCCGGCCTCTTTCTAAGAATACCCTTGGTATCTCCACGTATTTACTGCGCAAATACTCAGCAACTCCCTTTCCAAGCCCATCAATTCTATCCGAAGACGCTATTCCTCCATTGAGATTATCAAGTATCCGACTGCAATCATTCGTTAGCATGCATCAATGTGCAAGGTAAAAGGAAATACTCACAAGTGAACGGCGTTGATGTTGGGAAACTCCACTCGCTCTACCCTTCTGTTTGGGTTACCGCGATGCCAATCCTCGCCCAACAGCTCTTTGAGCTTGTGAACGCTCAATAAGGTCCTCAGCCATGGATACTCCGAGGCGTCACGAACAAAGAAACCCACGTTGGAATTGTCCGCTTTGTCGCCCGATCTCGCATGGACAATGCTGCCGAGAGGAGCGAACTCGGTCGGGCCAAAAGACAAAAGGTCTACGGGATGTGTCGTGTCTGCCGATGGCCGTACTATGGGGTACGTTGCCGTGACCTTTGGTGGGCCAATCTTGATGACCTTTCCAGTGCTCAACTGGACGTGGTGATCTATCAACGAGAGTGGCATAAGTGCAGGGAACATCTCCATGAACGGCCGTGGTGTCATTGTTCGGAAGTCGAGATTCATGTGGTAGCCAGGATAGCTCTGCATCCGCAAGGCGTATATGGGGATTTTGAAGTTCATCTCATCGATATCTTCCTTCTTGCGAGCTTGTGCAAATACCCTCAGTGACACGGTGCCAGCCTGCTGGGATGATGGATTCTGAGCTTGTGTCCCGTACAACTCAATGCTGAGTTTGCTGAACCGACTGTCACGGAAAATATGAGACAGTTGATTCTTCATCATGGTAGCCTTTTCCATAACGTCCAATCCATTGATGTAGAACGTTGCTTCGGCCTGGTAGCCTCCCCTGGCTGCTATCATGGCCTTGGTCGTAGCTGGAGGCGCCAATCCCTTGATACCCGTCACTTTTACGCGGTTCGTTCCCTCTTCCCGTACAGCAACGGCTGAAAGATCGGCTACGACATCGGGATTCAGATAGAGGTGACCCTGAAGCTCATACAACAGCTGGGCCTTTACTGTCCCTTCTGTGACGTGACCTCCTCCCTCTGCGGTTTTGGTGATGACACAGCCGCCTCTGGAGTCCAGCTCAGCGATCGGAAAGGCAAGATCAACGAGGTCTGGAAGAAAGTCTTTGAAGCCAGAAAAGTTTGCTCCAACAACATATGGACCGCATTCGATCAGGTGGGCAGCTAGCAGAGATCCTGCCAGCTCGTCGAATTTGTCCTCACTCCATCCATAATACCAAGCAGCAGCTCCCATGACTGGAGAAGCATCGGTGCATCTTCCACATATGACGATGTTGGCGCCAGCTCGAAGGGCCGCAGTGATGCCCCAGCAGCCAATGTATGCATTTCCAGCACATGGCGTGAAGCCCCAGTCATCAAGTGAGATTTCTGGATGGTCCAGATGCTTGAATCCCGTGTGTTTCTTGCCTGAAACCTTGTCCACGAGCAAGTCTGTGATATCGTCTCCTAATACGGCCGCCACGACGCAATTCTCGTATCCTCGCTGCTCACAGAGGCGCCTCACCTTGTCGTACAAGCCCATGACATTCAGTGCACCGGCATTAGTTACGACTCGGATGTCCCGCGCAACGATGTCGTCGATGCATTCTTCGAGCTGCTGGTAGAAGCCGTTTTCATATCCTAGGCTTTCGTCGACCTCCTGCCTCGTGATGGCATTCCAAGCAATGTTCATCTCAGACAGCCAATCACCCGTGATGACATGGACATTGCCAGAGCGCACCATCCGTGCCATAGCATGCGGGTGGTCACCTGTAGCTCCAGAGACATTGCCAATGCGAATATGCGGTTTCTCAATCATTGCGGCGAATTGGTGGTTCGAAGGATGTTAGAGCTAGAAACTGTTGTTGTAGACGCGGCACAAGCTTGTAACGTCGAGGCCGTTACTCTTGTTACTAGCCAAGCAAAAGTCTAATTGCATCCATCTTGTATGTAATAGCGACCGAAATCATATCGTTTGCCGCCATCACCTCGCCCGAGGACCAAACAGTCTCGGCACTATCTAGCTCGGCCTCTTGAAATTGATCCGAAAGTAGGAGCTGGCGATCGGCCTAGCTCCGCCGAAATGGAGTGAGTAGCGTAAAAGAGGCATCGTCGGCGGTCGGCGGCCGATGCCGATGAAGCTTTTTGCCCTGAAACTTGCATCCTATGGACATGGGTGTCTGTCGGTCTGACTCGTATTTTGCAAGATGTTCCATCATGATCAAGAATTCCGAAAGGCACATCCCTGCTCTCTTGATGTTGGCAAGCATGGAGGCGTGAATACATGCATACAGGTTAGAGAGTAGCGAGGCGTTTGGGCAAGTGGAGCGATATCGAATACTCTTCTAATGAATGGACGAGGTAACCTAGAGTATTGGGTGAATAATTGCGATATCACTTTTAATCTTTTTTTAATCAATGTTTGACTACTAATGATATTGATAAGAGCTCATTATTCATCTCCTTCGCAGAATGGATAATTTTGAAAGACCAAACTGCCAGATTATCTAGTCTAAGGCTTGCACTCGTAGTATAACCTTTCTTGCGACCCTCTTCTCAAACAAGTCATAGCCACTAGCCGCTTCATCTAGAGATAACTCATGAGTAACATAATTCCTTAATGCTTTTTGGTTCTCAATTAGACATTGCAATGCATCATTAAAGACTGTTCGAACTGGGACTCGACCGAAGTTCATACTGCGTAGATGTGTGTGAGTTTGTAATTACACCGGGCGAGTAAAGAAGTGACTTACGTTATGTTCTTGAGATAGCAGTCCAGGCCGGTAAAGGGGAGATTATCCTGGTGAAAGCCCACAGAAGAAAGTATTCCACATGGACGCAACAACTCAAAGGCAGACTGGAGAGCTGCTGGGTTGCCTACTACTTCGATGACCGCGTCTGCTCCCCGACCATAGGTCCGGGACTTGACTTCTTCTAAAATATTATGCTTAGAGAGGTTAAGTGGAATTGCGCCCAGGTGGGCAGCTTCGTCGAGGCGATCCTGGACACTGTCTACCGCCAGAACGGTCTTAATTCCCTTTGATCGAGCAGTGGCAATGGCACAGATACCGACAGGCCCACAGCCGAGACAAACAACCACTGACGACTCGAGAGAATCAAGAGATTGATCACAATTCGCATCTCCATTTTGACCATTCGAAGTCGCTTTTTCTTTATAAAAGCTTGTCAGTGGCGATTGTAATTGGTTTTGTAACCCTTCAATGGCACGACAGGCTCCATAATAACCGGTTGGAAAGATGTCGCACATCATAATTAGCAGAGACTTATCCAAATCTGCTGGAACAAGTTGCAGAGTACCGTCCGCAAAGGGTACTCTCACGAACTCGGCCTGTCCGCCATCGAGCTTTTGGGTTCCAAAGGCGACGCCCTCAATACATCGGTTGGTAAGTCCCTGTTTACAATACCAACATCTCAGACTGCTTGCATGTTATTATCACGACTCGACTGTAGCTATAGGTGGGTGGTCATACCAGACGGGGGAGAATATAGAAACAACTTCATCACCAACTGCAAATTTGCTCACATCTGAGCCTATCTGATCAATAATTCCAATGAATTCATGGCCCTAATAATGAGAGATGCATGTTAGCTCCCTTTCTAATTTTTCACCTGTCAAGCATACCATAATGTGACCAGTAGCTGTCTTCTGGTGGCCACGATACATATGCAATTCACTATAAATTGTGAGCAATACGTCCAGAAAGCCATAAAGAGGCCATGTATAGTAAACAATATCGCATAGTACCTTCCACATATTCCAGCTAATTTGACCCGAATAATGGCGTCTGTTTGATCGCGAATAATTGGCTTGGGTCTCGTTTCAACGCCAACATCAAAGGCGCCCCGGAAGACTACTGCTTTCATTGCCATTGTTGCTATATTTTGAGCCTGAGAAGTTCTCAAAAGTCTAAGTAAAGTGCATATTCAATGCTTATTATACTTCTACATGAATACGGTGCCGACCCGATCGTATCAGCCCTTTCTGTGAAATACGTGCCGCATCATGTCATCGATTCTCGTCTTCTGGCGGAATGTTCGGTACCTGTGCGCTTGCAATAAAAGCCGGTGATCTATTTTCTTAGTGTTTCTATGTATTTGAATTGATTAAATTATTTCTTTCACAGTTGTTCCACCACATCTGTTCGGCTTCTTGTAGTCACCGAAAGAAGCCGAAAACCCGTGAGATGCTGGACGCTACGAACCCCACAACTCGGAGAATCGTCCGCGCAACACGTACCTGTCATTGTGGAGAAGACACCGATAGTAATATAATATTATAAGCCTGTGCTCATGAGAAACCAATGGTAGATTTGAAAGTGTGTTCTAATTCACTGTTGTTCAAATTGCATTCCAGATACCATGATGGCTCTGCTCGGCCAATCTATCCCGATTTCTTTTAACAGAATATATGTCAATGGGGAATACGTAGGGCCAAATTCGAAAAATGAGTTGTCGCTATTCAATCCAAAAGATAACACACTAGTTGCAGAGAAGATACCTATTGCAGATAAGGTGGACGTTGACAATGCTGTAAAACATGCCGAAGCAGCTTTCAATGGCCCATGGGCTTCATTCACCTCATCACAGCGATCAGAATGTTTTAGAAGACTAGCTGATCTTCTGGAGACAAGATTGTCTGACATTTTGGCTCTCGACTCTCTTACAACGGGAAATCCTGTATCCCTGATCCCGACAAGAGAAAAGAATTACATTAAAAATTGTCTTTTGTACTACGGTTCGTTTTTCCCATTATACCTTGCACAACAGAAAATGCCAACGATCTAACTAAACCCTACAGCCGGTTGGACTGATAAATTACGAGGAGACTACTTTCCTGCTGACGATGGATTTGTTAAGCTCGTCCGACAAGAGCCTCTTGGGTAAGCAGTTTCCCACCATCTCACTTCATCATTATCTAATGCTTCGACAGTGTATGCGTTGCCATCAACCCGTATAACTCGCCTGTAGCATCACTGTTCATCAAGGCTGCGCCATGCTTGGCAACAGGAAACGTCCTCATCGTGAAACCTTCAGAAAAGAGCCCACTAGGCTCTCTCGCCGTCGCTCCATTGTTTGAAGAAGCTGGCTTCCCACCTGGCGTGATCCAGGTTCTTCCAGGCGATGGTAAGACTGGCGCGTTGCTAGCTGAGCACATGCGTGTGCGAAAAGTGAGTGTTACATCCTAAGCTTTATTGATGAATGGCACAGACTTCTAACAATAAATAGATTAGCTTCACAGGTTCCGTTGCTACGGGGAAGAAGATACAAATTGCAGCTGCGCAGAGCAACCTGAAACGGGTAACACTGGAGCTTGGTTCGTATAAGGCCTTAACTTTCCATAAAATGGAACATACACATGGGGCGATTCTAATATATTTATAGGAGGGAAAAGTCCAGCAGTCATATTTGAAGACGCAGATATGGATAATGCAGTTACCTGGTAAGCCAAAAGCCCCTCCAAGTCAAATATAATTCGATGCATAAGACTGATATCACACAGGACCGTCAATGGCATCTTGGCTCGAACGGGTCAAGTATGCGTTGCCGCTTCTCGAGTTTACGTGCAAAAATCGATATCTGGGAAGTTTATTTCTCAATATGTTGAACGAATGAAAGCAGCAGCACTTGGTATAGGGGATCCTCAAGACCCAGATACAAAGTACGGTCCTTTAGCCGACTCAGCAGCATTCGAGAAAGTACGCGCCATGATTTCTCGAGGAAAAGAGGAAGCGGAGCTAGTGTTTGGTGGTAATCGAATCGGGACCGAGGGGTGCTTCATTGAGCCAACCGTGTTCCTCAATCCAAAGCCAGATGCAGAGATCTACAAGAGTGAAGTGTTTGGTCCAGTTGTCGTTGTTAAAACTTTTGACACCGAAGAGGAAGTGGTTGAAGCTGCGAACGATACAGAATATGGCTTGATGGCGGGTATTTTTACCAGAGATATTAATCGCGCGTTGAGGGTCTCAGCTCGCATTGACTCTGGAGTTGTGGGCGTGAACTGCGTGAGCATGGTACTTGCTGAGCTGCATCTAATACATTTATCTTTTCATGCGCTGACCAGTGTTTAGATGCATATACAAGCTCCATTTGGAGGAAAGAAGGCATCGGGGATCGGTAGGGAGTTTGGAGAATACGTGAGTTTGCGTCCTAATATCCGTGCTTCATGCGTATTAACTTGACACAGGCTTTGAGAGCTTTTACCGAGCCAAAGACCATTTTGATCAAGTAGGTCATCATCATCTTTTCCATGGCAACCTAGGAGTGTAGCTGACGGTGAACCAGTATGAACTCATCATAGCCTCTAGGGCGATGAACTACAATAGTGTTGACAAGCTTCATATGTGGAAGATGAACTAGATCCCACTATATTTACATTGGCAAATAAAAATTACATATATATAGTCACTGCGCTCAGGATGGCAGTATGAGTATGAGGGCGCTATGTCCGAGATCAACTTCGATGCATCGATCCGTCACATGTTCGTAATCCGCTAAGTTTGTGCAAAGAAGTATTACACGTAGGCTAGTATTATACGAGAATAAGAAGAAGTCGTAGCTTCGTCAACTGACTGCTGTCCATTTCCTCTTGGGGCAACAGAGATGCGGAGGTGGAGATGGTGGCGTAGGCAAGTGTGGAGGGGGCAGACGGCGAGCGCCCGCCGAAGAAGCCGACAGAATGCGGGGAGTGGAATTTGGGATAAAATACTATGCGATAAGTAGCAAAGTGTGTTAATTACTACAGAGAACAGAAGCCGGGGCTATAATAGAAGACAGGGACCAGCGCCGTGGTAAGATGCCGGATGGAAGCATTTCAGACGTCATGGAGAAACCGAAAAGCAGAAGAAACCGGCCCCGTGCGGAAGACAGAATACGGATAGCATGCCGCCGATGTAATTCGAAAAAAGTCAAGTGTGACGCGGCTCCTGGAGTTCCTTGTTCAGGCTGCCAGATTGCTCAGGTGGACTGTACCCTTATCGATTCAAAGCGTGGGCGGTAGGTTGACAATGTGGCATGATATCTCTTATAGCATGTCTATTCAATTTTAGTGGCAAAGCTGATGAGTGCTGTAGATATATCCGTCGAAAGAACATATTACCAAGTGAAAGGCAAATACGAGACAATGCATCAGCTTCTATATCATCTCCAAAGGACCAATCACCAGTGTCTCATAAAGACAACAGCAAGAATCAAGCGGCTCCTATCGCTGAGGGCTCCTTGAGTGTGGAACCCGTAGATGGCCATTTACTACGTGGTTTATCACGATCTTTTGAACGCCGAGCTCCCACCGATTCCAGTGCATTGTTTTATCTGCATATTGCGGACCAGAGTGTTCGTCCAACACAACAACCGATAAATGATACAATCAGGACTTTCTACGCTGGGGATTCGTTTAGCCTGACTTATGCCATCCACGATGTACTAGCCCCCTTTTTGAGTGAGAGGCTCAACTATCAGAAGCGCCTTCACTTCCCTATCGCCGATGGCTTTGATCCCTCAGACATAGGGCGTGAGAATATTGTTAATGGCCAAGTAACGCTCTTGCGTGAGAGAAACATCCTCCATCGACTGAGTCCAGATGCCTTGGAGAAGATGCTTGATGTGTATTTCCGATGGTTCCATCTAGCCTTTCCTGTGGTTAGCCAGCAAAATTTTCTTCAGAAATGTCTTCGCAACCAAATGTCCTTACTGGTCCTGAATGCACTATTGCTAGTTGCTGCTACAATCTGTGATCCGGCAGATATAGCCTTGACTGGATGCGAAAGCAGGCAGCATGCCCGTGCAGTCTTTTACGCCCAAGCAAAGGCTTTGTACGATGCCGACCTAGATCCAGACAAAGTGAACAACGTTACAGCCGTATTCCTGATGAGCTTCTGGTGGAGCGGTTCGAACGACGAGAAGGATTCGTGGCATTGGCTAGGCATCGCTGTGAGCCTAGCACAGAGTTTAGGGATGCATAGATCGTGAGTACCTACTTTGAACCCGAGCTATGTTGATTACTGCCAAAAGCTGATCTCTTTGGATTGATAGAACTGCCAAATCTCACATGAGTGACGAAAAGTCTAAACTTTGGAGGCGCATATGGTGGTGTATACGCATCCGAGATACGCTGACGAGTGGCTCTATCGGTCGCCCACAGCATATTTCCCACATGGACTGTGATGTAGAGATGCTCGAGTCTAGCGACATGGCCAATGAGAATCTTCTGGGAGGTGAAGAAGAGATGTACGCCTGTCAAATGGCACGGCTATCGATAATATGTAAGTCTCTTCTGGCTGGCTTAAACTTGCACTCATTCTTACATTCGTAAACTACAGTCAGCAGAGTCGTCTCGTCACGATACGCAGCAGTCGAGTCAGCAAGCCCAAGTCAAAAGGCACAACTTGAAAGTGATTTGGAGAACTTTCGACTACAGGTTCCAGCTGTATTACAATACAAAGGCGTCCATGGTGAGACCGGTCGAGGCTTGTGGTCTGCAATGCTTCTCATGGCTTACAAGTATGTCACTTGAGCCTGATCCAAAATCTCCAGGTCACATTGCTAATACTCACCGCTATAGCTTTGGTGTGATCCTTCTTTATCGACCCACAAGTGCTAGAGGCGACACCAATGCTTCAAACTTCTGGGGAGATCGGCCGAAAGCTATGGCTGCTGCCAATGAAGTTACAAGAGTAATGGAAGATATCCTTTCTTCCTCTCTCGTCCGCCTCTGCCAAATTCATACGTGTGTGCTCCTATGGAATCTATTATTTGGCCAATTTATACCGAGCTGACCACCAATTAGTATTCCTGCCCTCTTCAATTCCTTGTCTATGCATGTCTTCTCACTTTGTACATCAGGAACCATCGGGAGAGAGCTTGCTGAGAACCGGGCAAGAACATGCATGCTTGGCTTGACTTGTCTTCAGGAATCATGGCCCGTTAGCGGCTGGATCCTGAAACTATTCGTCGACATTATTGAACGGCTTCGTAGAAAGCTTACGAACCGAAACAGATATGGAGAGCCGAGTATGATGGCGGCTAGCCCTGCTCTTGGTCTTCCGCAACAGCAAAAGAGCGGCGCTCGCTCATATTATCAACACCTGGGTACTACGGAAGATGTTGCCAGAGAGCCAAATGCACGAGAACTCGGTATCACAGGTGCCATGGACTCTACATTTAAACCATATCTGGAGACACAGTGTGATATTCCCTCGTTAGCAAATGACTACTCCACCTTGAGCACCACCAACACTGAATCCTTGCCGAATCTGTTCGTATTGGATGATCTGTTTTCTGATTTAAATACAGGTCAAGTGAACTTTTTCGACTTGTTAGAAGTTCCGAACTATGATACTATTGATGGAAGATCTTACTAGCTCTAGTCTGCTTATATCTCTCTGTATTTGTATAAGTATCTATCAATATCGCAAATTTGCACCTAGCGTGGTCTCTATCACAAATGGTGATTAGAGTACCTCAATGACAGTCAGTTGTTCCAGGTTCCACGGCTCGCCGATTGGAGTTCCTCGATGGCATAAGAGCCACTTACTCAGGCAGCTGTTTTCCATATACGACCAAGCCTTCTGTATCATTGTATCTCAAGCAACAGTTATGAAGTACTTGGAGTAAATCCGGTGAACACTGTCCATGTTGTTTGCTACACCAATAATATAAACGCTGTTGATTGTGTCCAGAGCTCTGGTAGACTTGTCGGCTAAAATATAGAGGCAACAAGCTACATTGGCTCTTCTTCCATGTATCGCATCTTCAGGTAGAAGGTCACCATTCGTTTAATGATGTTTGGCTCGTTTTCGTTGCGGTTGAGGTCCATGATGAACACGTTGCTGCCCATGGAGGCGTCAGAATTGTCGGAGTCTTGGTCTTCGTCCCCCTCGTCGCCGTTCTTGTCCTCCTCGTCGTACTATTCTTCGTCTTCGATCTCTTCTTGGTGTTCCGATCGGTGTTCTCGGCGCTTTGGTTCTTGTTCCTGTGTTTGCTTGTCGTGGTTTTTGGTAGTTATGGTGGGCTTGGTTGCTTTGACAGTGCTCGTTGGCAAAGGCGGGAAGTTGGCTTGCATCTCGGCCAGAGTCTGGCCCTCAGCCTGGTTTGCAGTGGGCTTCTGCGTGGTTTTCTGTCGTCTTTCTGCGACCTGTGCGCTGGGGCTTTCTCCCAACATGGTTGAGGCATACGGTTCGTCGAGGTTGTAGTCCGCATCCTCGCCGTGCGCCCCCGTCTCAGTGCCTCCTGGAGTGGGTTGTCTAGGTTTGAGGAAGACAGCATAACAAAAATGATGATCGATGGTAAACTGGCGAAATATCCACCACGTACGTCAATCGAACCAATATGCTTCCTCTCGCGGACGCTCTCCGACACGGAGCGCAATGGCTGGTCCACGGAGCTGGAAATGTGCGGATACAGGCAAGTTTACACCCAAGTCCGCCGTCTCTTCTTGTACAGACACTATCATGTGCGTCTCAGTAGATTGTTTATGAACCCAGAAATGAAACATTGCATGATTCAATCTAACCTCTCTCTCTAGAATTAATATATAATTATTTTACCCATACAAGTAACCCATTCCTTCATATTATGCCCCATTATCGTGTACATCCAAGACATAACCCATAGAAAGCACCGCGCAGAAACAGACGCTCTATCTATTACATGACCAAATTCTCAACTGCACCTCCGTCTGCACTTACACCCGCACTCACCACCGTCGACTAACAGCCGTCTTCTTCACATACAGCTGCAGCGTATTCCCTGCACCACAATATTCCGTGGAATTTCCGGGACATACAATATTACACTCGGAGATCGTCACATTCTTGCCTGGCGTAGAGTCTTCCAAGCCTGCGAGATTTAGACTATCGCCGCACCAACACTCCTGACCGTACTCGACGCCAGCGTATTTGTATTGTGCACAGTGAGAAAAGCAGACCTGGGGTGTCATGGTCGTATCGTTGTTGTAGACTTGATTATCCATCAGCTTACCCGCCGAAGGCTCCGCGAAACATCCATAGAAGGTAAAGTTCTTGTTGCCATGGAAGATGACGGGATCTGTGACATCGCTGGGCGGCGTCGGGGTGCTAGATGGCAATGAAGTCGTTGTGGCATTTGCCAATAGCTTGTATAGCTCGAGTCTGGATCCAGCGCCGCAGTACTCCTTGTCGTTTCCAGCACAAGGGAACGAGCAGTCATCCTGATTAGCTGCCTTTTGGCTGCCTTCCTTCAAGACATTACCACAGTAGCACTCTCTGCCATACTCAGTGCCAAAGTAGGTAAAGCTTTTGCAGAAATCAGCGCAAGACTCGAGCGTCATCGAGTCGTTGGCATACATCTGCTCAATGATGGTTCGGTCATTAGGCGGCTCCTCCCAGCATCCCTGGAATGCGTAGTTCCTGACATATTTTTTGATTGCGGGCCCAGTAGGAGTCACAACAGCTGTTGTTGATGAACTTATTGGCACTGTGGTTGAGGGCGCAGAAGTTGTACCGGCCAAGTTCTTGAGCTGGTAAACATTGAGCCGGTTCGAACCACCACAAAACTCTGTTGAGTTGCCGTTACAAGTCATACTACATTCCTCGATGGGTGCGGGAATGGACCCCTTTCCAAACGAATCATCGCACCAACATTCTCCGCCATACTCAAGGCCGGCATAGGTGTAGCCATCTGCCTTGCACGCCTCTAGACAGTCCGCGACTGTTTCGTCGGTTGTCTTGATGAAATTGGCCAGAGCTCGGGCGTCTGTCGCTTCGGTATAGCATCCAATGCTTCTGTAGCCATCTTGTCCTGGGTTGACAATCGGGCCTGTCGGTATCGGGCTGCTGGAGGAAACACCCGTTGTAGTGGGAATTGCCGTAGTGCTTTCATCTGGGGGAGAAGTGGTGGTACCCTCAGCCGGGGAAGTGACTGTGGCTGTGCCAGCAGCGGTAGAAGCTGTCGTAGAAATAACAGTAGTGTCGAGTTTGTAAACGTTGAGGCGATTCGGGCCGCCGCAATATTCAGTGGAATTATCATTGCAAGTCATAGCACATTCCGTGATGGGAGCAGAAACTGCGCCATCGCCAAAGGAATCGCCACACCAGCACTACAACACAAAGTCAGCAAACTCACTGTGCAAAACTGGTACCATTCAAATTACTTACCTCTCCTCCATATTCAACACCGGCATAGGCATAATGGTTAATTTTGCAGGCATCAACACACTGAGTCACAGTCCGCTTATCTGTGTCCACTCCGTGAGGAAGAGCACGCGTATCAGTAGCTTCAGTGTAGCATCCAATGCTGGCATACCCATCAACACCAGGATTTACCACAGGGCCACCGGTTGGTGGTGGAGGATTCGTTGAGCCATCCCCTGGTTGAAGGGCATCGGCAAAAAGGGAGATGTATGCCGCAGTGCCGTCGCCATTTCCACCGCACACCTGATTGATATCTCCGCCGCAGTAGTAGTTACAGTTAGAGTCATCCACCTTGAGACTAGGAATAGTGTTGCCTCCCCAACACTCTGTATGGTATTGAGTGCCACAGTAGGCATAATTCTTTTCAGCACATGCAGAGATACACATGGCGTTGGTGTTGGCAGCATCTCCATAAAGCTGGTTGGAAAGCTGGCGACCTGGATTATTCTCCTTGTAGCATCCAATATATCGGTAGCGTCCCTGGTCACTGTTGGGCAGCAGAGGGGGGGCTTGCTCTGACACAGCTTCGCAGAAAAACTGTATAAACTGTTTTCCCAGGCTCGGGTCATTGGTGTTCAAAGTCCACTGTGCAGTGCCGTTATAAGGATCGACATCCCACTGGGATTTGGGGACGGTACAGGTGAGTGTGGCATTCGCACTCTCTCCCGGAGCCAAAGATGTTCCCTCTGCAAGGTCTACCTGGTTGATAGCTCGAATGAGACCGGCGACACCAAAAGGAGGCTTTGAAACGGTAAGAGACAGGTTGACGCCGCCTTTTGCTGCATTGTTGGTAATGCGGAACTTGAGCGAGCGACCATTGTTTTGGGTAACATTTCCAAAAGTAAACGGAGTGCCATTGACATATTTTGTCCAACCAGATTCATCAGGGGTCTGGAACTCGAGCAGTGCAACCGCAGCAGGACCGGAAGAACCAGCAATGGAAATCGTCTGGTTGCCGCCATCGGATACAAAGGTGACGAAGCCGGAAAATGTACCGCTTTCAGAGCCATCGAACTGAATCTGGACAGCGGCGCTTGCTTGAGGCCCAAGAGAAGTAGGCATCTTTTGGAAAGTAAACTTGCCGACTGTCAAAACGCCCGAACCATTCCATGTTTGCCAAGGACCAGCCGAACTAGTTGATGAATACTGAACGCTCTGGATGGCCAGAGGGCCATTTCCAAGGTTATTGAGTATCAAAGTCTCCGTGACACCATCGGGGTCTTGCCCAGTGACAACACCCTGGAAGGTAATCGTCGTTGGGGCGGCAGACAGCAGAGGGCCAGGGCTTTGGCCAGTTCCACTCAGTCGAGCGTGGGTATTGGTGCTGTAGCCACCAACGCCATTCGTGGTATTAACGACAATGTCATTCGAGATGAGACCAACAACGGTAGGGTTGAACTTGGCTTGGATAGTAAAGGACTCGCCTACCGCTAACTGAAGTGGTGTGGTGGGAAGGCCGGATATGCCAAAGTCTTTGGTAGAGTCAAGCCCAACGCCAGTAATGGTAACATCGATCAGAGCCGTGCATTCAACGGATTGAGAAGGGCTGGATGTTTTCAAATCGACGTTACCAAAAGCAACGGGAGAGGTACAGTTGAGAGGTGCGTTGACTGGTGACCCGAAGCCATAGAAAAGGCCCTGGTTAGTACCTACGTACACAATGCCATCTCCAAAGACAGGTCGGGTGAACTTCATGACGCCAGGGATGTTAAATGAATTGATCATGTTGAGGAGGCCATTCTTGGGGACGGCGTCATAGATGCGGAGATTTAAGCCTTGAACATCTGTCACCCAAAGGAGACCAGTTCCTGGCTGACCGTTGAGGGATGTTGTAGTTCCATGGCTGACGCCGAGGATGTAGGCATTTGTTTCGGGAGTGGTAGCAACTTTGGTAAACGAAGGAACGCCGTCAGTGCACGAAAACTTGAAGATATTGGATGGGTGCTGAATAACGTTGATGTAGATGTAGCCGCCTTCTAGAGGATAGACACCGGCACCAGCGTAGACAGAGTTGTCGTTCTGATAAACTTGAATAGCATCATCCAAGTTGTTGGGTCCATTTCTGTAACCACCCAAGTTATCCAGGTTCAGCCAGTATGTCTTGCCACTTTTACCAGTAACAACACCGATGCGCTTTATATCGCCACAAGAGAATTCACTGGGTAGGATCTCGAGAGGGCTCGTTCCGAGATCTTTATCGGCACCGTCCAACGCCTGTTTCTCCCAAGGCATGAAGAAATCAACCAGATTTAGAGTACCATTCGCGTTAATTGTCATGTGGACAGCGGCCTCTTCTAACGAAGTGGGGGGATTGAAGCCCTTGACAGGAACGTTGGCCAGTTGAGACGCGTATCCGTTGCCAGTAGGAAACCAAAGAGAGCCCGCGTCATCGGAGGCAATGCCTCCACCGGACATCCAAACGCCGGCGCCTTTAATATCATTTGGAACGCCTTTGCCTTCCGTGGCGTAGTACTCAACCACTTGGCCGGTAGTCTTGTCCCAGCCCATGATCCAGCCGGTAAAGTTGTACTGGACGCAATGTGACGCAAACCCAGCATATATGTACTGACCAGTGTGGAGCAATGCGGTTCGTTGGTGGTGAATGCCGCCAGTGAACATTCGTAAGTCGTTGTTGCGGGCAATGATTCCATCGAGAGGGACCGGAAAGTTGGGCCTCTCGCTGAGATCATTGACGTCCAAAGCGTGGACGAAGTATCGGCCAGCATCACGGCCTTGAGGCTTGTTCAATGCAGTTTGGTCGGCATACGTCTTTGAGGTATAGTAGATAGTGTCTGTATCAGGATCAATCACGCCCGTAGCCGTGATTCCAATGTTGGGATTGATGTCAACACATCCATCAAGGTCTGCAGCCAGGAAAGGGATGTGAAGATTTCGAGAGGCCACAATGTTGCCAGTTTTTGCGTCGAGCTTGTAGACGTTATTTTGAGTTGTAGCCACATACACATACTGCTTTGTCCCGCCGCTGGGCGTATAGACGAGAGGCTGAGAAAAGATTTGCTCGGCAGAACCGGCGTAAGTGCCAGGAAGTCGAGTCTGGAACAATTGACCAAATGAGGGACTCCCAACGACAGAGGGGTCCATGTTGTGATTGCTGCTTACACATTAGCGGCTGTACAAACTCACAACGAATAAGCAAATCCTCTTACGTTTGGTATCCAGCTCTGGAGTTGTCACCACCCCAAGTGATGGTATCAGTCGAAGCCAGGCCTTTGGCCAGGCCGACAAAGGCCGCGATGATCAGCACAGCCAGCCCCATTGCTGCCAATCTCAACGATAGGACAAGTAGTTGTTGATGGCCGACACTAAGCAAAGCAGGGGAAGCTCGCTCCTCTTAAAGGAAACGAAACAATCCGATAACTAGGCCGTCTAAAGATATTTCAATGCCAAGTCCTTGATATCGGGTTTGGGTCGGCAAAAGCTGAACCACACGGCTGACAAGGGGATGGCGAAAAACAACCATCCTGCTACAGGGTTTATACTTGGCATCTTGCCATCTTATCCGGTTGCCTGACTTTGCATCTTTGCCTTGACCGGTCGGTGGAGACACGGCTCGAAGCTGGCAATATTGAAAGCGCAGCCATCGGTACGACGTGGACGGCGGACCCTCTCAGCGATAGGAAGCAAGCTGGAAAAGCACGAGCCCGATCTCACTCCCACTGTGTCCCGGCCCATCTGGAAATGACAGCGAACAGGGGGGTTCCAGCAAGTCTCCGCGGCGTGGGGATTCGAGGTTGAGGCTGGCGTCTGGGGGCAAAGAGAAAGAGAACGTGCGCCGGCGGAACAAAAGACCTTTGCAAAACGCCATAAGCTGTCCAGTAGCCGTATAGAGTCTGGCGTTCGGCCGTCAGTGCTTGAACCAGGCTCTAATCAGAGCCAGCCGGAGTCTAATAGCGGGTGCCTGACAGACGGACCCCTGCAAGCTCGGTGGCGCAAGCAGCACAAAGGTGCCAAGCATGCGGTGAATGCAACCTGATGGATCGATCTCAAGTCCAAGAGATAGATGCTGTAGACGCGCAGTAGAGCCGCTTTTATGCAAGTTGCTGCAGCTGTACCCCAAGAGAAAATGGAAGAATACACCATGCAGTGTAAGACGACGGCAGCTGCAGCAGAAGAGGCATAGAAGACCAAGAGATTGATTAACTTAAGCACACATGGAAGTAATCAAGGTACATGTGTTCGTGCCAGGGGGTCCCACCGTGGGCAAAGAAGCATGTTAAGATGCATCATCTATCCAAGTTAGTCGACCCATCCTTAGTACAGGTCAAGGGTTTGCTTTACTACTCGTCTACTGCGGAATTCTACTGTAGGTCTTCATAAAGGCACAATGTTTGTATTAGAACCAGCAATATGAACTTTACTGTGGACCGAAACATCAGGATTCAGCTTCTTCCCGCTTCCCAGCACTCCCAACGCCTCGCCAACAATAATCTCCACCTCGATTTGCAAAGCCGGTCAGCAGTCAATATTTGTTACCACAAGCAACAGCCGCACATCCCGCACAAATTGTTTCCCATTGGCTCTGCCGCAAGGTGGCTATTGAGGCGTCTTGTACTCCGTATTTGCCGGTGGCTTTGTCTTAGATACGAAACACAACAGCACCCTCGCCCATGGAATTCCCAGCTGAGGCTGCGTGCGCCCCCAACTTGCCGTTTCCATATTTGGCAGCCAAGGGCTAATGGAATCCATTTAATTTGGGAATATGCAGGTAGGTGGTACGCAGCAACACTTCTTCCGGCAATACTATTTCCCCCCCAGAAATAATCCTCTCATTGTCAATATCCCTCCACCCTGGAAGCACAGGTGAGATTGAAGACCCCTGGGCCCACGTGGTCGGGAGATTGAAATGATGGCTGTTATTGGTGGCTCAGTCAGGATATTACCGGAGTTTGTTTGTGCAATAGCTCTTATCTATTTATTAATTTTTCGGCAAAGGAGAAAGAGTGCCAATTTCGGAATTTCACTTCGCGATCGTGATCCAGTGATCAGCACAGACGGTTCAATTGTTTGCTATTTGCCCCAACTGAGCAGCTTGGGGCAGCATCAAGAGCTGAACTGATAACAGCAAGGGGTCTAGACACGCGGCTAAAAACAGAAGCACTTGAATATTGATCGATTTGAATCCCGTCCGCTTCCTAATTTTATTTCCCGGTGGCGATGGTAAGTCTTGGCTGCATCAAAAACCGACATCGCTTAACTTCTCTTGTAGAGTAGCAATCAAGTGCGGTAGCATTCATGGAAGATATCTATCCGTATCAGCAACCACATTCGAATTTATTGGTGGCGAAATAGAAAAGCAACGCTGCCCTGCTAATTTCAGCTTCATTTGTTATCGTGACCAACTGCATCCCATGCAATCATCACCAAGACTATTGGAATGGCTCGCTAGTGTTACGAGGAGTAAATAACCGACTCCATGGCCATATTGTAATTACGTAGCAATAAAGCCCAGTAGTAATTGATTGGCTAACCCTGTAAAGGAACTTAAGGGCAAGAATTCGAATGCTGTCGACGAAAATAAGCATGCCACCATGAAAGATTGTCGCTATTGTCGACACAGTGACTGGAATATTTACGCTATTCGTCAGACCTTATCAAACTTATTCGCTAACACAAAAGATAGATGAACGAGGTTGCTTTGGATGGAAGTAGATGTTAAAAAGAAGCCACACACCAGTTCAGACATTAACAACCCTTTTTTTTTTTTTTTTTTTTTTTTGGTAAAAGTACTGGACTCTATAGAAGACTTTCATTGACGTGGGGCCTGGACCTTTGCGTATGCAAGAAGGAGATAAGAGCTCGTGTCTGAACGTAAAGTATCGATACTTTCCAAAGTTCCATATTTACAAATTAGAAGATAAACTGGTAAAAGGTACCTTAGCAATCTGGAGTATGTGAAACTACTAGGGGACATGGTATATGAGCGATGCTCACACAAGAGTACCTAATAGTAATAGCCACTGACTCAGTATCCGTACAATAAGCACCACTTGTCCTTTAAAACAGAAAACCTGGCGCATCATTCGCAAATTCAGGAACAACAACAAGAGATGTACTCAAAATAAGGGCTACCGTCGCCAGGGACGACATATGCAGAACTCATAGATACACTTTTGGATAGGAATTTGACGGTCCACTCTATGGCAGGAAATTCAAGCTTCATATCTTAAGAGAGATGACGTGTTAGGTGGGCTCAAGCCAACGCAATCGCCAAGATCCCCTTCTCCCGCTGGCCCTGGAACGCTGCCCCTTCTCCTACGATCATCAGCTTAACAAAGCATTTAAAATTCAGCCTAAGCATCACGTTTAAGATAAAAGTTGATGTGGTGAGGAGCAGATGGCTCTGTGCTTTCGAAGGATCTTGGATGAAAGATGGAGATGTGGAAAACGCGAAATCTGTGACTGGCTTGCTGATGAGTGGTGCCAAAATCCCCTATGCTGGCTGGTCCACAAGATGGGCGTCCGGTATTTCCTAAACGTAGTGTAGGTACTACACGATTCTGAGAGCAACTTTGCAGACATGTTTCTGTGCCTCCTTTAATTCTGTCAGTCTCTTTTCATGCAGTAGTATGGATTAGTTGTACTTACCAGATATTCAAGCGCCTCTCTCAATTCCGGTAGAGTAAATACTCTCCTATCTAAGAACCGGCTGAATCCTATTGAGTTTTATTGCGGCCGTCATTTCCTCCATGAGAGCTCTTGAGCCGACGTGGATGCCACGAAAGATACAGATCCTCAAAAGTGCAGACGTAATGCTCTCTGGTGGTGTCACTCAAGTTACAACCCCAATAACCGTAATGACGCCCTCTGGCTTGATCGTGTATACAATTTGATATTGTGTCAGTGCCACCAACTTCAACGATAATGCCAAAACTTTTCTAGTTAGGTGTAAGTTTTCTCGCAGTCTTTCCCTAGTTTGGATCGCCGCGGTAGTTGATAACGTGGTCAGCGCCGAGGCGCTTAAGCAGCTCAGACTTCTCAGCAGATGAAGTCGTAGCCACGAGTTTAGCACCAGCAGCTTTGGCAAACTAGATCAGGCGTTAGTTGTTGGCTACAATATATATAATTCTATAAGCCTGTACAAGCATACCTGCACCGCAAAAAGGCTTACACCTCCAGTTCCCTGAGTTAGAACCCATTCACCAGGCTTCAGTGGCTTCCCACCATATAAGGCGTTCCAAGCTGTGGCTCCGGCAGCAGAGAGGTATGCTCCTTCAAGATATGAGAGATTTGAGGCAACGCGGACAAGCCAAGTCTCTTCAAAAACTCCTTACTCTTAGAACACGCCGTCTATCGTACCGCCCAAGCCGCCTTTTAGATGTGCATCTACAGTTGTTGGGCCAGCCTGGTGGCCAGGATTGAACAAAGTCACGACTCGGTCGCCCTTTTCCCGCTTGGTCACCTTGGATCCAATTGCTACACCGTCGCGGCATGCAATTTGACCAGCACCTCGTTATCTTGAAGGTCCCTCGGTCAAGCACCGATTATCTAATAACCCTTTTCCCTCACCCGTGATAATCTACTTCTTCTGTATCGAAGGAATGGCCATATTGATAGCTCGACCCGATGTATTTCTAGGCGGAAGTTGGTAACAAAATGGTCTGAGGCAAGATGGAGTTACGGCTAGATCATTCGTGGCTAAAGCGCATACGAGGATTACCTATCGAGGCGAGCCCCGTGGATTACACGACGACCGAGACACATCTATAAGGGTCTACAGGTAGCGGAGCGGATCGGCGTAGACCAAATGGCTGTTTACACTTTATTATCGATACTATTTTTGACAACAACTAATTAAAGTTATCAGATTAGCTTCGCCTCTATTCACTTGAGCTCAGGCACCTGTACCCAATGAAGGTATACTGCCCTATCTATAACTTTCCTGTGGGTGAGGTTCTGTACGTGTACGCGCAAGGCGATTAAACTGCTCAAGGTAGGTATATAGATATCTGTCTATGGTTTTACTAGCATTCTAATTTTTATATACGACTAAGTAATTAATAAAGTGTAAAGCTGAGCTTTTGCAGGATTCAAGCCGCTTACCCACATGCACTCACTCGCCGAAGCGGCGGTTGAGTCATGCGGGGCTCAGCAGTCAGCCAGCAAAGTATCGAAACACCAAGATGACTATCACGGCCAAGGTAAAAAAAAAATAATGCGGTAAGGAGCAGCAAGCTCTGTACTATAAAGGTATCTTGTATGGACGATGGAGATGTGGAAAACCAGCAAAAACAGAATCTGTCACTGGCTGGCTGATGACTGGTGCCAAAAGTTATCCACATCCTATTAGCTGGCTTGACTTTCAATCTGCCACCTTCACTTCAGCAACCTCAGCACCAGATATCAGCCTCATCACCACCACTACATGGTTGACGATCTACATAAACATAAGATCAGACACTTCTTACACACATCCCCATGGCCAACCCGTCAAAACTCCGGTTCGCCGCTCCTCTGCCGCAATCTCCTCGATCCGACGTGCTCGAGTGGAAATTCCCCAAACCGCACAGCCAGCTCGTCCTCACGGGCCGGTCTCGAGCTGCCTGGCACACGTCCTTTGTGATTCCCTCGCTCAATCTTCTACTAGACGCCGGGCTTGTCGTCAACAACCAGCGTCCCAAGCACATCTTCTTGACGCACGGCCACAGCGATCACACGCTGCTAGCGCCGGCATTTGTGAAGCGCGATGATCCGCCGGATATTTTCTGCCCGATGGAGATGAGGACTGCGTTTGACAACTTTGTCCTCGCCAAGACAATACTCAATCTTGGAGGAGAGATTGGGCCTGAAGACGCAGACATCCGGGGACTCCCTATAGACGACCAAGTGGTTGCCAGAAGCGAGGAATTGGGCCGGACTCCCTCTTCTACAGCTTTTCTCAACACGCACTTCACTCACGGGCTGCATCCCGGCGACTCTGTGCCTCTCCGTCGCGCTCAGGGCATCACGGCAACAGCCTTTCGCTGTGACCATACGGTCCCCTGCTTGGGCTACGTCTTCAGCAAAACCACGCAGCGTCTCAAGCCGGAATTCGCTTCCTTATCGGGTCCCGAGCTTCAAGCACTGCGCAGGTCCGGCACCGAGCTCACGGCTCCTCACACCACGCCTATCTTTGCCTTCCTGGGCGACACGACGACACAGACACTGGAAGCGGAGCCCTCGTGGCTACAGGAGGGCATCCCCGTCGTCATCACCGAGTGCAGCTTTCTATATGAGGAGCACGAGGCACAAGGCATAAAGACAAAGCACACGTCATGGCGGGATCTGGAAAAAGTTGTGAGGAAGTGGCCGCGGACGACGTTTGTGCTGACGCATTTCAGCATGCGGTATGATGACGCCGAGATTGCAAAGTTCTTCAACGAAATGCCCGACCCGCCGGAAAACATTGTCGTGTGGGCAGATTTGGAATGCTGAACGCGAGAAATCGTGTGGACGTCCCTGTTGAGCTGTAAGCGACACCGCCAATTTCTGCACTGCCCGTGGGATGAGCTGTCATTCGTGCTACCGTGGATATTGCATCAAAAGTTACATGTTTGGTGCGACCTCAGATGGGGGGGCTTGACTGTGAGATGAATGTCCCAGGGGATGCGAGGAAATGCCATGTACACATACACCAGAACATACAAGATCAACCCGACGAAAGAGAGTTTTGTTCACAAACTGACGGTGAAGCAACGCCCAAGCAGAGCTACAACGGCGTCTTCCGATTTACACAAAGCATCCAATCTATAAAAAGCAACAAGCACCTCTTTGGTTCCGGGTCATCGGGATTCTAAAAAAGCATCTCTCCTTCTTCTACGGGTACACCAAGCTCGCCTCCCACAAGGCCATCTATAAAAGGCAATTCTACGAAGCAAACATTTTGCAAATAGCATGTCCAAGCTTCATCCATGAACCATGTAAAGAATACGGCTCACCTCATGTCCACCATCTCCCTCGAACCATACCGGTTTGTCACACCTCAAGAGAGGCCGCCTTATTCTCCAGTCCGATCCGATCTCAAATACATAGGGGGCCTCCCTCGCATCTTGCCTCTTCGCTTTGATGCAGCTCGCAACATCATTTATTTCTCAATTTCTTTGCCAAATCAAGAAGCTTCCTCATGAATGGCAAGATATCCAGTTTCAACTTCAGCCATCTCATCTTCTACAACACCGCCCTCCCAAACAACTATATCCCAACCAACAAACCGCCAACATCAGCAAGACATATACAAAAACAAATCACAAATCACCGCCGCCGCCATGTGCGTCCACTTCCAGTCCTGGAACCGCTGCTCCTCCTGCTTCCTCACCTTCAACCGCCGCTGCAACCGCGTCCCCTGCTGGAACGGCTCCCTCTCCCGCTGGCGGATCCACCGCCACGGATTGTCCTGCCGCAGCGGCTGGTACGAGCGCGCCGACGACGAAGTCTACACGCACTTATCTTGTGAAGCATGCAACATGGAGGCGGCAAACAGCGCTGAAGACAAGGCAGATGCAATAGAGGCGCGGAATGCAGGGCTGATGAGTGGGATGATGGGGAGTAGGTCTGCGATTGCAACGACGAAGATACGGATGGGTATTAGCAGTGTTTTTGTAAGGTTGTGGTCGTTTAGAGAGGCACTACGTGTACGCAGCAGTAATAGAAAGGGAAAAGGCCATCTTCCCGTCAGGATATGGATGCTATAATGTCCAACACCTACCTCATTACTCCGTAGATCAAGCTTATACAAATATGACATCTAGAATTTCTCTACCAACATTCTCTCTCCTTGTTCTCCTTGTTCAATCTCCCCTCTCCCCCTTCCAATAAAAACCCCCCATCATCATGAAGCAAAAACTCCGTAACACCAAGCCCCCGACCAGCCCTGCGCATTCTTCAATAAAAAAAAAGCCACATGCGCCTCCTGTCCCTCCAAACACGCCGTCACACAGAAACCGGGCCCTCGCAGATAACCGTTACCCAAGTATCGACGCCGTTTGAAGGGCGGTCAACCTGCCGGGTTTTTTTTACCTTGCCCTCTTGTTCTCTTTTGAGTCAAAGGTATTATGGGAAAGCTGGGTGTGTACGGTAGTATTGGTGTATCATGTCGTGACGGCGGTTTATGAAACCAAAATGCGTTTTTTGGGTGATGGGGATGAAACGATATGACGAGACAACGATGTGATACAGATTTTTTTTAGCTACTATTTTATTTTGCGTGTTTTCCCACGGGGTTACAATGACGTTTATAGCATCACTTGAAGCTGTTTGATAGTCATGTGGCCAACTACCCGGCAATCAACATACAAACATTTATAAATACCAGCGTCATATCATGTGAAAATTCAGTCATTTTAATCTAAAGAAAGAATTTGGGATTTCGTTTAGAAGAAAGTAAATCGTCGAAAGCAGAAATTGCTGTTCTCTTTGTGTATTCAACCACAGAAAGTAGGTATCCTGACAATTAGCATCCCAGCATTTGCTCCATCTCACCACTTACTTTCACCACCAATCCCAAAAACATGACAAGGATTAATATTCCGGACTCCGTTTGGTATAATCCTCACCGTACGGAATTTCCAACAACAAACCTCCGTGCTGCGATATCTTCCTTACGAATAAAGTAAAATCACCTCGGTATTAATCCCGTACACGATGCTCCGCACCACCCACATGGCATGGCTCAGGACTTGCAGCTACAAATTAAATCCGCGCTGTACGAAGCTTGGCAGCAGGCCTCGGAATCTACGCATATGGCGAATAAAAGATATGTCATCAAGTCATTGTAAATATTACTTGGCAGTGTCTTGGCCAGCTGCCGCTAATTCACTCAGCTATGATGCATCCGCGTTCCCTCCCCGGATTCGCTTTCGTGTCTTTCGGCGCCTCGTAAAGCTTATCAAATAAAACCAAACAAAAGCCCAGTGATTATATATACAAACCGTGTTTCCTGCACCGAGTTCCCGTTTCCCAAAACAAAATGTTGAGCCCTTTCTTGTGCCTCCTATGCCTACATGTCGTATATATATAAAAAAAAGACAATCGAGAAGCCAAGGAAAACGGATCGAAGATGGCCTAGCGATAAGAAAAAATGGCCGTATTAGATAGTGCTTGGTATATGCCGGTGTAGATATATTTTCTTAATCCTGTCGTGGCAATGAATAATGAGGAGTCATCTTGGATCAAGGCAGTCTGCTTCATGGCTTCTCTTCAGGCTGCTGTTGGGACTGCTGCTCTTGAGACTGCTCCTGAGGCTTCTCTTGAGACTGCTCTTGAGACTGTTGCTGGGACTGGTCCTGAGTCTGCTCTGGGGATGGTTCCCGCGACTCTTCCTTGGGTGGGTTCCTGGCCATGAGGTCCTTCTCGGTAATGTAGAATTCAGGCTTCTCGTCGAGGAACTCTTTGTGGAACATTTCGAGATAGCGGCCAGGAACCTGCTGGCCGACAAAAACCTTGATCCAGCTGTCCTTTCCAGTCCACAAGTGGCGAATGAAGCGACCCTCACACTCGGAATCGCTGTTAGGGAAACCGTTGGCGTCGGTGCAGGCGAGCTGCCTAATGTCCTCGGGGAAATCGTATCGAATAAAGGTGCCAAAGCCGCCTTGGTCGGTAGGTCGGCCGGGAGAGTTGGTGCGGAACTCGACACATTCGGGGTGCTTGCCGTTCTCCTCGGGGCATCCTTGCCAGGCGTCCATGATTTCGTACGTCTTGGCGTTGTTTTGCGCAACAATGAAGCCAGTGTTGAGCATGAGCTTGCCAAACTTGTCCTTGTTGTACTCGCGGTTGGGGTCGACGGCCAGGGCAAGAGAGTTGTTACGAGGGTCGAGGTCCCAGTAGTTCAGCAGCCACTCAAAAGGAAGGTCGAGGTTCTGGAAGATGGCGTCGGAGTCGAGATACAGGCACACCTTGTGCTCCTTAAGGATGGTGGAGATGACAGGGGCCTTCTTCCAAGAAGCACGGCGGTCCTCGGGCTTCTCAATGGCAACAAAGTAGTACTTGTAACCGTGAATCTTGGCTGCAAGTGGTCACGTTAGCTTGGATGCCAATGATGCTGCGAGAGTGGAATTGGCAACGTACCATAAAGCCAGTGGTTGAGCACGCCAACAGACAGGCCATGAACCTTGTCGGGGTTCTTCTCCCAGCTCATGACATCGGGTCCAAAGATCTGATGAGGCGCATCAAAGGGGCGATTGTCGAGGTCGATGATGCATAGATCGTTGCCGAGGGGCTCCGGGAAGTGAATGTCGTGCTTCAGGTCGAACTTGAAGGCTCCATAGGGTTGGTAGAAGCTGGAGTTGGGCTTGATGGAAGGCTTGTGGACTTCGAACCAGACATCGCGGAAGCTGGTGTCAGGCTTGACAGGTTCAACGGGTTTAACGGGTTCGACGGGCTTGACAGGTTCGACAGGCTTGACGGGTTCAGAAGGCGGCGTTACCGGAGGCACGACGCCCGTGTTTGTGTTTGGCTGCGTCCTGGAATTCGTCGTTGGGTTAGCCATATCCATATACTGCTAGATCTGTTGCCAGCAGCGGACCACGATGCGATCTGTGACCACGTACCTGTTGGGCAGTTCGGCCGAGTCCAGGTGGTTGTAAACCAGGCCGGCAAAGACAATGATGAAGATGATGGTGCCGGCCAAAAGGGCCGACAGCTTTGAAGATCGAACACCGCCGATAAACATTATCGCTGCATACTCCGCCTGTGCAATGCGGATAAAGAGGACAAGCCCTGTTTTGTATCGGCGCAGGAGGGAAAAAAAGAGGGCAGAGGGCAGAGGGAGGACTGAGGGAGTGGATCCTAGCGAACGGTGATCCGCGTGCCCACCAAAAACACGGGGATTATATGCTGTACTCGTACTCGTACGGTAGAGAAAAGGAAGGAGAGAAGACGCAAACGGAATCCGGACACAAACAAGAAGCAGGAAATGAATGGAAAGAGAAGCTGGTGACAACCGGCAGAAAGAAGCCCGAGCGTTTGGAGAGGACGAAGAGGCGCGTGGCGAAGCACAGCCAAGACGCTGGAGATGGAAGACGGCCACTCCAAGGCGGGAAAAGGGGCAGAAACAAGGACAAGACTGGAGACAAGGACCTTGGCCACGTTATCCGGTACGTACCTGGAGGCCCATGGCCGGGTATCTGCTAACAGGAGAGACGATCCGTCGCTAGCAAGCAGCACCAAAGTCGGGGGCTTGGCGTTGACGGGGGAATCTCGAATCTCGCTGCAGTACGCGCGCTGCTAGTAGCTTTTAGCTGCTTGTGTTTGACCCGTTTCTGGCCCTGTTCTGTTCTGTTCTGCGAGTGCCCACTGCTGGCGGCTGTTGAGAGGCACAGCTTTTGGGGTCGCAGGCTAATACTAGGTCCTATCTAGTGCCAAGTACAGGAGTCTAGCAGGGGGGGACAATTAAATGGACTGGATGCAGGTTTTTACTTTTTACAGCAACTTTGGAGGAGTGGCGCTAGCTATTTCTGTTGGATGAGTAAGACGTCAAGAGTGCGTGTTGATACTGTTTCAGCTGGATTTTGCTTTTGGTAAAGTTGCTGACGGAGGGCGTTGTGGGCTGTGTGATTCGCTGCACTACGACATGTTGCTAACAGATGGCGAGGGAATCAATGGATGTACCAAGGGTCGATACGAGAAAACAGCTGCGGCATTATCCCAAGACAGTATTCTGTGCTACGTCTGGATAGTATGTGCTGCACGATGCAACTGGAAGAGTCTATGCGTATTAGTTGCTGTCTATTGACGGACTTGGCTCCCTCTTCTGGCGGCGTCGGGAATCGGCACCGTGCCGCGTAACCGATTGATTCTACGGCAGAACCTTGAAGAGAAATTACAGGACACTGACAACTCCCAAAGGATTCAATGTTCTGCTTTAGCACATTGCATGCAGTAAAGCAGAAAATAAAAGTAGAAACAACGGTCGAAAACTCTAATAACGGTGAGGATACCAACATCTGCACCCCAAAGAGGAAAATGTTGGTCTTGCCACAGATGCATCCAGTAAGCCTGTTCGCTAGCTTCAAGTATATCTCAGCCCGCTGGAGCCTTTACACAGAGCACAAGAGGCGAAAAATAAGATTTTGACACTTGATCAATTTCCGCTTTCAGCATTGATGATCAACATACGTACATACAACAAATACTACACTCCATACAAACATCTTTTCTTCATCAGCTGGAAATTGCAAAAAAGAGAAGAAAAGAAAAAAGAAAATCACATGCGTGAACTGGGAATCGAACCCAGGGCTCCCCGACGTTGCTCGGATGGCAACGGAGAATTTTACCACTAAACCATTCACGCTACTCCATTTGATGACTGCTCTTTGATTGTTTGCCTCTATAATCCTCAGAATCCTCAGCCATGCGAAATGGTAACCCTCTGGCACCAATCGCGCCCATGCGCAACCTGGTAATCGCAGAGACTCGTCTCCATCAGGATGCTAATCAGGCCTGCAATGCAAATGCCCCCGCTGTCACTCACCGTAGTGGCGCTGAGACTAAACTCGCGCTCCTCAACCGGTACATTTTCCATGATTTCGGCGAAGCAGTTCACGTAGACGGCGCCGCCCAATAGGCCCTCCCAGAAGATGATGATGAATACAATGTAGACGGATGGAATAAAGAAGAACATGGCATGGAGTGTCAGAAGAATCAAGTTTCCGACTTGGAGTAGGGATGGGAGGTACAGGTAGTGAACACGGATAAAAGCGGTGGAGGACCGCGAGATGAAGACGCCAACCTGATATAGAAACCCATAGAAGGGATAGAATTCACGGTACTCCTTGAATGGCGACGATTCGAGTGGGAAGAGTAGCGTGGGCGCGACGCCTTGGTTGATGGTATACTCGGCAATATATACCAGCAGCAAGGGCGCCATGTACGGTATGAAGAGCGCCTTGGCTCTCCGCAAGTTGTTCTGGAGAGAATTCGAGCCACCCCGAGTCATGGCATACGCGGTGTTTGCTGATAGGACAGATGGCTCCGGTACAAGCAGCGCAGAAGTGCTAGCTGTAATCTCCTGTTCCGTCTGGTCTGCATCCATTTCGTCCTCTACGTCTCTTTCCGGAACAGCATCATATTCCTTCAATGCACCAGCTTGACGTAGCGGCTCTAACGGAAGGACGATGAAGAAGCTGATGAACATGATGAGAGGTAGACAAGCCGAGAAGAGCAGGCTCTGCTGGACAGTAAACCCCCACCAGTCCGTCAACAGCACATATAAGCCTGCACCAACCAGACCGGCTGCACCAGTGCCAGATCCCCAACCGGCCAAGCTCACATGTCCGTAGTAATGCGACAGTCCCAAGAAACTGAGCTCGCCTCCGCCACTACTCAGGCTAGCCAAGACTACTCCCACCATCTTTACCGGCACCGATTTGGACGGAGGTGTAAGAGCAATCATCAACATGCCGCCTGCAGACAGCGCGATGAAGATGAGTACTCGTATCGGGTACGGTATGCGATGGATAAAGTATGGAGCAATGAGCTTGGTGAAGAACGAGGGGACGACGTCGGCGAGGAGAACGACACCTTTCGGGAGGGATCCGACGAGGTCTTGCGCGGCCGAGAGGATGATTACGTAGAGCACATTGTTGATCAGACCTGTCAAGCAAGACAGATGGTTAGCTACATGGCATATTGATATATGATTGTGTAAAAGCCAGGAATTTCATAAGATGCGCACCAAGAAGCCAGAAGGCGACGACGACCCTTATGTTGGGATGCTTCACCAAGCTCTTCAGTCTGGCGCTGTAGGCGGCCCAGGACGATGACGGAGCCCCAGGCATGGGGAGCAGCCCAGACGCAGACGGGGAGCGACTAGACATTCTGTATTCGAGTCGACTGAGAGACCATCACTAAGAGAAGAACATTGTTGAGTGTAAAGAGCTTTGCATCGAGCAAGCTGGGAGAATGTTGATGGAAAGAGTAGCTGACATGGGTCACGCGAGGTTGGAGGCGGCTGTATGGAGTAGATAAGGATCGCGATAAGGAGTGCTGGAGCGCTATGACGCAGCCACTTCTCTTGGAACACATGAAAGGCCCGTCACATGTGCTATTTTTCTACCATAAGTTCACAACGTATTGGACAATCTCGTTTCTGGCTCTCAATTTCACACTTAGACGGTACGTCAGCTAATCGTGTGGATAGAATCTGGATGAATTTCCTTTCATCTTCAGACTCGCGTTACATTCTACGCGCAATCCATGCTATGAGCAATGGTATATGATTTCATGATAACGCAGAATGAAGAATAGATGTTGACCAGCACGGCCGATCAAAGCAAACACAGATTTGAAATCGGGATGCTACACTAGATCTAGCTTTGTAAAGGAACCATACATCATTGTGAACACTCGTCGCTTGTCAACATTGAGGAACTTACACAGCTGTCAGTCCTGCTAGCCTAGAGACGAAATAGCGAGGATGACACCCCGTAGTGCATGTCCTCATCCTCTAGCTTCTCTGCCATGAATCAATTATAAAGCTGAACTGGTATATTATTGACTTCAATTAATTTACCTTTATTTGAACTTAAATCTCAGTAATAGTACCTATGAATTGAATCCTCATGTTTCCCATTTTCTTCACCAATCCGGCAAATTCTCGGCCCAAACACCAAGATTTCGCAATCGCAAAGTTGCGATACTCTTTTGCGCCGCCATCAAAAAAATTATTAATCTGCAATCCAACCACTCCCAGCTCCCGTCGCAACTACATTTCGCTCTTTACAATCCCAATTTAGATCGGATCGCAATCGAATCATCTCATACAATACAGAATCAAGCATCAGCTTCAACCATGGCAGAAGACGCCTGTCCCGTCGACCACAAAACCCGCGACGCCTGGCTCGCCCAAGCTCGCGCCGCCGAAGCCTCCAAACAGAACCAAACACACACCCAAGTCGACCCATCTCAGGCATCCAAATGCCCCGTCGATCACTCCTCCAAGAAGCCTTCCTCCTCCTGGACCCAGACAATCTCCTCCTACATCTGGTCCTCTCCCTCCCCCGCCGCAAACCTCCCCGCAGACCACCCCGCGATATCTTCTTCTTCAACAACGCCATCCGGCCTCGAGACCTCCCGCGTAACATCTACCATCCCCCGCTCCTTTGCGAATTCGGATGAATGTCCCGTCGACCATGGCGCTTCTGCGAATCCGTCTAATGCGGAGGTCGAGTCTGGTGTGGATGCTTCTGGGAACTGGGTTTATCCCTCGGAGAAGATGTTCTTCGAGGCGATGAAGCGCAAGGGCTATGATGCGCGCGAGGTGGACATGAAGACGGTTGTGCCCATCCACAATGCCGTCAATGAGCGCGCATGGCAGCAGATTAAAGAATGGGAAGCTCCCTACCTGGCCGACTCAAAGTACGTTTGTCGCTCTCTCTCCTCCATCCACACTCCAACTTTCCCCATCCCCATTTCCAGCTACAATTCTCCATCAAAACACCATGAAATACAACAGCTAACCGCAGAAACTGCAGATGTGACGGTCCCAAGCTCTCCTCCTTTGCCAACAAAAGCACCCGCATGACTCCAACAGCCCGCATCAACACCATCCTCGGCTACACCGCGCCCTTCGACCGCCACGACTGGGTCATCGACCGCTGCGGCACTCGCGTCGACTACGTCATTGACTTTTACGCTGGACGGCCTGGTGGCACGGCTGGAGGCCCGAGCTTCTATCTCGATGTCAGGCCGAAGCTGAATACCTTGGAGGGAGTCAAGATGCGGGTTATGAGGTGGACGGGTTTGGCTTAAGAGTGACCCTTTGGAGAGCAAAAGATGGATGTGGTGTGATGTATAATACGATTCACGTGAGGCATAGGAAAATGGCGTTTTGTTGGATTGATAATGATGTGTTGCGTTAGAAAAACATATATAGATAGATGGAGCTGGAAGAGGGCTCCTTGTACAATACAATCTCCTGTACGATTCTGAGAAAGGCCTCTTGTGTCATTCATTGCGTCAATTCATTTGCATCGTTCCTGTGATGCTTTTACTGGGTCTGTGTAGTACAACAGTGTTACCCCAGCAAACCCATTCCGACCTCTCTGTCCCAATTCGCCTAAGCAGAGCATTTGCACTCATTTACATATTCTTCGCTCGCTTCTTCCGTATCTGCAGCCGAGTAGGAGCCTTTGTCTCCAAAGCCTGCGCCTCCAGATTCCAGCCTTTCTGCGCCATCTGGTCCCAGAGATCAGGGTTGCTGAACTGTGGCACAAACTCGCTGTCCCTGTCCCTGCCCGCAATGCTAAACTTTCTGCCATTGCCTTGAACACCGGCATCGCAGAATAGCTCGTCCAGTTTCTGAGTGTAGGCACCGCCGTTATCCACCATCCAGGCGATTTCCATTGAGGCGAACCATGCCCGTATGGCGTCTATCGGCTGCGCTCCCTCCCAAAGGAGCATTTTGATGGGGGTGAGATATTTGGGGACGCGGGAGCATATGAACCGGGTATGCTTGATGCCGTCGACGATGATTAGTTGGTCGTGCGGATCGGAGCAGCTCATAGCATGGCCATAGCTTTCAGCAAATTCGAGATAGACCACCTTTTTCCCGCGGATATTTCTCATGATGGGGCTCCAGAAGATGATACTCTCTCTTTCTGCAACTTGCTCGGGGGTTAGGACGACGCGGTTCTTGAGATACTCGCTAAATAGGATTGTTGCTCGTTGTCTGTTGAGTGTAGTCATGCAAACACTGCGAACGCCGAGGTAATTCATGCCGAGATGGGCAAAGACGAGGAGAATCATCAGGATCACGACACTTGAATGGTCTTCAATCGTCTTGACGACCAATGTGCCAACAAGCAATCCGATCAATCCTACGGCTGTCTCCTGGCTAGCTTCTTTTGCATTCAGTTCAGCGAGATTGTCCTGTCTTGCAAAATGCACACTCAGCGCCGCTTTGCTGGCACCGGCGGCAACACCGCATAACGCTCGGAGTGCTTCGCCAGTGCTGAGCGCAATCACCTTGCCCCAGGAGCCAAGGTACGGACTGTAGAGCTCCAGAAAGAAGGCGCTGTCGTTGAAAATATCAGCCAGGAAACGGTATCGCTTTGCATCTGGCTCAATACGAAGGCCAAAGCGGTGGGCAAACACGATTGTCGCAATGCGAGACATGGCATCTTTGAGGATTGTGAGAAGAAGGGCAAACGTCGCAGAAGAAGACGCATCTCCAACACCTAGACCTTGAAGCAGGGCGCGATTGGCAAGAAGAGAGCTGATGGTTGAAAAGAAGGCTTGGAGAGAATCGAACATTTGATATGCCAAGTAATCCTTAGAGACTGAGTGCGGGAATCCCACTGGGAGAAACGAGTCAAACAAGACCTTGCGCCATTCTCGAGCAGAGCGGGAGAAGAAGCCGTTGGATCTGTTCTTAAGCTGGGTCTGTATCCGATTTAGAATATGCTCATTAGTAGAGGGAGGGAGGGAGGCTCACTCGCAAGACGTGGCCGTCGTGGGCATGGAGCCACTGCTGCTGCACATGGCCAGACTTGTCGAGCTCCACGATTTCGACATCGTTGCCCCAGGCTAGAAGATCGGTAATTCTCTCCTCTGGCTCGTCTTCAGGTTCGTGATGAGTTGCCATGGCGGGCATGTTGAGCTTTCAGCCACCTTCAAATCAAGATGCAGCAGCGAGACTGATAATTCAAGGAGTTGCGATCATGAGACGAGATTCGCGGGTGAAAAGACTGACTTGAAAAAAATGAGGAAGTGAGTGTGCTCAAAGAAGAAGAGAAGGTTTCAATTTAGGAACAAGATGCGCAGTGAATTTTGCCTATGGGCTGCAGTGAATGATGCAGAAGGAAAGTTGAAAGTTGCCAGTGTAGGGTGGAAGCGATTGTGTTAGGCAGGTGAATCAAAGGTGGCAGAATCAACTTTGCCAGCTGCAATTTTGGCACAGCACTGTCCCATAACCTACAGCGGGAAATGGCAATAAAAAGCCAAAAAAACACATGATATTCCAATTCTTCAATCCATCTATCGATAGGTATATTAACTTTTGATATGATATTCTTTTCGCCATGTACATTTACGGCTTGTATCCCAACAAACGCCAGATTCTATTGCCTCCCATCTATCGCTTCACAGGCGTGCCATCCTCAGCAACCAGGAACTCATCCGTCTTGAGAGGACCCTCTCCAACGCCAGTCATGATGACTCTGCTGACGCCCTCCTTGATAGTGCCGGCGATGCCCTCATCCAGCTTGACACTGGCGTTTACGACGTTTCCATCCTTCCAGCCCTCGGCGGTGGCCAGGATCGGCGCAAAAGCACCCAGCACCGTCGCCGCATCCTCCTCCTGGTAGTACACAACGCAGTTGGGGCCGGCATCAAAAGTGTAGGCGGCAATGGTCTTGCCAGCCTGAGCATTGATGGCCTCGACTGCGCGGATGGAGGCCTTGGACACATCGTTCATGTAAAAGATGGGGGGGTAGGTGTCGGCGCAGGTGGCGTGGAACGAGTTGGAGTCGCGCATAGTGACCTCGGCGAACTGAGGAAAGTTGCGGTTCTTGATGGCATCCTCCATCAGGGCCATGTTGGCGGGGACGACGGTGGCTATTCTCTCCTTGAACAGGCCCGAAGTTGCGACAGTCTGCTGCATGCCAGAGGTGGACGAGACGCCCTTCTTGGCGGCGCTGACAACCAGAATCAGCGCTCGCATGCTGGGCCAGTGCGAGGCGGGAGCAACCAAGTCAGCCATGGAGTCGCTGCCGTCCGCCTTGTCACCCATTCTCCAGGCGACATATCCGCCGAACAAGCTGCGGCAGGCAGAGCCAGAGCCCTGGCGAGCAATGAGGGACAGCTCTGACGGAGAGTCGGGGAGCTCGTAGAGGTTGGCAATGGCCTGGACGAGGGCAGCAAAGCCGGCGGCAGACGAAGCCAGACCAGCGGCCGTGGGGAAGTTGTTCTCGGAGACGATCTTCAGGGGGAAAGTGGACAGCTTGGGCAGCGAGTTGTTGGCAGCCTCGAGGGCAGCTCGGCGGGCGCGCAGCTCACGGAAGCAGGCCTGGGTTCGCGCACCCGAAACGTCGGAGGGCTCGCCATTGAGCAGCAGGCTGTCGTCGCCGGTGTAGGAGGAGGAGCAGGAGGCGGTCGTGAGGGTGCGGAGATCGCTCTGGGACAGCGTCACGGAGAGGGAGCTGTTGGTGGGGAGGTTGAGCTTTGCGTCACGCTTGCCCCAGTACCTAGAGGGAGGAGGATGGCGGTTAGCAGCTGATTCTCTGGGGAGATTCTGTTTGTTTCTTCATTCGTCGGGGCCCAATTGCTCGACATACTTGACAACAGCAATGTTGACGGGGGCGGTGGTGCTTGCGCGGTAGACCTTTGTGTCTGCCATGGCGATCGATGGTTTGGAGGGATCGAGGACGGGAGATGTGCGGATTCTTTATCTGACTCGAATAAAGATACAAGATGCCACAGTCATAAACAATGGCTGGTCGAAGCAGAAGAAGAGAGGAGAGGAGGTTTGATGTAGTGGTTTATGTGTGCCCATTTAGAAAGGAAACGTGGGTTGGGCGCAAAGGCAAAATGTCACCCGTACTTTTACACCGCCCAACACAGGCTATCTCTGTAGGTAGCTACTACTGCAAACACTAAGGCCGATTGTGCTAGTACCTGGACGGCCAATTTTAAAGGATCCAATGCCTTTAGATCCATCCATCCATCCAATCTATTCATCTATCATCTTGGTCCCCTTAAAATTAGAGACGAACAGACGCTCGTTTTCGGCTCACGGGCGCGGGGCTGATGCAGCAACCCCACTACAAAGATGCTTGAGCACAGGCCAAATCCATCGCCAATTGCAGGGTTTAGAGTTGCATGGGGATACGAGTACGAGAGCCCTGCTTACTGCAGCGATATAATCCTAAGTAAGTTGCTGCTTACTGCAGCGATATACTCTGTAAGAGCGATATAAGTTGCACTATATCTGCATTGAGAGATGGGACGCGGCAGACCAAGATCCATTGGATTTCGTACATGCAGTTACATGGATCTCGCATCTGCCTGGTGCAACGAGATAAGGCTGATTTGGCCTGCATCGGCGAAATTCGTGACGGGCAATGAGCCGTTATCGATGCTGGATGTGACGCTGCATGACTGGTGATGATGAATCGAGAGTGAGATTCACCGGGCTTGGCCTTTCCTTTGATTGGGCCAATGGCGTTTTGATAGAGGTGATGTAGTAGATCCTTCCAAGATGGATATAACTCCTCCTCTCCTCCTCACGGCTGCTGAATCACGACATTGCTGGAGAAGATGCCCCATGGCGGAGGATTTTAAAAAGAAACAGATATCCATTTGAAAAGACGGAGAGATCCAGGTATACCTAGGTAGTAACAGTTCTGACTTTAACATCTCGGACTTCCATGGCTCTGACTCTCAGCGACTCTATCCAAGACTTTTAAACTTGTTGCATTGCCTGCGTTAGGTATGAGCTCCCGAGCCTATGCGAAACCTCTAACATTTCCTTCCAAGCTTACAAAGCGCCCCAGTGGTTCATATTATTGAAGATTCCTGGCCATCTCATGACTAATATGGACATCCTTGCGGACCTTGCCACACCCGTTTCGCTTGGTACGAGAGCCATCAAATGCGATCGAAGAAAACAACCATTTCCAGAATGGAGTATTCACAATGCATCATCGGCTGAGAGTCTTATCTGCTCTCCACCTTACTCACCTTCTGTTGTTGCCATCTCAGAGACCAAGAGTTCTCTATCAAGAAGAATAAGTCAGAGCTTGCGAAGACATCGGAGAAGCCTTGGAAGTGATAGGCCGTCGTATAAAAATTGATGATGAATTAAACCAAACTAAAGTAGAGCCGTTTCCTATTCGACGTACTCATAGAGGACATGCATCAGAAGTTGTAAATTGAGTGAAGTGCAACTTCCAGATTTGCTTTATGAATGGGCAAAAATGACAACAAGCCACACATTTTCAAGCCACAGGTCGAAATACTGACTAGCAATTAGTCAGATTCGTGAATTTTGGCAGCTTTCACCACCCGCGATGTAGTGCTGATATCGTTTTCTGGTGTTGTTGCAAGTTGCAAGTGAGTATCGCGATGTTCCTGTGGTGTTGAGCTCCACAGCTCTCCACAGCTCCCTATATCTCACATTACCCGCGATGTGGCGGCGCGCCTCGGTGTAGTTTCGCGTACGTCCTTTTACCGCAGACGTATTTCCTTTGGGGATTAGTGTCGTTTAGAGGTAGAGGAAAGCAGCTTTCTGCACTTACCAAATACTGCTATAACCAGACGACGCCGCAGGCATATAAGCGCTGCAGGCGCCCCCGGGGGGTAATAAGAAAGCTTCCGTTTGATACATGTAGTGGGTATCTTTGACAGATAGCGATAACTTGAACCTTGATCAAACAGGATGACCTTGATCGAACGGGATGACCTTGATCCAGCTAGGTAGGCCCGATCAATCTAGCTGACCTCGAACGATCCGGAAGACCTTGATCAAACAAACTGACCGCGATCTATCTTGGTGGACTCGTTCTATCAAGGTGGCTTCTATCAAACTGGAAGACCTTGATCGAACTGGAAGACCTTGATCGAACTGAAAGACCTTGATCGAACTGAAAGACCTTGATCGAACTGGAAGACTGCGATCTATCAACGTAGCTTCAAACGAACGGGATGACCTCGAACGAACGGAATGACATCGAACGAACGGAATGACATCGAGCGAACGGAATGACCTCGAGCGAACGGAATGGCCTCGAACGATCCGGTTGACCTTGATCGAACTAGCCGACCGCGATCGGCGCAGTTGCTTTGCTTGTCCTCATGAACGCCTTTAGCGGGCATCAGACTTGTAATCCAACGCTGTCAGAACACATCCAACGCTGATAGCCCATCAAAACAAATCCAACGCTGATGCCTCATCCCAAAAAAATCCAACGCTAATATACCATCAAAACAAATCCAGCGCTGATGTACGATCAAAACAAATGCAACGCTCATAGCCCATTAAAGCAAATCGAACGCTGATGAAAACAAACCCAACGCTGATAGCCCATCCCAAAAAAAAAAAAAAAAAAAAAACAACGCTGATGTCCCATCAAAACACTCTGGTATCAACCCATGTAAACTCCAAACACTCCCAAAATCAGTTGGGTATCGCTGCCACACAAGATTCCAAACGTCGTAATCCATAACAAGTCTTCCGCCACCAGTCGTCACCAATTGCCATAAAAGGCCATCAAATCGTCTCCCTCAAATGCCACGTCGTCCTCCTCGTACTACTCTACGTACTCCTCTTCGTAGTCTTCCTCGTACTCCTCCTCACACTCTTCAAACTCTTCATCAGAATGGTCGCTCTCCAATGGAGGCACCGCTTCTTCCCCAAGAGCCCAACGCCCTGGCCCCTTCCATTTGGCGTCGATGTAGTCCTGCTGCAACTTTGTAAAGTCGGCACGGTGGAGGATGTTCTCGTCTTCGCCGCATGGAACAAAGGTGACTTGCGTCATGTTCTCCATTTCCAAGACCAGGTTAGGGAGGTCGAGGCTGTCAAACTGCAGCTCCAGGACCTTGGTGCTCCACTTGTTGGTGTCGTCTGCCTCGTCCGGGTTGTTCATCTTGTAGATCGCGTTTCCTTGGACGAGAGGCGCCATCCAATCGAGGAAATCCACGAATCTCTGCTCCTGGCGCAAGGTCCAGTTGCGGTGGTAGCCCTTGTCTTGGACCCAGAGCCAGACGTCGAGGGGGTCGCAATCTGCGTCCCAGACGTAGGCGGCGGCCAGGCGCTCAAGATTCCTGGGCTCGTTTTGTGCGGCAGTCCAGATCCTATCTGCCAGCTCTTCATCGCCCACCTCCAAGGCGTCGGCGATGAGGGTTTGGTGGTTTTGGCGAATCTGGTGGTTGGCGGCGTACTGGAACCTGACGCCATTTTCGATTTCGCTAAGGGCAGGGAGGTTGCTGCCGTAGTATTCTCTCCGGAAGGGGGGGACTTCGTCAGCTGTCTCGTCCCTGTAGATGAGGAAGTCGAGGTCTTTGTCGGTCAATTTTCTGCGGGGGCCTAGACGATACTTGGTCCGTTTCCGGGGTGGCTGGCGTTTGGTGACTTTGCTAGGTCGAAAACGAGACGAGCGGATGTTGCCGTGACTTCCCTCGTTTTCTTTGTCTTCGTCTTCCGTGAAAATTTCGGAGTCGGAATCCGTCCCCAAGTTGTCATATGAGGCGAGGATGTCTCTGTTGTCCATGACCTCTTCGGGGTCCAAAACGACGTCCCCGTAGACTTCAAAGTCCATGTCCATTTTCATTTCGTAAAGGGCGCGAGACATGATGACGGTTGATGTCGCAATGAACAAGCCGCCTAAGTCGAATTAATAAACACGGTTAATGGAAGCAAAGATAGAATGGGCACTTACAAGTAGATGGAAAGATGAAGTCTGTATGCACAAAGTATGGAGAGCTGAGTGGTCAGAAGCTGGTGACTGACTAATCGAAGATGTGCATGGGACGAAAGAAAGAAAACATGAAATAACAGGGGGAAAGGGAGTGTTTAAATAGTTTTGGATCAGTCTGATTGTTTACAGAAAAAAACATGCGCAAGATTGCGTCGTGTTTCTCTGAAGCCATGGTTAAAGTCTATATTGGTGAAATATGGACACCTCAATAGCCACATGGAATTGTAAACAACGTTTTCTCGCGATGGAAACTTCCGAAAAGATTGATATGGACCTTTTTTCATAATGTAAGAGTTGTTTACACATCGTCGAAGATAAAAACTCGTCCTAATCAGTGACACTGCTATCACCATTATCCAAGACGGCCTCAGCCCCAAAGGCAGTTGTAAACCTACGGGCCATATTGTGATCCTTGATAGCAAATACCACTTCCATGTCTTGATACACTTCAACCGTCTGAGTTCTCTTTGCTTGTGGCCCCAGCAGAACTCTCCTCCATGCTCTTGCAACTTCCTCAACGGGATTTCCATAAGCGCCACAGCCCCAAGCGCCTAGAACAACACGATTTATGTGACGAGACCGGAGAGTTCGCATTACGCATCGCATCTTGGCTAAAACCATATCTCTGTCCTTTTGTTCCGAATACGACATCTCGCCGTGTTGATTTGTCTCAACGTCTGGGAGGCGTAGCATGGCTGCCGTGATGACATCGATAAAGAACTGATCTGCCGGTTTGAGATCGGATGGTTCTGGATCCCACGTCTTGCAAACGAGCACATCAGGCGTGTAGATGGCACCCACTTCAGGGAGACGGTAGAATTCTTCGCGGAGAGATGGATATAGCGTAGTTCTGGAGCATAGCCATTCTTCTTGTGATGTAGCCCCTGTGAGGACACCGCCTCCAGGACGAAGGGGAGAGGCCATATTGAGGACAGCAATTCGGGCTGAACCAGATTTAATTAATCTTGATGCAGCTTCTAGAGTATCTACAGGCCAAACTCTGATGAATTTGGAAGCTAAAGTGGTGGAGGGAGCCTCGTAAGATGCTGGATCTGAGTCATTGTTGTCGTCTGTTTGTTTTGTAAACTCTGCGCTTGTAGCGGCCGTTGCATCTCTTTTGGGAGCTATTCGAGGCGGATCTACAATTAATTGGACGCTTTCGATGCCTCTTCTGGCTCTTGAATTTGACTTTAATATTGAAGGGATCTTTTTGTTGAGAAATGCCTTGGCCGCCTTGGCTCGTTCGTCTCTGGAGGAGCTCATGGCTTGAGACTCAATCTGGCCACGAATCTACCTGGCAACGAACTCTGTTTGTCTTAATCGAGTTTGTTTACAAAAGATAATATAAGATTAGTTGAGTTTTGCATAGCGACTCATTCGAGTGGATAAATCATGGCTTGAACGTGGGGATCGTCAGGGCCGTTGGAAAGCTTCAGGCCGTTGAAGGTGCCTGAAGCTAGTGGTTGAGGCTTCTCGCTGAAACTGACGCTTTAGGCTGGGGAACGACGACTCGATTGGCCGCTTTTTTTTTGGAAGCACCACAAATGATCGTCGCAGTATCTCGTGACGTCATGGCTATGGAAGCAAGTTTCGTCCGTCTTTATTTATTATTTATTCATGTACAGTGCAATACAATCCTCAAGACGAAAACAGCGCCTCGGTATTTCCCCAATTGAGAAGTTAAATTCTGGCGCAGCACAAATGTGCGTTTGGTATCACGATGCTGGCTTCATGTACCGGCGCGAGGGCCATGTTCCGCGCCTTGCCGCTGGTTTCCGGCGGACAGAGACAGAGATCACTGCAATTGCTTAGACGGACAGGCCATCAATGTCGATTACAGGCTCCGGCGAGACATTTTACGGCATCGCAGAGCATATATGAAGACGATGCAACAAGAAAAGCGAAGCGGCTACATGAGAAAGGCGACGAGATAGAGCACCATGCTGCCAAGCGCCATGGAGCACAGAAGCAGGCAGACGACAGACCCTGGCATCGGCTGAGTGGGAGCAAGCAGTACAAGGAAACGTCGCCAGATCCTTCTGGAGGAGACGATTCAAAGGGTATGTAAATACTTGGACGAAACTTTGTCGAATGGGATTTAACTAGTCGAAACTGTAGGGCGATTACTCACGACACCAACCCGCTTGCTGAAGCTTATCCTACCCATGCCGTTCCGTCCCGAACAAGATACTATAAACGAGACCGAAGAGGAAGGCCTTAAGGAAACCGGCAAAAGGATAGAACCTCTAGCGCTACTGGTACATCCTCAACAGCCACTATCTTACCTCGAACGACTTATACAGGCCGAGATTCCACCGTTGCAGGTCAATGGCCGCGAAAAGCTACCCGATATCATCTTTCGGGCCGAAGCCGATCGTGAAGAATCTCCAGGCAAATCGGGAGACCATGGTAAAAGCAACGTGGCATCGTATTCTGGGCTAGGTCGCGAAGGCCCTACAAAAGATAAGGAGGCGAATTGGGTTCGATGGAGCGGCAGTACTGAAGTGGGAGACTTTATCCGAGATGCGGCTCGCGGGCGAGAGTTTGCGATTAATATCGAGGGATATAGCAAGGAGCTGCGGGTAGCCGTACCCAGCTTCAAGGATCGAACACACTACATGAGATTGCAGCTCCGACGCATGTCGAGTGAGATTGACAAAATATCCAAGATCAAGTCTGAGTGCGATCTTTTGGCGCACAAGGGAGCCCATCGCTTGGCCCAGGGAGGATTTGCAGCGCTGGCCAGTTGGTGGTGCGTCGTCTACTATGTGACCTTTCACACGGATTTCGGATGGGATCTGGTTGAGCCCATTACCTACTTGGCCGGGCTGACGACTATCATGGGCGGGTACCTATGGTTTCTGTTCATCAGTCGAGATTTGAGCTACAAGGCGGCCATGAATGTGACGGTTTCAAGACGGCAGCACGCGCTGTATCAGGAGCGAGGATTTGATCCACAGAAGTGGGAGCATCTGGTTCACGAGGCCAATGCATTGCGGCGGGAGATTAAGGCGGTGGCAACAGAGTACGACGTTGACTGGGACGAGATGAAGGATCTTGGGGGACAAGAGGTTAAGAAGATTTTGGAGAAGGAGAGGAATGGGAAGAAGGAGAAGGATGACGTGGACGAGGAGGCTGATGAAGATGATGATGGGGTGCATATGAAGAAAAAGGGCGGAGAAGAGCATGCTTCGCACAAGAAGGAATGATTTGATAAGGAATGTACAGCATTTATTGTAAAGGTAGCATTAATCATGGCGTCGGTAGCAATTGAAGTATTCAATTGGCGAACAAACAATGATGAAAGCAAATTGAACAACTCTCTGAGACAATCATTCACAATTCATTCGTAATTATGAACATCTGGTTGGACATGCATCTGCTCGCCCGCTGATAAAAACAAAACAAGGTTCGGCGGCTGACGTCGTCGATATTCCCAGGTCAGATCATCGACGATGCGATCCGCTGAACCGAGCCTCGCCCTACCTTAATTTTCTAGCGTTGCCACAATCAGCTGTCGCTGGTGTTAGTGAGGATCGATCATGGCACTATTGGCGAGAAAATCCGAGTGCAGAATCTGCCGTGGTCAGGCCATGTTCCCCTTTGTCGTTTCTTTATTCTCAGCTGCAATATGAGACGAGTGGGAATATTAAATAAGCTTTTTCGTATTGAAAAATTCCAGCCAAGGGATGAATACAACAAGAGACAGGCACGTGATGCTTGGTTGTTTATTGTTTTCGTCTTGAAATTCAATTCCATATCCGTCAGTCGAATCGCACAGTGGCAAAAAGCACAAGCATTGACCCCATCCTCGATATAAATCCGGGGCAGCTCGACTCTAGCCCGCTGTAGCTCAGCTCAGCTCAGCTCACAAGAGAGCTTCACCCGTCCTGTCCTGTCCTTGTCCTTGAACTGCCTACCCCGCCCCCGCCTGTCTTCTGCTCTCCACATGCCATATCGCTGGTGATATCAAAACCCCTGCATGATCCGATAGCCCATCTTTTTTTCTTGGCCTTGCTCCCTTCACTCTTGATCTTCTTCGTTGTTTCGTTGCAAGTCTCGGCTCGAGCATCGCATCGTCATGGCGCCGCAGCTGCTGCATCTGCCGGATGGCCAGACCTTCACCGTCACGCCCGTCTTCGCCGGCCTGGGCTTCAAGAGCCACGAGATGAACATGCATCCCAATGCCTTCCCCATCGGCTGGAACGTCGTCTTGCACACCGAAGAAGAGGTCGAGTCGCCCTTTGCCAACAACGAAGAGAATTCGAGCTCAGATCCTTCACGGCCGCCCTCCCGTAAGACGCGAGTGCATCCCTTCACACGCCCGACGCTGCAAAACGACACCCTCTTCATCTCGTCCATCTCGAATCCGTCCAACTCCGACTTCAAGCCTGCGGCCAGTCCCACGAGGCAGATCGCCATGATGATGTGGGTGACGCTGTACTGGTACTTTCACCAGCCGAAGCCTCTTCCACAGCTCCATACCGAAGCGGCAAAGAATACCCCAGACTACGCGAAACCCAATGGCGAGTGGAAGATCAACATCAAGCGGGAGGGCGTGCTCCGCGGCCGCAACCTGATTCCCAAGCTGGAGCGCATGGGCCTGATTGCGGCCGAAGACACATCCAGCGGCACCGAACTCGACGATAGCGGCGACGAGTGGGCCAAGATGTTTGTCTCGAGGCGCATGTTCTGGCAGATCCCGGGTCACCTGTTCCTCTTCACGCTGCAGCCAACCCAAAAGACCAACTCGTCCGTCCCCGGATCACCTGTCGGTAGCCGTCCGAGCTCTCCTGTGCGAGGCGAGTCCGCCATCAACCATTACCTATCCATGGACGGCTTGGCACGCTTTGATAGCGATCTGCCGGGTGGGCCCATGCCGACCAGCGTTCCTCACACTCCCGTCGTTCCAATTGGGCCCTTTTACTCGACCTCGCATCTGCCGACTTACTTCCCTCCTCCTCCGCTGCAGTACACCTTCACAGACGGCGTCCGACACCCCGTGCGGCCGAAGCCTCATAGAATGGGCGAGATCTTCTACTCACGCTTCGTTCCCAGCGTTGGCCAATACCTGTCATTCCGCGTCGCTTCCACATCAACCAGTCCAGTCCCGTATCTTGGCCCCGTCGGAGGCAATGTCGATACCCGGGACCACGCACACTTGACCCTCATGACGGACATGCAGCTTCTTCAGACATGGATGGCAAAGCCCCGCGTCAGTGAGTTCTGGGGCGAGTACAAGCCAGGCTTCCTGGAAGGCGTCCTCAAGATGCGCAACTCATTCCCCGTCATCGCCGCGTGGGACGGCATCCCCTTTGGCTACTTTGAGATTTACTGGGTCAAGGAGGATATCCTCGGCCGGCACTTGTCGAGCATTGTGGGAGACTTTGATCGTGGCGTGCACGTCTTTGTTGGCGAGGAGTGGGCGAGGGGACGGGTGTCTCAGTGGTTGACGAGTCTTGTGCATTGGTGCTTTATTGCTGATAATCGGACCATGAGCGTGTGTCTGGAGCCGCGGATTGATAACGGCAGGTATGTGATTTTGATTTTTACATTTCTAATCCTTAAAGATGAGTTTCTGACTGATGCTGGATAGGATGCTGCGGCACTTGGACGAGGCGGGCTTTGGCAAGGAGAGACAGGTTTCGTTTCCGCACAAACAGTCATGGTATGTCAGGCTGTGGCGAGACGCATGGGAGGGGCCGACACTGTGAAGAGAAGAAGAAAAAAAAGTGCATTAGAATGAATCAGGAATTACGAATGGTACGAAGCATAGCAGGAAATACCCATATGAACTATTTTCATTGATGATTGATATGATGGAGAGGAGGAAAAATATGAAAACTTGTACAAGTAGTAGCTTTACGCAGGAAGACAGAAAGAAAATGAAAGCAATCTCAACTAATATCACGAATTCAGAACTTGTTTTTGCATGTTCAGTTCAATCTTATTTCATATGGAAATTGCCCATCCCATATACCAGCCGGAATCAATCAATCAATCAACCCACCCTACGCCTCCCTCAATGTTGGATATTTTCTAAGGTTATCTTTTTTTACAAAAACAAGGAAATTTTAGCAAGTCGCACAAAAAACCGGTATCCCATACACGGCACTTTAACCAACCCATCTGCGGGCACTGCGGAACATTCGCAGCCAAGGGCCGAACTCGCCCCATTCCTCGAGATCCTCGGGCGGCGCGTAGCTAGAAATGTCAGCCATGATGGTACGCTCAGGGTGCGGCATCATCGCCACAACACGGCCATCGGGGCTCGCCACACCGGCGACACCCATCGGGCTGCCGTTGGGGTTATACGGGTACTGCTCCGTGACGTTGCCGCGGTTGTCGACGTATCGCAGCGGGACCATGCCGGACTCCGTGAGCGTCTGGAGGGAGTTGGGCGAGCCGAACTTGGCGCGGCCCTCGCCGTGGGACACGACGATGGGGAGCTCGGAGCCGTTCATGCCGTGGAAGAAGACGGAGGGCTTGGACTTGTCCACCTCCACCTTGACCATGCTGTAGCGGGCCTCGAACTGCTGGCTGGTGTTGTCGACAAAGTTGGGCCAGTCCTGGGCGCCGGGGATGAGCTCCTTGATCCTGGTGAGCATCTGACAGCCGTTGCAGACACCAAGCGCAAAGGTATCGGGACGCTTGAAGAAGGCGGCGAATTCTCTGCGCGTGTTGTCGTGCATGAGGATGGACTTGGCCCAGCCCTGGCCAGCGCCGAGCACGTCACCGTACGAGAAGCCTCCAGGGGCTGCCAGACCAGTAAAGTCGGCGAGAGAGCGTCCGTCCAGGACATCGGTCATGTGAACATCAATAGGCTCGAAGCCGGCAGCCTTGAAGGCGTAAGCCAGCTCAGCATAGCCGTTGACACCCTGCTCTCTGAGAATGGCAACACGAGGGATTTTTCCAAAGAAGCCAGTGATGGACGAGGTAATGGGGAGGATGTTCTCAGCAGGCGAGAAGGAAAGCTTATAGGTGATACCGGGATCCGCAGAGTCAGCAATGGTGGAAAACTCGGACTCGGCACAGGCAGAGTTGTCTCTGATCTTCTGCATCTCATACGAAGTCTTGGACCACCACTGCTGCATCTCCGCGCGGTCCAGAGTGGTAAAGGTGATACCTCCGTGACGAATATTCAGGCTCTGCTTGGAAGTCGATCGGACAACACCAAACTTGCGAATCAGGCCGGGTGGAGGTCCACAGGTGGCGAAGCATCGCTTGAAGTTGATCTCGTCCTCAGTGCGGATCTGGAACACAGCACCAATCTCTTCGTTGAACATGGCCTCGATGATATCCTCCGGCTTGCCCGACTTGGAGATGCCATCCAGCATCATATCAACGCCACAACGGCCAGCGAACATCATTTCAGCAACGGTAGTGATCAGACCACCGTCAGATCTGTCGTGGTAGGCCAGGACAACACCGCTTTTGTGAAGCTGAGACAAGGCGTCAAAGTAATCCGTGATGAGGTCAAAGTTCTTCATGTCAGGAGCCTCGTCGCCAACGGCACCAAGAGACTGAGCGAGTGCCGAACCACCCATAGCTCTTCGTCCCTCTGCAAGATCGACAAACATGAGGCAAGTCTCGCCCACATCTTCCACGCGACGAAGTTGGGGGGTCCAAGTGCTGCGAATGTCACGAACCGCCGAAAAGGCAGAAATGACGACAGAAACCGGCGCTGTTACGTTCTTTGACTCCTCGTTATCCTTCCATGAGGCCTTCATGGATGTCGAGTCCTTGCCGACGGGGATGCTAACTCGGAGTCTGGTGCACATCTCCATCGCCGCTCGGACGGCTTCGTACAATGCTGCTCCTTCACCAGCGTGATTCACGGCGGCCATCCAGTTGGCAGAGAGCTTCACGCGACGCAGATCGCCTGTGACATCAGCGGCACCAATGTTCATCAAACTTTCTGCAATAGCCATTCTTGCGGAGGCAGCAGGGTCAATCAAAGCAAGGGTGGGCTTCTCACCCATTGCCATGGCCTCACCCGTCTTCTGCTTGGTGCCAATGTGGAACGACGTAGCTGTTACCGCAACGTCGGCCACCGGCGTCTGCCAAGGACCAACCATCTGATCACGCACGGTGAGGCCACCAACGCTTCGATCACCGATGGTGATCAGGAACGACTTGGAGCCAACAGATGGCATCAAGAAAACACGCTCGACGGCCTTCTTGAAAAGTTCGGCACCGCTCAATTCTCCATAAGCCTTCTGGAGGCTGGACAGCGCGTTGAAGGCAAGCAGACTGGGCTTCTTGGAAACAACATCTCGCTGGAGCAAGCGCTTGGGAGGGAAGAGGGCATCCATGGGGAGGTCGATGGGCCTGGGATACTCCTTGGACTCTCTGTCTGTGAGTATGAGGCTGGTAGCTCCGTTCTCGTTTTTGGAAACAACGGTTCCGACATCTGAAAATCCACATCGTTCTCTTCGGCAGATGCTCGTGAAACGGTTCATGCCGTCGGCGTTGATTAGGAGAACATATCGCTCTTGGGCTTCGTTGCACCAAATCTCCAATGGGCTCATGCTTCGGTCCATGCTTTCCACCTGGCGAAGCTCAAAGTTTCCTCCGAATCCAGCGTCCTTGACCACTAGTGAGGGTTAGAATTGCAGTACATGAGCAACGGATTTCCAGATACTCACACTCGGGCAGAGCGTTTGACAATCCACCAGCACCGACATCGTGGATCATGGCAATCGGATTGTGTTCACCCAGGGCAGTGCAGGTGTTGATGACCATTTGAGCGCGTCGTTCCATCTATGGCATGGTTAGTTGTGCGTCAAGGAATTTCAAATTGAACAGTGTAATTCCAGCCTACCTCAGGATTACCGCGCTGAACACTGTCAAAGTCGAGATCGGCATTGCTCTCTCCGCCGGCGCTGCTAGAAGCAGCACCGCCACCGAGACCGATGAGCATTGCAGGGCCTCCAAGGACAATAACATGGGCGCCCTCTTTAACATATTGCTCCTCTTTGAGGGCATGTTGGGGTCGGACTGTTCCGAGGCCACCAGCAATCATGATGGGCTTGTGGTAGCCTCGCCAGTTCGCAACGCTTGACGCATCGGAACCATCCGTGGATTCCTCAGGTGTCAGGAGAGTTCTAAAGACACCTGCAAGAGCCGGGCGGCCGAATTCGTTGTTGAACCGAGCACTGCCAATCGGCGCCTCGAGCATAATGTCCAGACTGCTAGCATAGTGGCGAGGTCGGCCAATGTCACTCTCCCAGGGAGCGTGGTTGTCGGGGATGAGCAGGTCAGAGACCCAGAAGCCGCTCAAACCAGCCTTTGTCGTAGAACCTCGTCCAACTGCAGCTTCATCTCGAATCTCTCCACCTGAGCCAGTGGCTGCTCCAGGGAACGGCCTAGGGGCAACGGGGTCAGTTTTCTAGCCCATTGAAATAAATATCATAGAATCAAAACATTTGCCATTTCTTGCATGTCCTGTAATTAGTGGTGACAAGCAAAGAATGCACATCCGCCATTGGGAAATATGAAAAGTTATTTAAAAGGACCTACGAGATGGCAGTGGGGTGGTTGTGAGTCTATTGAACTGGGTTAGAAACCAGCAGGCCAGCAAAGATTTAATCAACAATCAGCAGCCTTACCTCAACCTTGGTGAGGATGTGGACGACCTCTGGAATGAGCTTCCAGGAGCCAGTAGAGTAATCGGGAGCCCAGACGTTGGCGTTGTCGCCTTCGAGGACTGCCGCATTGTCACTGTAAGCCGAGACAGTAAAGTCAGGCGTGGTCTTGTGAGTCGTCTTGATCATCTCAAAAAGACTCTTGTCCTGAGGGACACCATCGATGGTCCACGCCGAGTTGAAGACCTTGTGTCGGCAGTGTCTGGATACAAATGTGAGCATCCCACTCGAGAGTTAAACAAGGATACACTCATACTCTGAGTTGACCTGGGCAAACATGAAGAGCTCCACATCGTGAGGCGGCCGTCCAAGCTTGGTGAAAACGTCGACAAGGTACTGCATCTCAGATTCGTCAAGACTGAGGCCCTTCTTGACATTGTACTCCCTGAGGATTCGCAGAGGATCCTCCTTGTCCGCGAAAATGTCCACGGCAACCAGAGGAGACGGCGCCTTGGACTCGAACATCTGGACCAAAGAGGGCGGCTCAGAGCTCCACAGCTCCGTCATGCGGTCGTAGAGCACATCGCGGAATGTAGCATCCTGGCCCTCGGACAAGGGCTCCTCGAACTGGATGGAAATGCGACGGCCTCGCTCAATGCGCAAGACTCGCTCCCTCAGGCCACACACGTGAGCAATGCTGGTGGCCTTGGAGCTCCATGGCGAGATGTAGCGAGGCGTTGCGTAGATCGTCAGGGCGTTTCCGGCACCCTCGGAAGCCAGGCCCCAGCCGCGAACATCCTGCAGCAGCTCCTCAACAGACTCCAGAGTGTCGTGAGACGACACCTGCAGGTTCACATAGTAGATCCATTGGCCCTGGATGTCCTTGACCTTGGAGGGGCTGGACTTGTTGATGAGCTCGCGCAGCTTCTGGGCATCCGAAGGCGTGTAGCACGAGCCTCCAACAAGGACCTCGTACGGCATTTTGAAGACGTCTGCTACTGGGCAGAACAACGCAATGCCATAAGACAAAGGGGGCTTTTGCTTTGGAACCGGAGGAGACGATGCACCCCAAGCAGAGCAAAAGTTGTGATGAAATTCTGCCCCTCTCTCTTTTCTTATCAGAGGCTTGGTGGGGTGAAAATTTTCGGACCGGCAATCGGCCGTTGCTCAGCCTGGAAGTGTTTTGTCTAGGTCTGAGGGTACCTCTGGGGTGCGTCGGTTTACTGTGTGGGTGGAGGTACTCTTTTCTCCCCCACTAACATGGAACTGAACTACCTGGATGCTAATTTTTCATGCCTATGCGTCACGGCACAGATTCTCCGTAGCGGCAGCATCATGAGAAAAAGTTTCATTCATTGATCCAACAATATGAGCTATTTCTTGGCTGTTGAAATTAGCAGGAGGCGGTGTCTCTGTTTCCATTAGGCGACTCTACTAGTAATCTCTTTGATGGGGGAGACGCTGGGGCGTGTAATTGGTGAACTGTTTTGCTCTACCTACTAGGTATGCATCACTTCCTTACTGCCAGCTCCCTGTTGAGGACTCCTTTTTCTTTCTCTCTTTTTTGGTTTCTTTCTTTCTTTCTTTCTTTCTTTTTTTCTTCCTCTCGCTGTTCCACAGAATCAATCGTAACAATAACACGACCTTTTCTACGGTTATAATCGGCACATCTTAGACCAGGCATCCCATCTTTGTTCCTCGTATGAATCGTTTCTGCTAGACGCGGCTACTACTCTACCAATTCCTTTTCACCAAGAGTCGCTCCCTCTCCCTTTGACTTCGATGGTGTGTTTCTCGTAGCACGGCTAGCCGCCCGTCGAAACAATAGAAGAACGAAATGCAGTGAAAGAGTGTTCGGCGCAATTATTCGTCATTGGTCACGTTGCGCTGGCCGCAAGTTCGCTGCCATGTGTAAGCTTTCATTCATGTTGAAGGGATAACAATCGGGATGTTCTGGTCATACCCTTCTCGTCATACAGCTAGGTACCTATCAAAATAAAACAGAAGAATCCACCGCAGTGAAAGAGTGCCCATAGTAGTTGTTCATTATTGTTCATGCTGAACCAAGGTGGATTCGCTGCTTTGTTCAAGCCTTCGGTCCCGCTAAAGGGAAGGCAGGCTGCATGTTCTAGTTCTATCTTCTCGTTGTACAAATAGTCGTTGATTAATATAAAGGGAAATACAATTGGAAATAATGCAGTGAAAGAGTGTTCGTTGTCGAATTTCGTGACACAAATCGCAGATTCGTCACTTTATTCAGCCGTTAGTCTGTAGCTCCCGTGTCAATGCATCAACAATGGGATGAATCCTTGACAATTCTTTTGTCAAACCGAAGCGAGAAATGCCATCTCTATTACTCTGCAACTTCAAATTTCCATCATCCATTAATGCTTAGATCCGTGGGTGGCACGATGTGGCAATCTATGGAAATCGCAGGGTAGTCACCGCGACGGCCAACTGTTGACATATCGACCAAAGGGGGTTTGGCACCCTGTCATATCGTATCCAAGCTTGCTGTGTGAGAGAAATTGATTCCAACCGCCAAAACGTTCCATGATGTGGCCGCACTGGCAACCAAGTTCAAGCTATCAAGAGAAGATTCGAGCCTGCAAAGGCCTAAAGGGCAAGCAGAGCAGGAAAGAAATGGCTATTCCAACGTCAGTGATTCGCAATATCGAGGCTATCGCATGCAATAATGTCGCACATTTGCCTATGGGCTAAAATAAACTGCCGTATCAGCTCTTGGGCGGCCCAAAATTCGACCACCGCCGCCACTGCTCAGCATTTTCTCCCCGCAACATGATCAACTGGCAAACAGCAGGACACATATCCTTCTTCATTCAGAGACTTTGCGGATGCAGTAGCAGGTGCCACACTGTTCTAATTATTCTACGAAAAAAGACGCGCCCTTATGCCTCTGCCCGGGGCGACACTCGACGAGGATTCACTTCAGCATCAGCAAGAACTCAATTCAGCACACACCTACCCATCTCGAACTATGCAGCACTCTTTGACGTCAAGCCATCACACACGAGCGGTGGGCAGCCGATGGCAGTTGATCTCAGGAAGGAAGTGTCTTCATTCACAGCTCCCCATGCCTTGGCCTTGCCGGTCCTGCTGCTTCAGTGCGCCTGTCAGGCAATTATAAAGCTCCAGAGCCGCCACGCAGCTGCTCTCTCTTGATTTTGGGTTTTCAACTCGGATACCGGCAAACAATCCATTCGACATATGCTTGAAGAAGCTCCATTGAAGATATCTCCGTCCCTGCGATTCTCCCAGCGCCAACCAATCCTGACAGCCATCGTCTGTGCCAGTTTCTTGCTCCCAGCCCATCACTCGATCTCCGAGACAAGGGAAAGAGAAGAATCGAAAAGACTCTGCAATTTCTGCTGCATTCGCAACGCCTGGTAACAACCCCCCCTTGCCCACTACCTTTGCTGCTATGGCCGCCCAAGCTTACCTTTTGCCCCTGGCATTTGCAATTGTCTAGAATAACGCACTGGGACACTCTCCAAAGAGAAATATCCCACTCCGCCAACTCGACAGCATGGCCTCCCAAATCTGCCAAGTCTACAACGTCGAAGCGTGCTTCACCAGCGGCACCCGTCACTTTGCCATATATGTTGCCATTGACAACGGCCCCGGACAACTCCTCCACGTCCGATGCGCCGTTGGGAAAGCTGGCATGATGTTTGAGAGGCAGTATTTTGTTGGCCATGGGCCAGAAGCTCTCTCTACTTTCGTCACCAAAGTCCCCATTGGCAGCGTCAGAATGGAAGATCTAGATCGCCTTGCGGATATCTGCGGCGCTATTGGCGCCCCTACCGCTCAGTACGTCAACAATGCTTGCCAATGTGCCACCTGGGTTCACCAAGCTCAACTGGCTGCCATGGGCGCCGGTATCCTTTTTTGAGTGTCTCTGGATAGGACACTGGGTTTTGTGCACTGCCGGTGATAGTAATGCAATATGTTAGTTATGAGGATAATGAACAAGCTGGTATCTGTCTTCTAGTCTTTCAGTTACTTTGATATGTTTAAGGAGGTAGTACCATCTCAAATTGACATTGTGTTATTGAGCATACTTGATCATTAAATTCCACTTTGATAACACAAGTAACCCAAAATGTAGACCTTTTGAAGATTGCAGCGGCCGTAAGTGCCCACGAGTGTCTGTCCCATGACCATTTGGTGGAGGAGAGCCATCGTTAAGCTCAGCACAACACCAGTTCCTGGTGTTCCCGAGGCGAATCCTGGCCGAGTTGACAACAAAGGGCGAATGGCTCGTGATGAGACGCCCAGCAACTACAGTCGAATTGCGTGTATGTTCTAGGCAGAAGCGCCGCGGCCATGTACAACCATGCCTGTGTCTCTGTATTGCTCAACCTCTTTGACCCTCACCTTGTGATATTTGCGAATTCGTGATACGAAACATGGTACTGCAGCACAAATCCAATCATCCGCGAAATGAAAAACAAAGAACAAGCGTCGTGTGCGTTTTTTGATTTCTCGGAAGACTTCAAGTTAACTATATAAGCGATGAAATGAACGCCCTTGGTAGATTGCAACAATTCAGCAAACTCAGACATCCTTTCGCAGCCAAATCCCACAATCCCTTGACAGCAAGACGAACGACTATCAAGCCCACTCGAAAATGAAACCAACCACAAAAGAGGGACGAAGAAAACTTGATAGGCTTATCAAAGAGAATAAGACTCATCCCCGAGTACTCGAATTTCTTACCCACCCGGTGAATGTCGCTAATGATACTCGTACCATTCTGGACACGAGATACGACCCCAATCTCCAGTCGGCTGATAGGACAGGGCCATGTAACGAAGCCATTATACCTATTAATCAGGCACTGGACCTTATGAATCTTACTCAGAAGGACCGACTGGAAGCCTATGAAATTCTCCGTTGGAAGTTTAGGTGTTCGAGCTCGGACCCGGACACAAATCTGATATGTTGTCAGGAAAAAAAGGAGGCCGGGGAGTTCGGACCATTCGCCCTCCTTCATGTCAAGCCGGGCGACGGATACCAGGGAAAGTTGATGGGCGGCCCTTGCGCTGAGTGCACGAGCAGAGATTTACATAATCAACGCTATTCATAAGTCGAATGCCATTTTCATCTCGACACGTGCTGAGAGCGAAGAGAGAAGTCAGGAAGGGGCTTGCACTATGATTAGGAAGCGGAGGTGGGACAATTGGAAACCTTTGCTTTTTATCGAGGAGAGCTTTATCTAGGATCCTTAAGGAGGTATCAATAAAAAGGACAAGTTGTTGCCAGTCTCGAGCGTCGTCGTTATTCGAATTGTGCTAAAAATCCAACTTGCCGTGACCATGTTGGAGGAAGTTTGTTTGTTTGTAGTCTGAAAGATTTTGTAGACAGGTTAAACCAGAGCCGACTGCTGTTGGGTCCAATTGTGTACCAACCAGTTGCCAACAGCTGATAGTTTGCCTTGTCGTTGCAATATCGTATCCCTCACCTTGAATTTCCCCACCTATCAATGTCATCTTTCTTCTTTTTCTGTAAATATTTCTCGACTGCCCCAATTTTGAGAGAAAGACCTTTGCTACGCAATGAGAGTTGAGATAATCCGGTTTGCGGTGCGGGTGAAGCAACTCTAACAGCGTATCCGTTCTATGCATACTGGCGAGAACCGTATACCAGCCATAGAAAAGCGGCTCTACAGTCTGTTACAAGCTGCGCTCAGAGAGGTGGGCCATGAGGCTATCGGACTGTGGCTATTGTGGGCATCTGCGCCCATTCCCGGCATTCTCTTTTTAGATCCACGGCTCTTGAAAGGATCGGAAATCTTCAACTATCCCCCTCCCAAAGCTTCGGAAATCTTAACTATCCTCTCAAGAATTCGGAAAACCTAGACTATCCGACGCCGACTCTGGAAGCACTTGATATGATTGGCGCAATCTCCAAATTAACCAGCTTAGTGTCTCGCTTCACCCTCGCACTCGCACTCGCCAGAAACATGTGGCGCGTTAAGACCCCTGTATCTGCATGAGCCGGAATCCGCGCATCGATTCCGTAGACCAGCTTGACCAGATGTCGAATCAATGACGTCGGACCAATGGCGCAACACTGGTCCGTTTGCCCCCTATACAGCAAGTTTTGTTGATTCGATTGCCGGCGCATGACTTTTGGCTGTGTATGTTCAGCCTTCAACGTATGACGACTGATATCCAGCCTCATATTCGTCAAGCCATATAAATAAGTGAGTCTCGTCCGTCGGGCTTCAATCATGACTTGGACTACATCGCCAACGAGATTCATTTAACAGCTCAAACAGCCACAACACCATGTTCGCCCACTTGATCGACCAGATATCACAGGTGTACCCACCGAGGCCGTCTTTCACCGAAGCCACACTACCAGACCTCCACGGAAAGGTGTGTATCTGTGCCTGTAATCTTCTTTCCAAGTCCCACTCTCATGCTTACCATCACAGGTGTACCTGATCACCGGCGCCAACACTGGCGTTGGCAAGGAACTCGCTAAAATCCTCTATGGCAAAAATGCCTCGGTATACATTGCTGCCCGCTCAGAGCAAAAGGCCCTAGCTGCCATTGACGAAATCGAAACATCCGCGCCGCAGTCCAGTGGCAAACTGGAATTCCTGCACCTCGACCTCGCAGATTTGACCACCATTCCAGCTTCGGCCCGCAAGTTCCTTGATAGGGAGTCCAAGCTACACGTTCTTTTCAACAATGCTGGCGTTATGAATCCTGGCAAAGGATCAACCACAAAGCAAGGCTACGAGCTTCAATTGGGAGTGAACAACATCGGCACCTTTTTCTTCACCAAACTTCTATCACCTACGCTCGTTGAGACAGCCAAGTCAGAGAAACCCGGAACTGTACGCGTGGTATGGGTTGCCTCATCCGCCGCCGAGTCGCCGGCTGTCCCCAAGGGAGGCGTTGACATGAAGACGATTGACGAGCGGCCAGAGAAGGGCGATTTTGTAAGCTATTGCCTCAGTAAAGCCGGTAATTACCTGCATGCCGTTGAAATGGCCAAGCGTTTCAAGGATAAAGGCGTCGTCAGTGTCGCCTTGAACCCAGGGAATCTCGATTCAGAGTTGTGGAGGACCCAGACGGCGTTTACCTCCAAGATCCTCAGGACATTTGTGTTGCATCCGCCCAAATATGGCGCTTATACGGAATTGTTCGCTGGACTATCGCCGGCTGTTACAATTGACCGTAGTGGTGATTGGGGTAAGTGTACTTCACTACACATCTTTCTGAACAGGGTACAGAAGCTGACAGTCATAGTTGGGCCATGGGGGCGATTCTTAAGTATACGTAGCGACCTAAAAAAGGCCTCGGAAGAAGAAAGTCAGGATGGCTTGGGAACATCCAAGGCTTTTTGGGAATGGACTGAGGAGCAAATACGACAATTTGAGTAAGCGGAAATGATGGCAACTTTACAATTCTTTGCATAGAGTAACACAGCAAGACTCCACTACTGTATATACTACTAAATTCCATAAGGGGAGTAATGCGGATGAGATGTAATAAAGCAAACTTATTTTATCATGTAAACATTTTATGTGCTTTCTGTTTTGCCTTGCAGCACCTGGTATACAGTATGCAGATCGGCCCAGCGATGCGAGGTGGGTTATAAGTCAAATCTGCTCCTCGCCGGTCTGCCTTGCTGTAATTTCTCAATTTAGAAGATTGTGAGCTCTAATGATGGCTCTTTTACTCTTATTTTTAATGTTTGTAATCAGCACTGTAATGCAACGGCGACATAGTCAGTCACGGCTACAGACCTGGGGAAATGGATTTACACCAAGAAACAGCACATTGCTCCGGCTCAAAGAGCGAGATATCGTCAGCATCAGGCTCGACCGTGGACAGCCTGGGCTGAGTGGTCCGTGGTTTGGCATTGTATCCTGTGTGAGCAACCCTTCATCGGGACGTACTTGGTATCTTTGCTTCACTGATCAACGGTTCAATCTAGAAGTCAAGGCACTGATGCGGACCTAGAATCACTGATGAAGCTTGCCAGGATGTTCTGGGCCCCGGAACACGGCTAACTAGGGCTGAGAATCGCTGATAGAGCCTGTCGGGTCTCTTTCAATGGCCCGTGTCAGGCACTTCGGTATTGTTGATGTCGCCAGGCTTCGCGAATTTTGTTCACCAATGCTTAAACAAGCCCCGAAGTAGGGAGTGCGTGGCATATAACAAGCTTCGATTTTTATTTCCATGTAGAAATGATACCCAGGTAGTATTCACAAAAGATTTGGTGATGGTAGCTTGGTACCGAAACACCTGGCCGGATTTGATCGGCTGCGGGGCTTTATTGGGAATTTGTCTGTATATTCCATTTCAATGCTCCAGGAAAATCGGGTAATAGATTTGGTATATATGAGAATGAACGCCATGCCAATGTGTAAGCTGTGCGTGTGAGAGTTTGGGGGGAGGTGCGTTTATTTCGGCCGTTAGTGTCATGTGATGATACCCTGGGGGGACTGAGGCCACGAATGCTATCTTGACGATATTGCGAGCTGTCGTTCCTCATTCTTGTCTCCAAATCAGTCTTCCCTGCATTTACGGCTCCAATATATGGAGTCCACTCTTATGGGATGGAAGAAACACGTTGCTGCTCACTGCCCTCTGCGTGACAAAGATGTTTGTTGTTGGAATGCGAGAGATCTCTTGTTTTCGTTATTTGTGCACATTCATGACCTCTTTCATTGCTTGTCTAGCTTCTACTACCTGCGTCACTCTTTCTGCGAAGTACTAACCCCATACAAACTCAGTTTCAAGTTGCATAAGTGGATGAGGTAAGAGAAATTGATTGCGGATATAGCACTTTTATTTCGTATATATACAGTATCCATACTCGGCCGTCCCCCATCTTTTTCGACGAACTTGTTAGTTCCATTACCCATAGGCAATGAAACATCCTCAAGGGCTGATTGAGGTTATCATATGCTGTTGTCAACATTGCCCACATAGACGACGTCTCATCAGTCGTCAGCATGTTTAATTTGGATAGAGTATAATACACGGTTGCACTTGGAGGTTGATTGGCTGTCTAAATTGGGATTGGAAGAGAATGAAGGGGGCTATCTTTATTTCATTGAATCCCTCTTTATCGCACACGCCTCTCCGCCCATCACAAAACATTATTTTTCTGCTTTTCGCCGTGATATCCATGTTGGTGTTTCGATGTTTTGCCGAAACAATCCTACTGCTGAATTACGGCTGACCCAACCACAGCTTTGTCAAATGGGTAAGTGGACAACTGAACATTACTGGACTTTTGATCCGCACGTCAGTAATCATTGAGATTTTTTTGTCAGCACCCTGACTTAGCTACTCAACACCTCCAGCAAGTGCAGCTCAAGTGTCGTAACAAGCCACTAATGAAGTACCATTTGTCTGGTAACCACACAATCGCTACTATCGCTGCTTTATTCTAGTATTTGCTTCTTACGCTTCTAACTACTCATTACGCGCATCACAGTAAGTCACTGATACGCAGCTGTGTATGCTGTGCTCTGCAGTATAGAATGTGGTGTGCTGAATGGCTAAATAAGGGGAAGTGGGATTTGCAGGTAATACTTCGTATCTCCTCCTGATTGTCTGTCTGAGGAATGATTAGAACTGTGCTATAGTTATCATTTTTTTCACCCAAGAGCGACAAGGTATTTGTTTAACACATGCATACATGTATTTTACCCCGCCATGCCGTGGGGAACTGAGCACTATGGTGCTCCTTATACCATTAAAAGACCTATTGGAGAATCGGCAAAGGAGGCATTGTCATAGAGAGGCGAATAGAAAGGAGATCTATACACTTAATTAAGATAGACACTTTTCTAACGTTAGTCCAATCGTTCTGCCACCCCTAAATCGTTTGGTAACACACAGCCTCACTCGTTTTATCTACCGCTACGCACGGTACCACAACTCTTTGGGCACATCAAGCAGGAGCCCAAGGAAAAAGGCTGGGCTTCCAACTACGTGGCTATGCTGTACTACTTCAGCTGCATGTACCCAACATCCTGGTATGTTGTAGTCGTGTAGGATAAGGGGGCGACTGCCCTGTTATTTCCCCTCCTCTTTCAAGTGATGCCTAGATGAATGTACTCATACTTACTTGTCTTTCAATTATATCCCCTTTTCACGCAACGGCAAACTTCTTCTTGAATCGCTACCTTTTCTGTTCTATTGATTAATAGCTGAAGTATCTTTTGACAATCATGTCGAGTGTTAACGATTACACTGTTGGTTGGATATGTGCTATTAGCACAGAACTAGTTGCTGCCAGAGCATTTCTCGACGAAGAGCATGATCCTTCCGGCGCCGTTTCTCCTCACGACAATAATGTCTATACGTTAGGGAAGATGGGGAAGCACAATGTTGTCATTGCTGCCTTGCCAGACGGGGAATATGGTATCAGCGCAGCGGCATCCGTCGCTAGAGATATGCTACATAGCTTCCCTAATGTCAGGTTTGGTTTGATGGTAGGCATTGGAGGTGGCGTTCCAAGCAATCACGACATCCGCCTGGGAGATATCGTTGTTAGCGCCACACGCAATGGACAAGGAGGAATATTCCAATATGATTTTGGAAAAACAATTCAGGCCCAAGAGTTTCAAAATATAATGTTCCTGGACCAACCTCCGACCCTTTTACGGAGCGCTGTCGGTGATCTCAAGGCTCGCTACGAGAGCGATGGTCATCAGTTTCAAGAGGTTATAAACAATATCTTCAACAAGAAACCGAGGCTCCGAAAAAAATACCAACGGCCTAACCCGAATACCGACCGATTGTACATCAGCAGTGCAGTTCACCCTTTCACGAATGATGAAATGTGTGCAACAGCCTGTGGCGATTCAATGTTAGTGCCACGAGAACCACGGGAAGAGTATGAAGATGATCCGGCAATTCACTACGGTCTCATTGCATCAGGGAATCAGCTAATGAAGGATGCTCTCATTCGAGATGAACTTGCCTTGAAGAAGGACGTCCTTTGTTTTGAGATGGAGGCAGCAGGGCTGATGAATCACTTCCCTTGTCTCGTAATTCGTGGGATATGTGACTACTCAGACTCACACAAGAATAAATATTGGCAGGGCTACGCAGCAATGACCGCAGCTGCTTATGCAAAGGATGTTCTTAAATGCGTCCCCCCTAATAAGATCGAGGCTGAGCAACGGATTGGAGATGCACTTTCCGGTTAGTAACTTTGATTATTAAAATGATTTTTGGAAGGAAATTAATACTTTTATCTACAAAAGGAGTGAAAGAAAGTGTCGATCATCTTATCCGTACGCAGCATGATGGGCGCAATCTGGCCATTCTGAACTGGCTCGCTTCAGGTGAATACGGTGCACAACAGAGCGATTGTCTCAGGCAACGAGAACAAGGAACCGGAGAATGGCTTCTCAATTCAGACCAATTCCAGACCTGGATCAAAGGCGAGAATCAGATGCTGTTCTGTCCAGGCATACCGGGGGCGGGCAAGACTATTCTGACGTCAATTGTTATTGATCATCTTCATTCGCATTTTCAAGAAGATCCAAAATCAGGCATTGCATATTTCTTTTTCAATTATAAGCGCCAGGACCAGCAAAAAAATGAAGACTTACTGGCGAGTTTGTTGAGGCAGCTTACCGCACGTCAACCTTCTATGCCCAAAGTAGTGCAAGACCTTTATGATCGACATAATGGACAAAGGACACGACCATCTACCGACGAACTCATGCAGGCTCTTCAGTCTGTAGTGATAACATATTCAAGAGTTTTCATCATGATCGACGCACTTGATGAGTGTAGATCAGTTGATCACACTCATTCGAGCGTTTTATCCGGTATCTTTACACTTCGGTCAAAAACCAAGGCAAATTTCTTCTTAACCTCTCGACTTAACGCGAACATCACAGAAAATTTTGAGGGCATTCCTGAACTAAAGATATATGCAAACAATGACGATGTTCAAAGATACCTAAGGGGTAATATGCGCCATCTTCCAAGATTTGTGCGCGACGATCCCGGCCTGCAGGAAAAAATAATTACTAGTATTCTTAAAGCCGTCCAGGGAATGTAAGTAGAACACGTCAGATTTACAGATTAATCACACTAACCCAGACAGGTTCCTTTTGGCCCGGTTCCATCTCGACTCCTTGAAAGGGAAAACAAAGCCCAAGGAAATTACGAATGCCTTGCAAAAACTAGCCACAGGCTCCGATGCATACGAGCAAGTCTACAACGAAACTATGCTCCGTATTATCAGCCAATACAAAGAGCAAGCACAGCTTGCAAAGTCGGTCCTCTCTTGGGTCACCTTTGCAAAGAGACCACTCACCGTTGTTGAGCTTCGGCATGCGCTTGGTGTGGAACACGGAGAGTCCACCTTTGACGAACAAAATATGCCGGATATTGAGCTTATGGTGTCTGTATGTGCTGGCTTAGTTACTATCGATAATGATAGTAACATTATCCGGTTAGTCCACTATACTGCCCAGGAGTATTTCCAACAGGCACACGATACATGGCTTCAAGAACCCCAAGCCGAAATCACAACAACCTGTATTACGTACTTATCATACAAGGTGTTTGAACCCGAAACAGGCGATAAGTATGATGATTTTGTGGCATGCAATAATGCTCATCCGCTCTACGATTATGCCTCGAAGTATTGGGGCTACCATGCGCGTGAAGACTCTGTGTTAAGAGCCGACGTAATGGCGTTTTTAGAGGATATGGCCAAGATAGGGTCACACTGCAAGATATTAGAGAGTATGGGAGGGCCAATTGAATTTTCAAACAGAAAATTGGCGCATCACACGACAGGACTACATTTAGCAAGTTGGTTTGGACTCATCGCAGCTGTTGATCTAATTCTAAGCAACGGTGATATCGAGGCTCCGAACGAAGCTGGAGAGACACCACTACATGTCGCAGCTCAGAAGGGCCATGAGCCCATCGTCCAAATGCTACTGGACATGGACGCTAATATCGATGCTAAAAACAAAGGTAGAAGAACACCGCTACATTGTGCAGCTTGTCATGGACAGGAGGCAGTAGTTCAGATGCTTCTTGATAGGGGCGCTGATATTGAGGCTGTTTCAACACATGGCTATACCCCGCTACATCATGCGGCCCTGTATGGATATGAGGAAATAGCTCGGCTGCTTCTTGACAGAGGCGCTGATATCGAGGCTGTTTCGACAGATGGCTATACCTCACTACATTTTGTAGCCCAGCATGGACATGAGGAAATAGCTCAGCTGCTTCTTGACAGAGGCGCTGATATCGAGGCTGTTTCAACACATGGCCGTACCCCGCTATACTATGCAGCTGAGCATGGACGTGAAGCAGTAGTTCAGATGCTTCTTAATAGAGGTGCTAATACTGAGGCCGTCAAAGGATTTTATGGCTTGGAACCTTTATTAATAGCTGCCTCGAGTGGCTATGAAGCTATTGTCCAGCTACTTCTTGACAAGGGCGCGAATGTTGAGGTTGTTACAAGAGTAGGCTACACGCCGCTAATTGCTGCAGCTTCTGGTGGCTTTGAAGCTATTATCCAACAGCTTCTTGACAGAGGCGCTAATATTGAGGTTACTGAAACGATATCTGGGATGACGCCATTACTTCATGCAGCTAGGACTGGATGTCAGGCAGGAGTCCAGATGCTTCTCAACAAAGGCGCTAATATTGAGGCGACTGGAACAACGTCTGGCATGACACCATTACTTTTTGCAGCTCAATTTGGACGAGAAGCTGTTGCTCAGCTGCTCCTTGACAGAGGCGCTAATATTGAGGCGACTGAAACAACGTCTGGCATGACACCGTTACTTGTTGCAGCTAAGTTTGGACGAGAAGCTGTTGCTCAGCTGCTCCTTGACAGAGGCGCTAATATTGAGGTGACTGAAACAACATCTGGCATGACGCCGTTACTTTTTGCAGCTAAGCGTAGGCTTGAAGCACTTGCCCAGCAGCTTCTTGATAGAGGCGTTAATATCGAGGCGACTGAAACGAAGTCTGGCAGGACACCGTTACTTCTTGCCGCTAAGTGCAAATGTAAATATCATGCCCAGAAGCTTCGCGACAGAGATGCTGTTCTGAAGTCGTATGGACCAAATCTTGGCAGAAGCATATTACGTTCTGCAGAAAAAGTATAAATGTGAACCTATCATCCAGTTGCTCCTTGACAGAGGGGCTAATATTAAGGCGACTACAAAGTCCGGTATGACACCGTTACTTGTCGCAACTGAGTCTGAATGCGAAGTTATTGTCCAGCTGCTTCTTGACAGAGGCGCATTGCCTAACAATGTGCGATATGAAGGTCTACATGTACATGATAGTATGGAACAGGTTTAGGAGGAGGTACATCAGTCAAGATAATATCCGCACCAAATGCGGGAGATGTATGAATCGATGTTTAAATGCTAGAAAATAAAAGGTCTCATGTTTTATCACACCCAAACCATAGCCGTACCATCTAAGACCGTAACGCTATCTGCCGACGCCTTATCTATCAGCCAGACACGACCATGAAGTTCCAATCCACACGTAGGTACACGTCGTCCAGTTGTTGCTGAATAAGTGCGTCAGCATCGAAGCTGCTGATGACTCGGGCCCGGGACGGACATCATTCCTTTAGCTGTTTGTTGCCGTTTATACCACCAAAGTAAGAGCTAGTAACTTCCCCTTTTGTTTCTTTTCTATTCCCCATCGAGCTGTAAGCCTTACTCGACGAGTATTATAGGTAGCCAATGAAGGACCTAGCGGTAGACTGTATTCCGGGAGACTATTAGGCGGACCGTATTCGGGTCATATCTTTGTCATATGGCCGGATTAGACAGAAGTTGAGTCATTTGCCTCTTGATTCCACATTACCTCACGCATCTTTCATAATACGCAACACGCCGGCGCTACGGTGCGGCCCCAATGGACGTCCGGAGGCCGGGCTTTTGTGCCTCGGGATCACATAATCGAGCAATCCGGACATCACCACAAGTCCCAGCTTCTACAAAAGTTGGCACGTCTGCATTTTCGACAATACTATTTTTGAGATTATTCTCGACAGATTTCTAAGCTTATTGTAATTGTTTTAAGCCCCAGATTAGGTTCGATGTCGCAATGCGAGTCGGCTGTCGCCATTATCCTGGTTGCTTCCCTCCGAGGTGAAGCATGCGCGATTACTGAGCCTCTGTCGATACCACGCTCAACCAAACACAAGCTACAGTTTTGGTGAAAAATTATCGGCGAATTTACCCAAGAGATTCACTTTGTTGAGGTGCATGAGCCCAGTAGCTGGAATCCATTGCCCTGGTAGCTTTGGGATATTACGCAGGTGGCTGCCATCCATTTGCCCGAGGTACATGTATAATGTCCGTATCGCTACGGAGTTCTACAGGTGGAATAATGAGAATGGTGGATACCGCCCTGGGTGTTCAAAGCGATTGCTTCATGCCTCCATGCAATATTGATAATGTCAGTACCTGTTAACTACCATGTGCTGACCGTAATAACCCTATCTGGTAGCAAGCACTTTCCCTTGTAGATACACACAGACATACGCCTTGACGGGCTCAATCCTTATATGTCCTGTTGCATTTCTTTGGCCTCTACAGATCAATGTGAATCATTGTCGGAGGGTAGCATTGCAGTAGCCCAATCAGTCATCGAAACCAAAAAAAAAAAAAAAAAAAAAAAAAAGGTGTGTGTGTGTGCTCAAAGATCGGGACAGTCATTTGCCGTGAAGCCTCTCACGTAGCTCCGTCCACCGATCTCAAGCCCCTCCACGTGGGAAATCTTATATTTCCACGGACATCTTCTGGTTCGTCTTCTGTTCAGCTGCCGTATGCAAAACAGTAATCAGTAAATCCTGCTTGGGCATCCCTGGCCTTGGCCGTGTCTGTTTAGGGCCAGTAGCGTGCGAGCTTCCCCTGCAAGATTACATAGCTTGTGCCCGTAAATGATTGTCTGTTTAAAGGAAAGTATAAAGTTTTTTTGGTCTTCTCTCCCTTCGATAGGCTGGGCCCTGGATTCCGTGTGGGCATTGCGGGCATTGTTACTCCATTTGGTAACTACATGGTCTCCTTATCGTCGAAAGCGAATGCGAAGGAACAATTTCATGTGGCATATGCCAATAAAAGGCGTCATTCTCAGCAGCTCTCTAGAATTTGCAGTAGTAATCGGAACTGTAGAATAGTAATCATGCCCTCGAAAGCGGCATGGCGTTGTTGATTCAGACCATCCCATTGGATGAATTCCAGATTTACTCAATACCTCGGCAGTTTTTAACTATGTTCAGTAATCACAAAATACCCACTTTTTATCGGACCCGGCCCGTCCACCGGGGATCTGAGGCGCTCCCGGATTACCAACCAGGGTATTGCCTCGAACGAGTAGGAGGGATCCGTGTGCGAGGTACCTAATGATGAAGGGAAGAGAAAAACTGAAGTTGGGCTGGGCAAGCATGGCTGCTTTTAAAGACCGCGTGCCCCTTCTCCCGAGGTAAGTCTTTTGGTTGGTGTGGACATCAGGTTCTTCGCTATTAGAGCCATCTTCCTCCAGCCAATACTCCCGACAAACAATAACGAAGAACAATAGGGAACTAGGAAAGGGGAAAAGAAACCGAGGAAGATAAGAGAAGGGATTGGGATTATACAAATACGATCCAGCAGTCGATTCATTTAAACAGTCAAGAACAAACACGATCCTCCCCAAGACTGCTGGAAGCTCGTCGACCTTTGCGCCCTCGATTCACTGGATATTTCAGCCTAAACAAGTCACAGTTTCATACAAGGAGAAGACGCTAATATGGCGTCCTCCACCACGTTGAACGCCCCGGTTGCGTTCGATGATCAGGCCGACGACAAGACTCTGTCAATAAAGCCAGACGACCAGTATGGAAACAGCGACATCAACAGCAACAGCGATGAAGAAAAGGGACAGGTTGCGCCAATGCAGGACGAGCTCGACTGGGAAAATGCTCCTGAGAACCCGTACAACTGGCCGAGATGGAAAAAGGCACTGACTATCTTTGCATTAGCTACGATGGGTCTCACGATGTAAGTCACACCATGCTCGCCATTTCCAGATCTGCAACTGCGTTTTGGGTTGGAGATTGTAAAAAGATAGAAACCATCTTAAGTGGCAATATTAACATGACATTTGCACAGTTCCATTGCGACATCCATCTCCTCCTCATCTGTCAACCTTCTGATGGAAGAGTTTGGAGTCAGTCGAACCGTCGCCTTATTGCCTCTCACCATGTATGTTATTGCTCTCGGCATTGGCCCTGTCATCGGCGGTCCCCTCTCCGAGACCATCGGACGGTATCCCGTCATCATGGGCGGCTTGCTCATTGGAGCTCTCTGGACTCTTGGAGCTGGCTTGGTTCACAACTTTGGCGCTCTGTGCTTCTTTCGCTTCCTCTCTGGCTTTTTCTGGGCTCCTATCCTGGCCAATGCTCCTGGATCTCTCTCGGAGACGTTTATGCCAAAGTCGCGAGGCCCAATCAGTGCCATTTTCATTCTGACCCCCTTCTTGGGTCCCGGTCTTGGGTGAGTCTTTGTCCCCGCCAATTCAGCCAGTTATAAATCTAACATAGTTCCCATTCCACAGTCCCGTCATCGGCTCTTTTGTTTCCGTCGACAAGGGTTGGCGATGGACTGAGTGGACAATGCTCTTCTTCGCTGCTCTCAGTCTTGCTCTGGGATGCACAATCGGAGAGACTTTTCACCCTATCCTCAAGCGTCGTCTAGCTAAGAAGAAGGGCATCGAGCTCCCTCCGCTCCCTCCCATGAACGAGCGCATCAAGACATTTGCTGTCGTTGCAGCCATTCGACCGATCAAAATGCTCTTCAGCGAGCCCATCGTAACATTCATCTGTCTCTACGTCGCCATCAACTTCGGTACCCTTTTCAGCTTCTTTGGTGGTGTCCCTTACACATTTGGCACTGTATACCACTTCACAACTGATCAATCCGGTCTGGTCTTTATTTCCATCGTTATCGGTTGTTTCCTCGGTCTTGCCACCATCATGGCCTGCGAAATCTTGCTCTACCGAAAGCAGATCCCCAACTTTCCGCCTCACAGGGTGCCTCCGGAGTACAGACTGTATCCCGCCATGTTCGGTTGCTTTGGCCTTCCCATTGGTCTCTTCTGGTTTGCCTGGACTGCTCGCAAGGATATTTCATGGGCGAGCCCGGCAGCAGCCATCATTCCTTTTGCGTGGGGAAACCTTTGCGTCTTTGTTAGCACCATGCAATACACTACCGATACCTTTACTGGAAATGTCGTCGCGAGCGCCTCCAGTGCCAACAGTTTGGCACGATACGGTTTTGCGGGAGTATTCCCCCTGTTTACGATTCAAAGTGAGTTGATGCCCTCTGGAAACTCTCCGCTGGGACATGTAAACTAATCTCTTATTCAGTGTACACCAACCTCGGCATTGACTGGGCCAGTAGTCTGCTTGGATTCATTGCTCTGGCATTGATCCCAATTCCTTGGGTCCTTTTCAAATTCGGTCCTCGAATCAGGGCCAAGAGCAGGTTCGAGACGCACAAGTACGAGTAAAGGGGAAACTAGCGATGGAAGCAGGAGAGGTCAACTGTTCAATGGCAGACACACTCTCTTTTCTTTTTCTTTCTTCATTCTGGGAAATGGATATGCAGATGCAAGCAGAGAGCGATATCCCACTAGACTTCGTCTTTTTATAAACTGCATGATTAGATGGGGCGCATTAACGATATTTAGAACGTCATAGTACAATAATAGACCAGCGATTGTTTTTTCAACAAGCAAGCCATGTACGACGATTAAGCTGTAATAAATAACTCTCCTCAATATATACACATAGAGCACATTATATTCTTCGATCCATTTCTATATATAATTAGTCCACATCAATCACCTGCTCTGGCAGCGGCTGGAAGTTCTCATCCAGGTAAAACCACTTGTTGTATTTTTCAGGTCGTGGGGCAGCAGGCTTAATGTCGGACTTCTTGGGCAGATCAAACTGCTTGGTCGTGTCCTTGCTAGAAACGTAGCTCTTGCAGATAGTTGGCTGCGAAGTCTGCGAAATGACAATCTTGCCGGGTTTCTCTTTGCCGCTGACGAGGTCCTTCCAGAAGCCGTGGCTTTCACCAACAATCTCGCTCGCGGTCTTGGCGTCTTGGAACTTGTTTCCATAGATGACGTTAAGCTGGCCGCTACGGAGGACCTTGTAGTACTAGACTCTTATTAGTATTCATGACCGTTGCACATGGGTTGGGTGGAAACTAACAGTGAACCAGTCGTAAAAGGTTTGCGGAAGGCCGGGTCGGTACTTTTCCAGATCGTCGAGGTCTGGTTCTTGTTAGCTTTGGCATTCAATAGTATATAGGCATGTGTGTCTTACTGTTGACTAATTGCGATAGAGGATCATTAACGTTGATGCCAATGACCTTCCAATCCGTTGTCTCGTCCTGTGAGAGTCGGGTTAGAAACGCAACACAACCGTGAAAAGGGAAGTGAGAATTCGCACATCAATCATGGGGATTGCACCCAAAATCTTAACCGTTCTAACCTGGCCAACGTATCCGGGGCTGTTAAAAGGTGGTTAACCAGCCGATTCTTCAGTCGTAGTTTCACAATACTGACTCAATGGCACTGATATCAACAACGTCCATAGGATCATTGTCACCAACATATCCAGTAAAGTTGTGCTTGATGTTGGAGTTTTCCCATGTCTGAGGAAGCGATCCGTAGAGAAATGGGTAAGACTTGTGTGGCCAAACGCTGGCCACATATCGAGGCAAGTCATCCTTGTCGTCGTGGAAGATGGGGTCTAGTGGCGTTGACAAGATCAGTAACGGCAAGGATAACTCAGCAGAGACGACATACTCATAGGCTTGTCGCGCTTAGTCTCAATCTTGGCATCTGTCCATCGTGGGATTTCGATGTAGATGTTGACAATGTTGCTCTGCTTCTCGTCGGGATAGAGAGGAATGTCGTGCCAGAAGGAGATTACATTGCCATCCTGCTCGAGCCAAACGCGCCAATCCTGTTTACCATCAGCTAATATCCCCCACAATTACCTATGGATATACCATGCAGTTTCAATGACTTACCACTGTGTTGCGTGCTCCAACTTCTCTCAGAGTGAGAGACTTGACGTCGAACTCCTTCGTAACAGCCTTGTCGCCGGCTTTTGCGGCAACAGTGGCTGCAGAGTAGACAGGCGCAATGGCCAGGTTCAGCAGACACAGAGGCAGAAGAGAGCGCATGGCGACCGACTCTTTAACGAAAGGGATGGTTGGATTGCAAGCTATTCCTTTGCTCCGTGCAACTCAGTGCAACTGGGGGTCTCATTATTTATATGTCGCGTCAATCGCCAAGAAACCTTTGTGGAACCACATCCAATACCGATGATACTGTAGTATAGACAACAATAACAAACTCCATGTCGAAATCAGCGTAGTATTATCGCGCAATGCAGCCATGTGTGAACAAAAAACACGGGATGGCCTCAACACATTGCAACGGGCTGATCTCCCGACCGCCTTCTCAGCTGGCATCCCGGTTCCTGCAGATGAAAAACATACTGATAAATAACTCGCGATGGGCATACTCAGCCATTCATGCCCATCCCTGATCCCACGTGGAGCATCTTGGACACATGTGAAGCATGACGAGAGCAGAGCCTAGTTTCCTGAAGGAGAGAAAGCTCACGCGCGAGCTGCCCGCAAAGATGAGCTTTATTTTAAGCATACGCACTGGGATCACTTTAATTTGAGAGCTAATTGGACGGGATTCGGGAACTTCGGTGGCCGAATTGGGCAATTTGCACATCTTTCGCTGGGGCCAAGATGCCAAGACGTGAAGAGATATTTAGCCGCAACTAGCTTTCGACCGTTTCAGTGACCGAGTAAGCAGAAGAATGCTATCCAACAGCGAATATACATTCAAGGAGAGCATATCGTCTTCCAATGATGAATCCAGATCAACCGTTCTTTGACCGATCGATCGTATTTTTAAAGTTGATCTTGTCTTGCTCCAGATCTTACTAACCAAGGGTCGTATTAAGCCAAGTGATTAACCGGATTCCTTACCAGATTCCTCCGACGGTTCCATCGCCGAAGATTGAATGCGAGACGGGTTTGAACAACGTCAAACTGACTCTGCTGACCATAACTAATATCGACATCACAAAACATCAATAAAATGATTGTCGTAATCGCTGCTGAGGATGCCGCCGACGCCGACAATGTTGAGGACAGGATTCAAGGCCCATATACTATTTATCTTCTTTAGATCGCCTTGCCATGGAGTGTCAATTACATCCACAAAATGGTCTGACGCATTGTTCTTCAAGGCTTTAATACAAAATCGACCCCGTAACCATCGGCACTCAAAATTAAATCCGAGGAAGGCGCCGGGAAATAGCTCTAAAAGATGAGATGCAACGCAGTGATCATAATGGTGAATCAATCATCTCTAAATATGTATTAGACGTAGAATGCTTCTGCAGCATCTGGTATAAGAAATTAAGAAGAGGTATATCAAGTCCAACCGGCGCATACTAAGTCTGAGTGGTTTCACATTGAAGATGGAGCCCAGCAACCAAGAGACTCCCCCTTGGTTTAATTTGATGTCAAGATCATGGCTTTAAACAAAGGCTGCATTATCTGGCCGCATTAAAATAAATCCTAGTTCGCTTTCAATCACAAGAATAAAGTATGCCCGGATTTTAGGCACCTTTTGCTTCTTGTTCTATTGCAATGCACTTATGCACTGCTAAATCCATCAATGCTGGATTTAAAGTAGTAAAGAGACTCGCAAGTATCACTATAGTGTGCCGATGAAGCCTCTAACTCAACTCATCCCGATGGTTGGGGTTACGATCCGTCATGTCTAGCGCCAACGCGGCAAAAGATTTGGTCAATCGCAATTGTGGCAACTATTGTGAAGAAACTAATTATTAATAAAGGATTGGTCTGTTACGAAGGACCAGATCGTAACAATTGGTGAAGGGATCAGTCGATCGTTGGGAGGGTGACTGAAGAAGTTGAAGTGGAGGATGCGGCATGCGGCATGCGATAAACTACGAGCATAAGGACATCCCTTTCATAGCTTACGTAGTAACTTGGGATCTCGTTTTCATCTTTTATAGCTGTTTATTCCACATGTTTCGTTTCATTAGTCAGTAGCTGTCTTCTTTCTATCCAACCAAGCTGCATCATCTTCCGGACATAAGTGTTACAGTCTCTTAACATTTCACTAGCCACTAATGTCTTTGAGACACAATGCAGCCCTGCACAATACCGATCCAGCAGCCGCTCGTAAGATAAAAAAAAAAGTTATCTTAATGCCACCAAAAAAATCCAAAGATGCTAAAAAAGAATGCCCACTATCAGAGTCGAACTGATCACCTTGTCATGTCAAGTATTTACTAGTGACACGCTATACCGCTTAGCCAAGCGGGCAAAGAGCTTTTGATGGCGGACTTGCCATTCTACGATACACAATAACAGTTGGGAATTCTTGCTGGTAAACTCGTCGATTAGGAGATCGCCAAACTCGCGAGAAACCAATTGCTCTAGCAGGTGTGCAGTGCAAATTGATCGTAGTTTTTAAATTGCAGCATGAATTTAGTGAAGAAGATAAGCATACCATGGAGACACAGAAGGAGTAGTGCAGTTTTTTTCAATCAGCTGGTCAAGTATTGAAATCATGTGAGACTACAGTCCTTTCACCTCTAAGCTCAACCACTCGAAGCCAGGACAATTCATAGATAGCTTCCCGTTGCCTGTCATGTACGCTGAAAATTCAATGTGATGGCTTGGTATGATACGATTAAAACGCTTCGCACATTCATCAGAAATCTCGCTTTCCGTTTGTCATTCCATAGAGTATTGCTGCTTGTAGATTATAAACACAAATGATACAGGTACGTTGACCATATGATTACGAGGATAGGAATGTAATGGGAGCTGTCTTAGGACTTCTTCTATGAAAGATTATCGAAAAGGCCAGTGTTGGAGAAGGCGTCATGTATCCTATCTCATCTACTCACTATTGATCATGTTGATTCCATAGTCGCAGGGGTTCGGTAAGACGGCAGGACGAGGATAACTCGGCAGCGTTGACCCATTATTATACCAATCCGAGAAAGGCTATTACCTCAAATTTTCAATAATATCTTAACATCCCTTATCATCCTCGAGTTCTTGCATGGCTAAGCGAAGACATGGACGAAAGCCCAACATACCCTCCACCCTCTCCCACATACGACGATCACTTCAGCTCAAGAAACTATCTTCACAAGCTAAGCCAGCCAACCATGTCAACCACGAAAAGCAAAGGATTCCCCATCGGCTCTCGCACGATAATATAACGGAGAGAGATCACCACATATCCGACCCTCCCCCAGCCTTTTCCCCCAGGCTCTCTCCACATCACTCTTTCCCTTCCGCAAGTTTCTCGCTCGTACTTACGAGCTGTACACAAAAACAGCTCTAGGCAGCCGCAAAAATATTGGGGTAAGCAGCCACAACGGCCCGCTGCAAAAGACTTCCCTGCATGTGTGTCTCGTAGTCAGCTTTCCTAGATGAGCGGTGGTTGGTGCAATACGGACTTCCGTATGGCGAGTATGCCAAGCGTGGGGAAGAAGGAGGGGAAAGTGGAGGGGAAATGTTGGAGAAGGCCGTTAACTCGGTGTGTCTACTACGCGAGGCTATGTTATAGGAACTGTGGGTAAAGGACGGGCTTTTAATAGTTCATGGCTTGCAAGGAACTCGTGTTTGACTAGAGTTCGGGGCAATGCTGCGAGTTGGAGATGAGTTAGGACTCTAGTTCTGCCTCCGCAGCTGAGAGTAAGACGAATAGTCTAGAATGCTTGCTTACCAGATTATTTTCAGTAACAATACGAAACACAAAAAGTTAAACTTTGCAGTCGGCGAAATACCATCTGTTCTTTGTTAAACATGCGTGCAGCAATACGCGGAAAAGAAAGAAATCCACAACTGCGTCCCCTCCATCCATTACCAGAGGTCTCGCCTTTCCCCAGGTCAATAACCTACTGCTGATTCCATTAACCGCTCGGGCAACTTCCGTCGCTCGGACATACATCCACCTTGGGCTGGAATAAGTAAGTACCAACGAAATGCCGGTATGGGGTAACTGTGGCTGAATATCTAGCGCGGCGGTTTCGAACTGTGGTGACAGGGGTATTCTAGAAGGAGATAGTCGGATTTGTTACATAATTCAGGCTGGTGATTGGGTGGCCAACTGCTGTTTCTTCTGTTAATCGGGCAGACAAGAGTCATGTACTAATATGGAGATGTTGCAATTATAGGGATAGCATGTGCTTAAAACAATTTGTTCATTGTATGTACTGTTCGTAACATTCGTAGCTAGATAGACTATACCCTTGTCTATGCGGAGAAAAGCGAAATCGGCGTCAAGCCCTCTATGCCTTCTCCTCAATCTGGGTGACATTTCCAAACTCTTCCTCGGCAGCCCGCTGCTTCTCGTCGACAGCCATGTCCTTCTCCTCGGCATCCTTGTTGCCGTGCAGACCAATCCTGTACCATGGAAGGTCGAAGAGGCGATCCATGCTCTCAAGCGAACGGCCACCAGTTTCGGGCACAGAGAACCACACCCAAACGCCGCCCAAAAGAGTGACTGCAGCAAAGCACCAGAAAGTACCCTTTGGTGAAATTCCTCCCTGCGAAGTGCTGAGCAGCATGACGGGCACAGCACGCGAGTTGCCGTATTGGTTTGCAAAGTGAAGAGTCATAGCCCATGATGTAGCCAAGGCACGAACACGTAGAGGGTACAGCTCAGCAGTGAGCAGGTACTGCATGGAATTCCAGCCAAGGGCCCAACCAGCGCCAGAAATATAGATCATGGCAATTGCGCCTCGACTAGCGCCCTTCAAATTCTCGGGCAGAACAAAGTTCTTCTCAGTGCCAAGCTGGGGCACGGCAGTAAGGAAGCCGGCAACGTAGATCATGGAGATGGCTTGGAGAGTAATACCGGTCAAAAGAGCGCGCTTGCGACCGATGACATCGACGAGGAAGAGAGCGCAGATCATGGCCGACACAAACTTGATGACGCCGAAAACGGCAGTGACCAGAAGAGACTCATTGGTTCCAGTGATGCCCAGGATTTTGAAAAGATCTGGCGCATACAGGGTGATGGAGCCTGCACCAGACCACTGAGAAAGCAGCTGGACCATGGACGACAGATACACACGATACAGGTTGCTCTTGTCAAGGACAAGTTCCTTGACCTTTCCAAGCCAACCAACACCCCGGCTAGCCTCCAGCTCGTGATCGAGGGCAGCCTGGATCATGCCGATTTCGCGGATGACGTACTCACTGTCGGGAGACTGTTGGCGCAGTCGTGCCATGTTGTGGACTGCCTGGTCAACCTTGCCCTGCTTGACGAGGAAGCGTGGCGATTCGCTCTGGAAGAAGGTCAAGAAAAAGATGATGCCACTCATCATAATGTGCAGACTTGTCGGGATAAGCCATTGGTTAGAGCTCCCAGCGCTAATGTGAAGCTGGCATCCATAGTTTGCGAAATACGCAAGCAAGATGCCGAGATAGACGGCACCGGTGAAGAAGCAGGTGCAGAGACCACGGATTGATGCAGGCGCAATTTCGGCGATGTAGATGGGACTATCCGAGTCGAACAACGCATCGTGTTAGTTGTACACGTATAGATCAGTGGGGGGTTCTGTGCCAAGGTTCAACTAACCCAACGACTGGTGTCTGTCCCACACCAAGACCGGCGATGAATCTGCCGGCATAGATGGCCCCCAAATTGCCGCGAGCGCCTCCGATCATAAAAATCATAATACCAATAGCCCAGGTGACACACAAGACCCTCGTGGCGTTGATGCGTCCGATGCGGTCACAAATTAGGAAGGCACTGCAAGGGAGAAAAAAAAAAAGGTCATTCAGCATCAGATCGTCGCAGCGGGTGTGGAGTAGTTGGGCTTGACAAGAGAGGCGGTGACTTAGACTTACATCAAAGCACCAGCGACGGAGCCAATCTGCACCATGGCTGAGACATTGGCCTTGATGTTGGCCTGGTCTACTGCATCGTACGACGCATAATGGATGGAATCTTTGAAGTCGGCTGAATTGAAAGCGCCCGAGATCAAACCCTCGTCAACGCCTCGCGCAGCACCAAGCAGTCCAAAGGAGAAGACTGCAAACCAAAGGCGCCAATTCAGCGCACCCTCTGGTTCACCCAAGTCTTTCAACTTGAAGATGTTGACCGGCTTCTTTGCGCCAACACCCATCGTGGCGGCCTTAACGGGAGTAACCAGCACCGCAACAAAGACGAAGGGATGGAAATCTGGTACTAGCTGGCTGCAAGGGCGAAAGACAAGATGTGAGACGTGCACAGGATGGTGAGTCGAGTGCTGATCTGTAGAGGTCTCACCTTGGGGGAGGTCCGTCGCTTTATATCCCCAGCATCCACACTCTTCTAGTGATCCTTCGAGTCAGAAAAAATAATCCAACTGACACACAAGTAACCACTTTCTCCAGCTGGCAGTGTCCACATCTGCAATCTATCGGAGTACCCCGGATGGTTGTGTAGCCGTGGAAGATCCAGCCCCCATCTCGACACCACTCTGGCGTCTGGAACCGAGTTACATCCACGTCGTGGCCAGAGCCTGACCGATGGAACCACGCGCCATGCCAACAAACCAGGCAAAAACTTGCCGTGCCCCGCATATCGCTCTTCTCAGACTGTCGATAGTATTTGCTCATGCTTGCCATTAGCAGGACCCCCAGTTCTCCGCAACATCTCCACGAGTTTGCTGCCAACGACAAATGAGGGCGTAAGAATGAAGCGCCTCAGACGAAACCCGGTCATGCCAAATGTCGTAGATCCGCTCTTGACTAGCCAACAGCCTACCGGCCCGCCAAGAAGTCTAATACTCTAATTAATCTGGGGTGTGGTGAGGGGAAGCAGGGCCGAAGACCGGGACGGCTTGGAGACTGTGGGGGGATCGGACAACCTCCGTCATGGCTTCGGTGAGAACCAAGTTTCCAATTCTCCAACTTCACTTCCGTGTTTTCTTCTAGCTGATGACCTTGATCCTGGCTGGGGAAGGGAACGCACGTTATAGCCATGCTTGCGTCCGGGGTGGTGTGCTGGAGAGTCGTCGGTGCAGATCTCGCGTTACATGCAGCTGACCGATCACTTTCCATGCTGCAAAGAGCTGGGAATTGCCAATAACATACGCCAAATCGTCATTGTGGCAAATGAGGCTGAGCGCAGTACGGCGCTGCTCTTTGTCTATCGAAGAAAGACCGTAGAATATCGATAAGAGAAAATGCCATGGTCATTTGCATCATGAGAGCTTCTCCAAATTGTTGCCCTTGATCTTACTTCTCGTCAGCTGGCCGCTCGAGAAGTTCCACAAATTAAGGGTTTGCCGATGCCTCAGCCAACCCAAGTTCTTGCGCCCCTGGTCTAGCTTCTAGGTCTGAGGACTGCCACGGGCCCTCTCCGAGAGGGGGTTACTATTGAAACCATGTAATTGGGGTATTATTCTCTAGCATGCGAGTCATTCTCGTTCCGAGTCACCGGCGAACTCGTGGCAGCCGTTAGGCAGGACAATGAATCGGTTTATCCGACCAAGTCCGGAGCGACTACCCATATCAAGCAACAGCGAATGGCAATCATCTCGCCAAATGCTGCTGTTCATATCCAATACCGGCCCCAAAGAGCGTATTCCTCCTTTGTGCCTCGGAATTTAAAATTTACTTCCGTTACGTCTTGAAAGCCCTCTTTTTCCTTTGGCTCTTTGAACCTCGATGCAAATCCATTGAAGGCCAGTTTGGGCAAGATCTCTCTCTTCTCTGGATTGAGTGTGGCGTTGTTCGCCCGAACTGCATCGTTATGCTCACAGACCACTATCGGTGTTGAAAACCAGACACACCGGATCGGAACGCCTGCTTTTTTGGCCACTTCTATCCACAAAGCGCGCGTATCGGGATCGGGGTTGGTGTTGTCTGTGCTCACATGTTAGCGTATGTGCAAACTTCACCCAGGCGAGGCAAGACAAGATCCTAGTGTACGCCTAGATGTAGAAGCAGAAAGGAGAAGGGCACGTACCAACAGCTACAGATTTGCCCTCTTTGAGTAGGTCTCGGGCAGCTTGGATGCATTTGTCGCGGGACTTTAGTGTATCTTGGTTCACCCGTTCATACGCGAGGGGCTTTAGAAATTTGAAATAAAATGTACTTTTCCCAGCTCCTGGAGGGCCGCAGAACAAGACAACATCCTGGTCATTTTTCCTCTCAAAGAGGTCGGGGTCTTTGGTGGCAATAGATGATCCATCTTCGTCTGACAATGCAAAATTTACTAGGTCAAACTCTCGAATAAAGTCCCTGGGCTTCTCTCCCAGAAAGAATTCCTCGGGCGTCAAATAGTCGATGCCGACGTTGTGTGCAAAATTCCTGTCGGAGCAGCTGAAATCCTTTGCTACAGCTGCTGCTGCACCACCGTCTCCTTTGCCAAGAACCGCGGTTCGACCGCCTGCATCGCCGATGAAGAAGCTTCCTTTTAGATCCACCTCTTCCTCGGGGATTTCAAGGTCCTCGCATAGTTCCTTCCACATACCTATCCTGGGTTTTCGATAGATATCTTTTGCTGTGGCGGCATAGACAGATGTCGGGAGGTCGAGACTTGTGAGCACAGCATTGCACTTTTGTTTAAATTCCGCGACACGCTTCTGGGCACTGGCTTTTGGTCCTTTGAAATTTGCATCGAAATGCAGCGTTAATCCAGCTTGGTTGGAGAGAATCACGACATGGTAGTTTTCCTTTTCATACAGCTCTCGTAGCCGACCAGGAACTTGGCTGTCCCACCACTTCCAATCTGCTGCGTTGGAGGCATGCTTCTTCCCCGACGATGTAGTAATGAGGGTCGAGTCGAGGTCAAATGCGGCAATCTTCCGTCGCTTCTGGTGAGCTGTCTCGTCTTTCTTCTCGGGCTGGTATCGGCCAACCAAGAGTGTTGCGGGAACGTCATCGGAGGGACCTCGCTCTGACCAGACCGTTCGATCTTTTGGCTTCTGGGAGGCTGGCGTGAAAAAGCTTGCAACCGCTGATTCTGATAGGCGCATTAGCCACTAAATATCGGCTAGAGACGCAAGAATAACACAGATCTTACTTGTAGTTGTGCTCTTCACGGCTTTCTTGAGGGGAGGAGGGGAAACCGGAGCGCCAGGATCTTTTCGCTTCCTCGGAGGACTTTTCGTGGCCATTTTGCGACTGCACAAGACACCAGAAAGGCGTGGAAATGTCCTAATATCGTGTATGAGAGATGTTCGGCGCAATAAGAGCATGTGCATTAAGAGGCTGGAAGTTAATAATTGATAAGGACAGAGGATCGCAGCCAAGACGCGCGCATGTGCGACTGCGGCGCGTGATCACGTGCAATCTCGAGAGTCACTTTAGCTTTACCATCACCCACGTATTTTACAGAATGACGTTGAACCTCATCAAATCGGCATTCAGCATACTATAGCTTCTTCAATTTCCATCAATCCCGCAGAGTTCGATTTATCACAGCCTGGAGACGGTCTATTTTGCCTATATTTTGCTTGCCTGGGCGCGCAGCCTTGCCTCATCACCATGTACGAGTTGTTCCTCACGGCCCTCGTTGAGGACAGCGATATCAACACGGCCCTCGCTGTTCTGAGCGGTTTCTGCTCAATGCAGCCGTGGGAATCAGTGAGCCGAGTCATTTACTTCCAGGGCCCTCCTCGGCCATCTGGAATCACCAATCAGCGCTCCTTTGAGAAGCCCATCCGCAAAGACATCGCCCTGCTCTGGAAGGAACTGCACCAAAACCTTTCTCGTCAATCTTTTGTCCTTCAGGCTCGCTATGAAATCTACAAAGATCGGGATTTGGGTCCTTCTGCCGAACCCGTTGATCTCGACACTGTGCCAGGCATCCTGAGGTGGACAGACTTTCCAGATCCTCCTCGGAATCAGCCGATTCTCACTCAACGTAAGAAGGTTGAGCTTTGGGAACAAAGAAAGCTGCTCTCCGTGTTGCGGGAAAACAACCATCAGTCAGTCTTTTTGCCCTTTCTTTCAATTTCATCGCGCGCTAACAAACCTCAGGTTCAAAACAGAGACAATAGAAGAGATGTATCGGTTCTTTCGCGATGATGTGGAGTTCTGTCTCACCAGGCACTACTTTGTCGGGCCGCTTGAAGATTACGTTCCCCTTGCGGCCAAACCGGCCATCCCTACAGAACCAAAGTCTAATCTGCCAGCTTGGGAGTCTCTCACTCGGGTTGATTCGCAGAATCGCTGGATTCTGCAGGTCAAAGCGCACGTTGTCCAAGATAACAAGCCAGATGAGATAAAGAAGGCGCAAGACCAGCTTTTGAAGTTTCGCACAGACCTAGAAGGCGTTTTCGATTTCAAGGTTATTGACCGGAAAGTGCACGACACTCGAGTGGTCATGCAGCAGCAAGGCGTTCAGGTACTCCCGCAGAAAGTGCTTCTAGGGAAGTCATGATTTCGATGGCGTTTCATGCTGGCAGTTATACCAGCACCCGGATTTGGTCGGAGCGGATAATAAACATGCGTAACATATCTACAACCCACACGCGGCAACAACGTTCAATGTTAATGGCTACCAAGTAACGGCATAGTACTGCCACCACGACATATCTTACAACCATACGCTCCAAATACAAAGTCATAATTTAGACACGACCAACCAACTCTCACACTTTTCGCACAATACCGCCGCAATATACGGCTCTCAGCAGACTAGCCCATCGGATGCCGGATCGAGTCTCGGCAAATCTGCATATGGTTAATCTCTAAGTGGTTGGCAGGTCACGGAGTCATGGAAGGACGCAAATTCTAAGAAATGGGTATCTTCAATCGCCAGACACCCCAAAATGCTCGTATATTGCAAGTAAGGCTAGTTAACAAGAATCACAACTGCATATACCATTTGCAGAAACCAACGTCTGTTTCCGCTCCCTCCATTGCGAAGTGCTTCCCTTACTGGGTGAGACCAAGCACCTCAGTAAGGTTGTTGACACCAAGAGCTACCTCAAGGGTAGTAAGAGAACCGCCAGTGGCAGCGTTGAGGTATGCGTTGACGGCGTTGAGATCAACACCTTGGGCCACCATAGCAAGAGCCTCACCGACAATCTGGACAACGTTGTTGATGCCAGCGGTGGCAGCGACCTGACCCTCAACAGTCTGGACAAGGCTGACAAGCTTGGCAGCCAGAGTCACGGGGAGAACAGCCTCGATCTGGAAATCAATAGTTTAGCGATGTACACGTTACGGGATAAGCTGAATTCTTGGCTCACCTTCTGGACAATGGGACCGAGGAGGGTCACCAGCTGAGTCTCGAGGGCGACAACATCGACAACAACGCCCTGAGTGATTCCTCCGAGAAGGCCACCGACATCACTGACGAGAGATCGTCGAGCTGTCGAATGGTTAGCAATTGTTGCTCTTGATGAGAATAAATGGTTCACGAACCGAGAGGGGCGGCAAGGCCAGTGCCGACAATGAGGAAGAGAGCAGCGAGAGTGAAACGCATTTTAGTGGTATTGGAAGGCAGAAAATAAAATAAAGGAGTGACTGAAGTTGTGAGAACTTCTGAATTATGTGATTTGCTGTGCAAAAGAGTGACTGAGAGCGAACTGCTTGTTGATGATGATATTGTGAAAATGCGGGCGAATTGGTCTTCTTTATATCCTCCTGTCTCTCCGTTTTGTTGCTCCCTTGGCTATTCCTACATCATCTCCTTGAATGATCGGCAGTCACCTCATTAAGCTTGGTCATATCAACATGCGAGCTATACCCTGCAACTGAGATTCTTCTTGACAAGCTCGCTTAGGTATCAAAACAGGCATCACGATTCAATTCTTGTTGGGTCTTACCAGCATCAGGGTAGCGAAACAAAAGCATAGCACGGCATTTCGTGGGTTAGTCTCATAAACCGCCGATCTGCTCAGCACATGAGTCGCTCGCTGTGCTGAATGACATAACAAGCCACCAGACAAAGAGGCACCGGATGAAGATCGCAAGTTCTCTTCCCGCTTGGATGTGTGGAGAGCTTAGGAGGCCGCTTTGGCTAATTTCCCAATGCTGTCCAGAGAGATTGAAGCGCGCAGAAATGGAACATATTGGAGGCAACAGGGAGCAATAGCATGCAAGATGTTCGCAGTGGTTGATGCCAGAATGCGAAGAACTGGCCGAATTTGACGCACAGAGACGGCAACGCCAGGTCAAGAGGTAGACCCTATTGGGAAACGAAGAGATTGCGATGGACCCGGATACCCCAGACCGGGACTGATTGCCCCACGATCGGCAGATCATAGTGCAGCGCTAGAGACGAACGCCAGCACTGCGACGTTGGTTTAACTGAATTGGTGAATGAATGAGCATGATGGGATAATCCATTTCGCATTTGTCAAGCTTGTTTAGCATTCTACCAGGATCATCCCGAGTCATGTTTGGTTGAGTGAAGTCAATGGAAGCCAACGTTCGGCGACTTGGCTGCGGATCCGCATACGACTCAATCTATACACTACGTCAACCACAAGGATGCGTTGCCATATCTGTTCTTGTCGGTCTACGTGTTCGGCATTCAAATAAAGAGCTCTTTTTAGCAACCTTGATCGCTTGACGAGTATGACAGGGGCACCACGCAAAAGTAGAAGAAACCCGCATGAAGCTCTGCAAGAGCCAGAGTCCCCGCCAGATCGGCATGCATACTTGGTGGTACCAGGCACATCCCAATTACAGCAATCTCTTAAGTATGTCCAAACAGCGACGTCAGAGAAGCGGACAAAGGGGCTGATACTTAACCGGGAGAATAGCCGGTTCCTGATTATCTCTATGCCTGTCCTCTTTGAGACTGAGATTTGCATCTCCGGCTTTCAAGCCAATTTGGCTGTGCATTGTGATCTACAGAGCAGCTAGCACTTCATCTTCATCAACTACCATTGGACCCTCTTGGTAGTATGTATGAGCAATCCACTAACGATTTGGGACATTTTTTGCCTGGAGCTGGTTATCGGTTATCCTAGAGACGAATATCGTTTGAGACAAGATTAGATGTCTCACTCAAGGAGCCAGGCGACTCGGAAAATGAGGCTGGAAGCAGGCTGGACCAGACTATGTGTATAATGGCTAGAAATTTCACCATTCAACAGATGAGTACACGGAGATGGTAGTACGATGCCATGATCCATGCGGTGAGAAACGTACACGAGTGATCGGATTTTGTATTTGACGGACTATTCTAAACTAGCTAGGCAAGTTGCATATCACTTTCACAGCTCGACCACTTTTGTTCTGCACCAAGTGGCATTCGAGGTTTGTGATGTTTTGTCTTCGCATTTACTCTTTCCAGACAAGAGCGACAATCTATCTTCCATGCAAGACATGTAAGCTGAGCCTCCCAAAAGATCCTTCCTAAATGTGACCCCAAAGCCAAGAAATGCCACGGCGGATCATCCCGCATTTCCATCAAGGTAGCAAGCAGCTGCGGAGTATGCCAAGCCACCGGGATTTGGAGAGTTGCAAGGGTACAAAGAGATGCTTTTGCACCATTTCGGACGTGATGATGGGTATTGTGAACTTGTAACGGAGAGAGTGGATGTCGTCAAACGCAAAACAGAGCAAGTGTTTGCAATAAAGGGGATTCTACAGCTTTTCCGTGTGTGAACTCTGCGTAAAGGGTTATCATAGACAAATTCGAATAGCATTCGGACAAGCTTCTCATTCAAACGAGTCAAGACCGCGAAAAACAATTCACACCGCTTCCAAGAGCTTGCAAATCTCAAGTCCAAACCAAACCATTCAAGCTCAGGCATTATTCCGTTGATGACGCCCCTTCAGCCGCCTTAACATGAGGCCACTTGACATTCTTGACTTCCGGATTTCGTCGCAAAAAGCCCTCCAACCAACGCTTCCCAAGCGGCTGATCATCGCCGCCCAGCTTGGCAACTTTGGCAGCGAAATCTCTGACTTCTTGGTAGGATGGTGCGAAGCCTAAGGCATCCGAAGATAGAATCCACATTACGAGATTGTTTTCTTTTTCTTTGGAGAGGCGTTGGTTGGGCTCATTTGCCTGCCTTCGCGTGATGCCGCCGTTTAATCGGTTGTTGAGCGTCGCTCGGGGAATTTTCCAGCGTTTTGCAGCTTTTCTTTGAGAAAGGCCGCCTTCGATGTCTTTTATGGCAGAGAGAACGTCATCTTCTGTATATTCGGGCATTTTTTATATTAAGAACCAGTCAGACCGGTAAGAAATAGAAAAGCATCACGAGAAAAACGCGGTCGAAGGAATTTGGTGGCGCTGAAGTGAGAAACACGCGTGGTCCGCTTGGGAGTGGCCGGCCATAGTCTGGCCTACCCTATAACCAGAATACCTGTATACACAAGAACAGCTGGATGAGCAAAATGTTGCGTAATAAGTAAAACGTGAGACTGGTTTCATCATCATTGGTTACAACACAGGCCATGTAGAGAGTTTACGCGAGTAATTCAGTTTAAGCAAAGGTAGTGAACAATTGCTTTCTATCTCGACTGCACATTTCACCAAAGTCCGGGATTCTAGCTTGTTTAGCAGTAGCTCCTCAAGCTCTACTTCTCATGAGTTAATACACACGCTTAGGTACTCGTAGCATTTACACTGTCATAGCCGAAGTGTTGATTTAGGTTGTATAAATATAAAAAGCGAGAGGAAAAGAGAATATACCTCTATATCCATGCTTACATGTATCATCTAGTCTCCTCTGAGCCTCCTGTTAAACTCCGTCACTGCCACGAAAAGAATTTGATACAAGAAATTGCGTTGATTGCCGTCTTCAACCGTTATGGAGGGTCCATTCGCGCCTCCTCTCAGCGTTATGCTAATACCTGTGCGCTCCTTCGCAATTTGCTTAATAGTCTTGAGCGGCAACCCCCATTCACTGGTGAGGGGCTTCGATCGGATCAGCAAGATCTGTGCGTAAGTCACTATCACCGCCATATCTTCCTTCAGTTCGAGATGGCCAATATACTGCTCATTACAGTACCTGCCGTTGTCGAGTTGCCTGAGCCAATACCGTCCCTGCATCCAGCCTTGTTGGAAACTAGCGATGAACGTAGTGAGAAAGCGGACCAATTCTAACTCGTTGATTACAGAATCTCCTTGCCCTAGTACACATTTCCTGAGAGCTTGGTTATTGATCAGAATGCAGTGATTGACTATGTCTTTGATACTGTCTTCAGGAACACCGGCTTCGCTAAACTCGGTTCTTAATGCAGCAAGAGATGTTTTCATATGCTGCGCCTTGGCAGCTTCTTGGTCGAGGTCAGTATCATTAACAATACTACTGATTGATATATCGGACTTCGATCTGATGATAAGGAAAGGCTGCTGGATGCGAACACAGTTTTTGACAATTTCGATATCGACCTGTCAGCGCAAAGTACAGGTATGGTTGAGAAAGGTTCCCAAAATATAGTGGAAGAGGCCATTAACTCACCTGACCCAACCTGCCTGAATGGACTACCAGGAGTAGATCGAACAGAAACAGTTTCTGGTTGTCGTAGTAGTTCTCTGCTGGTGTACGTCTGGTGCCGGCTCCGGGGATATCGTGAAGAGTGACTGATGAGAAGCTTTCATGGGCAGGATATGTTGCTCGACTTATTGTCGTTTCCGTGGTCCCAACTCGTGCCGCCCCAACTTGGCTGTTCTGGATGCCAAGGAGTGCGTTGATAATGGATGACTTTCCACTTCCGGTTTGGCCGCAGATGGCGATATGGATCCGCCCTTTCTGAAAATTCTCTTTTCGACGCTCATTGTTGATCAACTCTGGGTCGAGTAGTGTGGATGTCGCTTCACCGGGTCCAAGGGCCCAATTAACCAACGGAGAAGCGATGAGCACCCCAACAGCCACACCCCTTCCCACCGCTTCAACCATTGCCCCAGCGAATATAAGAGGAAATCCGACGAGAATTCCCGGAATTGGGATATTAAAAATCATGTCTGCGCCTCTTGCCATTAGAATCCTGCCCGGCTCGGTCGCCCTCTCGAAGACCTTTTCCGCAAACGAGGAAGAGAACATTCTCCGAAAATAAGCTGCGCAACTAGGTATGTATTGATCTAGTTGAAATCTTTGGCTGAGTTCGTGCTTCGGGTGTTGTTCTGCAAGATGAAGGGCCAACTCAGAGGCGGGGTAGACAGGGCTACCTACAGGTATGTCGTTAGTACAGTGGTATTTGATACATGTATCCAATCCATCTTGATTGGAAGATCTATCAACACAAGAGAAAAACAGCGGCGCGACTCCTGAGCTAGGCAGCCTTACCGAGTTTATGATGGCGCTGACCCCAGAATGTCCCTTCCAATGTCTCGGCCACATAGCTCTGAATCTCATCCGCGCCTGATGATTAAGAATATATCTACTATATAGTATGCTTTTCGGTAAGCTATAGAGTGAAAATATGCTCCCAGATGCCTAAAAGCTAAAGCTGTAGTCCAAGATCTATCTTAGCTATAAATGATGCACCGTTTAACCGCCCGGGCGACTCACCGGCCATGTGAGGAGGGTGGAGTGGTATACAGATTCCAATCGCCTTACTCCCCTAAAATCAAATCGGCCGAAAAGCACTTGAAAGAGACAAAGAAGTTTATGAGTGAAACTTGGAGCAAACATAAAGACGAAGTTATTTGTGTACTCATCTCCTACTGCATTCACTATGGAACTATAGCTTGATGACACAGAGGTTTGTAAAGTTTTGAGCATCACGGCCTTACCAGCAATAAGGGTCATAATCGCACAGCGGACCTGGGCATTACATGATGCCGTTTACGTGCCTCCAAGACACAGGAGCATCTAGTGTATTTTGTTCCGTATCTACTCGGATTCCCCCCGGGGGAAGCTGGGTGTCGAATAGGTTGGCGGCAGTGGCGACAATCGTCTCACTACAATATGGATAAGAGAATACAGTAGTTTTTGCAGCCTTAGTTATGTGACAATGCAGGAGACTTCTTATTACCCCTAGTCCCCTCGCTTTTTTGTCCCGTAATTTAATTTCCAGAAATAGCTACCTACATGTATATATATGCACTAGAGAGTGAGAGACAGAGAAGAGGAGGAGGAAGAAGAGAGAAGGAAAGGGAAGGAAGGGAAGGGAAGGGATAAAAAAACCTACGAATAAAATTTGCGATGGTTTCAGAGAGTATATAATCCAGCAGATTTTCCTGTATCGTCCAAATTTAGCTCCAATGTGGAACACCTAGGCAGCAGCCCCCCATTAACACTAACTGGGTATAAGCAATGCTTCGATCTCGTATGTTCTCAACAGTCTGAAAAGAAGCACGCTTTATTTTATTCTGAATTCCTTCATTCCCTTCAAAAGACACGCGTTACTTTCATAATTTACGCGTTATCCGGCATGATGGCCACCAACACAGAGCAAGTCTGTGAACACTCTAATCTCTACCTGAATGTCTCACCACATGCCAGCAAGGCAGGCTTCAAACGCGCAACAGAGAGACAACGTATTTTGGCGGCAACCAAAGATGGACGCTTCAGGAAAAATCTCAATTTGCTAACACCAAAAGAGCTCTTTGAGGATGAAATGACGTTTCCTGGCCCATTGGTTCTCCCAGATGATGACCTGGCCGAGGACCCAGAGTGCCCGCCACAGGATTTCCGTGAATGGAGAGATGAAGAGGAGCGGAATCCGGTGACCCGAGAAAGGAAGACTATCTACATTATACCAAGTCCAACAATTATGCCGGAAGTGTCCAAAATGACAAAATGGTCGGAATGCCGCCGTCAGAATGCAACACAGGAAAAGGAACAGGATGCAACACGGGAATTCAATACGCAACAACAGTTGGAGGCCATTGCCGACCATCCAAAGGGGCAAGATATTCTAGAGTACCTGTCTGCATTCTTCCACGGCATGGACGTAAAGCCTTTCGAAAAGCCCTTTAGATGGCAAAAATGGGACAAGTATGCCGGAGGAATCCTGAAAAGCCCCAACACCGAACGACGTATCGGACTCCTAGCCCCAAACAATGAGCTCTTCGGAATCCGGTGCCGTCTGTCACCAGATGGAGTGTCTCCTATGCAGGTCAACTTGGACGACATACTGGATGCTCTAGCAGAAAACATCCCGCCAGACGCACACTCTGTCATGATGCTGCTCCACATGGACATGTACGAAGGAGACGGCGACGTCTTCACCGCCGGCCGTGCATATGGAGGCAGCCGCATCGCCGCCGTCTCCCTATTCCGCGATAATCCGCTCTGTGCACCTCACGACGACGGCCACGCATGGCCATCGTCTCACTGTGCAGCCTACATCGACCAACTCTGCCTCGAAGCGTCTAGCCCACCCTCCAAGCAAACAGGACGGCAACCTTCCTCACGACCACGACAAGACAGTGGCGGCCCCTTACACGTGGCAATTGAAGCAGCTGCCGTCAATGCCAAGCGCAAGATCCCGCTGGAAGCCTCGTCAGTCCAATGGCTTGAGAGGACGGTAGTGACCATGGCACACGAACTGTGTCACTGTCTGGGACTGGATCACTGCACGTATTTCGCGTGTGCGATGCAGGGGTGCGCCAACCTCGACGAGGCACAGCGGCAGCCGCCGTACTTGTGTCCCGTTTGTCTGGAGAAGCTCTGCACGGCGATAGGGGAGGGTGTTGCTGATGGGTGGGAGGACGAAGAGACGAGAAATGGGTTTGTGAGGGAGCGGTATGAGGCGTTGAGGAGGGTTTGTGAGAGATGGGGGGATGCGAGTGTGTCGAGGATGTTTGCTGGGTATAAGGCGTGGCTGGACGCTGTGATTGAGCGAAGCCCTGGGGGAGATGTTATGGTAATTGAGAACTGAATATCTCTTGTGATGGGTGAAGATATTTAGAGGGAGAGGACGGGAATATGGATGAAGAGGTTGGATTGAGATATAAGAAAGCTGGGTGAGATGAGCGTCATTGGTGGAACACATTGAAGCTAGCCAAGAGATGCTTGCATATAAACTCTTGATCTTGACACTGACATGGTTACATTATATTAAACATGTAATTTTATATAATTTCATCGCTGTGACGAAGAGATACAACGATATATACAGCCAAGTTCACTCAGTTCCCATGGAGCAAGTCACAGTTAACGAGCTAGATATTCACTTGCAGCCAGATTTGCTGCCACACTGCGAGCCATCTCCGTCAATCACAAGGCCAATAAATTGGAAATTGAGATGTACACAACTGAAGCATGTGTAATTCTTCATATACTGCTTTTCTCTCAATCAGAGACTTGCAAATGGTTCTATCCAAGTCCTCTCCACAGTGGTCGCAGCTGTTTGAATGAGTTTACGAAAACCCTCAGACATCAAAGGCCGTGTGGCTCAATGGCAGAGCGTCTGACTACGATTAAGTACATCAGGAGGTTGCAGGTTCGACCCCTGTCTCGGTCAAGATTTTCTTTTTGACTTTTCCCCCTCTTTTTTCACCTGCATGGAGAAAATGATAAAAAACCGCGCAATTCCAATCTTCTTTTTGTCCCCTTTTAGCCATTGTATTGAAACATTGCGGCATTGAGCAATTCTGCCTCTTGAATACGCCTATTTAATGACTTGTCCACTTACTCGTATCTTTGGGTAGCATCTCAAGCTCCCCCGCTGTAACATGAGCGATGTCGTGCTATGTGGGGGACAACAGCAACCCAAGTCATGACAATTGTCCGAGCTCGCTCGCAATTCCAGTTTCCAATTCACACGGTCATGGTGTCGTCATTCCTCCGTCTGTGATTTAGCAGCTCTGCCCTTTACTGTAGCTGATACCCGGAGAGCGTCTAGCAGAGAGAGAAAACTCTTCAAGCCCAAGCTAGTAGAGCTGGGGGCCGCCCACTATTTCCCAAGACGTGTGTGAGTGTGTGTGTGTACGAAACAAGGCATTGGATATAGCTCAATATCACGTCTACTTTGTACTGTACAGAACTGTACGTGAACCCCCGACGATCCTTCTTGGTCACTGTAGCACAGGCAGATGAAGCTCCGATTGGCCGACTGCCAGACGATGGGTAGGACGTGAACAAGCTTCAGTTGATACCCAGTTGATTGACGCTAGGCCGGCGTTGTTGCGGCCATTGGGTTGGGAGAGAGTGATGGCAAGGACCTCGGGATGCCAGTGGTCATCTCTGCAGGCGCGCGGTCTCTTGTTTCTTGTGCTTGTCTGCTCAGTGGAACACGTTCATCCATCCATTTGATCTGAAGCCCATGATGCATGCGCATTTACCCGTGCTCGGATAGGTTTGTGAGCCGATGGAGAGCACACCACCGTCGCATGCGGGCAACATGCGACTCTCTCTCTCTCTCTCTCTCAACTCGACATGCTCGTAAAACGAGGACGCCTCCAAGCTCAGCCTAGCGGTGCGCAGGGCTGGCGAGACTAGCCGAGAGGACAAAGCGGGAGGGCTTCCGACAATCCACAGCTGTGATGGTTCGCCCTATGGAAGACGCACACATGCAAAGCGCCGATGCAATGGGACGTTGCTGCAGAAATTTCTCGCCAAACAGTAGCCTGGATGGACATGCTCTGTGCAGTATGCAGCAGCAACTCGTAAGTGGTAGACCATACAGTAAGTCGTGGGGCCCCCTCTCAACTCAACGGCGAATTACGGCTCGCCACACTTCGGCGGAGCTTGTTGCTGCTGCTGCTGCTGCTGCTGCTGCGAGCCTTGCGAGGCCGAGCAAACCCAGCCGCGAGGAAAGAGAAAAGATTGTGAGTCGACGAGGACCCCCCATGTCCAGCCAGCGGTGAAGGGAGAGAGGCCCTTTTGCAGCTCTCTCGCTTACGCCCGTGCATCCCTCGAGAGACCATTGAGGAGCGCCATTGCCACTTGGCAGCGTCCGGATTGGCCTGTATTCAACTGCCAACGCAGATGCTCGTGCTGGGTTCTTGATCCGCACAGCGCGCGTTTGCTGCAACCTGCACCATGGCTGGGTCGGATCACACAACTGGATCGAGCTTGGTGTCTGGAATTGGTCCAACCAGCGGCTGCCAAAGCCCAGCCAACCAGCGTCTTTGCTGTCGTGTTATTTATAGCGACTAGATAGTACTCTTACGCAGAGTGGAGAGCAGAGAGCCCGTCGCTGTCCGTTCGGGATGATGCGATAACGGTGGTTTTGAGGATGTGGTTCAGCAGCTTAGCTTTGCGGATCCGTGGGCGGAATGTAACCGACACGCTCCAGCACCAGCCATTTCATCATGACTCCGTTTTGCACCCACCGGCTAGTCAAGCACAGAGTCGCTCTAAGCTCGGTGATGGAAAGCCGTTAGAACAAGGCGAAGAAGGCCGTTGCGAAAAACGGAGCCCTTAAGGAAATAACGGAGGGCCGGACGAAGCTGTTTTTTTCTCTCTCTATGTACGGAGTTAGATACGGAAGAACCGAATTTCCAGCAAACCGGCGCCTCTTTTTTGTTTCTGTTCAGTAGCCACAGTGGAGCAGCAAGTGGCTCGTAGCGTCGGGTTTCGTGTCATTGTTTAGAAAAACTTTTTTATGCTCAATGGCAAAGCATGTGAGAGAAGAACAACCAGGGTCGTTTTGCCTTGCCTAGGCGAGACAGAGACAGACAGACAGACAATGACCAAGAGAAAAAGAAAAAAATATGCACAGGATGCCTCGGGACTTGTGACTGTCGACGCCACAATGACAATTCGAGCGAGGATTTTCATGCAAGCAGTGCGCAGCTGCAGGTTCCTTTTCTCCCTATTCCTAATCCTCCCGTAACAACGGCCAACGCGTTTTTGTCTGGTTACCCGTTGTGGGAGAGGGCTCTTTATTAGAAGGGCTGGGTGATTGGACCATTTCCCCCTTTGCTTATAGAGCAAAAAGCGAGAGATTTCCTCGGGCTATTTCTCCCAATTCAGTGGACGGTTGCCACCAGTCAAGCAGCAAACGTCTTTGCTCTCATGTTTCTTAGACAATGAAGCCGCAAAGAGAGAACGTGTCCCATAGCAATCCCTTATTACGCCACATACAACCCTCCCTTTTCAACCGTAGACACTTTGGCCGAGTGGTTAAGGCGATGCCCTGCTATCAATTGGTATCATAGGCATTGTGTTCGCACGCGCAGGTTCGAATCCTGCAGGTGTCGGTTTATTTTTTTTGCGCCTTTCCCCATTTCCCCCCGCCATGTCCCTCCCTCTGAATAGCTTCTTCGGTAATCTTTTTGCTCCGATCCCCATCTTTGGCCCTCGTAAACTAAACCTCATCTCATCATCCCATCTTCAAGTCATCCGTCTACCCCTCTTTCTGCCCAGCTACCCAGCCCTGGCTTAGTGCCCCATGGATATAACAAGTTGCAGCCCGTACGGAGTACAGTAAGTATAACTGGCACTCAAGCTTTTTGTTGGGCTCGGGAAAGCCATGCAAACTCAATGGGCTTGACAAGGGCTTTAGCTGTGGCCCTGGCAAATGGCACGCCTGCCCAGCCCTCCCCCGTAGCCCGATCTAATGCAAGGTACGCAGCGGTTTTTGAAAATGCCGCGCCTCCATAGGGCGGGAAAGCACCTTGCTAACCCTCCCTCTGCAATTGTCGGCCGTTGAGGCTTGCATGAAGCGTCGTCAGCATTTCGACGATGGAAGAAGCTACCCCTCAGTCTTGTAGGAATGCCGGATAGTCTCCGGGTGGGAGAGCTTGCTTTTTGCTTGATACGAGCTTGTTTGAGGCGTATAATTGCTGCTGCTGCTAGTTTCGTCTGACTGACAGATCATTCTCAAATCCATCCTCATGGAACATCGCCCACGGTATGCTCGGAGCTGAACGACGCCCCCCAGGAACCAGCTTCACTCGCCGAGATGCCAATTGGCCAGCTGAAATGACGGCCGGTGCGCCTTGCATGACTGGCACATGCCTGGACATGTTCCCTTCACGCCTCCACCATCAACGATCAAAGATCCTTGCTCCAGTGCAGCAGTAGCTTCCCAAGAGCTGCCCGAAGCCACAGCTGCTGCTGCTGTCGTGCGACCTTTGGTACGAGCGAGCACAGTATCTATACATGTTGCTCTAAAACAGGCTTCAAAGTGGAGTTTGGGCAGACAAACTCGAAAGGATTTTATCCATGCGGAAATAGAAACCCCCCCCCCTTCCCATTGCCGGAACGTCTGGATCTTGCATCGCCAATCAACGGCCATTATATTGCAGAGTTTTTCATCTTCTGTGATCCTCCTATTCGTCTGCCCATCTTTTCATGTGTCAAGGCCCGTCGATAAGCCTCGAACCAGGTCTGCCGCTGCACGAAGCGTCTCGATATCACATTACATGTACATGGGGTCACTGCAGGACTTTGTGTTGCCCATTCTTCCCTCTTTTGTTTTTTTCGTCCCACAGACACTCATTCTGTTACGGTACTCCCCGATGCTTCCGATGACCGGCGGCCGCACGGCATTCCGTGTTATTGAATCGTGCTCTAGTCTGGCAAGTTTCTGAAGCAAAAGCCGTAGAAAACGTGTTCAAGAAAAATCCAGTAGTTGCAAGCAATGTCACCCCCCTCGGTGAAATCGCTTCAAAGAACTTCATCCCCACGGACCCAATTGACCCGGGGCCAGGGGATCCTCGTATAGTCCCCAAAAAAGAGGCTTCCTTAAATCGTATGGCTAACGAACTCTTTCGCCGGCAACACGTTCCTAGCACCCCCGATTAAACAAGACAAAAAAAAAGAGTTCGACTACTGCCAGGCACAGGGCCTTTCCCATCTGATCGCGAGAAACTGCAGGGGTGCAGCGTCTTTTTGTGTGGTGCCGTCGGGCTGGATTGGCCAACCACATGGCAGCCCTGCCCGCACCTCCACTTACCCATTTGGTATCGTGGGCTTTTTTGCACGACAGATTTGATTTCATGCCGCACTTGGTCTGGCAAGGGAATCCCTCCAACGAACGTATTTGTGTGATTGGTGCTCCCACACTCTATTTTTTTCTGCGTGTAGACAGACATGCTGCCAAGTACACGTCTCTCAAGAGGACAAGTATTGCTTCGTTTTGGAGGGGGTTGTTACACGGCTAGAGAGAGAAACCACAGCATGACGGCTCGGACCGGAATGACACAGCACTTTCGCTCCCTTGGGTGTTGAGGCAAGAATGGCCAACCAGTGGTACCGACAAATGCAGAGGGCACACAGCCCTTGCCAAGATGGAGGGTAGGACAAGAGCCGGCATGTGCTTCGGCTAGAGCTGCAGCTTTTCATCTCGGATGAGCAGAATCCCCCCCCGTTCGTCCTCGGCAGATAAGCATACAGGACAAGTACAGATGGGACGTGTGGGCAAAAAGCACCTGTCACCTCTCAATCACAACTCGGAGACCGTCGGCTTGCATCTTCAGACGATGTCTGCAGAATGTGGAACGCCATACATGTAGCAAGTTAAACCCGTTCCAGCACTCAATGGAACCCAAACAGAACAAGGAGCCGTATAGACGACCAATCGGTTGTCCACGCACAACTCGTCGACTTGGTCTCCAACAACACGCCAGGCACCAAGTCCATCCAAGATCTAGACTGACCTCTGAACGAGTCCACGCCACTGTGATGATTACTAACATTGCAAGATGCAAAGTCACTCGTAGTGTCCTCTTACCGCAGGCAAAAGGTGTGGATTCTACTCCGTAGACTTGCCAGAAGTCCCCCCATCTATCCGAGCAAATCCCCATCAACGCTACATGTCAAACTCCGCCCACTACAGAGGCGTTATCAAAAAGTCCAGACTACTTCATTACCCTACACATGCAAGAAAGAAACTAAGAATTTAACAAGCGGTTAAACGGATTGAAGAAGCCGCTCATGCTTCCCCCCGGAACTGACTTCTCATTGTGGCTGTAGTCGTTTGAACAAAGTAAACTAACCTCCAGGCACTAACAACAAGATCCAAGCCCAACTGCAAAGGCAAACCGCAAAAAGATACAAATTCCTGGTTTAGTTTAAGCCGCGTTGCGTGGAGACTGCCAAAAACGTGGCTCCGAGGGCTAAACAACCACAATCTCTGGTCTCGAGGGCGCTAAACACGTTTGAAAGGACCCCAAGTCAACCGCCTCAGTGGAGCCCGATGACAGAGAGGCGTATCGCTTGTTCAACTGACGTTTTTTGGTCCAGATTCCCCTTTTGGGTCCATCATGAGTTGAGTCGTGTGCTATATGTACGAGAAATGCGAGCACTAGACGCTGTGCAAGCGTTTGGGGGGACGCGATGGCGCTTAAACCTGGGGAATCCCCCTCGCGGGTAGGCTGTGCAACGAGATAAGCTGGATATTTGCTCAAAGCATGTGAAGTGTTACCCGGGCTTTGCGGTGGCGAGAATCGGTGTATCAGTATATCGTTGTTCGCAGTGGTGGCCGAATCCGGCCGAGTTGGAGGCGTACTATGTAGTTACATGTACTTGACACCTGGACTCGCACAAGCAAAGCAATATCGCCGATTGGAAACCTTGATGCTTCGTGCAGCCGGTGTACAAGGTTGATGAGGTCGTGCACATACTCGTACTCGTAGGTAGGTACATGTAGTAACACGACACGCATCAATTCTGCAACCAAAACAGAAACAATGCAATTTAAATTTTAGAAAAACGAACAAGGGCCTTGCCAACAGCATCTGCAATCGCCCAAAGGATAAATGCAATCCCCCGAGTGGCTTCAATTCATCCAAGCCTCTCGAATAGCGTGCCAAGGTGATACAATTGTGCCATCCATACCACCTCTGAACCCGCCAGTGTGGTCGGGTCTAGGAAGAATGAATGAACCTGGCAAGCAGGCCGTTGGCAGCCAAGCCCCCAAAGATGCAAGGATTGGCACTCCAGAGATGGCCTCTGTTGCCAGTGCCGGGGATGCGCTGACTAACTATCTCTGGCTGGAGCATACGAGTACAATAGGGACAAGGCAAGGTCTGGGACGCTACGGGATGGGATTTGATATAGAGTTCAGGTGGGATATCAGTAATGAGATGTCAGACAGAAAAGACAAGATGCCCTGCACAGAATACGCGTGTGCAGGCGGAGCATTGGATTTCGTGCATTGTCAACGGCCCTCAGTCCTGTCAGTCATTGAGGCACCATGTTGGGAGACGGCGACATCTCCCGCTCAAATGCGTTGGCTGCTGTGTATTCAAGGGGCTGAAAACTAGCAGTGCGGGCATATCGAGTACTCGTCCGACAATGACATGATTCCTGTCGCGTCTCCTTTTTCTGGCTCTGGGAAAATGCAACGTTGGCCGCGGAAGGGAATAGCATCGTCTTTGTCTGGTCCAGCCCTTGGGAAGCCGCCAGATGAACTGCCGACCCTAGGCTGATCTGAAACAGCTGTGCATAGGGGAGGCGAAGAAAAAATAAGTCGGCGCAGCCGGCAAGAGCAGGGTTGGGAATAAAGGAGGCTGAAGAAGTTGCCAAACTTGAGCCCCCAAGACAAGCGAGGCAAAACTATTAGGAAAGAAAAAGAAAAAAAAAACTTTCCAACCACCACGGAGCCCTGCTCGGGTTGAGCCGTGATCAGTTTGTGAGCCCCTCACTTCCCACCCTCCCCTGTTTCGAGTCTTCCGATTTTGCTTGGATGCCAGAGTCTAAGGATTGGGCCTAGGACAGAGGGCCCGATTGCGTTGGCACTGGGCGGCGGATCCAGCTCAAAGACCCTTGCAAACCCGCTCTTTGATTCCTTCTTTTCAAGCTCTTTGCTTTTTCTATCCTTCTTCTCAAGCTAACCAGGGGGTCAAAGTACCGTACCAAATGGCGGGATACAGTACTTGTACTCGTAGTACTCGTAGTACTTGCAAAACACACCGGTCTGGCAAAGGTGCATCCGGGTAAGAGGCCTTTCGCATCCAGAGCGTGACGCTAGGTCTTGATTCGGCATAGGGCTGCGAACACACAGAGATGTTGTTTGTGCTAATGCTGGAACAAGAAGCTTGATGGCTACCTGGCAGCCTTGGTACGGGTCCTTTGGATGTCACCGCCGCCGCCCTTTGCGCTCTGGAGAAACCACGTTGATGCTGTTGGAGAGCATCATGTACGAGATCGAGACGATAGGGTAATATGCTCGTACAGGTAAGCCCGCATGTGGGAAGCCTGGCGTCGTTGTTGTCACCTGAAGAGCGAGCGATGCCGGCACAGGCTGGGCCCATGTTATAACCAGGCTATGTCCTTGCCACTTGTTTGGCCCCAGCGCCCAGAGTTCGAGGCGAGGCGGAGGAGCCTCCCGCTGCTGTCCCCGAAATCCCCCCCCCGATTTGCCCGGGGCTCAAGATTCTGCTTGCTGTGGATGACTGCTTTGCTTGACTCGGCCGCAGCCGTCGCCATGACCACCTCCTGGTCCATACTATTTGCTTTTCCACAAGGCGGTGGGCGATGGGTCGCAGCGTACAGTACTAGGTATGTACTCGTACATCAGTACTCTTTTGGTTTGCGAGGTTGGCGCCATGTGTGTGACATTGATCAATGTGAGCGATGCATGCCTTGCTCTACCGTACTGTATGTACTTGCATCCGAGCACTTGCAGGCGGGTAGATGTACTTTGCAAGCGCTGTAGCAATAGTTGGTTGTACTTGTACTGGTAGATGAGACGGCGAGAATTTTGAGCAAATCACAAGAGAAGAACAGAATCGAGTGGCCGGCAGTGAACGGTGTGGCTGGTTCGATTGGGCCAAAGGCGAGCCGTGATGCGATGCCTCGCCGAAAGGGACTGGCAGCGGCAGGGATCGCCAGCAAAACGCTTTCTCGTTGCATTCGCACCACGTCAGAATGGCCCTCTGACCATTTTTGGCCCTCACGTGTAGGACTTTGAATTCTGTGCCAGCCCAAGCCTAAGCCCACCTCAGCATGGTCACTTGTCTCTTTTGCCGGGTTCTGTCTGATGATGCTGGTGTCAGTGCTGGCGTCTCGCTTCCCAATCGCCCCCAGATCGACCCTCTTGCCGCTGACTTGTCTGTGACCTTTTTGGTGATTCTGGCGGTGCTTTGCTGGCGCCCCAGCCTCGGAGGGGCAGAAAGAGGAGAATTGGGGAGGGAAACGGTCGTGAGCGAGGCCGGCCGAAGGGGGGGTCGATTGGGGCCAGACGGGGGGTTGGCAGCCACCGCAAAGCGCAGAGAACCGCTGGCGCAGATGGGAAATCTGGATCTCGCTGACGAGTTGGGAGTAGAGCAAAAGCAAAAAAAAAAAAGGCGCCTATTCCATCACCATGACCGGGTATGAGAAGCGGGCGGGGAGACGAGAGGCGGCTGGACGGGCTGCATGCGTGCTTGAGAAGCTGCAGCTGCAGCTGCATCCAGAGGCCACAAAGCAGAGCTCATCACACCGGGATTCCAGGCGCCCAATGTGAGCGCGGCAACACGTGGACGGCATGTTCCCCGACTGATTTCTGTTGGATTTTGGTTGCTGTTCTGATCAGTCCTGGTGGATGCAGTGGGATGACGAGGAAGAGCGGTGATGGATGAATGGCGGGCAGGTGAGGGGAAGAAGAAGGGCATCACGCATGGCTTAGTATGATTCAACGAATGACCTATACAGCACCGCTGGAGGGTGACGTAGACGGATGCTGGGGGTTCAAAGCGATCAATTGAATTCGGTTGACGCTTGCAATCAAACAGGATCAATTCACATCGAGGTAGCTTATACTGAGCAGCCGAGCTGATGACAGCTACTATGTATGTAGGTAGAACTGACTGACGGATGCCTCATCTGGATGGTGGCGGCCTGTACGGAGCTTGGGATAGAGCACATAGCACCAGCCGAGTGCAGACAGCTGCTCGCTAGAGGCCGGTGGCTTCAGCGCGCTGCACATGTCACTAAACGCCCCGGAGGCTGCTGCTGTGGTTGTGGTGCTGTACCGAGCTGCGGCTGGCTGCGGGCATATCGACGGGCTGTACATGTGAATACATGTGCATGTACGTACTCCGTATACATCTGAGCATATCGCCCACACACGCGCGCGCATACGCCGGACAGCAAACACATCAACAAACAGCAAACAAAACACGCCACCGTCGGGCGCCTGGTGACTTCTGCTCTCGTCTTGCCATTGTCTGAGTCTGGAGGTGGGCGCTTAAGGCCGATCATCTTCAGCGCTCCGGAGCGAATGTTTCTTTTCTTAGCAGCTGGCCGAGGGTCTCGTGCGTCTCTCGGCTTCTACGTAGTAGCGCCCTCACTTTTTTTTTTTTTTTTTGCCGCTCTCGCTGTTCTCTCGCCGTCAACCGCTGCTTACTAACTTCCATGTCCCTAAACTGCGCCGCTGATTGCATGGAGCTATGCATCCCATGCTCGCCTCTACCTCAATACTAGCAGTAGTACCCAGCGAATTTTTCTCTTCTTCGCCGCCCACTAGCCCGCTGACTGACCTGACAATGCAAATGGCTGGCTGACTTGACTGGCAGGGCATGGCCGGCCCGCCTGTGCGAAACATGGCGATGGGGTATCCGGTACAGCCCCGCCACGGCTTCGCTGGCAGTGCTTCCGGGTCCGTGGTACATGCGCAGACCGCCGGTAGCAGCGCGGCGGACATGGCATTGATGGCATGTGCAGATGCTACTAGTACTAATATACCTTGGAGGGAGAAGAAGGAGAAGAAGAGGAAGAAGAGGAGGCTGGTGTTGATTCCAGCACGGCAGTTGATCGTGTACTGTAACTGTATATCGGGTGTTATAGGCGTGTCTGTCTACCTATGTTGTCTGTCAAAGTCCGAGCACCCCCCTCTCAAAGCACAGACAGCAGAGAGCAGAGCCCAGTAATACTACTGCGCTGTACAGCCCAGCCCATTGTTTGCAAAGGCCCTGGTCTCCTCGGGCGCAGGCAAAAGCGCAGACACGCCACTGCTTCTAGCGCCTGAGCAGCCAGCCTGACCCGCTGGTGCTGGTGCTGGTGCTGGTACTGGTGCTGGAAGCCAAAAGAAAGAAACTGGAACCTAACATTAGAAAAAAACCAGACACTGATCCATCAGCAGAGCCACTGGCGGTACCGGTGTACATAGTACTCGTCCATACGTAGCACGACGAGGGCAGACGCAGACCCCATACGGGGCTGTTTGGGTACGTACCGTTGGGACCCAATCCATTTGATCCGACTCAATCCCAGTCAGTCCAAAGTGCTACCCACCCACGCTAATGTCGCCTAACCCATGGCCCTTGTTCTCCTTTGTGGAGGTAGCTTTGTCACTTTGTACTATCCTTTGTATCTTTTGTAGCTTCAATTCTGATGCCGAATCCCTGCTGGTGGGGGGGGGGGGGGAAGGCCCTCCCTCTGGGCCGCTGGGCCTCTGGGCCTCTAGGCTGCTGGGCTGCTGTACAATCGCTGTAGCGCAGTGCTGCTACCACACGTCCGGAGCACCTTTTAGCCTTGCTGCCACACCACACAGGCAAAATCGTCGGCTCCACTTCGTCTTTTCCAATCCGTGACTCTTTTTTTACGTCGTCGTTCCCGCTTCCTGTCTGTAAGCCCGCGCTCCTCGTTCTCTCTATTCCCTCCGACACCCAAAGATATAGACCGGATCGATCGCAATAGAGCCATTGATTGCTGTGTTTCTTTCTTCTCGCCGTCGACAGACCTTCGCTTGCCTCGACTCGACTCGACTTGACTTGACGCCCGTTACTGTACTCGCGCAACGCCGGCTTACAAACAAAGCACTTCGCCCAGCCTTTGTCCTCAACACCTTGATTACCTACCCCATCTTACCCGTCTGACACGCTGCTGCGATAAACAAAACACCGACCAGCAACTCCGACAATCGACTCCGACCTCGACCTCGCCGCTGTGGGAGGGAGGCATGTCGCCCCAGATTAGAGATCTGCTGCTGCCGCAGTTGGTCCAGGATCGCAAGAGCACCACCATGGACGAGGGCGTTTCCCTCGAAGCATGTGACCTCTCATACGTCTACTACACCACGAATTCGTCCTCGTCGGACGTTGCCTCGCCCCTGACGCCCACCTTCTCCAACCGAGGCGTTCCTCTGCGCTATTCCAGCTCAACATCTTCTCTCGAGCTGCCGCAGGTTCCCCCGCAGGAGGGGCCTGCCTCGCCCGTGGCCCAGCATGCCGCGGCCTCAAAGTCCAGCATCCGCCAGCTGCCCGATGTCCAGGAGGAGCCGCTGGAGCGAGAGGAAGAGATGGAGGAAGAGGAGGAATCCGACGACGACGACTTGAGCGACAACCTTGGCATGTACTGTCTATGTAAGTGGTGCTTTTTGCTTCTATCCCGGTGGCTTCCATGGCTGACCAATGTGTTTTTCACGATGATGTAGGCGACCAAGCATGCGAACACCACAACACCTCTCAGGAGCTCCTGCACGGCGAAATGGCGGGCGAGCTCGACATTGACTACGATCTCGGCTTTCTCAGTGATAGCGACTTCTCTGGCGACTCCCAGTACCCCAAGAAGAAGGGCATCATGAGCGGCGAGTCGACGTTTACTGCCATCACCTCTCGACTCGGCAGCCGCTTTCCCAGCATCGCGCGCTGGAAGTCTCAGCGAAAGGCAAACAGCATCACGGGCCTCATGACCTCGCCCACCACCGAGCGGAGCCTGGAAAACGTCTTGTCTGGAGCCGCATCCAGCCGATCGTCCTCCATGTCATCCCCTACCCGCCAATTCCCCGTGCTGCTGGACGACTCGCCCATGCCCCCGCCGGCCATGCCATACTACGAGACGTACGAGAGCACCGACAGCCTGGACATGCACTCGGGCGAGTTCAGCCGCGAGGAGCGGTCAGGCATCGAGCGCGACAGGGCCATGGCCACGACCCCCTTACTGCCTCCGCTCATGACTGACCCGCTTGGGAAGCCTCCGCAGCCTTCTCCCCTCCAGTCGCCCAGCATCGCGCCGTCGCCTGCCGTCACGGAGGTCCACTCGCCTCGCGTTGTCCCGACTCCTCGGCAGTCTGTCGGCTCCAAGCCGTCCATGTCGTCTCTCCGCCACGTCTCGGTCATGACGGAGCTTCCGCTGCCGCTGCCGCCGTCGATTCTGCAGGACCAGGACGAGTGGTCCGACCGCCTGGGCCACGCCAACTTCACCATCTCGCCCATGCCCTATGGTGTGGACGAGCTCACGGCCGAATCCGTCACCAAGTTCTGCGACGATTGGGACGCCGCACGGGTCGCTTACACCAAGCACCTGGTCCGCACCGGCGAGCACTACGGCCAGACGAGCAAGACGTACGGCATGACGGAGGCCAAATGGGCCGAGATTGAGCGCAAGTGGAAGGGCCACTACACAGACATTGTGCGCCGCACCCAGCCAATGACCACGGCCTCAGTCATGTCTCGCAGCCGCAGCCGAGGCCGCGGACGAGGCCGATCCGAGAGCGCCTATCCGTCCCGCAAGAGCCAGAGCCAGAGCCACCACGACGACATTTACGCGGCCATGCAGTGGCGGGGCAGGAGGGGCTGTTTGCCCAGCGCCGTCCCGCAGATGCTGGAGGCCCTGGATGCCGAGGGCAAGTTCCCAGGCCGTGGTGACGAAGACATTGTCGGGCCCATGCAGCGGGATGCCTACATGGTGCGAGCCCGAAGCGAGGAGAAGACGCCGCGATTTTGGAAGAACCTTGCCGAAAAGCTACGACTTTGATTCACCTTTTTTTTTCAACATTTTTTTTTCAATCTTTTTTTACACCATCTGCTTGGATCTCACCGCAATTTCCAACAGAACGACTTTGCTATATTGATTGACCCACGACTTGACGACCAACCACCATAGAACATGCAGCGCCGGCAAACAACCATGAATATTGTCTCACGCGAACTACTTTTTTGCTTAACGCCTTATTACTTAATTTGAACGAAATGATACCCGACTCTAGTCACTCCTTCCGACACTATACACACACCACCACGAGATGCTTCATGTCTCGCAGCTTTTCCCTCTGCCAACCAACTCTTTTGTCCAGCAGCGACAACAACACCTGGACCGGCGAGCGAGGAAAACCGCATGGAGCCACCCTTGTTTTCTCTACATGCTCTCTTCATCATGTTACATAGACCACACACCCACCTGTAGATAAGCGGGGTCGGCGTTTGATCATGATTTGGGAAAAAAAAGCGTGCATAATTTTTTGTTATTTCTCTTCTTAGACACGAAACGACACGACACGCACACCTGCCATATACACTGCGCTACACTTACACTAAAAAACTACAACAACCACACACACGCCCCCAATTCTGGGGCGGGGAAATGGGACATGCATAGCACCCTTGGAGTTATTTTTTTTTTTCCTTTGCAGCTTTCCCGGTTTCGGGACAGCATCTCTTTAGTTAGTCATATGTCACTGCGCCGTACGTCAGACCAGCTCTGATTAGCCGGGCTGCTGGATTGGACGACCACTAGGAAGCGAAAAGAGTAGGAATGATGCATCAACAAGATGTCATTGAATTTGTGCGAATGGAAGGGCCAGAAAAGAGAGAGAGGCCTAATGATGGAGGAGGGGGAGGGGCAGCAGAAGCAGGAAAAAAAAGAGGAGATGCATTGGAATAGCGAGCGATTAGGTTTTTCTTCATGTACAAAACAAAGTAAATCGAAACAGAGAGATTTTCTGTCAATCCGTCTTGTCTTGCTTTTGCAGTGCCAGTGCTCTTGATTGTGACGTGCGCGATGCTACATTGACGTGTGGTAGTGGGTGGTGGGTATGACGCGAGAGTTTGGGGTTCGTGGGAGCTGTTGCATTTTGGGGTTCTTTGCGCGGTAGAGTAGCATGGCATGGGAAAATTAGCATGGGGATTGTATCGTGGAGTGTGTTTCTGTGGTAGCACTCGGGTGACAGCATAGGCAGGTTGGAGACGGTTTTGGAGACGTTGTATGAAGGGGGAGAGAAGAAGCTTCAAGATGAGGGCTTTTTTGAAGAGGGTTGTCTACATTGGCTACTACCTAAGGTACTCATCCATCTACTTGGATCAGAGGTTACTTTATCATCTTGGTTGTATCTTTCCTTTGATGGGAAATATCGTATCGATGCCCTTTTTGCTTTGCCCGGTTATTGAAGGTGGAACGCGGATGGACGGAGGATGGGCGGTGGATTCTTTTGCGGTTTTGCGCTGCTTACGTGCGTGGGCGGGATCCAATGTACGGGTCTGTGGGCTGGGGGGAGGATTTGGATGGCGATGCGGTATGTAAGTAAGAGAATATGTATGTTATGTATGGGTATGTGTATGTATGAGTACGCATGTATGTACTATCTGTCTATGTGGCCCAACATGTTATAGGTGTTTATGACAATGCGAGGAGTGGATAGGACGGTGAGAGTCATCTTTGCGGGGAAAACGAGCATGTTGCAATTTTTTTTTATATGGGGATCGATGTGAAGCTGGCGTTGTATTTTCCTAAAAGGTAGGTAGATGGAGATGTGTACATGGGTGAGATGTAATACTATGTAGGTCTTGACAAGTTTGTTTACTATATTTGTGTTGTTGCTATTGCTCCATATTTAATCAATAGTATGAGGATGGCGACTTTTGCTGTACCCAAGTGGCAAACTCGCGCCCAAGAGCTCCAGCTGGGATTCTATTCCGTAGAGTTTCGTATCCGAGGCCGTGGGAGGGGGGTTCCGCTTTGTGCCCAGTTGGAAGTGGGCTCTGTGCAGATACAGAGAGTACGAGTAGTACTTGGTAAGGATTTTTTTGATGAGATGCAAGGGATTGTTTTGATGGGGATTTTTCGGCGTTGGTGAATAGACATAGAGGGTAGAGGGTGGTTGTTTTGTCGCCCTGATGAAACGTGCCGTGGTTTCTATATCTGTCTCTGCATCTGTATCTGGATGTTGCTGCTACCTTATCCTTGTTCTTTTTTTTTTTTTTTTTTTTAAATTTGGGAATTGTACAGGCCCGGTGTTTACATGTACGCTCCGCACAATGCAACATCCGCTCATCCAGAAGCCAAAAGAGGACGTGTATATCCATGTCGATGCAGATACAACATCCACGCTTTAGCGAGCCAGTCGCACGGCATCGGGATCGGGCGGCCGCCGAAGCGCTGTTTCGTCTACTGCATGTATACTCGCTTTTTTCTTTTACGGCCATGTCATCTCCCGAGAAGGATCTTTTTTTCTGGTTTTCTGTTATTTAGTCTTCTTCTTCTTCTTCTTCAACGGGTACTGGAATGAAGCCGCTGGTTGATGATTTGCTAATTCATGTTGGACGGGAGCTGCCTTTGGAGGCTAGCCACGTGGCGGTGACATTTTCGTTGGGCTCTCTACTTTACACTGGTGGTTGTTTTGACTATACCATTCTATGTTTCTAGACTTTCTTCTTCTTCTTCTTCTTCTTCTTCTTCTTCTTCTTCTTCTTCTTTTTTTCCCTTTTGTAAAGAAGTGGAGTGATGTGGTGCTATTTCTCATAGTCAATAAAAGAGGGTAGTGATGCATGCTCCCAGACAGCACGTTAGACTGACTACAGGTAAGCTGGGCGTCAAACACCAACGTAGCGACGCACACGTATCTTGTAAGAGCATTCAACCATGCTGAACCTTCCTGCAACGGGGAATCGGGTTGCCATTCCGTGTATGAGTCAGAAAAGAGGGCCGTGACAGCTGCTATCAACATCAAGACACCCTCGTATGCATGCACCTCTTGAGCCTGTCGATGCTCAATGTGCGTGTTAATCCTGTTACATGACGCCAGTGATGCACTCTGCTGTCCGCACCAACTAGCCCGTGGGCTCAAGTCGGTCTACTTGTTTTCCCTCTCACTGTGGGTTTTACTGCTATGGTGGGCTTTTGTGTACTTTGGCTTCGCTTCCGAGGTGAATGATTGGATGGCCATGGCGGGAATGGGGGGGATGACACAGGCGCATGTTTGTGTCCGGGTAGATGCATCGGAATGGTATTGCATCGGTGATTTGTTTGATGGGGGGGATGTATGTAGCCGAGGGGAGATGATGGTTGGGTCGATAGACGGGCTGTGTGACGGCGATGATGCTGGTGGAGTGTTTATTGGATGGTGGCTGATGTTGTGGTGATGTTGGGTGCGTTGCCTTTATTGCTGCGTCTACGATGCTGGACGGGCTCGTTTCTCATTGGAGATGTCTCGTTGATGGAGGATTTGAGTTGAAAAGCAGTGTTACTCTGTGGGATGTTGTTTCTTGGCGGTACCTGATTCGCGGATAGCGTTTGGCTTGGCTGGATTTGTGATTACTGTTTCAAATCAGCAAGATTGGGAGATGATAGACATTTACCATTACAGCACAGGAAGACATGGACATCCAACGTATCAGGGGCCTAGGTGCTGAATTGTTGAAAGAAAGTTTCTAAGCTTCGGCTAGTCTTTGTGGCTTGAACAAAACGATTCAAAGAGGAGGCTATCCCTCTCTGCTGGCCGGGTTCAGAGATGAGTACAAGCTTTGTTGCATACCTAGCTGCGGGAGCGTAACTAGTTAGCTGTTCAACTCTTTGGTTTCATCACTCTTCGCTTTATTCCGAGTTGCCTGACACGTGGTTGTTGGTATCCCAGTGAAGCTAGGAGGCGTGTGGCTGAATATTAAACAATGAGGGACATTATCACCCCTCCATTGCTGCTCATGACGTATCAATGTATAAAAGAGGTTTAACCTTTACCCCTTTTCTACATTGCGAAGCTTAATAATAGTATAGTTGTGAGAACGGTTGCTGAAAAATGTGCCAACCAGAGCAAGATAGTAGAGGCGTCATCATGATGACGAAGCCCTATACATCACGCCTTTCTAGAAGACATGATCTTGTCAAGCCTCCCATTTAGCAATGACATTCCCCTCATTGCTATTATACAACAGGCTGAATTATCGGGCTCTACTAAAATGCCGATACCGTCTGGGGTTCTGATCTAACTAATGCAGCCAGAGCATCATATACACCGACGAACTCTTATTTTACTTGAAATGGCCTGGTCCCGGACTATTTCAGACCTAAATTGCTTCATCCTTGTACGCCACGTCAATAGAACGCAGTAGAACGACTGTCCTACCTGTAATGAGTTTAATAATGACATACCGAAGATCAGCTACAGCTGTCACGCTAATCAAGCCCCAATGATAACCGAGGCCCGGAAAATAGTGAAACTTGGCTCCTAGTTAGTCAATTAGTCTTCGATATGCTTGTCTCGATTGTTCCGTGCTCGACTGCCGGTTGTAGATTTACCCATGCCATGGTTCGACGTGCCCCTGAACGTGTATTGCCCGATTTGGAAATATCCTGCTCCAAACTTGGGAATGCCATTGGCCATGTATTGCCGTTATAGGAAATTTCCTGTCATCACATTCGGCGACTATGAACTGCTTCATCAAGACGACGCAAGTCTTTGAATATATAAAGACAATGTAAATTACTTTTAACATGTCCAAACACTTCTCATCAGCATCAAATTCACTAGACGTCTCAAAATGCGCACAGCCGATATTCTCCTGCTTTCTACGCTCGCGTTGGCGGCTAGTGCCAACAAGCCGTCTATGCCAACCGTTGATCTGGGTTATCAAGTTCATCGCGCCATCTCGTACAATGTCCGTCACTTTTATATATATCCAATCACTGCTCAAGCTAATCAAGTCCCCAGGAAACAATTCGATCCTACAATTTCACTAATATCCCCTATGCGGAGCCACCAGTAGGAGATTTACGCTGGAGGGCTCCTATTCCGCCTAGAGGCGTCAAAAAGGCCATCCAAGATGGCAGCGTTGGCAAAATCTGCCCTCAAATGTCTCCCAACTGGACAATCAATGCTGTGCAGTTTGCAACGGCGTGGGCAACGAACCAGCTGGAGTCGTACAACTTCACTGAGGCTGATTATATTGCAAACAACACTCCTATCATCATAGATAAGCGAACTACGGAAGATTGTTTGGTTCTAGACGTCGTTGTCCCTAAGGCTGTCTTTGAAAAGAAATCCAAGGGTAAAAAGGCCCCAGTTATAGTGTGGATTTATGTCAGTAACTCCGATATTGCATCTTTTTCAATGGCCGACTGACAAGGTAGACAGGGAGGCGGATGGGTAACTGGAACAAAGGAATCGTTCGGCACCCCCAATCGCATAATCGCTGCTTCCCAGGCGGATGGAAGCGATGGCATTGTTTGGGTTGCCATGAACTACCGCGTCGGCTCATTTGGCTTTCTTGCGGGACCTACTCTGCAGAAAGACGGCACAGCCAACGCAGGCCTGTACGATCAGCGTCTTGCTCTGCAATGGGTACAGCAGAACATTGCCAAGTTTGGCGGAGATCCCGATAACGTCACAGTCATGGGCGAGTCAGCCGGCGCAGGATCCATCTTGTTCCACCTCCTTTCTCATGGCGGCAAACAAAAACAACCCGTTCCATTCAAAAGGGCGATTGTACAGTCTATCCCGCTGACCGTCTCGGTTGACCCTGCGCAGCAAGAAGCCGGCTTTCAGAAGTTTCTTTCAATCCTCAACGTCACTTGCTTGGAGGAAGCTAGAAAGCTGCCTTCGAGCACCCTCATCGCTGCCAATATCCAACAGATTGGAGCTGAGCCATGGTTTCATTTTGCCTTTTACCCCTCCGTTGACGGCATCTACATTCCTGCTCCACCTGCCAAAATGTTGGTTGAGGGCTCATACGCCAAGGGCATTCCGCTATTGTCCTCTCACACGGCTTATGAGGGTACAATCTTCACCGATCCTCGGACGACCGACAATGAGACGTTATTTGCAGAGATGCTCAAGGGTCTTTACCCGCTTATTGGTGAGAAGGACCTCGACTACGTTATGAACACCCTCTATCCGGCTGTTTACGATGGCTCTCACCCCTATACAAGTGGTGTTGAACGCAACATCTTGATGGCGAGTGAGATGTATTTTGCCACAGGTCAACAAACCCTGCTTCAGGCTACTGTCAAAGATGGTACAGACGTGTATGCTTATGAGTTTTCGGCCCCTCCGGCCCTCCATGGAAGTGATCTCGTATATACATTCTACGATGGAGATGCAGGTGTGGATCCTCAGGTTGCCACCATCATACAGCATGCCATTGCTGGATTCGCAAAGTACGGAAAGCCTGATTCTGGGCCGCTGGGATTCACATTCCCTCGCTATGGAAAGGTCCCGACCACTGTTAATCTCAACATCAATTCCTCAGTCATTATTTCCGACCCAACGTTGAATAACAGAACATTGTGGTTGGCACCGAAATCGTGGTTTTAAAGAACTTGCGAAAACATGGACAACAGTGTCTCTAAATATGAGGCCAGAGCATGGAGTATTCCGTTTTGGTACCTCGTCTGTATTAATCATGGTATAGGACATGAAGTAGATTTATCTTTCTTAGCTTAGACTTATATTTACGAATTTTATTTCTTCTTTGTCGACTCCTAGAGATGGACTGCTTTGAGAATGGCTATCTAACGCCTGAAGACTATGTGCAGGTCAAATGCTGGATTTATCGCCCGGGTACACGCTAGTTAATTAAAGTAAATCACAGATGTGGACATCACGAACATGGAAATGAGAGCTTCGCAACTAGTTGGCTCTCTTAAGTTAGCTTTAGCATGGCAAACACAAATGAACTCGATTGATTAGACTACCATGTCTCTAGCTAAACCCCACATGAGTCCTTTTTCCTCGCGATGCAATTTCACGTATAAATCCTTGAGACCTAGTTATCGTATGGGATAACTCAGATCTGAGAAAGATCCAATGCCGTACTTTTTGCTGTGAACAGCTTCCCAGCATTCTCGATCTGCTTCTTGAATGAAGAATGCGGCAGATCTCCATTGCTTCCACACGTAGGGTGTGGTGAATATTTGAAGCCTCTCATTTTTAGCAAAAGTGACTGGCATGAAATCTCAGCCCATTCTTCTGAAGATTCTGATGCTGGGAGATTGTGCAGATGCAAGTTGTAAATGAGAAAGCCGATATTCTGCGCTCTGCATGTTCCACAAATTGCTGCATTTTCCGGCTCTCTTCCTGCTAAATACATGTGTTTCATGTATTCTCTCAACAAATGAGCCCGTTTATTTTCGATTGCTCCTGGTGACAATCTACTGTTAGCTGCTGACCATATGTATTGCAATCCATACTTAGCGCTCACGTAAGACTGCGGGCCAAATGGGAAGTCCAAAAGACGGCATTTCATCAGGAGAGAGCAATACCGCTTTGTATGTCGCTTTGATGAACAAATTATCTGACTTGAAGACCGAACTTATTAACAACAACTGAGCCAATCTGATGTCAATTGTGTGCGGCTCCAGTAGGGTCATTCTGTCAATCCACTGCGTAGCGAAAGACTGAACTGCGGAGCTACAATTCAAATCATCGGCAACGACGGCAATGTTTGAAAGCATGGCAATTGATATATCCGTTGGGAGTTTCTCGGTTTTCGCGTGAATCATGGCTAGGACAATCTCAAAGGTGTATGGATCGAATATGGGCTCAAACTCCTAGTGACGAAGTCCATCCGATTCTTGCGGCTTCGCCTCGCTAAAGCTTCCCTGAAGTACCATTTTTGCACGAGGTGATGCCATGGTGAGGTGCTTCATTGAGACTTTGAAGTAGAAAATTTCTTCGATTATCGCAGTGCTCTCGGGAGCGTCGGTTCCGTTCATCTCTCGCCCTGATGAGGTCAGTATGTTTAGCTATGAAATTGAAGGCTGGGAGTAATGTTACATCTTCTGAGGCTTCCGGTAATGACGCCATCCGGGTTTTTTGGAACTCTAGTAGACTCACTGGCTGCATCACTAGATTTCTCGGCTGTGACCTGAACAGTTGGAAGAATGATTAACGTGTCTCCATCTGGATCGATATCGATGCGGTGAGCAGCCATGATTACTGCATTTGATGGCTTGCCAGAACGCGCTCTTTGATGGTTTTCCAGAAGGTGGTCTTTGACAACTTGCCAGAAATTAATCTTTGACGAAAAGTAAAAAGGAGAAGAAAAAAAAAAAAACAAGCCAAGTTGTTGGCTTTGGTAGAGTTGTGTTTCAGATGTTGGTCCGTTTGCAAGTAGATTTTTTTTCTCTCTTTGAGTTGATTAGTCATTCTCTTTGCTTCTCCACAGTCATTTTGCCTGTTACGAGAGCAATTTTCATGTTTCTAATCGTGACTGTGCCTTTTCAAAGGCATTTGCCGATGGTGAAAGTTGGAAAGCTATTTTCGAAGCCATGCAACTTAGGTATGTAGGTAGTCTTCAACTGTTCTCGATTTAGCGTACTAAACGGTAAGATAATCCCTGTCTAATATTTTAGTGATCAACCATTCAAATCTCCACTCGTTTCCGGTCCACCTCGTTAACAACAAGCTCCTAAATGTAACACACCATTGCTGCCATAGAAGAAACTACCTAGTAGTATTGGATCCCATTTACTTTTCACTAAGCCACTTGTTGAGTACAAAGGTATGCGAGAGAATTTCTTTCTCACTGCATCAAACGAGAAATTATGATTGCTATTCTTCAGAACATGAGTTTCCAACCACTAGCCTTCTTAGTTCCAGCGCCGAACCTTCTTTCACTTGTCATTGCTAGCTCTATTGCATATCCAGCATTGATCACTGAACGCAAGTCCCAACAACATTTTCAGCGAAGCTTTAGTTTTCCCATGTTCGAATAGAAGTGTTTCAGAAAGTGGTCTATGTCCTCCTTCAAGGAGGGATGTTCCTGGGATTGCTTGTGTGTAGTTTTACATAATTTTCTGTAATCGACTGGCGGATAGACGAAACTTTTGACCTTCTCCTCAAGTTCCCTTAGAGATATGCCGACCAGCTCTGACGAGGATGTCATTGGGAGATCATTCGCATGCATATTGACATGCATTAAGCCGAGACTTCCTGCTCTACAGGTAAGACAAAGCTCGGATTTATTATACTTTTCGGCAATTGTGTGCAGTCTTCTCAATCTCCTTTTCAACAAATTCTTTCGCTTATCCTCTATAGCGTCTTGCATCTAGGTTAGCTTTCATTTGCAATCTACAGTCGCAATATTCTCACCTAAGGTATCAGACGAAATGGGCAGCTCAAAAATTGGCATAATACCATTGGAGCCAAGTACCGCTTGTAGAGTTGAGCTTTCAAACAGTTCTTGTAGTCCAAACACTGAGCTTATCAAAATGCTTCGTGCCAAATCTATGTTTATCTCTGATGGTGGCTGGATTGCCAACTTTCTAGCCCACCATGAGGCAAAGATTCTAACTGATCTGCGGCATTGCAAGTCGTCGACAATAGCGGCAATGTTCGCCAACAAATCAATTGTTACTTCCTCGGGAAGATTGTCATTTTGTGCGTGAATGATACGCATCACTATCTCGAAAGCTATAGGGTCAAATAGAGGTTCAAGCTCCCAATGAAGAAGGCCATCCGACTCATGCGGAGTGGATTCCTTAAAGGGACCTTGCAGCACAGCCTTTGCACGGGGAGATGCTGAAACCAGATGCCTCATGGAAACTTGGAAATGGAATATTTCTTCTTTCGCAACTTCGGTAGCACCTGTCTCTACCTCTACTGAAGTTTAGTGTTTCATGTTACTGTCCACAGCGAGCCGGCTACTGGTCCTTACCTGCATTATCGTCGTTTGATAACTTCAACCTCTTTGCAGCGCGGATAGAATCTTCAGTTGTTGTATTAACTTCCTCATTCGCGATAGTTTCCAAATCTGTGATGATTTCAACGTCTGCCCAAGCTTCCTCATCATCCACTACGGATTCTTCGTCGGCAACAGCTCCCACGTCTGACACAGCATCTGCGTCTGAAAATCTCATAGATGGAAGAGTTATTACCGTGTCTCCATCCGCCTCAATAGTAATGAGATGGGGAGACATGATTGTTGCATCTGGCGAGTTATCAAAGCCGAGGTTGGACAGAGATGCCAGATCATAGGAGTCAGGTGCTAGTTCCTTCGGAGTATCTTTCGCGTTATTCGCTTAGTCAGCGGCCATAAAGTGAATTTCGAGATTCAACATTGTGAAATAGGTCTATATGTCTCCTTTAACGAAGCTATCCAGCAGGAGGAAAAACACAACAGGAGACCTCGTCTTCCTATACAAACGGGCAGCTGGGGTAGCTACGGCTTGCCGCAGGGGATCACGTGTGGCCACACGTGATTCTCAAGAAACATCACAGCTAATGTAGAACCGTTTCGTATTTCAGCTCTCTGCAATTTCCCAATTTCTTTTTACTACCCTGTCTCTTTAGAAGTTTCCAAGCTTGTTATAAATTATCTTTGTAAACCAGGCTACCAAGGCTATACGGAGTACTTGTCCCGAAATAGAGTTTGCTAAGACTAACAACCAGACTACTAGGAAGACAGTACTGATCAATCAGATAGTCATTTCGAGTCTCCACCCGTTACGGCTCACTATCTTTGACAACAAGCTAGGGTTTGAATCAGTCAATGCATTGTTACTACCATAAAGGAAACTGACATTGATATCGAATTCCATTCTACGACAGAACCAGACAACAACGGGTCATGGCACAATTTTGACCATCTCTGGACTGGGTAGTGGCAAAAACGGCAATACTGTAGGCGTTTTTTAGTCTTGAATAGAGACAAGCTGTGCCAAGGATTCTGCATGGCTGGAGGTACCTCCGATATATCTCGACCAATAGAAACCAAAGGAAAGCCACAACATCTCATCATCAATCAACCGACTGTCAGGGGTTATATTACATTGATACGACGTAATGAGTAATTTTGCATTCTTTCTCAGCCCTCCATGATGTAATTCAATCTTCAATGACAAATCTGGACGTGGACCAAGTCAAATCCCTCAGCCTCTGATACCTTAGAAGAGCGTGACAGATGCCCCCCAAAACAGCAAGCTTGTGTCTCCGGAACCTGTCCGCACACTGCCTTGTCTGGGCTTCATTCCCATAAAATCCGCAAAGGTGTGGTTGGCTACCCACCCTTATAGGCTGAAAACGACACGTTCTCGTAAGATATCAAGTTACACACGGCCAAGCTTCTGTGTAACTATTCCAAGAGTCACCAATAGATATTCTGAGCTGCAGCATGATACGTGTCATGGCCGAAGCTTTGCGTCCACCCCTGGATGACATGGTTCAAGGGGGTGAATCCTGGGAGGAGAGGGATATAAAATCCCCCCCTTTCCTCCAGAAGGATGTCATTGAACTTCTTGTTCGCCATCCGCTCTTGGTAACCTTCAGACAAGCTTGGCAGGCTTTCCCCTGCTTGTTTGCTGCTCTGATGGTTTGCTACATTCCAATTATCTTCTCTTCCGTCCAATGAAGATTCGGGGAGGCTGACATACCGCTGTCGATTTTATCGTCTACGCGCGTACGCCTGTCATCGAGTTGATCACAAACACCGCTACCCCCTGACTGTGGTCACCAGACTGCCACCCTTAGGGCCCTGGCCCTTGCTTCACCAGTTTCCAATTTTTGACTCTGGACTAGGTATAAGTATGGAGAATTCCTCCTTCCTTCGTGGCATGACAACATACACCATGCTAAGCTGGCTCCAAACTTTGTGGACTACTGAGCCAGTGATTTCTCAAGGCTGTGTCTCATATCCACTGGAAGAGAACTGCCAACGACTTTAGCTGCAGTCTTGAGCGGAGAATCTCCATCATCGTTGAAAAACACGGGAGAGCAGATGGATACCATGAAACAAAAAATCCAATTGAGTAACAATCTGACATCCTAGTTAAGCTAACATCCTGGAAAAAAAAGGGAAACAGGCCCACGGGTTTTCTTATATTCCACGCCAAAGCAGCTATACATGCAATAATTGGATGGGCATTGACCCATCAGAAGCTCATGAGAGCTGAAAACCCCGCCCTTGACACAGAAAATATCATTAAACTCCTCCTCAGCACCATTCTAACCCTTGTGTCACCCATGTTTATGCATCGTGGCGGCCGTGGGGTTGTGTTCCGCGATCTATTGACCGGATTCGTTGTTGTAAGTGTAGTTGTTGGTGCCCGAGGGCTCGCCAGGCGAATAGTTGGCATAGAGTGACGGGTCGACCGTGAGTAGGGAGGGATCGATGCCCATATCCCCTTCCTGTCCCATCCACTCGCTTGACTGAACTCCTCCCTGATCTGTATACGGAAAGCCACCCTGTTGTACAGCCAGAGAGCTATCCTGGAAGGCATCTGGAAAGAGATCCAGGTACTCGTCTTGATTGTCATCCAGGTAAGCATCTATAGTGCCATCCTGGTAAGCATCTAGGGTGCCATCCTGGGCCATATCTTGAAAGCCCGGTAGATAGACGTCGAGATAGGCATCCATAGAGATGCCCTCAAAGACATTCTGTTGGGTTTGAATCTGTATCGTGGCGTCGTCATTGCGATTGCACCCGAGTTCAGCTTCTGGAAGTGTTATCAGGGGTGGCAGAGCGGGAGCAGAGGCAGAGGTAGAGGCAGAGGCAGAGGCAGACGCTGAGGCAGACGCTGAGGCTTGAGCCTCATGATTTCCTCTTGCTTTCTTGCGAGGGTCTACCTTGCATAAACCACATCTCGTGATGAGCCAGATAACGTCTGATCGAACAATTCCGCTGTATGTTTTGCTGACTCGGCTCCATGTTGCATCCCACCCTGCGTGGTCTGTGATGTGCACTGCCTCCACTACTTGGAGGATCTCTTCCACTGTGATGACTATCCTATCATTCTCCTTTCCATTCTTGGCCACGGCGAAGAGGAGTCGACGATTTTCGTCCCATCTGTACGTCTTCTGAGCGTAGTTGCGTCTGCTGTAGTCCTTCTGACTCGAAGGCTTGACGCTGGGGTCACGGAGCCACCCTACCATCTTCCATTTTTCTTCAGCAGAGATACGCTTTTTATTCGGATTCTTATTGATATACTCTGCAAAAGAATCCAGAATACCAGGCATTCTACTGAAGGGGTAATAGTCTGTCAATTGTGATTTCTTCTTAATCCACAACATAATATTGAGTCAATGAATCTCGATGATCGAGGCAGGACCGTCCTGAATGCCATCTTCTGTTCTCCCCTTCAAAAGTAATTTTCCAGCTTGTCTCAGATCTTAGACAACCCGAATAGCATTCGAATCAAATTCAATTCTCGACAACAGGCGTACGCCGGCTGTCAAGTGGCTCCTTCTCGACAGGCGGCGTACGCCTGTAGTCGAGGACCAATCAGCGTTGTCCGCATCTCATGTCTGAGATGACGATGCAAAAAAAATCCTACGCCATGCCCAAAATCTTGAACGGATCGGATTTAAATCATTGAAAGTACATCCATGGCTCCGGAAGCGAAGCGGGTTCCGAGAATTGTGTCTTGGGATCTCAGAGATCTTCCTGGAGCACGCACACAAGACATTTTGCTACAGTACGGAGTACAGTAGCTAAAATGGTATCGACCCACACACTATTGTGTTGTCCTATTTAGACGAAAACGAGAAGAAAAAGACTACCTATAGAGTTGCAATCGGACATACTTAAATACTTGTAATACGTACTACTGGGTGGTAACCCCATGGCAGAGGAATGCCCGTAGAGCTGATTAAAGATGCCTCCGAATCGATATCATCATCAGCCAAAGTACAAATATGGTATACGCTACGGCACAAAAGTATTAATTTAGGAATACTTCTGCTCCTTTTGGATGAACCACCCCGTAAGACTAAATGAATCTTTCGATTGGCGTGGTCCATGTCGCGGATGCCTTCCGGCTTGGCATATCAAGAGGAGACGCATGCATCTTTCACGTCGCATTGAGGCGCCAGTGGTGAGCACGTATCTTGATGTTTCATTGGCTTGGAGAGAGAATTTGTACACATGATGGCTTCCTCTCCACATCAGGCTTTGCTTCCCTTCCATCTTTGCGGCTGAGCGATGCTGCTGCCCAAGCAGGTGATATGCCACTACATGAACTGGACTTGACGTATACAGCTTTTCCATGTCCAAACACATCCAAATTAAAAGAGATTTTACACCTAAACAAGGTATCTTTTTGGTCAATTCAATGCTCTTGGCGGAAGAGTGCGGCTTAGGGGGGGAACACGCACAGGCCTTTTGCTTCCAGGAAGATCAGGCTCTGCGACACGAATAACTAGGGTTCCTGATCTAATTTTTCACATCGCATGTGACTTTTCTTTTTCTGCTGAATTGCGGTGTCTAGTTGTACAGTAGATGCCTTGTATGCAATTTTTTTTGGCATATAGCAAGGAGAAATATCGTGTCTGCATCTACCCACCGCGAAGGGTGAACGTAGGAGATGGAAGAAATTCATATTGCATCACAGAGCGCTGCAATTAATGCGACTGTAATACAAATAGAAGGCTACTAATAGTATATACCTCCAAAAGAAGCATCACAGCAAGAAGTACTGCGTCTCAGAAGCATTCCGTCCATAGCCATACCATTCGCTTATTGCAAGAGCTGGCGTCCAATGATGCTCTCGTACGAGTACTCGTATGCACTGGTGTCCCAAATCCACCAGCCTTTTCTCCATAGATGCTCCAGAAATTAATAGATCTATTCCTAAACCAGCAAGGCGCCTTGTTGTGGTCTTGTTGTCGCCTCAGATTCTTTGCGGTGTTTTTGTTTTCGCCTTCGCTCTCATCAACTAGCGTCAATCATAGGCAGATGCCATGCTGTCCATGGCCGAGACAGGTTGTCTCACCTTAACCAATTTCCTGGCTCCAGGGATATTTACGGTGTCCGATCACTATAAATGACGAGATCTATGTAAAACAATCACAAGATCAGCTCAATCGGCCATGTCCGCATAGTGCCAGAATCTCGGCCATTATTACTGTGTATCATGAACCAAAAACCAGCATAACGTAACACTGCTCAGCCTTATCCATGGACCTTTGCGGATGCTAATCCGTAGAATCTCTGGACCTCCCTTGTCAGGCTGGCGATGCCTAGATGCGGGGAACTGAACTGCGGGCGAAACATCAGATCTCACCGACAGAATAATACCTGCATGATTTTGCGCCTCAGGTAGGGAGGATTTTACCGATCACGATAGCGCATACGCGAGTGAATCAATCTGAGTGCCAGCCTGGCAGCCTCTCAGTGGTGAAGCTCATAGGCTTATGCGAGGTGACTTGTTCATGCCTCAACCCTTGTTGTGTCTGACAATTATCCACCACACTTATCAGCCGCTTTTTGTAACGCTGTACCGATTACTCGGGCAGTTTTCTCGTCCTCGACGCGAGCTTTTAAAAGTCCTCTTAACAAATTCGTGTGTAGAGAGTATGGGTGACGGCATTGCGACGGTGGAAGCATGTCCCTATTCTTCGATTAAGCGTGTAGGTCGTAGTCTTTGTTGGTGCGCTCCGCATCATTTCCGGAGAGACTGTTCATACGGGCTTCTACCATGAAGTCGATGCTCGAGTAAAGAGGAATCAATAGTATTTTAACAGAAGAGACGTAATGCTCATATAGAGCAGTCAGTTCTACTCTGAGGCTTATCGGAAGTGGTGGATTGACTGGAATCATTGCAACAGCCTAGCCTACTAAAAATTATATGGAAAGTAGAATAGCCATCACAGGGACTTAATGTAGGAGGATAAAGCGAAGAGAACTTAGGGAATAGCTTCAATAATTTTCTCGCCTGAAATACAACTGTTTAATGTTTTGGATTCTTTTCTAGTTGGGCTATGGGCTTGGTGGGAACAGCGGGCTGGAAACAAACAGCCCATGAACCCGCGCGCGTCAGCAAACACAGACAATAGCTGGTCTCTACCATCAAGATCATCTTTCGAATTCCCATCTTCTCATTTTCTCATCATCTCCAACTCCATTCTCTCTCTTTGCGGCATCAGTTGAATGTATTCGCCTCCGTCTCAGCTCGGAGGCAAAAGACGCTGATCATCACCAAATCCCCACGCTCAAATTCCCACTTAACCTGGACCAGAGTCAGTGACGTCAACGCCAGAAACTTGCAATCGAGCTCCAAACAGCGATTCTGACGTCGGCGGCAGACTCAGAATGTGGATTCGAGCTATAAGACTGCAGAGATGGAAGTTGCTCCAGATACGTGAGAAAAATACTCTCCAAATGCCATCGTTTGCGTGGTGATAGCTTCTAACACTCGTTTAGTCCGAAATGGAAGCTCCAGACCAAAGCAGCAGCAATCCGTCCTCCCTTGGACTCAGCAGCGAGCCCGAAATAATAGACAGCTACGACGAACAGCTTCCAACCTCGAGCCATGCCCTCGCCGAAGAAAGCATCCAGACCGAGGTCGAGAACAAAGGCGCTGCTCAGATCAACCATGACGAGCTCGAGGTGAAGAATATCGGATGGAATGAAAAGGCACAATACGTCCCACAGCCGGTGGTCGGTGGAATGAGAAACGAAGAGCTGTGGATCTTGATCCGCCGCTTCAACAAGCAAATCTTCCAAGTCAGGAGCATCGATGCTGTTCCGCTGGCGGATCTGGACATGAACATTGCGGATGACGATGCCTTCTCTCCAGACAAGCTGCGCGCGCAGTTGGAGCGCTTGTACATGACAGTCGTAGTCTCTGTGGTTTCTCTGTGGAATCACATTGTGCGCCTTCGTTCGTGGAGAGAGAGGAAGAGAACAGCGGCGTTTCTGGCTGTGTATAGCCTTGCGTGGCTGTTTGACTTGCTGATGCCCGTCGTCATTGCGTTTCTCATCGTCTTGATTGCCTATCCGCCGGCTAGGACAATCTGTTTTCCTCCAGTACCGCCATCCATGGTCGATTCCAAGACGGGAGGCGTGCAAAAACCGCCTGCTGGTGTCCTTGCCTCTGACAGCTCCATCACCGGTGCGCCAGAGAAACACGAAGGCGAGGGCGTTGAGCAAGAAGCACACAGCTTCGTCAACAGCATCGCGTCGGTATGTGCCGGTGTAAGACCTTTTGCCCCCCTTTAGCGCCTCAGTGAGAGGATTGTTATTAATGTTTCTTCTTCCTCTCTAGGTTGTCATTAGCACGAGCGCGGGAAAGCATCCGCAGGGCGATCCCCACGACGATAACACCGCCCCAGATCCTACAAACATAACAGAGGACATTTCAAATGCCAAAGACGCGACGGACGGAAAAGAGACCAGTGTAGAACATGACAGGACAAAGCAGCCCGTTTCTAATATTGTCTGGACCAGGACGGGGCCTGTCATGCATCTGATTTCGGAATTGGTCGATACTTGGGAGCGGTTTGGCAATGCCCTCAGCCCGACACCACCGTTTCCTATTGAACAGCCCAGGTTGACGCTGTCTGCATGTCTCTTACCCCCCTTCTTCCTCTCGCTCTGGGTTTCTTCATACATGCTGCTTAAAGGCCTCGGGTTTGGTGTTGGGTTTGTTCTCTTTGGCGACCCAATCATCACGCCGGCTCTGCAGTTTGTCAACAGGACATACCCGCGCTGGGAAAAATTCATCCAGCTGCGAAATACAATTCTACGAGGCATCCCAACAAACGCACAGCTTGCGGTCACGCTGCTGCGCATCGGCGAAAAGAACAAGACGCCAATACCTCCGCCTCCATCCTCCGATGCACCACTACCTACAAAGATTGATCCTGAAGCTGCACAGCAGGTTGGCAATCTAGGTACATGTACTTGCTTTACATATTCTTTCTGTTCCACTATATCGTACTAATGAGTTGTAGGCGTCACGGAAGAAGAAGCGAGGGAAGCGCTTCGACCCGATTTAGACCACGCAACAGAAGTAAAAGATGACAGCGAGCAGCGGAAGCCCAAACGGTCACACCGCATCCTCAATTTGCTCAAAGGCACCACCAAAGGCGGCGTGCACACGGCCCTCGCTGCCGACAAAGCCAAAGCTGCCGTTGGTGCTGTTCACGCACGGAATCGTCTAGGCGTGGTTAACAAACCCTCCGACGCCGATTACATGTCGGGCCCAATCTGTTTTCCCGCTCGGTGCCGTGGAAGAAAGGGTCATGCGTACATTACAGCAACAGCTACAAGTCCCGCGCTGAGCTGGACCTCGGATATCGAGGATGTGAACCCAGCGTGGACAGTGGCTATTGAAGACATTGCCGAGCTGAAAAAGGTTGGTGGTCTAGGATGGAAGAGCAAGATTCTTGTCGGATGGGCTATGGAGAGAGAAGTTGTGGATGGACTGGTTGTGAGAACGATGGACGGAAAGGAGCATCACTTGACAGCCATCTCGATGCGCGATGAGCTGTTCAACCGATTGATTGCGATGGGGCATCAGATGTGGGAAGCGTGCTAATGCAGATCCGTTCTCCTGATAGATAGTATTTGTAATGATACCGCGACTTATTAATTCATTCCAATGCGTGTTGTATTCGAAGAGAATTCAACAGCTCCAAAGTCCCAAGAAACTTGAACAGAATCGGATACTCCGACCCTCGCAAAACTGGACTGAAGCAACTTTGGCCGCACTTGATACGTAAATGACTCAGCAAAGACTCTCTAAGAAGATATTCCATTGGCCTAAGAGACGTTTTGATCTGCCGTTCCCAGCTTCTTTGGTGGACCCAACTAAAGTTGATTGGAATGGACAGCTCCACTGCGGCAGCCATCGTGAGAAACTATGTCCGCAGCTGTATGTGGAGTTTATTTCCGGTTGGGTAGTTAAAGTTCGCAAGATGAGTGAGCTACTGGGCTGTAGAACTGGATACAATGGTGAATTAATAATTGGTGACGAGACTTGGGTCAGAGACTTGTTGTTTCCTAGCGTTTACGCGGTGCAGCTCGGCGGTATAAATGGGGGTTGATTGCTGGGTTCCATCAACAGTTACAAAACACATTACACTTGATCGAATATACCTTCGATTAATTCATAAAGAAAAAACAATGGCTCCTACAAAAGTCCTTGTCACCGGCGCATCCGGCTACATGTAAGCTTGATTGAGTGATGCTTAAATGAACGTCAGACTCACACAACACACAAGCGGTGGCTCTGTTCTCACTCGACTCCTCCAGTCCACCCATCCCGATATCAAAAACCTATCGTACAGCGTGCTTGTGCGGAAGCCTGAACATGCAGAGCATTTCAAGTCTCTAGGCATGACGCCAGTCATGTTCGAGAATCTCGACCAGGCGGACCTTTTGAAGAAGGCGGCATCAGAGCATGACATTGTCATTAACTCGGCCAGTGCGTTTAGAGCAATTGGTGCGAGGGCACTTATTGAAGGGTTGGCAGAGAGAAAGAAGATTACTGGTGAACCAGTCTGGTTTATCCATGTAAGTGACGATTGCATCTTGTTCTAGTGTGTTGCGAATGCTGACCTACTTTTGCAAAGACATCTGGTACATCTAGTGTCGGCAATCGTCCTGTGAGCAAAATCTACACTCAAGAGGATGCCCCCTTTGAGTTCAATGACAAGACTCAAGACATTTACGCCTACGAGCTGAAACGCGAAGCACATGACTCGTATCCTCAGCGAGCGTGCGACGTTGCGGTCGTGGCGGCAGGAGAAGACTTCAACGTGCCGACATACATCCTCATGTCACCAACAATCTATGGAACTGGCTCCGGACCGTTTAACAAGCGATCTGTCCAGGTTCCCTTTTTGTCGCGACGGGCTTTGAAGAAGGGATACGCAGAGTACATCGGCGAGGGAGCGGGCGTGTGGGACCACGTCCACATTGACGATACGACAAAGGTGTACGAACTGCTTTTAGAGAAGCTCTTTGCGCAGGCAGATGTACCTTTTGGAAGAAAGGGTATCTACTTTGGCGGCAGTGGGCGCCACTCATGGAAGCAAGTCGCTGAGGGCATTGCCAGGGCTGGCTTTGCGGCGGGCGTCTTGGAGGCCGAGCCGCGGACGATTCGGCTGGAGGATTTGGCGAAGGATACCCCGGGTGCAGTTGAGCAGTACCAGGAGCTGGGACTTGCATCGAGGTCGTGTACAAATGCGGAGTTGACAAGGGAGGTGTTGGGATGGAAGCCAGAGATTGGAGAGGAAGCGTGGGAGAAGGGTTTCGTGGAAGAGATTGAGGCGGCAATGGCTCAGTAGAATGGATATGGGTGGCATATAGCTGCTGGAGTTGGAAAATATGCGATAAGATGATTTAATTGAATAGTTACAAGAAGCTATGTTTTTTCTGCAATCTAGAGATTGATACATTATTCTTCAACCCCAGCAACGACAATGTACTTTTCATACTCTGGCTTGAGCACAAACTTCCTTGCGTCAGTGCTAGAACTCACATCCTTCCATTTCTCCAGAAGCTTGAGCTCCTCCGCACGTCTTTTCCTCGCATAAGTCAGACTATCCGATCCCAAAATCACACGGACTGCCCAAGGACGACCCGCTGCAGCTCCTTGACGCTGAATAACGTCCACCATTGTGGATGCTGCCTTGTTGGGATCGCCGGGGATAGTCCAGGTTGGATCAGGCATAAAGAGGCCAAGATACTGCCCAAAAGATTCGGCGTAGGGCTCAGAAACAGGAGATTCGGGGAAAGCCACCTCGTCTGGATTCACAGCCGCATCGGCGGCGCCATCGTCTCCATCGCGAGGCTGTGCTAGACGTGTTGGAAAGCCACCGATGTCAAAGGCGACGCAGTTGATGCCCATGTGGGACACTTCTTTGTGTAGACTCTCGGCAAAGGAGCTCAATGCTGCCTTTGTCATGCAGTAGTGGGAGAGGTAGGGGAGTGCTCCCCAGGCACAGCCGGAGGAGGTGAATGCAATGGTGCCGTGGCCTTGTGCGCGGAAAAAAGGCAGGATGGCTTGGGACATGTGCAGCTGGCCGAAGACGTTGACTTGAAACATGGTGTTGACATAGTTGTCGCTATACACACATTAATGTTAGGGCCATAGATTTGGGAGTTTGACCAGTAAGAGGAAGGGAAACAGGGCAACACATACTCAGCGTCTTCAGCAGCCTTTAGAGCAGACATGCCGGCATTGTTGATCAAGACGTCAATGTGTCCGAAAATCTCCCACGCCCTCTTCACCTGAGCTTCCACAGTGGACTTTCCAGCTGCGACATCGAGTTCTAGAAGGGCCACATTCCCAGATTTGAGGTGGCCAAGTTTCTTTTCCACGTTTCTGCCAGAGGCAATGACTTTGTCACCGCGGGAGATGATGTGGTTGACCAAGGCGGCGCCGATGCCAGAGGTGGTGCCGGTGACGAGCCATACTGTTTGAGGCATTGTTTTTGTATAAGATGGAGTTTATATATGTGATTTATATGATTTTCAGATTGATTGTGCTATTAATTTAGGAGCGCTCTGAGAGATGAGACTATGGGAGAGTGAAGCATTTTATATTATTGACATCCTTATTATCCTCCAAAGAAGACGCTCTACATGATACGAAGCTCGGGATCGTTCATTGACTGTCAAAGCTATAGCTCCGATATTCCAGTTCAACAATCACACATCACGGACGAATGGTCCGTAGAGTTGAGTGCTTGGTGTAGCACTGTGAAGTATACCGTCAAATGTGGAGTCGAAACGACCAATAATTTGGTCCGCGGACGAACAACGATCTGGCCGAAAGGAGTAGAAATCCAGCCTATTCTAGTTCAATTGGTGATATTAGTTTGTAGATCATGGTGTTAATGCCGATTGGTCAACCCAGGGGCTGAATAGAAGGACTGGTTGCATTCATCAAAGATAATGGCCGAGAGGAGGGAATCAAGGAATCCACAGGCGTGTAGAAGGATCTACCCCTTCTGGGCGCCCATTGTACGGAGATGCGGATTTTGACGGACTTAAAAAAAAAATGTAACTAGTAATTATTGACAGAATGGGCAATAGGAGGAAATTGGCATGGTCGTATTGCAACATGGTAATACGAGGAGCTCCAGTGGAATTGGCCGGTCGTATTGTGAAATGGTAATACGACAAGCTCCAGCATCTCGTCCGTGGGATAGTAGGGATTACATGAGATGGACCACTGGTACTTACTGACAAAATAGGCAGTAGGAGGAAATTGGCCTGATCGTATTGTGAAATGGTTATACGACGAGCTCTGGCATCTCGTCCGTGAGATGGTGGGAGTACATGAGATGGAGCTTGACATGGCATGGGCTCTTCACCTGGTCGCTTACATGAGACGGCCATTGTGTAAATTCGTTTTAATTATGAATGAGTAGCGGTGAGGTGTTACTTTACTCATTTAAGTCAAACGTTGATTTCGCCTCATCCTCTATCTGGAGCTCCATACAGCTTATGTCAATACTGAGGTGACGCCTCTGAAGGATCCGTGATCACCGCACTTAGTGCGCGCCATTGCCGCAGAAATCGAGATGCAGCCGGCATTTGGAGAATCCCGGTATGCTATATATAGCCATCTTGTAACTAGACTACTCCATGAAGCCCTCTTATTATCTGGATCGGCGCTGTTTTGGTGTTTTGCAATGACGTCTGACCACCCGTGAATTAGGATGATGTCATCACGCTTTGCGAAACGAACGTCGACTCTCCCGCCTTTGACGAATGAACAACAAACACGAAATTGAAAGAGCAATTCCAGCTGACTAAAGCTATAAAACTCTTCAATGAGCTACATCTTCCATATTTGTAATTCATCAGGTGCACATCTATCGAGAAGCAGGCACAGAGCTCTATCTCCTAGTGGGCCGCTCAGCAGTAATACGGCACGATGATTTGCCCCGTCTTGACCATGTCGACAAACAGATTACATACAACGCCTAGACGGGGAGAGAAAACAAAACAAAACAACACAAAACAAAACAAAACAGACCTCATAATTACATAAAACCTTCTCGGATCCGAGGATAGAATCGGCTATAGTTCCATCCAAAGCCGCGCAAAGTCTATTCTCCAACCCCGCGCGCCCTATAAATAACATGGACCAGCTCAGCTTCTCACGGCCAGCCGGAGATCCCCAAAGGTCGAAGCAGCGCCACCAACAGCCGACATCATGGATTTCGCTCTGGAGCCTTATGAGGAGGCCGCTTCCTCCTCGTGGTTGATATGCAACACCTGTGGCACGCAGTTTCCCACTGCTGATCGCTCCGCTGTCAAGACGTGCTATGTCTGTGACGATCCTCGCCAGTATGTCCCCCCCACGGGCCAGTCTTTCACTACCATGGCCGATATTCGCGCCTCGGGACATGTGAATGAGTTTGATGCCTATAAGCATGACGATCGTGTCACCTCCATTCACACGGTGCCGCGCTTCGCTATTGGGCAGCGGGCCATCCTGATCCGCACTCCACACGGCAACATCCTGTGGGACTGTATCACGTATTTAGACGCAGAGACGATTGATAAGATCAACAAGCTTGGGGGACTCAAGGCCATCGTCATCAGCCATCCTCACTTCTACAGCTCGCACATCCAGTGGGCGAGAGCGTTCCAATGCCCCGTGTATACTTCATCTGAAGACCTGCGCTGGACAACCACCCCATCCGCCCACCGCAAGCCTCTCACTGAAATCGAGACGGACATTCTGCCTGGGGTCAAAGCTATCAAGCTGGGCGGGCATTTCCCCGGATCCTCGGTGGTGCTATTTGACGGGCGGCTCTTCACTGCAGACACGCTCATGGCGACGCCAGCAGGCATCGGGAAGTGGGATGTAGACGCCCTGGGAGGCAAGCGGGAGAAGCCGCCTGGGCTGAACTCGTTTTCATTCCTCTGGAGTTTCCCGAATAGTATCCCCCTGCCCGCGGATGAGATACACAGAATGTGGGGGATTCTAAAGGCATACAATTTCAGGTCAACGCATGGCATATTGGTAGGAATGGATATTGAGGATGAAAAGATAAAGGACAGGGTGTTGGAGAGTATGAAAATCCAGACAAGGGCCATGGGCAATGTAACGCATGCACTGCTGGATGAGACGCTGTGATGGACGAGCACGCGATGGGCTGACAGCGTGACTTTTGTATATTATGGCATATGCACTGTAACATAGCATAGGGGTATGATCGTCTGATTTAGGAGCCGTTTAATGATAGTTTGTGTCATATTGTATTTGTAGATAATTTTATACTTGATGCTTTGTATACATGTAAGTTGACATGGGCCTCAATCTGTGTTGCGTTACACATTACATGTAAATGAGGACAGGGTATCTTGAAATAAGAAAAAGAGAAGAAAAAAAAAGAGAAAGAAAAAAAAGAGGTAGTAAGAAGAAGAAAAAAAAGCCGTGAAAATGAGATGAGATGAAATGCAAGACCCAAGCGCTTCGCCTAAATTTTTGTGTCCAGCCTAAAACGCCTTCAGTGTGAAAATATACCCATCATATCGTCCTCATCTACCGCGCTTCATTCGAATAAGTAACACGATTGCGGTGGTAGTAGTTTGTAGAGTGTAAGGTCATGTACGGCCAGGATTTAATGCCTGGGCTGTCGGAGACAGCGATTGAGCATCTCCCAGCCCTCGTCGGGCAGGTCGACGACAGAGTCGTTTAGCGTATCGAGAATGAATGGATTTGCTATTTTTTTTGCCTGTCAGCTCTTCCGTTTTTCTTCCGTCAGCGGGTCTTTTCAGGGTAAAAGCTTACGCATAAGAGAGAGGGCCATGTCTCCCGCTCCAACGGCCATATCCATTCTCGCCGAGGTATAGCATCCATATCGCTCTTGGAGCTCCAACATGGTCTTCCACAGCTCCTTAGTCGCATCAGGGCTCATGCCGCCGCAGCTAAGCACTGAGCATGTGCTTCCCTGGCGACTGCGCGCATACTCGGGAACGGAAGGGCGACGCTCAGACATTGTGTGGACTGAGGGTTGGACTGAAGGTGCAACAGAGACAGATGAAGATATAACAGAGGAATTGCTGGCGGTGATTGTAGTGGCGGCGGTTGTGGTAGTGTTGATGTGGATGATGCAGTTGAGCTGGCCGATTTCAAGGTCGTCGCTTATAGAGGACCACTGGGAGCTAATTGAAGAAGATGATGAGTTGCGGCGCATTGTATGCCGGAGATGGCGGATCGACGGGCTCTTTGTTGTTTCCGGAGCGTGCGAGCAGCAGTTATGGTATGTTGGCTCACGCACACACAACGGACTCTGACTCTCTCACGCAACAGCAGCAAGGAGCAGGACAGAGTAGAAGCGGAGTAAGACTACAAGACAAGAGAGTTGTTCTACAGTCAGACCACTTTCAACGGGTAGAGTATCAACGAAAAAGAGGAGGTGAGAGGGGGACTGGCGCTCGACTTATACGCAGCGACGCTCGTGCCAAAAAGGGCGCCAAGTGCACAAGCAGATGCATGACAAGCTCGGCAAGACGCCCGATTTCCTTTCCCTGCTTGCCTGACGTCGATCCAGGCGCTGTCTCAGTTCACCAGGAGGGAGTGGGTCACAAGTCGATGCCGAAGCTGGGCTTGAAGCTTGAATACGTGGCTGGCAGTCATGCTACCTCAGATTTGGAAACGGGTAATCCGCCCACGGGCTTGTAGCCGTCGAGTAGCAGCATGTACCCTCTCCGTTGCTTTCGTGGGTTTTCACTTGCTGCAAGAATTTGAATTTGTAAAATTCTAAAAAAAGGAGTCATCGCCAGGGATCAAAACGAAGGAAAACTCTGCAAACTGGAGAATGGCTTTGTCCAATTCCACCGCACTTGACTACTTGCGTCGTTCACGTTCCTGTGCCCCTTGACTAGCATCGCAAGCCATCAAGGCACACACGAGCTGCACGCCCGCGATACTGCATTTTATTTGGCTGCCCTCTTCCGGGATCCCTTGGCCCACCTCGTTTCGTACGGACGCATTACATCCCTCGCCCAGAGCGGCAAGGACTACGCCAACCAGAAAAAGGGAAGAAAGGGAAGATGAAAGAAGGAAAGAAAAGAAAAAATTGTTCAAAGCACCCAGCAAAAAAACGGGTTGGTGTCGTCAACGTCGTCGCCATTGGCCCGGTGTCCAGGGATTTTAATTACGGCACGGAAGATGCGTGACTAGCATCGAGTCACCAGTGCCCAACCAAGCTCACTAGACAGGGTTCGACTCATTCGAAAGCTGCATGCGCCGGATGTGACGCTCAAGTGCCGGCCAACGGCATTTGCTGGATCCATGGATACGGTGGGATCGAGGATCGTGAAGGAGTGAGAAAAAAAGAGAAGAAAAAAAAAGAGCGGTCGCCTGGATGGGGCCACCACACCATCACGGCCAGCTTCCAGAGCATCCAGAATATCCGGTATATCCAGAATTACGTCTACAATCTGTCGACATTGTCGTAAGGATGAGGCGAGAGGGCCTATGGATGCAGCGGCGTGACGCGGGCGACCAAGGTGACTCGCAGACCGAAGCCCGCAAAGAGGTGACGGCCTCTTCATTCTCCGTATCTTTGGTGTTTTGTTCTTTGTCTTTTCGTCCTCTCGCATGCGCGAGTCGTACAGCGTGCGTGATCCGACATTGCTACAAGAGAAAACTCTGCGTTTCACACTCCGTAACCAGGGGAGGGCAACCCCCATGAGCGCGAATATTGTTCTGCTTCCCGTATCAACCGGCCGGGCGCGGGCGCGGATACGGCACGAGTCTAGTGGTTCGTGATGGCCAAGGACGAAATGAAACAGCCCTCCTCTTGTCGCATATGGTTGTCACAAATGGATTATAGTATATTGATGCCTACCGGTAGCTGCATGTATTTGTCTCATCACGTAGTCCTTGACACACACTTTGCACGTACAAGAGCAAATGACTGCTTCACGCCGCCTTAGTTCGGGGAATAGCGGCGATGCAAGCAGCCGATTCAGACAGCTACTCTCGATCCGTCCTCGACAAAGACCGACCCGAGACAAAGGAGGTTCGTAGCATTAAGCGATAAGGGAATACTATTACAAAGGCATGAATAGCCGGAGCGGGGGAGAAGAAACAGGTCACTCAGTGCTGATCTTTTGCCGTTTGGAATCTCCCGGATTGTCTTGTTCAGGAAGTTCTCATAGGCCAATGCAGCCGGCCTCGGAGATGGGAAATGCTTAGCTAAACGGCATTTCGATTTCCAACCAACCCAAAATACTACCTGTACATAGTACTAACAAGAAGCTGAGCTGAGCTGAGCGCAGAACAAGCTTTGGAGCGAGGTGAAGCTTGTACTTTGAGCCCCGTTTGCCGCTTTGCCCTAGACAAGGGAAGAATCATGTGAGAGCCCGGATGCACGCGGGAGGGGCCTATTGAGTGGATTTTGAGCTTGGGAGCCAAGGAGCCTAATCAACCGCATCGATAATTCTCCAGTTTAGTTGGCCTCATGGTATGTTGTTTTCGCAGCTGATGCTGTTGTGGCTGGTGCCAAGCGACTTCGCCAGGTATGAAGACTCAGCCATTTGACACGTATCAAGGAGGCAATGCTATATAGTTTATGCATCATATTTCTCCGCCCAGCTCTGCCTCGACAAGGGGGCGTAACAGAGCCAAATGGGGCACGTTTCTCGTTGGCAAGACGAGAGGAGAGGTCTTTGCATGGGATTCGCTAAACGACCAAACGCCCTGCAATTTGAAGCACGGCCATTCCGATTTTCTGGATCGGGGAGGGATCCGATCGAGCCGCCTCAACCAATTCAAATGGCATTTGCTCTCTTGAACCCTGAAATCGAGGCCCCATACATTTGCGGCTTAGGGCCAGAAGGCTGATCTGATGCTCGTCTACCGCAAGCCACCGCCGACCCTTCCGTAGCCGATGGACGAATGGGATTGACACTTTGTGGTAACGTGATGCCAATATTGACGCTTCTGCTCCTTTTAGGGGCTACACGTGCGCATGGCGCGTTTGTTCTTGGCGAGGGCTTCACCTGGTTGCCGGGACACGTATGTGTGTGGTGGCTCAATCCCATCAGCTCGACGTGTCTGTCTCCGTTTGATAGGGCTCGCAGTTGCAGCTGCTTACTGGCTACATGCACGTGTAAGCATTTCACAGACGAGGGATTCAAGGATATGATGAAGCAAAAAAACTGCAATTCAATTGGTCTAATTCTGCATGAGGAATCCTCCAGTAAGCCGCGATAAAGAAAACAAGACAAGAAAAAGAAGTGACTTCCATCTACTTGCATCTACATTTGATCCCAATAGTCCCAACTCAACTCTTCGCCACCCTGGCCATTTATCCATTATTCAGCAGGTAGGGCTGAGTAAAGTAACCAAGCCCATCAGCTCAGCTTACTTACTGGCACTTTGGGTAGGCCTGCTTGGATGACGCAGTCTTGAACAGCTTAACCTCGTCCTTGCGGCGAGCCTCGAGGCCGGGCAGCACTTTCCCTCCTGCCATGCGCCACTTGGGGAGTTCCTCAGCGGCAACGGTATTGGCAGCTTCACCATTGTTGAGGCGCTTCACGAGAGTCGATGTCTTGGCGTTGCCGCAGCCAACGTTGAAGACCCAAGACGTCAGAGCCGCCCATTGGTTGTCGTTGAGCTTTGGCTTGGTGTTGAGATAGTCGGCAAGGCACTTTGTGTACTTGGGTAGGTCGTCCAGCAGCAGCTCCTTGGCCGTAGTCTTGGTCAGGGGGAACTTGTACTTGACCTCTCGGCAGTTCTTCTGCTGGCAGAGATGGCCGTAGCCAACTGTGGGCAGACCAATGGGGTCGGGCTTTGGGCTAGCGACGAAGCCCTCCCACTTGGCGATCAGATCGACGCCGGCTCCGTTGATGGTCTTGCAGTAGCTGGAAGACGATGAGCCACCGCCAGATGATTCACACTTCTTGGTCACGAAGCCGCTGGATCCCGTCTTGACGTAGTAGTCGGCGACGTAGCAGCCATCGGCAGTCTTGTCCCAGATGTTGTTGCCGTTGACGCTGGTTCCCGTCGTCTGGCAGCTGATGGAGATGTCCTGGTTCTTCTTGTAGGACTTCTTGACGGCGTAGCTGGTGCCAGGCCCGGTGCGGCAATTGACAGTATCGCCAGTGATGGGATAGGCGCTGACAATGGATGCCAGAGAAAAGACGAGGGCTGCAATGGAGGTCTTCATTTTGTAGGTTGTAGTGTATCTATTAGAAGATGCTGTGAAAGGAGATGAGGCTGATGGTTTCTGTAGTGAGTTGTCTTTGTGTCGATGCTGAACGAATGAATCAACTCGAGGGCTCGGCAATGCCCCTTATATACCTGTTTTGACACCATCGACAGTTGAAGATATTTCCACCTCGCTTTCATCGCATCCTCAGAGCAAACATCGCCGTTGTCGTTGAAACAGACGAACAGCTTCCTCTTTCGTGATGCGGCTGAAGCTCCAAGGCCAGGACCTGCATTAGGCCTGATCTGAAAATAGACATGGAAGCGACGCTGACTTGCGAACTCCTTTCCCATTTCGCACGCAACTGCGAGCATCAAGTGTCCGTGCGACGAGATTCATCCGATTGATTACTGCTCTTTGACGACGCTATTTGCCGTTTTAGTATGCTCCGCGATATGTAGCATCGTCAAGTCCCTGAAGAAAAAAATGAGCATCATCTATCTTTAGCATCAGTACTCCATCGAGGCCCTTGGTATTAATTAAAATTGCTATTTACAGACCTTCAGCTGAGTTGGGGGATCTGCCCGATCTCCCGCAATGTTTATGGTTATGGTTATGGCTTCCCGTAAGACGGCGCAACACGATGCCGCATTTGCACTCAGCAGGGGTTGTTTTCTGCCATGCTTATTTATCCGCAAGGCTGCGAAGGTCTTTGTCGGTGGGTCTAATAGTAGCCTTTCCAACTGTTGATCATAATTTAATGAGTGCTCTTTTCTTACTTCACAGTCTGGAATGGTCTTTGCTAAAATTAGGCAAGATGAAGCTGGGGGGCCATGGAAGCGGCGTGATACAACTGACGAGATGACTTGATATCGAACCCATTAGTTACTTTCAGATTTTTCTATTTGTCAACCCCAACAGGGGCATGTCTGCCTAATACCGAGAAAATATATGTATGACACGGTCGGGCAGGCTGATTCCGCTCTTCAATGTGTCCGATAAGCAACGCTTGCAATTCCATTCCAGCATCATGCTCGTCGCTAAAGCATGCTAAATAAACCGCATATCGCTGCGCGCCCTGAATGCATTATAACTGCTATTCCAAAAAACCGATAAAGGGAATCAATGAAGAGAGAAAATGAAAAGGAGAGGAGAGGAGAGAAATCAAACAGTACAAAAGGAGGGGGGGGAACTCGCTGGCTATGCTTCTAAAAGACTCGTCTCTCTACCAACCTGCTGATACACAGACACACTGCTCAAAGGAAACGACATGACCTCTTCATAAGAGTGAAATCCATTACACCGCTGGCACAGGAAACCCGGCTCGGGTTTCAAAATGTTGCAGATTTCGAGGATCGCTCGCAGTCGGAACTTTGCAAACAGCGGCACGTCGATGCGTGGCAGAGCCAGCGTGAGCGTGACAACAACTGCATACATGTGCAGCAGGAAAACGAGTAGGAACGGGTTTTTTGCGCTGAGGGAGACGTAGGAGGCGGCCGAGTTCTTGACGAACCACGCTGTGAAGGGGTATACGAGGCGGTATTGATCTTCGGCGGAGATGTCGGAGCCGAGCCGTTCGTAGACAAGTCGCATGACGTCTCGGAGTTGTCGAAGCACAGCTGATAGATCGCGGTCGCCTTGGAAACAAAAGGCCAGGCCGTTGACCGAGGCGATGCCATCTGCTAGCAGCTTCTTGACGAGAGCGAAGCGATGCTCGACGTCTCCTGTCTCGGGAGGTGATGCGGCTGCTTGCTCTTCGGTTTCGTAGTACATTGGTTCGTATGCAAAGATTCGGTGAAAGGCCGACCGTTTGAGCCAAGGCTTCATCCGGGTGGCCACCTGCTCTACTGTGAGCGGTGTGGAAGAGAGAATAATATTGTCGAGGCTTACTGTAGAGATGTTTCCGGCCAAGGTCATCAGGGAACGACTATTTGCAGTAATGGTTAGCTAATGCATGTTTTATGTGATTATAGCATGTGTTTGTATCGGTGTTGTTTTCTTTGATTTATCTTGCATGAGGGAATAATCTATACTTACTGGTCGGACATTATATATGAGCATCCCAGCGACGCGGCCAAGATTGCATCGGCATTGTCTTTGGAAAAGGACCCCATTGCTCGATACAGTCCATGGAGAGCTAGCTTTCGGTATTGATATGCATCCTCGGAAGCCTCGTGTGACTTTGTTGTTACTGCAAGTCGCTGTGCCGATGTAGCAGCCAAGGTATGTGCGACAAAGTCGTATTGCGTTGCGAGTTGGAAAAGCCTAATCAAACAAAAGTCAGGCCCATCAACTTGAAAGTCTTGGGAAAGGATCCAATCCGAACTCAACACTTACACGCCCATCTCACCCCATAGTAGGCAAATGTTAGTTGTCTTGCTCAGATCGAGGATGTTGGCAACCAGAGCCATCTTGTAGATGTACCGCAGGTCCTTCATAGGCATGTTATGCCAGCTCGGGGACGGTGACAACCACCCAAAGGGCGGTTCCCCTGATTCTTTCCATTGTGCACAGGATTTTTCAATGTCCACCGGCCACCAGAGAGCTGAAGCGGCTTTTTCGTCTGGGTCCTCAGCTTGGTCCTCAGCTTGGTCGGGGTACTTGCATGCAATCTTTGAAGAGAGACATCTGTGACTGCAATGTGAAAGAAAAAGTCGTTAGCATGAAGCCAAGTGGATTTCAAATGAAAAGGAGAATGGAGAGAGAAAAAACAAACCATGTTGGCCGAAACTCATCACACTTGACATGTCGCTGCTTACAAGCTTGGCAGCCCAACTTTGATTTCGTGTGGCTTCGCCGTAACACAGGCTTTACGGTCGCCATGTTTCCAAGCATTTCCAACTGCTCTGTGAAGGCGACTTGCAAACCGGGTTCCCTCCTATTCATTAAGGATCGCATGTTCTCAGTGTCTTTTGTCTCAAGAGGGAACCAGGGCAATAGGGTTGTGGGGCGAGGTTTGCCACAAAGATTTGGCATAGATTGATCCGCATGGACCCTATTCCTTTCTTTCGCAAAACGCTCCGTCGTTAGCACAAGAACCTCCGCGGGATCTGAGATCTAGGCCTATTGAAGCCCGCTTGCAGTGGCCCCCTGGCATGACAAATGCACACATAAAGGCCAAGCTAAGCCTTGTCTCTGGCAACTAGCTCAGAAGACTTCGTATTTTGGAATTTGATAATCAAAAGGATTCAAAGCGCTGTTCGCCTTACCAGCACAACAAGAGCCGCGCGCGTTATCGCCTCTCGCTTGTTATAATGGTGTGGGACTTGTTAGACTCCACATATTAAGCTATGGTTGAAGTGGTTGTAAGAATTGGTTTCCCCAAAAGGAACTTGCATGCTGACAAGAAAAGAGAGAAAGGGAAAAGAGGGGACCGTGGACCGGTTTATATACATTATAAATTATACCCCCCTTTTAAAATCATTTCCGCTATTGGCAGTCAAGCTGCAATAGTACCTGTAGCCCCCATATAATCTATACACGTAAACAGAAAGGAACACACATGTACGGAGTAGTCTCTCACTTATTTTGCTATTAATGGTGTTTTCCGAGAGCCGCTACCTCGATGACGGCATCTGCAAAGACTTGGGGGCTCTGCAGCGGAATGTTCTCGCCACACCCGTGCACAATGTGATGCACCCGAGGCCCTGCAAAGTGCTGAGCTGTCGACGATCCATCGGTTGCGGGAAAGACTGGCGCCTGGTCCGGATCCAGCGTCACAGACGGGGCATGGATGACGGGCAGCGAGTCTAGCTTGTCGGCCAACTCTGCGTAGTCTGGGTCGCCAGGCGCGTAGAGCAGGCGGTTGCGGTAAAAGTTGGTCGCAATGTCTACATAGTCTGGGTTGCGAAACGCCGGAACCGCAGCGTCAAGCTCTGCTTGTGTCCAGTTCCACTGTGGACTGTTCTTGGACCACAGAGTCTCAGCCCATCCTCGCGTGTCATTGGCGAGCGCGCTGAATCCTTGCGGTGTGAGAAAGACGTAAAAGTACCAGCGGTTAGCCAGGGCCGCGGGAGGCGCGATAGCCCAAGCTGTCTGGCGATTCTGGATAAGGTATGAATTTGCGGCCACCATTCCGGAGCATCGACCCGGCCACAGGGCTGCCGCAGCGTTGACAGCAACAGTGCCCCAGTCGTAGCCGGCGAATATTGCCTTGTCGATATCCAGACTGTCCATCAGGTCAACAATGTCCTTGCCAAGGGCGGCCTGTTCCGCACTGCGTGGGGTGGTGGGAGACAAAAAGGTCGTGGTTCCATAGCCTCGCATATACGGGACAATCAAACGAAATCCCTGTGCCACCAGCTTAGGCACTACGTCGACGTAGGTGTCGATGGAGTAGGGGAAGCCGTGTATCATCACGACCACTGGTGCGGATGAGTTTCCCGGAGCTGAATCGTAGTAAGCGATGGACAGAGTGGAAGTGTTGACATGGCGGACGGGCGTCAGCGTTCGTTGGAGGCCTGACTCAGGCTTAATCGCAGTTGAAGAGCAAGGCAGACTGAGCAGAGCAAGAAGCAACACGCCCCGTATAGGTCTGCTGAGGAAAGACAGGGGGAACTGCATAGTTGCAGAGACAGACAGAGAGACAACGTTGTATCGAGATGTACCCGAAGGTAAGAGGCCTCTGTGTCCTATCGAGATGGGACTTGTCGGCGAGTTTAATCAAAGCAAAAGTCTTTCCGACAAAGACAACCAACTAGCATTTTATACACGAACAAGCAAGCTCAGTTTTCCCTTTTGACCGCCTGGGAGGCCTGAAACAGGAATTACGATAACAGCAACGATCAATATCGACCATTCTGCAAGGAAACATCTAGTTTTGGCGTGCCGAAGCAATATTCTGTGTGGAATATCCCATACTGCCGCCCAAAGCACGATGCCATTCACAGCGGCGGTTGACCATACTATCGCCATACGCACCAAAGCTGAGCTAACACAACATGATCTTCACCATTAGGCGCGGCTTGAACAGGGTCGGCAAGCCTGGTAGGGCCCAAGATAGCTCTTTTAGCAGATTTCGTCAGCGTGTCAGATTTTAGCGGCGGCCGCGACAAGTGGAGGAAGCGAAAACCCGCCCAGCATCCCCCATCTGTCGATTGGGAGCGATCTAACGGCATAGAGAGTTGAGGAGTGGATGTTTTGAGAAGGATTTTTGTCTTTGACAGAGCGTAGGGCTGTGCTCTGTTGGCAAGCCATCTCAACTGAGACAACCAAGATGTGGAATCCTTGTTCAACTCGATCCCTGCGGCGGACACCCGACCCTGGCCTCGAACGCGATATCTCCATAGTAGAACCCGATCCCTGTCAGCAATCCTCCCGCCAGACTGGCACCAATTTTGCCTCCAATGAGCTAAAGTCATGGCACTTGCGCAGACTAACACCGTCAACTCAGTGTCAGAACCTTGGATCCTGAGTTGGACCAGTCAGACACAAAAACGTCTTTCCCCCCTTGGCTAATTCGCCGGCGGCCGGCGACTCAGGTACAACAACTTAAACGAGTTACCCATGCGAGCAACTTCTATATCCGAATATAGAGGTAAAATTTAGTGTCAAGATGAGATTTTCAATGCCGAACAGCTGGTTCAATAAAAGGCTATACCCCAGCTTTTGCCATCTCTGAATATAACGCGCAAAATGCCGCCGATCAAAACCAACTAGTACTATGTGTATTGACATACATTGCACGTTGAGCATAAGAGGCAATACAGTGCCGCCGCACGTTGCGCCTCCTTAATATACACGCACACTAGTGGAATTGTCAAACTGATTATTAAACAACTAAAGAACTTGTCTCTCGCTTGCTCTCAAGTTGCTGGGCACCATGCAGACCAGGGTCGGACGCAGACCGACAAAGTTAACCATTGTTAGGCCGCCTAGCGTGTTTCTCTATCAGTCTTGACGAAAAGCCAGGTGCTCGGAGATTGCAATAGTTCGGAGTTTGGTAAGATTTCTCTACTACTACTGACTATTATGCCTCTGTCAGGCATAGTCATCGCCGAATACTGTGGCTCTTAGTCATGTCATGACATGCTATGACATGTTGCCGCCGAGTGCCGCAAAACGAGCACCGCAAAACACCGCAAACTATTTCCGCCCCGAACCTGTCGTTGCCACTCATTCATACTCATATCCCGAAAGGAGAAATCTTCTACGCGTCCGAGGGAAACTCATCGCTCGGAATGTCCGCTCGAATCACTGGTCCCAGCCAAGACTCGTAATCGTCAGGGTTCGCTTCGTTGCCGTTCCATCGCAGCGCCCGAAGGAGCGGCCGGTAGTCTCCAGACGAGATGTTGTACGTCACGTTGTCGTCGTTGGTCAGCGCGGGATAGACGAGGGCCTGGGCGAAGAAGTGGTTGATCAAGGGCTGTGAGATCGTGGGGCTGTTGGAAGGCGCATCGTCGACGGTTATGGAAAACAACTGCCCGTATGTGGGGACGCCGAGAAAGCCGGGCAGAATGGCTTGAGAAGGAGGCTTGTAGTCGATGTGGGCATCTGGGTCGAAGCCATAGATGGATGGCACAAAGGAGGTGTTTGCCGGCACAAGGTCGAAGCGGATGAAGCGCGAGGGCAGCAGCACGTCCACTCGGAAGACGGGGATGAATGACTTGGACAGGTCCAGTGACCAGTTGTACGAGTCAATGTTGGGTGTAGGGATCTGACCATTGGCTAGGAACAGATCGTCCGCCCTGAGCTTCAAAATGCCCGGAGAGTCATATGGTACCTGGGTTGTCACGTTGTGCATGATAGGGCCAACCTCGGTGCGGTTGTACGGCACTCCGATGTACGGAATCGAATAAGCGGCATCGTCAGAAGTGATCTTGACAAAGCCTCCATACACCGGCATAGACCACGGCCAGTCATCATGCTGTGGCTTGATCTGGACCTGGATCGAGGCAGACTGGCCCGGGCCAAGAGTCAGGGATGACTGTGAGAACTGTGCAGATGCAGGGACATCGAGCGGAATACTGCCGCCAGCACTGCTGTAGTCGGTATTACCCGTCAGGTAATTATAGTAGACGCGGTAGAAGGATGCCGGGCTGTGCTGGATGGAGTACTTCTTCTTGGACTTAGACTGGTTCGTGATGGTGATCTTCTGCGGCGCCGGCGTCGCCGAGTCGCGTAAGGTGAGCTCAGAAGGGCTGATGACTGTATCCGCCTTGACAGCCGCATAGACGTTAATGAGGCCGCCTCCCTGTCGAGCCGTAGAAGCCACCTGGTTGGAGCCGGGTTCGTTAACCGGGCTGGCAGTAGTCATAAGACGTGCATAGAGTTCCTGGACGGAGAGATGTGGTTGCTGAGACTTGAGCAATGCCAGACTTCCTGCAGCAAACGGAGTGGCCATGGAAGTTCCCGACAGCACAGCATATCCGCCAGCTTCGAGGGGGAACGTAGCCAAGATGGTTCCTCCAGGTGCCGAGATCTTGGGGGCCAGTGACATTTCAATCGTCGGGCCATAGCTGGAGAAGTCATCGGGCGTCCTGGGGAGCGGGTTTGCAGCATAGCTAGGCTTGTTGCCGTCAAATGTGAGGTAGTATTTCTGACCCGCGGGCAGCTGAGACAGATTCTTAACGAGCTGCTTCGAGTTTGGCAAGTCCAGAAACAGAAGCGTCGTTGGGTCCTGAGGCTCGTCCACGACGATCAGCTGCTCCTCTTCTTGAGACACCAGGATTGATTGAACACCAAAGTCCACTGCTTGCCCCCAACTCGAGCCGCACCAGCTAACCCACGACATCAGCAGGATAGTCTTGCTCCAATCGATCGTGGCCTCGGCCAGAGCATCCCATGCAGGCTGGTAGCATCCGCTAGAGACATTGGCATCGATTGGGACATCGAGGCCTGTTCCCAATTGGTAGACCTCGACACGACCTAAACTATTAGCGGGAAACACGGAGACATAATCGATAGCCTTGTGCTTGTCATCGTGGGCCGAATATACCGTCGGATATACTTCGTTCTCGATCGAGCCCACGGATAAGCTGTTGGTGGATATACCCGGAGCCGAGGTCGAGTATACTCCAGCAGTTCCAAAGTTTCCAATGGCAGCAACAACGGCCACGCCGTGGTTGGTCAGTCTTGTGACAACTTCATCAAACGGGTTGACCTCCTCCCAGATATCGTACGCCCCGATAGACATGGACACAATATCCGCTCCATCTTGCGCAGCCTTGAGCATAGACGCCACGAGAATCTCAGTGCTGGTGCTTCCCTCACAGCCAAAGACGCGGTAGGCCGCAATGGTTGCTTCGGGAGCGACGCCGACGAGCCCAAACCCCTGATTCTTAGGGTCCTCCATGCCCACAATGCCTAGCATAACGTTATTTCGTTAGCTTACTTGAACGCTCTGACCCTGTTCATCGTCTGCCATTTACAGATGTGACGTGTATTATTACTTACCGGCTGTGTGAGTGCCGTGTCCACCATCCACGCATGTTGCCAGGGGGTCCTGATCCGGGGCGGGAGCATTATCGCCAGTATAATCATCACCAACAAAATCGTATCCCAGAGCAATCTTGTGTCCTCGCCCGAAGCCACCGCCCAGTGCCGGATGGCGATAGTCAACACCGCTATCGATAATGGCAACCTGCACGCCTCTGCCCTTGATGCCCTGGTCGTGCAGCTTCTGCACATTGCCCATGGCCAGCGGCTGGTTGATCTTGGCACTGCCTCTCAGATTCGGCAAGGAACCCTTGCTAATTTTGGGGGCCCCCCGCAGAACATATGGCTCCGGACGGGGCACGAGGGCGACTTTCCAGGCATTCTTGACGCCGGCAGTTTGTCGCAGAGTGCCGAGGTCGACGTGGTTGTCGAACGACACTGACACACCGTAGAAGAAGTCGGTGCTGTTGTACTGCTGGCGGACGCGATATCCCGGCTTGGCCCCTGGCTTTGTCTTTGAAAACCGCTCCTTGGGCTGGAGGTCTGGGTGGAAGTCTGGCTGCAGCTCGACGATGAACGTGTTGGGAACCACGGTTGTGTTTTGGCTTGACACAAGGGGGTTCTTGTTGGTGTTTGTCGTGATGGTCAGCGAAGACGATGCTCCGCCAACCAGGGTCAGGAGACCCAAGGCGGAATTGAACTTCATCGTTTCAACTCCGCACAGGGAAAGACTTGAGAGCTACAACTCGAGGGTCTTTGAAGTGAAGAGTCTGAGCCTGTTGATTGACTCTAGGGCTATGCGCCGAGTCTCTTTATATACCACAACTGCTAAAGTACATGAATCGCAAACTCATGCCTCCTCCCCCTCACCTAGGGTGAAAGCGTCCGCGGATGATCGAGGCATCGTCGGCGAATCTCTGCCGGATTTCAATGTATTGGGTCATTTGACAAATGCCAACATCCGTTTATCAATACGAGGTTGCATATTCCTCTTAGATACGAGACCCGGTGCCTTCCGGCTGGCTACAGCTTCGTATCCCATCGCGATTGCTGCAACATGGCACACCATCGCCCGTGCAGGCATCTCCGCATTCGATACAGATACGATTAAAACCGAGTCCGCTGGCAAAGAACTTTTGTCTCCGCGGCCGGCAGACGGCAGTCCGGGGCCCTTATCTCTCGTACTAGTTTTAAGCTTCTTTTACTGGCAACTTTCCGTTTTTTTCGTCTTTTCCATCTCCAAGCTTGCATGATTTCAGCAATGGGCTGTTGCTTGAAGAGGTAGGCAGCAAATAGTGCACATTCTCATGCTGAATTAGGGATCTTCACCGCATACCCCTGTAATAGTAAATAGCCGAAATACCAAAGTAGAATAGTAAGGGATGTTGAAATTCTGGGGCTCGCAAAAACTAAACTTGACTTGGATACATGAGTGGAGAGTCCGGATGGCCTTCATCTCTCATCTATACTCTTATTGAGAGCCTGTCGATCGCTTTTACGAGACTCAAGCTGCAAAGTATTCTTTCGCTGATAATATTCTCTAAGGAATTAACCAGCAATTCCTAAGATTCCTAGCTGTGTAACGCTTTAAGTGCACATAACTGTTGAACGCGAGTGTAAGCAGATGTTGGAAACGCGGGACAAGGCGTGATGTTGTCGATAATACGAAGCCCCTCCACAGGACTAAAAACAAGCTTCTTTTCTAGGACATAGGTACGCAGCTTGCACAGGACTTTTCACTGACGCTAATGTTGAAATTATACACAGAAAATGCAAATTGCTCGTATCTTGCCCCTTTCTCGAGACTCCAAGCCGGAAGTTCCGGAGTTGGTGCTGTGATAAAGTCCGGTATGATGATCGTAACCGCACATACCCTGTACTTGAACTGACGCTCCCAAAATCTTGAAAACAGTGTCAACGAGTGAGGCAAATAAAGACTCAGCAAAATCATAAATCAGATGTTCGTCTTGATTTCAGGCACAGTATAGCTGCGATAAAGGTTTTGGGGAGCCGTGGCCAGCAACAAGCACGCGACCACATGCACACACTTTTCTGACGCCCGGACTTTTGATAATTCAACACTTCCAAGGAATCCTTGGGTTGCGCACAATCTTTGTGGAATTGACGAAATGAAAGAAAACACAAGTCATTGCTAAAAATCCCATATCCTCTCGTGTAATTAACGAAACAAAAGACACAAAGAGGCTTGCAGGACTGGAAGCAGTTCTTGAAATAGCTCATCAATGGCGAGAGATAGGAAGCAGCACAATACAGCGATGAGAGTCCAGTAGAAAAAGTCAAATGACCACAAACTTTTTATCTAACGACAAATTTCAAATACAAACATTCTTTGTCATATCAGAGCCATATTTGAACACTTAATTCTCGTTGATCTCTTCCTCCTGAAGATCGAAATGGAAGGCTCTGATGATAGAATCCGCATCGTCAGTGGTAAAGTGGCGAACATCTGCCACGGCTTTGATCTTGACTGTTCTGTTACACAGTCAATACCTAGCTTTCCAAGAATCGAGCAGGAAGTAACTCACAGTAGCCTGACTTGAGCATTGGCCATACGAAGTCCCAATCTACGGCTTGAAGTATTTTCCAATGAGTCGAAGGTCGGCTGCCAGTGCTGCCGGATTGTCCACGCCGGGGAAATGACCACCGAACTCGACAGCTACATGTATTCATTGCATCAGCCTCTCACATAACTCTCTACTGTCTCAGGGTAGTTTCAACACTCACAGTTGTAGTAAACCAAGTTGCCAACCGTCGCCACCAGCTTCTCTGGATAAAACAGCATGTTTTGCTGAAAGTTGGTAAACAACAGAGGCTGCTTACTCCTGGCAGTTCGGTAAGTGTGCGAGAAGCCATCAGGATTCTGGGCATAGATGAAGGCGGCCGAGTCAAACGTCTGCGTCAGATAGTACATGGACACGTGCCTGAGAATCTCGTTGTCCGTCATGAAAGACGGGCCGGTTCCTCGTCGTGGGTCAGACCCTGCGAATTGTTAGTATCGATGCTCGCATTTATTACATCTTTGACCGTCGGAGTGGAACGGGGATAACTACTCGATGAGGACCACTTACAGATGATGAACTTTTCTGCAAGCCAGGACAGCTGTCCGACGGGGTTGTCATACAGAGCAAGGCCAACCGTATTCACCTGCGAGTACATGATCAGTTATTTGGTTTGCTTGTCAACGATTCAAACACGGCCAGGAGACAACATACAGTTGTTGTCGATTCAATGTAGTAACCCGTGCCCGAGTTCTCAAAGTCCATAGCCCTATCCTCCTGCTCAATCTCATCCGCAGCAAGCGCAATGCCCTGCGCCGCCAATTGCTCCGGCGTCAGCGAAAAGAAGGGCAAAAACGCAAAATGCACCGCCTTGACCGTCGTATTGAACTGATCGTACATGTCAAACGCCACGCCGCTGCCCCAATCCGTTCCGTGCACGGCATACGTCTTGTATCCCAGCACCTGCGTCATGAGCGTGTTGAACAGGGTCGCCGTGTCGGAAATCTCCCAGCCGTTGGGTGCGGGCGAAGAGAAGCCGAACCCGGGCAAGGAGGGCACGACGATATGGAATGCTTGGCTAGAGTTGCCCTTGAGCTGGTCGACGAGGTGCGTCATTTCCAGGAACGAGCCGGGCCAGCCGTGAAGTAGGATGAGAGGAATGGCGTTGGGATCTTTGGACTTTTCATGGATGAAATGAACGGTTTGCGTTCCGATTTGGACTTTAAAGTGCTTGTACCTGCATATTCGAGTCAGCTTGGTAGTGCCATCTTTGCTGGCTTGTCCATACGTATTGATCTGCTCCTGTTCCTTTGTCCAGTTGAAGTTGGTTAACCATTCTTTTTGCAGACTCTTGAGCGTAGAGAGCGGCATTCCCGTCGTCAAGCTCATATTCAGGTTCGCATTGGCGGCTGGAAGCTCTGCCGCAGGAAGAACGGTCCTCTGAATAAGATCGAGCATGTGCGGCACCCGCGAAGAAAGATTGACTGTGAAAGGCTTCGCAACGGGAGTGTTTGCTGCAGCTGCCGTAGACAGCAGCCCGAGAGAGGCGCCAAGAAGAAGAGAAGCCTTCATCTTGAGATGTTGCGATATAGTTGATATGCTTGAGCGCTCGTGCATATGCGTATAACTAGAGAAAGGCTGAGTTCTTGTCTAGCTAATGCTTCTGCTCTGAGTAAAAGTTTCATTTCGCTGAACATTCGTGATCCTTTTATAGGTATTTTGATGCTCTTGTGTTTGACATCTTCACCTCAGACCATGGCTGATTCCTATTGGTTCTTTTTGCTACAGGACGCCGTAGTAGGAATTATACTAATTGGGAAATATGATTGTTGCCTTTTTTTCTGCAGGGTCCACGATACTCAGGCCCTTTCACCAGCACTCAATGCAACAACGCTGAGTAAAAAGATGGTCTTTCTCTATTCCTTGCACTGGAACTGGGATATTTGGCCGCGGAATATGTCCATACGAACATATTAGGGGCTGATATTATTCACTTCCTCAATATCGTGGGTCATCTTGATGCATCCGCTAGATGCCATTGAGACACATCGAGCTAACTTTTTTTCCTATAGCAGGAGTGAGTCTGGGGCGATGGGTTTGGAATCAGGGTATAAGCAGTCGTCTAATGGAGCATTTCCATGCGCTTTCACGCCCGATTTGGGCTTGTGTATGAAGTCATCGTGAACTAGGCAAGCTACAAGGGGCAGAAGCGGCACGCAAGCTGTGTCAACATGCAGAGGACCGGAAAGACTCGGCACTTGAACCATTGGCGCAGTTTCTTTGTGGTATTAGGCAACGATGAAGGACTCGGGTAATTTTTAACTATCTAAGGAATGACCTGGACAAGCGTATACGAAACACAGCATCAGATGGGTAAACATATTTGACTTCCACTTATGGAATGAGGACGAAGTTGCTAGGTGGAGTCTCTCCCAGAGACGATCTTTGTGAGCTTACTGGCAATGAGCCAACTAAAACCGCGCCGTGTCCGGGCTGGCCCGTCAGATACTATGTCTCGGGATGTCTTGCTCTAGCCTGGATTACTGCACTAGCGCATCTGTGCCTTGGGGTAATTCTCAGTATCTTTGTGTGAGTAAGCATTTACGAGCAGTCTGGCAGAGCTTTGTGCTTATTTTACAGAGAATAGTTCAAGTGTAGGGTATGTTGATGAGACGAGGGTGTTTGCAGTCTTCTGTAGAAGCACACATATCTTGTGATGGGTATCTCCATGTTCACGGCACAAACCCAATTATTCAGGGATAGACAAGACAGAGTTGAGAACTAGGAAGGAAATACAAGTAGAAGAATACTTAATCAATTCCAAATTTGCTGTGTCCAACAAAGAAAAACATCAATCTCTTTTTGAGGGCTGATCTCGCAGCGATTTGGACGCAAGCGCACATGCCAGCATCTACACCGTTTTTGTGGGAAACGGAACACATATCTCAACTCGAGACGGCCACCAGCATGACACTACAAACCCAATGCGGCAGAATCGACCCTGTCTCCGTCTTTGATACGGAGCACGTCGATTGACCAACCAGACTTTTGCAACATGACCAAAAGGCTACAGTCTGGACACTGTCCTGCACCGCCAGCAAACCATGCCCCTTCACCGCCATCACCACTCACATGTAAAAAGGATGCAGTCCCCAATATAAACCCACAATCCCCCAAAAAGATCCCCGTCACTTTGCCAACACAGCAGCGCATTGAGAAAAGGGCCAAAAAAGAAAAGGGTCAGCTGAATTCCCCCGTCCTTGGGCCGCCACGCATACAGGGCGTGAGCTATGCTATGCCCCGGCCCATGCCCTTCCTTCCAGAGCCTGCATGGAACAACACGGAACTTGCTTCTGGAAAGATAGCAAATGTTCCACGCATGTGGCCCCCTATTGCCAGCTGGACTACGATTACGGTACGCCGTGCATGAATACTCACATGCACTCATGCGAGCCACCTTGTCAACATGGCTTCAATGGGTCTTTGGGCAGTACTGTAACTACGGGGTTGCATAGGTAGACACGTGTGCACCCGCGGCAGATGCATCTCAAGTGCCGGAGAGAGATGACTTGAAAGAGAGTTGGAGATGCTGCAGTAGCATCTGGGCTATATCAAGAGTACGAGCGATACGGGATGAGAACTATTATTAGATGTTGATACGATAGGTACGAAGCCATACGATACGATACGATACGATACAACACGACAATACGGGCTGTTTACGAAGAATGAATGAAACCCTCCCTCCCGGACAAACCCTTATCCACACTCTCGTAAACTGCAAAAGCCACAACGGGCTGTCAAAAAGAAAGATGCCAAAAAGACAGAGGAAAAAAGAAGAAGCCATCCCACACCTCCTTTACGCCCAGTTTTGCCCACATACTGTACACCCACTCACACCTTTCAAATTTTCCCCCATCCTTTTACCGACCCGTCAAACCGCTTCACCGGGGTATTTATTCAAAAAGAGTAAAACAACGAGTCAAAGACAAAAAGCCACAAAAAAGAAAAAATTGCTCGGTCTGGCAGCCAGTTCCTCCTTTTTCTCCCCCACCCACGCCGGCGACCAAAGTCCCCCCAAAAGCCGAACGTGTTTCCCGATGGAGGCGTTGTTTTTCTTTCTTCCCTCCCCTTTGTTTTTTTTTTTTTTTTTTTTCGCCTTCCGGTGTCGCGTTGGGGTTTAGTGGGAAGAGGGTGGCACATGGTTTGGAACGGCTGAAAGCGCGCTGAAGCGGCAAAGGAATTTTACGAAATGCTGGGCGAGCTGAAAAAAGCTGAAATACCTAAGAATGATGTGATGCCAACGATCCCGTGTCTTGGGGACTCTATGACGCCCGGCATAGGCTGTGCAAAACTAAAGAACACATTTGACGTGAATCATCATATTCAATAGCCGTATCCATGTCGCGTGCAATCATCAACCCAAAAGACTTTGCTTGAATCGTCCCGGAAATCCAGACAATAGACAACCCCTAAAAAAGCGCGATTGAAAATTTCTTCTCCTATCATCGGCCCCCTTTCCCCAAAAAACTACGGTCCGATCTGCGCAGATAAAAAGAGGGAAGAGGGCGAGAATAAGAGTGACAATCACAACTTGGTTCGGTAACCCGCGTGGCGCAACACTTGCGGCCAGCCACATGGCACGCAATTCGCAACAAGCTGCTCCATCCAGGCAGCCATGATTCAGTTCTCGCGTGGGCATGTCACTGTCACTGTCACTCACGGAAGAGTCATTCATTTTCCTCTTTTGGTTATTGCATTTGTGTTTGTGAATTTGTATTGTTATTTGTTATGGTATTCCTGCCATTCAGTTGTCGAGACCTGGGTATCAATCCCGCCCATGCCCTTCATCCTCAACCCCCCGTCGCGCATTATCCCTCCATCGTAAAATAGTTTGTAACAAAAATATAAAAGATATTGTTCTACAATAAATCCCGTGAAATAATAATCAATGAAAATAAAACCGTTCACAATCCCATGGGTATAAAAACAACCAACAGCGAGTCAGTCGCCCCCCCCAAAAACCATGCGAAGCCGATTGGATTGCAACTCCGGCGATTCCCCACACCAGCCAGAGTTTATGTTGTTTGGGATAAAAAAAAAAAAACAAAGTTCAAGCCCGCGCTAGTCCCGATGCAACCAGTGAATGAATCCACGGGTGATAGAAAAAGTGATGGAATAGATGAAAACATGATGTTGAAACGCCAGTGTAAACCCGTATGATGAGCAGCCGAATGATGAAAAAATGATGTTTCTTTTCTCTTTCCCGCAGTCGATGGTCTAAAGCGATGAAATGTTGTAGCTGGGTATGTGGTGATGAAAGAAAGGCCGGCGTAGTCGTGATATAAATAAGGAGGAGGATAGAGATGTCGAGTAGGGAGATGCTTGTTGGCGCAGCTGAGGATGAGTTGAGTGTGCAGGGCGTGATAACTTGCATCTAGCTAAAGAGAAGCCATGCAGAGGATGGATGGAAGCCATGCATCAAGCAGGCCCTCCCCATCCTCCGCCACCCAAGACACGGAGTCGTTGTAGCGAAGCTGTTATGTTGTGATTCACTTTCGGTGCGGCTTCTTCAGCGCCTTGCTGTCGTGGTGGTGCCTCCTCGTGCGCTCTCGTCCTCGACGCTCCTCCTCCTCCTCGGGGCTCTGGTTGCCATCGTCGCTGCTGTTGCTGCTGGTGCTGCTCAGGCGCGAGCGGTCCTCCTCGTACCAGGCGCTCAGCGGCTTTCCGCCAAACATGAGGTCTTCATCCTCGATGATGATGGGCTGGATCCACGCCTGGGCGTTGAGGTCAAGCTCGTCGGCTGAAGGGTCCATGGCTTGTAGGTTGGGGAGCAGGTAGTAAGAGTCTGACTGCTTGGGAGACATGGCTGGTATTTTGTGTGTGTAGAGAGTTTGACGCGACCAGCGCAGTAGAGTGTTGGTTATTGTGGATTGGAGAGAGAGATTAGATGTCTCGGATAGGTTGGTGGATTGTTTGGTTGATGTTCCCTCGCGTCGACGCGCAAAGTTGGGACACAAGAGTTTGTCGTGTGGCGTTTGGTGGGAGTACAAAGTGTGAGTGAGGTAGGGGTGTATGTGGAGAATGGTAGTGATTATTCGTTGTTGTTCGTAATGAGGATCCTGATCCTGCTGTGAGTCGTATATAATGATTATGATATGGTGTTTCGACGTGATGGTATAACGATGTTTGTTGATCTGGAGAAATAACAAGATCCAAAAGTCTGGGGGAATTAGGGAGCATTATAGTCGAGTCTCGATGGCCGCTCCTCGGCCCAGGCGCTCGAGTCAGAGCCAAGAAACTAGCTGCGTCCCACCGAAGAGCCTCGCCTCCCTCCCATGCCTAGCCTAGTGGGTGTCCCAGTAAGAAAAAGGACGGGGGGGTGTGTTGACCGGGACCAGCCGGAAAGGGGCGATGATGTTTCGAGCATGTCAGGATGACCCACGGCTGTGCTACGGCGCTACCAGGCAGGTTTTCAGTAGCTATGAATGAATGCTGAGCTGAGGAATTTCAAATCGGGTTGCCTCTTTGAGCTCTGAGGACATGCTGACGCCAGGAATGTGTTCACAGAGTTGTGGTTTCGTCTCTTTGATCACGCTCGACCATTTCATCAAGACAACTGACTGAAGCAACTCTCTTACAACATTCTTGATAACTGAAAGGGAAAAAAAACGCAACTGCCAGAAAAGGGGGGGAGGGGTGAGACACGGACCCAACGAGGAGTGCGGCCAGCAAGGGAAAAAAGAAAACGGAGTTGGGCTCTCCGACTTTTCGGACGGTGGCGTTTTGACTTTATTCCTCTTTTTTTTCCCTCCATCCAGCAATTCCTCCTTCTCTTCTCAGTGCCCGACCAAATGCAAAGCCCAGGCCCGAGGCCCGAGCACCGGCAATACTTACTGGATATCGAAAAGCAGCCTGGATCCTTTCGCCACGCGGCAACGCAACGCAACGCAACGCAACGCAGCGCACAGCTGATGCGCTGGTTCGCCTCTTTTCAGCTTGTGAGCCTCGCTGCCGCTGCGCTGCGCTGCGGGGACACGTACGAGCGTGCGTGTCTGAGTTGTTAATTCAATAGTACCTGTAGTAAGGATGGATCTTAATTTACCGACTTGCTTCTTTGTAACCAACCCAATGCCCTGCAGCGCACTATTGCCGGGGAACAGGATGCCTGCACCGCCAATTTAACAAGCTTGATTTTCAATTTCGCGTCCCACTGTCCCACTGCAGCGCAGGGGATGCCAAAAAGCAAAACGGCGGTATGGTTCCTCTCTCAGAAATGGCGGTCTCTGGGCGGCCCCCCCAGAAAGCCGGGGATCGCCTTTGATTGACACCAAAGTTGGGGGTGGCTCACGATGGCCCCGAAACTTCTGAGCCACACAGTCCAGCCCTCACACTGTAAGTGTTTTCCATGTTTCTTTTAACCCAGATTGAGTAGAGTCAAAAACGGGATACAAGAAGAGGGAAAAAAAGCTTCAACCAGAAACTGTCACCCGCCCAATCGCCCTTGAGCTGTGGCATCTCAGCACCCGTGACGCTCGAATCGAGCACAAGACGCGGCCACCCTCCACCACGACTCGGAAGGCCCTTTTTTCTTTTTGACACGGGAGCAATTTTCTGGCGAGTTGAGGCTGCCCAACCCCATCGTTTGGGTCACAAATTACGGTGTCCGAAAGAGGACGTGCCGTTTCCGCTAATGCAGCTTGTGCTTTTGAGTTGATGCTTTGCCTCCGGGGAAGAGGCTCCATCTTTTGTTCTTATCCGGACGTGTTGGTGCCCTTTGTTGGCTTCAAAAGCAGTTTGTTTTCCCTTTTATCCCCCATTTTCCCTTCCAGCCGCGTCTCTTTTCATCCATCCATCCATCTCGAATAAAGGCAAAATAAATACAGAAAGGGAAAACAACGAAAAAGAACGGAGAAAAGAAGAAGAAAAAGGTGAAGCAAAAGGGCCGGTGACCACACACACACACTTCCCTCCCGCAGGAGCGCCATGTCTGTGCTCGACATCCCGTCCCCTTCGTTCGCCTTGCCAATCACATCGTGCCGCTACTCCCCTCGTACATGAGACAAGAAAGCATCACATACGAGCTGGCCATACGAACAAACCAGTAGATGCGACCGCAATCTCTCTCCATGGTGGCTGATTTGACGCCTCCCCGGATCGACAGGTGGTCCAGACGTCAGAAGAGCGGTCTCCAAACTCTCTTTAATTTCACCTCCAGCTGTCAAAATGTGACTTGTCCTCCACCGTTCTTGTTTACCTAGTACAGTAGTGTATGTAGTTGGCGAGAAGCACGGACAGGTACAGATATTACCCGAATTTCCGAATTGCCAACCCAGATATATCGCCGTATTATTCTCATCTTACGCACATGGGCAGTATATCTCGCAAATGCCCTTGCATTTTTCCCAGGGTGTGATGAAAACCCATCTTTACACAAGCCCCGGCGGTTGATTCCGAGCAAGGGCCGGAGTCACCATCTTACTACAGTATATGCTTGTCCTGTTCCTAGCTGCAAATCTATGTGTGTCCTGTTTCCCTCTTTGGCAGGTCGTCTTTTTGGGCCTTTGGATACTATACAGTACGCACTCCGTCGGCATCAGATCAGGCAGTCAAGCAAGGGCGAAAAGAGGCCAATGACCCGCGCTGCGACTGACGATGCCTGCACTGCACTGCCCTTTTGTTGCCTGGATCCAAAGCTCCCAATCTCGTCGTAAGCCGTGCTCCGTTATTTGTCTCTCTCAAATCAAAATCAAAAGCTGGGCAAAGCAAGGGCTTATGCCTCACGCCCCAGCAATATGCCCTTCCCTCTCAACAGCCCAATCGCCGCGCTGCGTTGCCCACACACCACTTGTTCGGAGCGCCCAGTCACAGACTCTCGCTGCATGCACGGCCGATCGACTTGCAGCAGGCAGTGCTTTTTTTTTTTTTTTTTTTTTTCCAGGGTTCAAGCTCTGCCAATTAGTCCCGGTATACCCCGCGATCCAATATGATTGGAATATTACAGTTTACACGTACATGTCGAGATGTGATAGGCGCCCAGGCAAAGACTCACCAGGCCAGAAAGGCACCAATCAATAAAAGCCCGTCGAGCGCCGGCTTTTGCCTAAACGACCCCCGGCCAGCTGTATTCATCTGATTGAAAGACTCGTTCACCGATGCGAGACCAACTCGCATCATCTGCCTGACGCCTCGCGTGCCACCTGTTGAATCGAGGTCTTGAGGGGTGGGCATCAACAACAAGAGTCAAGAACAAGGACCGGAGACGGATGGACGTGTTGAAGCGGAGCAAAACGGGGCACAGAAGAATAGTCCGGCGAAAATGTAACCGCAGAGGTTGCTTTTCTACCCCATACTCTCGACGGAGCATCTCGGGACATCACGAAGCTGGGGGGAGCTAACAAGCAAGCTAGCATCTCGGAGCTCCAAGTTTGATTCTGACTCACATGCCTCTGTCTCGATATACTCAGCCCTACTTGGCTGCTGCTCGCAGTAGTAATGGCATCTACCACTAAGGCAGAAGGTATTTGCTCCTTTATGCCGCTACAGTACATGTATGCAACAAGCCTTGCCATCACTTACACACCCACCACTTCTTTTCTGCTCTGCGCACATGTTGCACATGTCAGCATCCTGACCCAATCTCATGGATCCCTCGGTGGCGATGGCCGCGCACGAGGAGCAATCGGCAGATGCGAACAGCGACAATTTAATTGATAGCGACACCGCCAATCTGGGGGGATGGATGCGACCGACACAAGACATGAATGACGGAACTCGCTCCCTTGAATCAGCCCGTTTCCCCCAAATTATCCCTCATAAAGGCGGCGCGTATATTAGATGGATATTGACACTGTCTCTCTCGAACTGATGTATTTGAGTTGATGCTCGGCGATTCATTAGCCTAGGGATAATAATCCCACCCATATAATTCGCCGTTCGAGTCGGTATCGGGTCCTCTCTCGGCGCAATACGGCGGCTGTCCGCCCTCTTAGCCGCCCACAGCCAGGACTTCATCCGAGGCGAATCCTCATCGCCAAATACTCGTACCAAAACCACCACTTTCTTGACTCGTGCGCGGCCCAATACTGTACATAGTATTGCTTGGGCTCTCTTTTATCTCGTTTGCTCCACGAGGTGCTCCGTAGATGCTCCATAGGAGCTCCATAGGTGAGGCGGGGTTCCCCGCATGTGAACCCGTTTCGAAGCACTTACTCGTACGAGAGCTTGTGAAGCTCTCAAATCCTGCTCTTGCTCGATGCCATGTATCATGTATCATGTATCCTGGTGCCTAGAGACGAGCATTGCCAGGAATGGTATCCCGTCGATGCCTTGGCTGACGACTCACATGTCCTCACCCTTGTATATCCACATAGCCAATGCCATAAAGCAACTTGAAGTATAGTTCATGTAAGCAGAGACAACACAGCCTGCTCTCACGTAACCCCCAAGCTCGACGACATCAAACGTTCGTCTCGAAACCCCGAGGTCAGATGCAACCTCCAGCCCTGTGACAAAGCGTTTATTCCCGGCTCTGCTGTGCCTCGGAGATCAAAACCCGACAGCAAATCTGCCACTGTACAACCCCAACCTGCATGGCCCATGTAATGTCTCAATCTGCTCAGGCTACATAAAATGCCCGCCTCACCCTTTTGACATTTTTTTTTCGTCTTCGCACAGTCCAGATCATGCGCCCAAAGGAGCAACGCAGCAGCCCACGTCCACGCGCCCCCCAACCTGGATGCGAGATGCAATCTAATCGAAAGACGCTCGCCCGGCAGATTTGGCATATGCTGGGCCAGATCCGAGACGGTGATCATGGGATTTGGTCCATTCTCACATGCCTCAGGGATTCCCACACTTGGATGCTTCAACCGTAAAACACAACACAACAACCACAGTTGAATGGGATAATAAAACACCTACATTTAAAGGCCATTTAGGCAACTGACCCCATTCCAGGCAGTTTAAAACGGTAGCAGAATCAAAAGCCCCAATCATCTGCCCTGCTCTGCTAAACTCAGCTCAACCAAGCAAGGGCAAATCAAATCCATGCGCCATTCATTAATTAAAAGACAAACCAGCATCTCAACAATGACATCATCACTCTTCACCAGCGATTCCGAACAATCCAACAAACAATCAACCACACGCCCCTGGCGTCCGCACTTCACATCCTGTTTTTTTCCCTCTTCAACAAATTTAGAAAACCCGCAATACCCATTAACCAAAAATCGAATTCTCCCCTCCCCTAAAATAAAACCGATGACGATTCTACACGTCGCTTGTCCCTGTAGCTCGGCTCCCGTTTCCGCACAGGCTGACGTCACTGCGTCATCGCTCTTCAACCCAATTCCCTTCTTCTTTTCGCTTTAAACCATCTCCCATCGCCCCCTTGCTAATGAATCAGCCCTTCTAACCAATTTACCGACTCTGTGTCCTCCTCGTCCATCCTTATTCGCGGCAATACATCGCCATTCTATCTAGAGCCCCTTCGAACCGCCGCATATCGGCCGGCAGCTCCCCGACAACCGTTTCGCTCATGACGCAATACTGACCCCCTTGAAGGCGATCTCCCGGCCAAGATGCTGAAATCCATCGGCATGATATTTCTCTCGCTTTTGCAGGGCCAACGTGATGCCCGATCGGTCTCATGGCAATTTCGCCTCATGCTCAAATATTGCCCTCATGATGCCTTCACATCGTCATCCATCACCACCTACCAGCATAGGTAGTCTTCCATCCCCCCAGATACATCCCATCGCCAGTATGCCTCACTGTAGTTACAAAGAGAACTTTCAAACGCATTTCATTCCTCATAGACCAGAATCCCCAATTCCACATCACTCCAGCTGCTTCATCCCCCGAATCCTCATCATAATCCAATCCGCACACTTGACATCCTCATACTTCTTCTCCCCACCAACAACAACACTACACGTCTCGTGCATCCCGAACCCCCAAAAGATGGGAATGCTCACCCTTTCCTTGCCGCTGTAGTTCCTCGCCCGGTGCACCGTGCTCGCGTACTCGTCATTCGTAATCCGCTGCATGCAGTCCCCCAGATTCACAACCAGCGTGCCCTCTATCGGCTTTGCGCGCAGCCATTGGCCCTCCTTGTTGAGAACCTCGAGCCCGCCATGTGAATCCTGCCATAGAATCGTAAACAGCTGAAAGTCCGTGTGCGAACCAATCGATACCTTCTTATCCTCCCCCTCCTCGCTCTTCCCTGCGTCCGCATCCGTGGAATGCTCGATCGGGGGATAATAGTTAATCACGTACGACGCTCCCGGATACCTCACCTTCTCATCAAAACACCCCTCCTCCAACCCCAGCGACAACGCAAAACATCTCGTCAGCGCCCTCGCCAGTCTCAAGCACTCCCCCATATGCCTCGTCATGCTCTCCTTCAGCCGCGGCAGATTTCGCGTCTGTTCCCACGGATAGTCATCTTCACAGCCCAGATACTGCCTCGCCTCTTCAGGGATATCTCCCATCTTGTCCTCCCCAACCGTGTCGTCGTATCGCGGATCGTATTGGCACGAAAACGACTCCCGCAGGTCAATGCTTTCAGACGGATTCAGCCGCTGCGTATTCGGTCCCTGATATCCCTTGTCCCACTTTGTCCCGCTCGAATCCGCCCTCATCTTCGTCTGCAAGGGCTGTCTAAAAAACTCTAGACCAGCCTCGTAGACATCCTGCGTCACGTCCGCAGGGATGCCGTGGTTTTTGATGTAGAAGAAGCCCATGTTCTGCGCTGCCGCACGCACCTGCTGCGCCACGGCCTGTCGTTCATCGAGCGACGAGCTGAATATCGGCGAGATGTCGATGACGGGGATTTCAGACGGCAGGGCGTCCCGGAGGGGAGTGCAGAGGATCGTTCGTGTGACGATACCGTTCGGCGATGCGAGTCGGAGCTGTGTCGTTGAAATGCTTGTTTCTGTAGCCATAATGAGCGATTCTCTTCGTCTGCCTTCTATGTCTTGTGTTGAAGTGCATCCCAAGCCTTGTTCAAAATTGCTTCACGTAAAGGTCAGTACGCAACTAGAATCTAGCCAGAAACCAGCCTTCACCAACTCCCAACGATCAAGAAGCCAGGGTTACATCGACTACCATCAAATCCACGCAGCACGACCAATCAAACGACACCTCCGCCAGCACATCTCCAAACCTACAGTCACATGTCATGTACTCAAATGTCGTGTCACATTGCATCGCGCAAAACAAATTTTGGAACAAATAGTATCGTTCAATTCAAAGTGCCAACCCGTAAACCCGCAGCCAATTTCCTGCTGCTTTGATCCGTGCCATGTCCTTACAAACAACGAAAAAAAAAAGACGAAAAACAACAAACACAAATGGCCGCTTTGGCCAGCCCACTCCCCCTCCCCCCAAAAGCAAACAATGCGTCCTGGTATCTTTTCCTCCAACGCCTCGCAATGCTATGAAACTTTTTTTTTTATTTTTTAATTTTATTTTATATTCCCTCCTGCCCCCCCACACTTCGTCGGAAGTGATGGGAACCGTATAGCTCAACCGGTGGGAACCTTGCGGCTCAACCACCGGGAACTATACGGCTCGACCATCACTTCCGAGTCCGTGTAGACGCGCGGGTCGCGCGCTTGGGGGCAGGAGTCCCGTTCTCTACCATTCCTAGACCGGCCGCGATCCTGGTGGACCGCTGCTTCTGTGCCGCCGCCGAGGGTTTGGCCGCGGGCTTGGAAACCCGGTTGCCAACCGGCTTGGCCTTTGCCGCCGGCCGCCCCCTCTTTGGCTTCTCTTCCTCCTGATACGAGGCCAATGGTTCCTTCCAAACGACGCTCTTGCCGCGTCGCGCCTTGGCTTCAGCTTCGTCCTGTTGGCTTCCGTCTCCCTCTTCATCCGAAGACTGTCTGGCCAATACCTGGGCAGGATACTCCGCATTCCCCTTGTTACGGCGAGTGTTGGCACGGGTTTGGTGGACCAAGTCCTGCTGCTCGTTGCGCACGGAACCCAGGGTTGAGTTGGTGGGTGGGCGTCCACGGCCGATTTTGGTAGGTGCAGGAATCGATGGCTTGGGAATGGCACTTGGCTTGGCCTTCAAACGCGATGATCGACGGGATACAGCAGCAACTGAAGCCTCCTTTTGCTCTTTGGTGTTTGCAAGTTCATCGGCACCATCACTGCTCTTGGCTGATGTCGCTGTCGCATCGTTGGCGAGGGGCTCTTCATCCGAGTGGTAATTGGTAGCAACAGGCTTCGACTTTGACGGAGTGGCTCGAGGCATGCGGCGAACTCGCTTGGCAGCAGGCTCCGGCTTGGTTTCGTTCTCGTTCTCGTTCTCGTTTTCTTCTCCTTCGCTGCTCTCGAACTTGCGCTTCTCCTTTGGCTGAGTCTCCATGTTAGGGCTTCTAGCTCCAAGAGGTTGACGCGGAGGAGGTGCAATAGGGGAGCCGGTTTCGGTGGTAGAGTGACGTCGTGGCTTCGAACGTCTGATAAAATCACGCAGAAAATCACGCTCAGGGGTATCGTCGTGGCTGATTGGGTATTGCTTTCCGAGTTCTGGGCTGCGGGTTGAGTTGGGTGCTGACTTCTTTTGAGCGCTGGCTTGGTTCACGGGCGTAAATGAGATGGGCGAGGTAGAGGCAGGAGCGATGTCAGTTGTCGAATCGGCGGGTGATGGTTCGCCATGCGTAGAGGTAGACTGCTCTGCTTGGTTTTGTGTAGCCATGATGGCGATGCTCAATTCAGATGATGGGTTCAGAGGCGGCGTGTTCTCAAGGTCAGAGAGAGGCGAGCTGCTGTCTGAGTTCATGGGAGGCTCCACGTTCACGAGAGGCTCTGGGCTCACGTAAGGCGCTCGGTTCACGGCAGGCTTGTATGCCTTTCTCTCAGATGTTTCCAAGTAGTCAGGAATGATGAACTGATCGAGGGGTGTGTAGGGAGATTTCTGCGGTGCTGAGGCGGATGAGCCGCTGGCCATACTTTGACGAGAAGACTGGTTGCGTTTGACAGGCGAGCTGGCAAAATCGGAAACGATAAGAGTCTCATCACTGTTATAAGCTTCTTCATGCCCGGCAGACAGTGAGTGCTTCGCAGGAGAGCCGAAATCGGAAACGACAAGAGTCTCGTCCACGAGATGAGATGCTTCATTCTCAGCAGGCAGCGAAGATTGCTTTGCAGGAGAGCCGCCAAAGTCGGAAACAACAAGAGTCTTGTCAGCGGGCTGATATTCTTCCTCCGATTCGCTCCATTCAGATCTCTTGCGAGGTTGAGGACTGGGAGGCTCAGGCGTATCCTCTGGGAATTCGCGGAAGAACTGGAGTATGGGAGACTGTGGCTCTGAAGGTGAAGCAGTCGACTGGCTGGGTTCCTCTATCTCTTGGTTTTTGGGAAACAGATGTTTGTACTTGATCGGTAACTTAAACTGAACAAGGAGTCTTCCTTCCTTCCTGCCAACCATGACACTGGCCTTATCAAAGCATCCGGTCTCTGCCATCCGGGCCAAACGCTTGACTGGGTTATGCGGGGGAGGAGATGGGAGGCGGTATCTGTCATCGGGATCGTCGAAAACATCATCTGGATGGCGAACAGGAGGAGGAGCGTTCCGCTTCTGTCGCAGGATATCTTCTATATCCGCCTTGTAATTCCAGGAGAGTTGGCTGAAATCAGTCTCCATACCTGCGGTTTGTTCGGTAACAGCGTTGTTGGGAGTGTTTGGTTGAGTCGCAGAAGAGTTGAAGAGTTCAGAAGCCTGAGTGTGCTGGGGAAGTTGAGAGATGGCATCTTCATGGTTGGGGGCTGGTTCATCAATGGTGGGCATGGCCCCACTCATATCACCAGATCTGATGAGCTTGTGAGGTGAAAGTGAGATGCGCCGTAAAGTCTGGGATTTGAGCATGTTTCTGGACAGCGGCTCACTTTTGCGTCGCCTGACAATCTTTGTGCGCTCGTTCTCAATAACGTCTGTTGGGCTATTGACCCACGAAACTGAATTGGTAAATGATGGAGAGGCGGGTCTGAAATGGATTTTGCTAGGATCGCATTTTTCGAGAGTTGTAGGTGACAGGTTGTGCTGCATCCACTCAGGCAGGGATTTGACCAAATCCAAAGACGCCCCGTCATTGACAGGCGTGGCAGCTGTAGGGGATGGCTTTTGACTAGGGGTTGAAGGCAGAAGGCCACTCCATTTGGAGGGGGTAGGAGCCTTGGGGCGAGAGTGGTAGACAGGTGATTCGGGCACAATGAAGCTCTGATCCATTGTAAAATCCAAGGTCGAGGAGTCGTTGCGAGGAGGTGATGGTGTTGTCGAGAGACGAGCAGGTTCCGACTTGCGCTTTGGGCGCCATCGAGCAAAAGGTGACTCTGTGGAAGACTTGTTGGACCATCGAATGAGGCCAGGAGTAGAATTTGCCGACAGCAAAGGTGACTTGGATGCACTGGGGCTCTTGGGCATGCTAATGGATGGCGTTCGTTTGCTAGGGCTTACAAACTCCTTGCTAGGCGTCGGAGGAGAAGAAGGCTTGGTGGGAGAAGGCTCAGCACGAGGTGAGGAGCCTGGCAACAGTCTGACAATTGTATCGCTGAGTCTCTTGCGGAAGCTCTTGTTGCTCTTGGTAGGGCTTGGAGATTGGGTGGAATCTCGCTTCGTCGGAGACTTGGCATCTGACATGGACTCATTAGGCTCCAAGGTCAGAACGCTTGACGGCTCGCTGTCGTCTGCGATGTCTGATAGCTCTGGCATGCCGCTGGCAGCGAGAGAAACTCGTGGGTTGCGACGTGTAGATCGTAGGTGGGCTCCAGCCTCTGTGATGGATGCCATGTTGACGTCGATTTCCGTGACGCCGGCCTGCATAGCTCTGGAAATGATGGGGTCGAGCTCTCTGTAAATGGCGGCCCCATTGCCGCCGCTCGCGTATTCAAAATCGATGGAGGAGTGGTCGTTGAAGCGGCGCTTCATGGGGACAGTCTTCTTGGTGTACTGGCTCTGCTTGGCCAGCTTCCTCTGGTCTGATACGTCGGTATATTCTTCGTGGAGGTAGCAGTTTGCTACGTCCACTATAAAACAAAAGCAAAAGCAGTCAGCAAAGTCCCGCTCAAGCAATGCTTTGACGGTAAGGTCGTAGGATAAAGAGACAAGAAACATACCCTTGGCGCGCATGATTGCGCTTGCTATCTCTGCTCTAGACAGAGGCTCTCCCCCCAGCTCCAACACTGCGTCTTCGGCCGCTGGTACAAACGAGCCGAGACGGCGACGGCTCGCCTGCTGAGTCTCCTCAGTCTCTTCTGCGACCTGGCTGGCCGCCACCGTCTGCGGCCTCACCGCACGAGATTTGGCCGATCGGCCCACCCGCTTCATGATGGTCATGCCCTTGCGAAGAGTCGAAGGGCCAGCCGCGACTGGGATGCGGCACCACGCACGCAGAAGGGTCGCTGGTCTTTGTGCGACCAACTTGTCCGCCCACGAGCTGTCCACCAGAAACCACGTCAGTACCTGTCTCCAGCAAGGATATTCCAACGAGGGGGAGGTCGTCGTCGACGTCGCTCGGTCTGATACGCACATCTCTGTTTCGGCCTCATGGGCCGCCGGGAAGAACGTCACAAACGACGCTGGGAGAGGATTGCTGCCACGCGCCATTAGCCCACGACCAGATTCCAGCAGCGGTCCAGCATCGCCCGCAGAGCAAGTCTTACTTGGTGACGGGATTGTACTCGCTTCCCCAACGGGGGGTGGTCATGTCGTCCATGACGCAAAACTGCTGGTTCCACGATTCGAGATGTTGTGGTTGAGGCGTCGGAATGCTCGAATGTGGAAATTGGTCGGTGGCTTTAACTGGCAGCCGCTGCAGAAATCAAAAGTGAATTGCTACCCCCACGCGGACGCGTCTAGCAGCTGTGAATCATAAAAAAGTCGCGTGTCCTGAAGTGCGTGCGTGAGGCGCGGTCTGAGCGGCGAGCCGAAATTCGAGAAATTAAAGCCGTTCTTTGTTTACTTTGGGCCAGAATAGGGATGTGAGTGGTGGGACTAGGCCCAATGGGGTAATGAAAGCTGCAGAGGGGCATCAATTAATGGGCTCGTGACGCGTTAATGGGCTTACGGTTTGTGAAGAAGCAAAGCACAATTGCTGTTTTGAAAGCACCAAACAATGATGGCGCCAAACATGAAGATGCACAATAAAAATCCATATTGAGCATTCAATGGTATTGCCCTGGTAATGTTGCATTTTACAAGAGGACGGAGTACAGTAGTTGCCACCTACTATATACTTGTAGTAGTTGATGCTATTTACGGATGCTTCAACCGACTAGCCGTAGATCCCGCCAAACTGCTCCGAATCTGCAAGGAGTGGCCTGCATCGGTGAATGAGACACGTGCACTTTGGCGATGCGACGCAGTGAAACACGGCTCTCTTCTGCAATGATTTGCGTCCAGCTCAAACAAAGTCCACAACCAGCCTAAATCTGAGTCTTCACTGTAATACTGTAAAATAAATCCCTTTCCCTTCTATTCTTCCTGAGAGTTCCATCTCCAATCATTCCCCCATACAGGCAAACTCAATCTCTCTAAGTCGTCTGCTGACTCATCAGCTCAGCCTTGCAGAATGCGCCAGTGGGGTCTCCCTCTCTGGTTGCCCCTCTAAGCCCTCTAAGCACTCTACCCGCAGCCTGGAGAACTCCCTGAAGCCTCGTCACTGTCCAACGTCATCCAGTCCTCGTCACTGCAGGCAGCATCTTTTCAGCCTCGCCATCTCTGCCCCCATCGCCGCGAATAACCTCATCTGTCCCTACCATCAGTGCGCCGTAACTCCCACCGCCGATAGCCAAACGAAGAGAAAAAGAGAAAAGAGAAAAAAGCAAGAGAAAAAAGAAATCGTCGGCCCATCATGAACCGCCTCTTCGGCTCCAAGCCCACCGGCCCCAAGCCAACCCTCGGGGGCGCCATCACAAACATCGACACCCGCATCGCCTCCATCGACACCAAGCTCAAGGCCCTCAACGGCGAGCTCTCCGCCTACCAGGAGAAGCTCTCCAAGATGCGCGACGGCCCCGGCAAGCAGGCCATCAAGCAAAAGGCCCTCAAGGTGCTCCAGCGCCGCAAGGCCTACGAGGCCGAAAAGGACAAGCTCGAGAGCCAGGTCTGGAACATGGAGCAGGCCCAGAGCATGCAGGACAACCTCAAGAACGTCATGACCCAGGTCGACGCCATGAAGACCACCAACAAGGAGCTGCGCAAGCAGTACGGCAAGATCGACATCGACAAGATCGAGCGCCTGCAGGACGAGATGGCCGACCTGCTCGACGTCGGCAACGAGATCCAGGAGAGCCTGGCCCGCGGCTACGACATCCCCGACGAGGTCGACGAGTCCGAGCTGGATGCTGAGCTCGAGGCGCTGGGCATGGAGGCCGAGCTGGAGCAGGAATACGGCAGCGGTGCGGTCCCGGGTTTCTTGCAGGACGAGGTCGTGCCCGAGTTTATCGACGAGCCGCCCCAGACCGAAGAAAAGGTGAAGCAGGCTGCGGGTTAGCATCGTTTCTTGGTCAATTTAGTTTCATTTAGCATTTGATATCAGTTTGTTGTCTTGTTTTACGGCGTGGCGTGGCGTGGCGTGGCTCTTATTTGTCCATCTCGAAGAAAAGCATCGACCAGCGCAAGACCGTTCAGCCCAATTACATGACAGACCATCCCAGTTTCCCTTGTTTTCACATCCAACATTATGTATGTACATAGTGAATAAAGAAAGAGCCAAATTCATCTCGAGTTTCATCATGCTATTCGTATTTTCAGCCCTAGCAGAACAACAAATTATCTAATGCCATCTACTGCCTACCTAATTACCAACCCACCCAAACCCTGTCCGATAAAGTGTCCACACATTTGAGTAATTACAACATGATACAAACGCCGGGCGAACTGTTGAAACGCCGGGAATGCAGGGTACAGTAGTCCCAACGCTCTTTTTTTTTTTTCTCTTTTTCTTTTTTTCCGTTTAATAAAAAAAAGCCTATGATGGATATGCCAAACCTATGTTGTTTCCCCCCTAAACTCCTCCCGACAACAAGTCGCCGTTGGGCATGAAACTTTGCGTATAAGCTCTGTATTTGTTCTGGTGGCAAATCACCCTGAGCTTAAATGTGCCGTTAATCAATCGCCGCGAAGAAGCGAGCAACTTCCTCCAGTTCCGGATCACCGTTGCAAAAGTCCCATCCCACAATGACTGGCGCCTGGCTGCAGCAGATAATCTTGCGGGCATCAAACTGGAGCTTGAAAACGCGCGCTGGGGGGTTCTCAGCCGCTACAATGCGCGGGTGTTGCTCCGCAGCTTGTGCGGCGTCTGCCATTTCGACCGTTCCCAGCTGGGCAACGGTAGGTTCTGGTTGGACAATGGGAGGAAGCTGAGGAGGAGGTCCCTGGCCGGGAGGGATAGAAAGTTGAGAAGGCTGAGGCACCGGTGCGTGGAGAGGGGTGGATGGCTGCGCCTGTGATGCTGGTGCCGGGGAATATGCTGGCTGTCGATGGTCGTTGCTGCTGCTGCCGCCGTTGATATCGACCGCTGCGGCGGAAGAGGACCCTGCCATTGCGCCGGGAGTATATCCGGGGACAAGGTTTGGGGTTCTCGCCTCTGCAGTGACAGGGGCTAGGATATGGGAGTTGCCGCGAGCAATGAGGCGCTGTCTGGCCGACTGGTTGTTTTGTATCGCAATCAAGCCATCCGCCACCACCTGCCTAAGATGTGATCGGACAAAGGGCGAGGGCTCCCGCTCAATCGCAGCCTGGAGGTAGCCGTGGTAGATGAGCATGGATGGATGGTTTGCCAGTGCCTGCCTCAGCGCCGCAGCTCCGACGGGGACAATCTGGTCAATCATGGCCATGTAGATGCGTGCCATCTGGCTGTTCTCGCTGCTCGGGTCTCGGATGGGCGACGACTGCATGCCCTGCGGCGCCCCGGGATGTACCGGCGACACGGCAATGGCCGCCGAGGCAAGCTGGGTGCCCTGTCGATGGGCGTTGGTCAGGGCAGTTTGCCTGTGTGCGGCCTCGGCGGCTTCTTCCTGTCGGAGGTGATGCGCAGGCTTCCACACGCCCTCCTTGTCGCGCCGCCAGATGATGATGCTCTGGTCATACGAACCGGAGACGATGCGCCCATATTTGCGTCCACCGCCTCCGCCCGGCGGGACTTTGGCACCGGTCGCCTGGAGGTCGGCCGGCCGAGAGCTTCCTGCGTTCACTCTCCTGGCGCGACGGATTCTCCGGTCGCCTTCGTGGTCAATCTCTCCAGCCTCTACGGCCTTAAAGTACTCGGCGTCGACCCTCTTGGCCTCTGCCAAGTCCTCCTCCTTACTGTATGGCAAATCGCCAAAGCCCGCTTGCACTGTCCGGACGAGATGGGCGTGTCCTCTGAGAGAGGCCACTTTGAGGCCGGTTGGTGCGTCGAAAATGCAAACTTCGTAGTCGCTACTACCACTCACAATTCGGCGCTCATCAAACTCGACGCAGGCAATGCCCTTTTCGTGTGCTGGGATGGTTTGTGTGCAGACCTGGTCCGGCCAGTTCCATACCTTTATGTGACGATCGCCAGAGACGGAAACGATGGTGCTTCCCCGGACCTGGATGGCGTTGACAGCAGCGCCGTGTCCCTCCAATCTGCCAATTACAGTATACGGGGGCTTGACAGGCAGCTCCTGAGAAAGATCCGGTTCGTAGCCGTAAGGCTTAACGCTCATGCCGATGGGGTTGAAGGCCGTATCTACGGCTCCATAGCCCAAGTCGCCGTACCGCAACGGTCGGCGGTTGAAAATCTTGATGGTTTTGTCCTTGGAAGAGGTGACGAGGACACGCTTGTCAAACCTGACGTTAAGGACAGACTCACGGTGGGCGTGCGTGATTCTCTGCACCAGCTCTCCCGTGGAAAACTTCCAGATGAAGACATTAGAATCGCTGCTGCCAGAGACCAAGATGTCCTCAGCCGGGTCTGCGTCAAACTGCAGACATAGAACGGAGCCGGTGTGGCCAGTCAGAGGCGGGCGGACCAGCCGGCGCGTATGCATATTCCAGACTCTCATCGTGCGGTCTCGGCTGCCGCTGACGAGGTAGTTTGCGTCGAACTGCAAGGTGTAGACACATTCCTGGTGGCCTTCTTCGGGGTAGCTGGGGTGCGGCAGCACAAACGTCTTGAACTTGCCCAGTTCCCAGTTCGATTCAAGGCGGCGCCTCATGTTATACAGGTACTTCCAGTTGATGCGATATCGCGAGCTGTTAATGTCCCAAGTCCACAGGGTCGACTTGATCATGGACGCCGTGGTGTCGCCCGCCTCGATGGATGGCAGCACCATCTCGGGGGTGCCGCTGGGCTCTTTGCGCTTAGCTCTGCTTTCCGACGACGACGACCCAAGGCCCCGGTCCACGGCCTTACCCTTGGCGGACGAGAAGCTATCCAGGTGCATGTCGCCCAAAGAGGGCAGCGTCTGCCTCGAAGCCTGCAGCGCGCCGGCAGATCCAAAAATGCTGGGCCCAGCGCCGCTGTCGACGATGCTAGGCAGCCTGTCCTGGTCCGTCATCTCCAAGTCTTCGTCATCGTCGTCGTTGTTGAGGATGGCCCGGATCTTGTTTGGGTGGTGATCCGACGTCTGCATCCTATGCAGGTGCCCTATCGAGTTGCTGACGCCCGTGTTGACCCTGACCTCCCACGCATCGATCTCGGTCTGCACAGCCTTCCAGCCTTCAAGGTAGTATAGGCGCTCCCACAGCTTCCGATCCACGGCCAGGTCATACCACGCCCGACAAGTCTGCAGCACACTAACAAGGGATACGGGGTCGAGATAGCTAAGGATCTTGAGGCAGATTTCGGCGGGGAGATGGCGGATGAAGTCGATGTAAAGTCTCGGGCTCAGGCGCTCCACGATCTCGACGATGGCCGAGGTGGGAAGCTGGTCCAGGAGGGTCATGGCAAGTTCTGCAGCGACAGAGTCAGGGGGGAAAGCCCATCGCGACCAGCGCCGGAGATGAAGGAAAACTCACTGGATTTGAGAGAGACGGGGAGGAGCGTGGCGTTTGCGGCCAGCCATTGCGGCAGCTCGAGGGGGGACTTGAGCGTCGCCAGAGCAGAGAGCTGGTCAGCCAGGCCAGTCGGGCCCAGAGGATCCTCCGAGTAGCCTTCGTCAGGCTGGTGGGCGGGAGAAAAGGGCCCCATGGCGCTGTCTCGTCTGGACATGGTTGGAGCTCAGCCTTGCGCAGAGGTGAAGCTATCACGCTCGTTGTTTGTCGCTCGACACGGCTGAAGGATTGCGAGGCGCTGGGACGCAGACGGCCGCGCAAACTCCCATATCGAGCTCCAGCTGTCCGGGGGTTCGGGTGCCAACAACAGGGCGAGTTGGGCAGGCCGGGCTCGAGTGCAGTTGCAGTGGCAATGAGGATGGAAAGGCGAGAGTCAGACGAATCGTCGCGCTGCTGCAGCCCGGGTTGCAGCCTGGACGGGATGACTTCAATCCAATGGCGGTGGATGTTAGAAGGCTTCGGCGGGGATGGCCAGTGCTGGATTCGGGCACTGCCAGGCGCTGCCAGGCTCAGCCGCCGGATCCCACCGCTGTGGAAGTGCCGTAGCGCCGTTTTGGGGGGCAGGGGGGGCCTTTATGCAGCAGCTACAGCGGGCTGGGGGTACGGACAGGGTACTGGGACCTGGCTGGTATGCCGCGGTGGGTGGCCTTGTACTGGCCAGGTAGTGCCGGACCCGCGACGACCGGGGCTGGCCCGTCCGTTAGTGCTCTAAAACAGCTGCGGCGGGCACTAGGAGGCAGCTGGAGCCCCTGATGTCGGAACTGCTGGAACTGAGGCTTCCATCGGATGAAATCCATCAATGTCCGAGTTTCTGGAATGCTGTTGTGGCGGTTTATTACCTTACGCTTATCTACAGCTGATGCGAGTGTATGCAGCCAAGTACTAGAGGTACTTATTGGTACTGAGGTATTGAGGAACCTAGGTACCTAGGTACCTATAGGTATGTCAAGATGGCTCCAATACCCTGGGAGTACATGCACCACTTACAAGAGCAAACGGTTACGGCTCATTCTGCATCCCCAAGAAGGACAGGGCTGGGCATCATCGTGTTGGTTCACTCCATTGCCTTTTATAATTTAGCGCCTTCTCTCAGATGCATATACAGGCTCCGACTGGTTTGAGCATCTCTCTTCTCGTTGCTACCCACTTGTACAAACATCAATATCTCGGCTTCTACCAAGGTAAGGTATCTGTGGCTTATATCTACCTACCAAGCCTTTACCCATCCAACGGATCAAGTGCCGAGCCTTCTCCACAGCTCAATCAAATCAATCAATCAATCAATCAATGCTACATATTACATTGACTCCATAACCAACTTCCGCACGCTTAATCCTCGCTCAGCATTCGTCAGCAATCCGGCAGTGGCATGCAGCTCTAGTTTTTGCTTGTCCATTTGGAAGACGCAAGGCTGATTGTCGGGCTGCTGATGGACCTCACCCTGGGCATATGTGCATGTCTTTAAGCTCGTTAGGCATGTTGGTAACCTTTTATTGACATGGTTGATGGAGCCCAACTTTATATGTGTTGGTAGGCACGCCTCAACACTTGATGTACTATGTTTCCCAGCGCCGCCTTGTCGCCGGGTCGCATGGACGGCCGCAGTCCTAGAACTACCTAGTGAGATGCAGCTCAGCCCTACAATATAGCCGTCTCAACTCGCCGTTGCACCTAATCTTTACCCCTGATTCAGCTCTTTACCGGGGCGTTTCTTTTTTTCTCTTCAATTGCTAATTCGCGCATGGCCCAGCTCGGTTGACGTTAGTCGCCATGTTTCAGCTCGGCGAAAATGAGGTGGCTGGTTATGAGACGGTGAACAACGACAAGACATCTTTCACCGCCGTTGCACAATGCCGACAGCACCGCGGAAGACGTAATATCTACGGAGCACTGCAAATCCACAAAAAAAAAAAAAGTACTCATGTGACCAGATTGAAATCCTTTGGGGTTCATACGACGGCTCGGTATACAGGCATTGCACGTAGCGTTGCCAACAATGTTCAGAAAGGAGGTTGATGATCCCAGTTCCGGTGTAGGCACTACTAGTCTAGTAGCAGGGTAATTTTATTCATTCACATCGTATTAGCACCTAGCTAACTATCCCATGACTATCCAAGTCCAAGATACTAGTGGCTAGCAGACGCTTAGTTCTTGGTGAGGGGCTCGCCATCGATGATCTTCTGGGCGCCGTATTTCTTCAGCCTGATGGCCTGAATGGCAATGAAGCCGCTAGCGAACGTTTAGTAACAAGCGCATCATATCAATATCTAAGACCGTTTAAACTTACGAAGTATCCTCAGGGCTGAAACCCTCAAGAGTGTCCATAGAGGCCTCAGTCTCGGAGTAGAGGTTGCTGGTCTCGCTGGAGCGTCCGATGACGTAGGCACTGCCCTTGTAAACCATCATGTTGACCTTGCCATTGACGCCCTTCTGGGAGAAGGTGATGGAGTTTTCAAGGAATTCACGCTCGGGGCTGAAGTACATGCCGTTGTACAGACACCTGGACCACTCGGTGGTGACAAACTGATCACGGAGGCGGCGGACGTGGCTGTCAAGGGTGAGACCCTCGAGGTCAATGTGAGCCAAGCGAAGGATTGTCAGTCCGGGGGTGTCGTAGCTGTTTGATCGTCAGTACAAGAACGAGCCAAGACCACAGATATAGACATCGGGCGAGGGAAGAGGGGTTGAGAAAGGATAAGATAACCCACCAGCCTCGGCTTTTCTGTATAAAGCGTGTCAGTCAATGGTTGTATCTCTGAAGACGGAGTAAGCTTACCAGTCCGATGAATCGGCTCTCAACAATGTCGACACGGCCGACACCATGGTCGTGACCAATCTTGTTCACAGCCTTAAAGAGCTCGAGAGAGCCAGTAGTCGTCTCAGTTCCAACTTCAAGCTTAACGGGGATACCCTTCTCGAAGTGAATGGAGAACTTCAGGGGCTCATCAGGGGCATCACGAGGATCTATTATGTCGTCAGCCTCTATTCGTACAGCATAGAGAGCATTTTACTTACCGACCGTGCGGGTCCACAAGTCCGCCGGAGGCTCCAGCTCAGGCTTCTCCTAAAAAGACACATTCGTGTGAGCAACAGACACTGGAAGGTTCAGACATGCCAGCATGGAAAGCGACTTACAAGCACACCACTCTCGAAAGAAGTGTGTACGAGGTTTTCGTCCTGGCTCCATGGCTTCCGAGGGCTCTGGTCGACAGGAATGTTGTGCTTCGCAGCAAACTCCAGGAGAGCTGCTCGGCCATCCAAAGCCTTGAAGAACTTTGGCTCCCTCCAGGGGGCAAAAATCTTCAGGGAAGGGTCAAGAGCCTGCCAGGCGAGCTCGAATCGGACTTGGCTGGGAAGCTGTTAGTTTTACCCGATTAACTCTTTGGAAATCACAGGACTTACTCATTCTGCAAAGTTAGTGAGCAAGAGAGTCACGCTGGTGGGAGAGAAGAAAACTTACGCCCTTGCCAGTCTATTCCAATCACAAGTCAGTGTACGTGTCCAGTGATAGTAATGGTTCTTTCGTGAACGACTTACACATCCGTGGCTGAGAATTTGGCAGTTGTGCTTGTGAGCAGCGCGGACCTGGGCACGCGCAATGATGGGACGAGCCAGGGACGTGCCCAAAAGGTAGCGGTCCTCGTAAATGCTGTTGCCTGACCTGATGTTAATTCAACGAATAGGTAGGTATATTGAACAGTTGTGACCAACACTGAACGGCAGGCCAGATGAGCTCATCAACGAACTCCTGCTGCAGGTTCTCAATGACCATGGCCTCGGCACCGAGAGCCAGAGCCTTCTTCTCAACGGCTTGATTCACACATCAGCACAAACTGGTCATGATAAAGATTGGCCATGTTCTGAAGCATACCAGCGAAGTCTTCCTCTTGGCCAACATCAGCCAGGAAGCACTAATTGTAAGTTAAGTTAGAAAGCCTTGTCTCTTGAAATGATCCTTGTCTAAGCAATTGTGTGAGACATACGACCACAGTATAACCCTGCCAAGTACGATTAGCGTAAGTCCGAGAATAAGGCATACCAAGGACTTACCTCGACAATGAGCCATTTGAGGATCGTAGAGGTGTCAAGACCTGTAAGGCCATGTCAATTGCAATTCTATCGACCCGGAGCGAGATGACTGGGATCAAATTGATTACCTCCAGAGTAGGCACTGTAATTGGGTGTCAATTACTGATGCAGACGGCAGCAGGGGTTGGAAAAGGAGGCTCACAGGCAAACTCGACCGGCAGACATCTTTGGCAGTGCTTGTTGTGGCGGTACGCTGCTAATGCGAATCTCAACTGCTGTTTGGAGCGGGAGAAAAAGAGGTTGATGAGGAGCTATTAAGCTTTTACGCTCAATATTTAGAGTGCAGTGACTGACTCTTCGATAAGAGGCCGATAACGGCTAGGTCTGTTGACTCTGAATGTGGTCACGTGCTCCAGGCCACAATGGCCCTGGCCAGAAATCGGCCCCGCCTTGCAGCTTGAACTGTTGGTTATTTCTTCCTTTTTCCCTGCTCGGCTCCACTTGAAATCCAGTCAATCCAACTCCCCAGCTTCCTATCCGCGATGACAGGAACCCTGACGTCATCGTTGAAATCTGTTATACAACACCACACACAGCTATGTACATAAGTACGGTTCACCTATCGGGATCGGCCTCAAGATGTGACCGACTTTCATGCGACAGCTGGTTCTAAGCATAAGGTCCCAGGTAGACCCAGAAAGAAAAATTGACCAATCCCCAGAGCCAAGTCGTCATCAACTCAATCGCGGCGTCAACAAGGCAAGAGATCAATCTGGAGCACTGTATGATCTGCCATCATCAAACGACGACTCTAGCCTTGTTTCCTCGAGATCAAGCAGGTTGAAGCTTGCATGGAGGGAAATCAACTGATTGAAAGACTTTCTCCAAGTGAACGATCTAGTCACCCTGCGCTTTTGCACCGGGGTGTATGGGAGAAAGTCACAAGTGAGATACGCTCCCATATACATGTGACATGAATATAATACAGCTTCATTACCCGGAAACATTAAGATTGTGGGGGCGTGCATCTCCAAATACCTGGAAAAGCGGATACATGAACTCGTCGGCTCTGACATGAGTGTTTCGCTTCATGCCAACGATGGGGACATTGAAAAGGATGAAGACGATTTTGAATTGCCTTCGGATGAAGCTCGCTACAAGTCTTTGAGTCCATGCATCACAGCGAAAAGCGCTACTGTAACGAACAGCAAATTACCACCGATTTGTTTAAAGTGCCTCGGACGGTGCCAGACAGATGGCCCAGCATCAGGTTGTGACGCTCAGAATACTGATTCACAAAATGCGAGCCTGTCACAAGGAACTGATATGTTCGATTCAAACGTTACCGACCACCACTTCTGGGAAATGCTACATATCGGTTGGCTTGATGTGTCTTGGGGGATTCCTGATGAGAAATCGCCATGTCGACGTTTCAGATGGGTTCTTCATTTCATCAGGACTAACGAGCGGCGGGCCAAGGCTAATCTTCGAGATGCAATAAGAGGCATCCTCTAATGTGAGAAGCACCCTTATCACTATGAGGTACCCTACACAAATTCAAAGCTAGAAGCCGGATTTGTCGCAAGATTGGGTACAGAATTTCTTGGAAGCGAGGGATCTGAAGAACGACCATCAGGGCAACCGATATTAGACATTGGACGGGGCAAGATGACGAAGTCCTTCGGGCGGTTATGCAAGAGACGTTTTCGATGCCCGAGCGGCATCGCATGTTCAACGAGAGGTGTGCCGAAAATCCCCGCCCTTTAGATGCAATACGTGGGCGCTGCGTTTTGCCGAATTAATGGTACTCTCACGAATTCGCTGTGGCTAAACAAGTACTCTGAGCACCACATTAGCTGTCTACAAGAACGGGACGACGTAAACTGTTCCCATCAACGATTCAATGTGGGTTTGACGAAGGAAAAGCTCGAGGAAGTTGTGGAAAGGAGGAACCTTGATACAGGGTTCCGAAAGTATTGCAGCACAAGTGTACGGAAGCACAAGACGACTTGTTGAGGGGTTTGCGCAGACCTCGAAAGATTGGAAAGACTACGTGAACCTATTGGTTACTGTAGATGCAAAGTGCGCCAGATTCCGACAACGGTTCGGCGACAAGCGAACCCTGTCATCTATACTCCGTACAGGTCAAGTTTTGAGGGTGAACTTGGAACAGCGCAACCGCGGCGAGAACCGCAGTCAAAACAGCTGAATAGATTACTCGGGATCTACCAATTCAGTAGATGTGCAGCCTGTTACCAGCAGTGATGCAGCTATCGGCCTGCCAACAGTGACGTCTACGGGATTCCTGAGCCAAACCCTAACACATCCATAGATTATTACAGCAGGGGCTAGCATCTGAACTTGATCCTAGTACTCCGTACTGTATAGGAGTTACTCCTGGGAAGCGGGTTCCAGGCTGTTTAAACGTGACCTTGAAAAGTGAAAAGTGACGAGCTTCCAACATGGGAATGCTACCTAGCAGCTGGACAGGCCTATTTTTCCGAGTTAGAGTGCCTTGAGCGTGCTTTGAACTACAGCCTGCAGACGCTAATACTATTGTTAGACTGATGTCTCCTTTTTTTTTTTGCCGAGAGCTGAACGGCTGGAGAATATTAGACGACAGATGAAGCAACGCCTTGCGATCCGCCATATGCGCCCAACCGACAGCTACGAGTATTCAAGACGAAGCCACACTACACTAAGGCAGTCTATAATGAAGGGGCAGAGCATGGCGTACGAGGCGTACCACAGATTGATTGCATGTGTGCGTCTGGTAGCAACGCCTAAGAGCTGGCCGCTATGGCTAGTGCGCCTACCCGCATCATGAGATATTGGATCCCGTAAACAAGTGGTAAGCAGGCATAGCGGTGAAAACGGCTAGCCAGGAAGGGAGCTCCCACGATGGCCTAGTCGGCTTGGTGTTTTATCGCGAGCCAATGCACGGAGATTGCTACAGCTACTGTGTGCAGTATGTGACGATGCGGACGGCCTCGTGGGCAGTGCTGAGACTCGGGCCGTCGACGCAATGCGACGTTGTGAGTGGTTTTGTTGGTTCAACAGCCGCCGGTGGTGTGACTGAAACGGTTCGGGAGGAAGCATGTGAGAGAATGAAGGAGAGGAGACGCTTTGTTTGTTTGTTTTGTTTGTCTGTTTGTCTGTTTGTCTGTTTGTCTTTGTGTGTTTTTGGCTGGTTGGTTGGCGGAAGACTACATACATGCATGCAGCAAGTGACTGAAGCTGTTGCGACAAGTTGAGATGAATGGAGGATACAGACACTGAGATACAGTAGATACAGTAGATACAGTAGATACAGTAGAGAGATGCTCTGAAGGTTAGGGCCTGGACGTGTTAGTGAGTCGACACATCAATGTAATCAATCATAATACGAGTCGAGCTGCGCGCTCTATTGTTACAGCTTCACCACCGCCATTCATCCCGTCTGTGGCGCCAGAGGCATGATTTCTCAATTTCCCTCCATTTAGCCTGCCCAGGCCTAGCGCCAGCTCTGGCCATTGTGAAACAAGACACCGCGCACTGGTGCATGCCACCAGACCCAAGGGTGCTAGACAAGTACCTAGACAAGTACTAGTACTTGGAGCTGGGGCGCTAGCTGCAGCCAGCCCGAGTCCTGGGTACAACCCGTCCACTCGACTTTGCCGCTGCCACGGTGGCAAATCAGCCGCTGGCCACAGACATTGGCTGGGCCTCCCACCCGCTGCAAGAGAGCGAAGGCGGCGAGTCTGTCTGCTGAGCGCCGCAGCATCATCGGGAAGCAAGAAAAGAATCCTTCAATAGAGTACAGAAGAAGAAAAAAAAAAAAAAAAAAAAAGGGTCCCGAAGCGCCCCCCCTCTGCAGCCCCCAGTTGAACCCCCTGATTTCGAGCCCAGCACCGCACAAAGTCACCGCGCTAAGCCGCCCTGAGCGCCTGTGGCCCCCCCAATCGTCCCAATTAGCAGCCCCCCAGAGCCTGTAGATCAACTGATGCCCCCAAACGGCCTGATGTGCCCTCCATTGCTCATTGGTACCTGGCCCGGAGTATCTGCACACCACCGCGCGTAGCAGCCAGTACCGTGCCCAGCAGTACCCCATAACACTGGCCGTGAGCCCGTCCCATCCTCCAGCAGTCTCCAGCAGTCTCCAGCCAAGTTGTTTGTCAGGACAGCCTCTCTTCTCTTCCTACCTTGCCCCTTTCCCTCCTGATCCTGCTGCCTCTGCAGCCTCGGCGTGCAACTTGTTGACACCATCCCCGCACACCGACTGCATAATATCCGACCGGCAGATCGTGCTGTACTATATACAACTAAACTTGCGCTGCCGAGCATCGCCCTCCAGAGCCAGGGGCCCTTTCGATACCCGTCCGAATCCTGACACTGTTTCCCCCCACCAGCATTGCAAAGCCGTCTCGAGACCCAGCGCCGTTCGCCATCGCTTTACCCCGACGACGAGCCGCTCCGTATAGAGTAGAGAGGACAGAAAGATAGAAAGAAGAAGAAAAGACGGACGTACAGACTGCGGGAGACTTAGACGACCTGTTGGGACGCCCACAGTGAAGCCGGCCATATAGAGAGAGAGATAGACACATAGAGAGCGGGACGAGATCACGATACACGTACACGTTTCCCGACCGTCGACGGCCAGGCATCCCATCACATCGTATCCTCTCGCGCCGCCTCCTCTCTCGACAGCCTCGTCGAGACTCGAAACTCAGCCTCCCCGTAGCCGGTCAATCCAGCTGCGGCTCGTGAGGCTCTTACCGGCGCTTGTGCTGCGACTGCCAGTAACTCCCCTAGACCCGGCCAAACGCAGAAACGACAAGTCGCCGACGGCAGCAATCCATTGAGACAGGCCCTTCGCGTTAAATGACGTGAATCCGTGCTCATTAAGGATCCGCTACCCACGGACAGTCTTCCGCAAGAAACTCGTTCGCCAAAACCCCCGCCTTCGGCCTGGAACCCCCCCCTGCCTCCTCCTCTTTCTCTGGCTCTCTCGCGCCTCAACCCCGTCCCCGACTTTCTCACGCTCGCCCGAAGCCGCTCTTTGTCCCTGACCTCGACCGCGACGACCTGCAAGCCCTGGATATCGGGCCCCCGACGGATGGAGTAGAGAGGTCATGGCTCATGCACCCCTGCTCAGAACCAACACGGCCCCGGTCTTCCAGTCTCATCCAAACGGAGTGGGCGCTTTACCACAACAAAGTATGAGCAGCAGTGCGCCGCGCACTAGCCAGCTGTCTGGATCAACAGCCTATGCTGGATCTTCAACGTCGCTCACCACACTCAATAGCGACATGACGGTGGTTGCCAATGGCCCGGTTGTGGCCACGAGCAACATCATCAACCAGAAAGCCGACGCCTCTCGATCCCTCTACCAGATATGCATCTCCCTCAAGCAGCGCCTGGCCCAGGTGCCGGGCTTCGAACCCTTCCTCGAGCATCTCGACCCGACAGATCCAGTTGATCCCCTCTGGAACCTCCTCCGCACTGGCTATCCGCTCCTCGTCATCTACAACACGCTACAGCCGGCCGAGCTGTTGAGTGTCGACGATGCCAATGCCTCCGACGCCAAAAAGTCCAAAATCGCAATCTTCAAGTTTGTCCAGGCCTGCATGAAGGAACTTCAAGTGGCTCCTTCCGACAGCTTTGTCATTACTGATTTGATGGGCAACGACACCAGCGGCTTTGTCAAGGTATGCTTTTCCTTTTCCATTTCGATTTCAGTAGTAGAGCGGTCTGCGTATTCTCTCTGGCGCACAGCTCCTCTCTACCAACACCCATTTTTGTCCTTTACTTATCCTTCTTTGAACCTTCTAACACCTTCCAGGTCACCCAAGTTGTTAACTACGTCCTTGACCTTGCCGAACAGCGCGGATACCTCCTTCAGCTGCAGCCTTATCCTGATGGCGAGCCCACTGATGCCGGCGCCGGCTCCAAAATGACGTACCGAGATCACGTCGTCAAGGAACTTGTCGATACCGAACGCAAATATGTCCAGGACTTGGAGAATCTGCACGACTTAAAGAAGGCGTTGGAGCAGAAGGGAGTGATTCCCGGCGACGTCGTCCACCAGATCTTCCTCAACATCAACTCCATCCTGGACTTTCAACGCCGCTTCCTGATTCGAGTCGAGACCACAAACTCCATGCCCGCCGCCACCCAACGATGGGGCCAGCCCTTTGTTACCCACGAAGAGTATTTCAGCATCTATCAGCCTTTCATCGCCAATCAGCGCAAGGCGGCGCAGATTGCGAACCAGGTTTTCGACCAGATCCAGCAGTCCGACCACCCTGTCGCCGCCGACTTCAACACTTTGGATGGTTTCCTCCTGAAGCCCATGCAACGTCTGGTCAAGTATCCACTGCTTCTCAAGGTACACCTGGCCGAATTCTGTTTCTCAAAGTATCCTTGCATGTTCCCCAATTGACTTTTCAATAGGATCTGGCCAAAAAGACGGAAGATGAGGAGACGAAAGACGATCTTCTTGCCGGATGCGAGGCTGCCGAACGCGTTCTCCAGAAAGCCAACGAAGCCGTCAACCGCGACCTTCTCGACGATGCGCTGGAAGAACTCATTGTCAGAGTCGATGATTGGAAATCGCACAAGATTGAATCGTTTGGAAAGCTATTATTACATGGCGTCTATGGTGTCATCACTGGCAAGAGTGAGCAAGAGAAGGACGTACGTACACAGGCATCTCCCGTGCATCTCCCACCAGAAAGCTAACTGTTGTCTCCAGTATGAAATCTATCTATTCGAAGCTATCCTGCTATGTTGCAAGGAAATATCACCAAATAAGAGCAAGGACAAGAAAGACAGGGCCCGACAGCAAGCCCCAAAGACGAGGAACAAGAATGCAAAGCTGCAACTCAAGGGCAGAATTTTCATGACCAACGTTACTGACGTTGTATCATTGTCAAAACCTGGTTCGTCTACTCGACTTTTTGGGCAGAGGAGGATTTCTTCCTCTCCCTCCTTTTCTTTTGGCAGCTAGCTGACATTTTTTCCCCCCTCCTTAGGCTCTCATAGTGTTCAAATCTGGTGGAAAGGAGATCCCGGTGTTGAAAACTTCACCATCAAGTTCCTCACAGAGGAGATGATGAAGAAATGGGCCAGCGGTCTGGAAACGCAACGTAAGGAGAATGCGCCACGGGCTGCCACAAGTCCAGACGACAACCCTACGGATTTCGCTTGGACACGAGACCAGGCCGGCGGGCTCGAAAACCCCTACCTGCAACAAGAAGAAGACGATGACGACGACTTGGGACCCGCGACCGCTCCCGCTCAGTTTCCCATGCCAACATCTTCTTTCGGAGGCGCGATCCCTCGAACTGCCTCAAGCTCCAACCTGAGAGACATGAGGCAGCGCTCGGTAACGGCAGAGACATCTCAGTCTCTTGCTAGCATCGCGAGAGCCCCTCCTCCACGATTCCCATTGCCAATGCCACCACCAGCCCCCCTTAGTCTCCAGACTCAAAGCAGCATGACCGTCCCATCGCCGGGAGTCCGCGGAGGGGACAGCTACTTTTCTCCTATTGGTGACTCGCCTGCGTCTTCTCGAACCAGCACGACAAGCGGCATGTTCCCACCAACCAGCTACCCATTCCCAAAGACGGGAACTCCCCAGCCTGGGTGGGATGAAAACAACCGCTACACAGCACCGGCGATGCCACGTGCCCCGTCCAGGGACGGAACGCCCCCCAACGCCTTTCCAAACGGCAGAAACCCTCGCGGACCTTCTCTTCCTCCCATGTCGCTCCAGAATGTCACCAGCAACGGCAACAACGTTGGCCCCAATGGGCAGCAGAGGAGCCGCTCGTACAGCACGCCCGATGTGAATGCCCAAGGCCAGCGGCGCCAGCCTAGCCAGGGCAGCATCCCTGCCGTTCCCGGCATTCCCATGCATCTTCACCCCGCGCACGACAGCTCTATCCCGAGATCGCAAACCGGCTCCCCCCGAAACGATGCTCCCGCACCACTACGGACGAGCACACAGAGCCCGGGCAGCCAGGGCCCGCGGATGCACAAGCACTCTCACTCGGGCAGCGTGGGTGGAACCATGGCTCAGTTCCCTACTCAGCCGATATACCCTCGACAGGCCACTCCTGGACCTCCAAACGGCGCCAACGGCCTTCGTGTTGACCCTGCAGCGGCCAACTCAAGGACCGTGTCGCCTTCCCTTGGCACTGCAACCATGTCTCAAGGCATGCTTGCCCATCATGGCATGATACCTCAGGGCATGATGCCCTCAGGCATGTCTGGAGGCATACCAAACTTGCCAGGTATGCCTCAGAACAATGGGCTTGCAAGCCCTGATCTGGCCATGCCGACGCAACTCAAGGTTCGCGTCACTTGCGACACTGGAAACTATGTTACCCTTGTCGTTGCCTTCAATATTACTTATCAGTCCCTCGTTGACCGGATTGATGCCAAGCTAGCGCGGTTCACAACCAGCAGCATCGCACAAGGTGCGCTAAAGCTGCGTTATCAAGATGAAGACGAGGACTTTGTCACCATCGAAAGCGATGACGACATCCAGATTGCCTTTATGGAGTTCCGTGACGGCATGAAGAACGCCTACTCCGCCGGTGTAGGGGAGATAGAGCTCTTCTGCGTCGGTGACATGGCGACTTAAGGCACACACGCTCACAAGCATTTTTCTTTGGAAACATGAAGCGCCCCTTTATAGACTGAGGAGCAATTGCCGGGAAAGCATACTTATCCTACGGACTACCACAGATGGTTCGCATGTTTTGGTGTATAGAGCCATTGCATAGCAGCAAATCTTTTTTTCTTTTTCTTTTTTTTTTTTTTTAGAGTGGCACGAGCTGCCATCATATTGACGACGGTCCAAGGCCCAAACAAAAGATACCTCTTGAAATCATCATATAGACACGACACCACACGATATGTGCGATCATGACCAGTTTACTTTATGCCATTTATTATCACCAGACTCCAACTCAGGTCACTCCTTCGCACCTACTCTCCCACACTGCCGATGGGATGGCCCGTTGCTATTTCTGCTTGCCTCTTTTGGGCCCAAACTTTGAAGAAGAAAAAAACAAAAAGATGCACAAAGATTTGCTTATGCGATGGACATTCATATCTAACCAATCGCCGGCATTATAAGATGCAAACAATACAATCTAGCGAGAACAAGCTATAGTCGAGAGCGTCTCAACGACACATTCATTCCCAACAATTTTCTTTATCTTTTTTTTTTACACCCCCCCTTTTCTTTTCTTTACTATTATTATTATCTTGGGAATACACTATTTTGAGTTGAGTTGAGCTGAGATGCAGATTTTATCCAAGCTCTTTTCTCTACCATCATTTCATGGGATTCTATGGCGCTAGTGACAGACGGGAGGTTTTATAGGAGAACTGAGAAGGCTATTCACTTTTATTTTTATTTTTTGGCTTTTTTTTTTTCTTTATCTGTTTGGGCGGGTGACTTGTTCTTGTTTTCCTGTTTCCCCTTATGCGCCCTGCTTTTTGGTCTTTTTGGTTTTGGTTTTTTTTTTTTTTCTTTTCATATTAGTTCTAGTCTTCTGCTTTCTTTGCCTCCCCCTCTGCTTTTTCTTCCATGTTAAGATGATGGGTTCGCTGTTGGATGTTTTGTGTTTCTAGTACTGGATAGACAGAGAAGGGGACGACGGTGCAAACAGAGATGGTGATGGAATTAGTGCCTGTGCGTGCAGCGTGACTGGTGAAGAATGGAATAGGCTCTTTACTGCGTGACATGAGAAGTGGTTGAAATACATGTGCCTTGGAGTAGGAATATGGTACAATTCATCAATCTTTATACAAGATGGAATAGTCCCCATCAGTCTTTATTTTCGCGTCTGCTACTCATACATGAACGCTCTATCCGCCTTTCTCCTTTTTGCCTTTTATAGCAAACCCTATTTATGAAAGCTCCCTTTTTGTGTTCCAAATCTGCGGTGTGTGTTGTACATTTTACTTTTTTTTTGATATCGTCCCGTTCCAACGCCGGTGAAAAACGTCGCCTTTTTCCCCCTCTACTTTCATTTTGCCCCTCCCCCTCTTTGCGTGTGTGTCGTCAAAAGTTTCGTCATGTGCGTGCTATTATGCGCATTTTTTTTCTCCTCTCGAGCAAAGATTCCCTGCTCTTTTTTCCTTGAAAAAGCGCTTCACCCTCCCTATTTGATGTTGTTGTTGGGCCCTCTCTGGATGTTCGTATGTGGAAATTCCAATTCGAGCGCATTGTGTCGACGGTCGAATCATGTGCAATGCAATGTCCATCTCCCATCCGGAAAAAAAAAACCCTGCTCTTGCGGTAGAGACATGGCGAGCGCCTCTCTCTCACTCTGCCCTCCCAATCTTTCTTCTCCCAGTTTTTTGCCTTATTTCTGCTTCCGCGGGCTGGTGACGTATTTCTGCATCCGGGACAGGTGGTAGTTGATCGTGTTCGCGGGGGCGGGAGGAGGAGCCGGTCCGTCCATGCACTTGCGGAGCTGGTTCTCGATTGCGGCGCATCCAGCGGCATTATAGCCTGCAGAAGCCCAGCACGCTGCGATTGGGTCAGCAAAATCCCGTAACACAATCTCAATTGAGCCTTTTAGGAGGGAGGGAGGGGTTAGCAAGAGGCGCATACCAAGGACGCTGGACATGATGGCGATGCAAGGGTTTTCGGGCTGGCGCTTGGGATTGTGGACGCGCAGCGTCTTGAGCGGGGGGAGGCGAATGGCCTTGGCGCCCCCGGACATGATGGGCGATTTGGAAGGGGGGGAGTTTTCGGGGGGGAGTCAGGCTGGAGAAGGGGGGGTTGAGGTTGTGAATCTGGAGGTTTGGAGATGCTGGTGGTTCTGAGAGAAGCATCAAATGTTTAGAAGAGGTCACGGGATGGCGCACGTGACGTGTGTTCGGCAATGTATACCTACGAAAGACTCAACTTTGCTTTGAGACGGTGATGGTGTTTGCTTTTCTTTTAGTATTGTATTTCGAAGATGTATATTTTCTCAAATACCAGTGCTGATTTTGCCGTTTCATAACAAACCATACTGCTGGAAGGTTCATGTTGTGGCAGCGCTTACTTACCCTGTGGTTGAAGCATTGAAGCTCGATATCAGAGGTAGGTACCTGGATGCTGGACATTGCGGCATGAATAAAACGCTGTAAAGGAGTGAAGCCTTCATTCTTCTCCATCAAAGAAATCAAAGATCAGCACAGTCTTTTGTATACGCTGTTGCTACCCTTATGCTACCTATATGGCGGCAAATCAACCTTCTTGGCCTCCATGGCCCTTAGCTTCGGTGCCAAGTCACATACCCTGTGCTTCAGCTTGATATCAAACAAACTATATGAAGTGCTACCAAAGTTACAAAGTTATACCTAGGTAGGTGTTAATAAACAAGAAAATGTCAATGCTGTGGACATTCATAACATTGAATTCTCGATCAGGTACATGAGATTCCGTGTACGCACCCAATGGATCGGTAAGGTTCGATGGCTCAACAAGAAACTCAGGAAACAACTACTTATATATAAATACTCATATCGCAAGTGTTACGTGAGAGACCTCGTCCTCGATAGCTCGGGATTCTCATTTCTCATTTCTGCTTCCTCCATACTCTGTTATTTCCCCGTATATGAGACCGCAGCCATCAGCATCTATTAAACGAAGCACAATGAACTACAGCAAATTCCAAACTCGTGGCCGGATATCCAAGTCTCGAGTTGGTCGGGAGGCTCGCAGCCGTCTAAATCAGGCATGTATTTTGTGGCAATATAGTTGACCGCAATGGTTAGCTGACGATTGTTCAGGAAAACCTCCAATGTTTTCTGTATTGTACCAGCATGCTATTATCACAAGGCACAGACCTAGAAGATGAATTGGAACAATCAAAAAGGTCGCTACAAGACAAGGGTTTTGAAGGACTCTGTCCACATACAGAATGCCTTTTCTTCATGGACAGAACCGAGCCTGTGCAGCAACATTTCTCCCGACGTAGGTCATGTTCACTGGCACAAAGAGCTGCCTCAGTTTTGCTAACATGATACGCAGATGTCGAGTGCCGCGAGCCCTGCCCCAAATGCTCCAAGACCTTTAAAACAGCACATGAGTTTCTATGCCATACCCAGAAATGTCTCCGCGAATGCCTTGACGAGGTAAAATTCGACCTAATGGAGCAAAAACGGCGTTTATTGTCTCATCATGTGTTGGTGGAGTTTAAAAGGGCTGTTAAATCGCATAAGCCAGTCCCCCATGGAGAATCCTCAAGTAAACCATCAAACCCCAGGATTCACGTTCCGCTCTGATAGCGAAAGTGCCACTGTGAGCAATTTGTTTGTATCCGATCAGCTTCTCTCCTCAAGTGTTTTTATGGCACTGCTTGGTCTAAAGCATCCGGAAACATGTCGCAAACTAGAACTCTGGAAGACAGCGGGTCAACTTTAGAAATGCCGAGATTACCACCAAAGTGAACTGTAGTTAGATGCATGCATCTTTAGAGCTGTGGATGGCCCTAAATGCTTTATGACAGGATATTGTTTGTTTTGCGCCAACTCGTATCATTCAAGGGTGGTGTTGGGGAGTGGGAGTGTTACGGAGTTGGGAACTGGAAGCCATAGAGACTGGGTTTGTGGGATTTGGTGGTCTGGATTGAGGTTTTTGAGTAGAGTGAGTTATTAGAATCACTGCGCGTAATGGTTATAAATTACGAGCTGATTCATTATTCCCAAGTCGGCCATGTGTCATCACCATTGTGAAAGAGACGTGTATTTGAAGAGAATTTCAGTAGTTTATTCTGTCAACAATGGCATTCCAGCTTTTTATATGCCCATATAAACGTATGAGAGAAAGTTTGGATCCACGTAAGAAATCACCTTGGCAACTTAATTGCGCCTTTTTAACTCCAACAAAATAACAATATGCACACAAAGGCATCGAAACGCAAGTGAGAGAAACAAACACGTTCTCTGCATGTGCTTTCATCATCCCACCACGTCAAACTTCTCGTCATCGCCCTCAGCCATGTCCACGTCGGCTGCTGGTCTGGACGTGAAAGCTGCCCAGCCGGTTCGAACGGGAACACTGGGCGTCTCGGTCTTGGCTGGCTGTGCGACGGGCTTAGCGGCAGGCTTTGCGGCAGGCTTTGGAGCGGGCTTTGTGGCGGGCTTTGCGGCGGGCTTTGCGGCCCTTGAGGCTCGAGGCGCTGGCTTTGCTTGCTTTACTGGGGCAGCAGGCTTCGGCGGCTCTTCTTTGACCTCCTCCTCCTCCTCCTGCTCGCCCTCTGCTTCTTCTTCTTCTTCTCCACCTTCCTCCTCTTCGCCGTCATCTTCGCCATCATCTTCGTCATCGTCATCGTCATCGTCGTCATCGTCGTCATCATCGCTAGAACCTGATCCCTCACTATCGCCCTCACTTCCCGGGTCATAGTCTTCTTCATCTTCGTCCTCATCATCTTGTAGCTGCTGCTCAGCCTCGAGTTGTGCGCGTTCCAGCTCCGTCATGCCATCTCCTTCTCCCTCGGCGGCCTCAGCATCGCCGTTTGCTGCGTCTCCATCCTTCTTCTTGGGACCCTTGTTTTCGGCCAGCTGCAGCTTCGCTTTCCTCTGTTCAGCCATGCTCCTATCTTGGAGGCCATTCATCTTGATGTAATCGTCAATCCCGCCGTAGTTTTGTTGGTCCAGCATGCCAAACTCCAGTTCCTCCGTCTTGCCATCCTCCTCAGTGAAGATTTCAACCACCATGTTGAACGTGATTTGAAGAATGTTGGTGTAGCTGATTGCAGCAATGCGATTGGTAGGGATGAAGATGAGCGGCTTCTTGAATCCCCACAGGATGCCATTTTCGAGGAGGAAGAGATAGCCGTCCTTGGAGCCCCTGAAGCCACTGACATGGACTGCCGTTTCGTTGGGTCGATGAGGTTGGCGAACCATGCTGCGGAACTTGTTTGGGTCGGCAGAGACAATCTTGACGGTACTACCGGCCGCCTGTAATCGCTTGGTCAGGGCCCAGTGGAACAGGGACTTGTATGTGTCTGATACTGCTGCGGCGGCCCCTGCTTCCGATCCTCCAATAGTTCCTTGCTTGGGGGCAGTAACGGGAACAGTGAAAACAAATGGCTCAGCGGACGGGGGAGCGCCTGTCTTGGCCGGTAAACAAGTTCCCTTGGGGAATATGATGTAGTTGTATTGCACCTGTGCCTTGTCGGGTACGGGAAGATAGAATGCATACTCTGTTGGTTTTGTCAGCTTGAAAGAGGCTTCTCGACGGTCTTTCGGAGCTTGAGGGGAGAAGACATACCAATATCTCTCCACGCATAGCTGATGCCTTGGAGGGGAGCGGTTGTCCCAGGGGCTCTGGCATATAAGTGATTCGAGGTGAAGCAAATCTCGAGCTTTTTCCTCTGCGGAACCGACACAGAAATCTCTTTGATTTCCAAGAGAACGGCCTCGTCTGCCGCATTCGACAGCACTACCTGGCTGCTCGGGCTGCCATTTGCCTGCTCTGCGCCGACTTTCCTCCGCTTCTGCGCTGGCTCGCCATTCTCTTGCAATCGTTCGTAGACGTGGTCGGCAATATCATTGAAAAGGGCAATCCGTCCAGCAGAGTCTAGGCTCTTGGTTAGCAGCTTGATTTGGGCTGGGGTCTGGCTCTGGCTCTGGCTCTGGCTCTGGCTCTGGGCCAGCAATTGATATCCATACCTGCAGCTTGGTTGATCCTGGCAATGATGTCAGGCCGAGACTGGAAGATGGCGTCGATTCGCTGCGAATTGAGTGATTGGGCCATTGTGGCGCAGCGAGGGGATTTACGGCCAGGAGGAAAGACGCTGCGATGGAGGAGAATCGATGGCAGAAACAAGTCGCGTTTGAGGCTTCAGCTTCAGAGCACCTGCTAAGTATTATTACTGCCCACTGACGCGACTTTGCAGCTGCAGCGACGTCAGGCGCTTAGTCATCCGACAGCCAGCATCCCCCGCCATAGCTACAGCTCTTGGGAGTGCTTGAGTCTCAGGCAGCAAACAAGCAAACAAGTGTCTATCAAATCTACCGTATCAAAGGCCGTGAGCGTCCCGGGTGCTCATTCTACTGCTCCATGAGCTGCAACAACTGATGATACAAATATCGATATCGCCATACCGTATTGACGAGAGAAACAAGAGAACGAGCAACTGACAAGACGCGGCAATGGCGGCGCCTTTCCCCAACCTGTACACACACCGAAAGGTTGCCGAGTCTGCCGCCAAAGCCTGCGACATTTGCTACAAGCCCAGCTCATCTGTGCTCATCACGCCTGACAAAAAGGTACCTACTCAGTCAAGATCCCCGGGCTGGTACATGGCCTAACGCGGCTGGCCTAGGACTTCTTCTACGTCTGCCCTGTCCACCTGAAGGATCGGAACTTTGCCACTCCCAAGATTGATGAGGATGCCATCAAGGCCAAGCGGGAGAAGGAATTGGCGGAGGAGAAGGACAAGCTGATGAAGGAGTACCAAGAGAAGCAGCGCAAGAAGAAGGAAAAGGAGAAAGAGAAGGACAAGGACAAGGACAAGAAGGATGGAGACAAGGATGGAGACAAGGATGGAGACAAGGACAAAGACAAAGACAAAGACAAAGACAAAGACAAAGACAAAGAAAAGAAGGAGAGCAAGGATGAGACTGAAGCAGTAAGTTGTGCCAGGATAAATGTGCTGGATGGTTCTCTAGAAGACATGCGAGTACTGACAAGATATCAGAACAAGGATGGTACAGAGACTCCGAAAGAGGAAGACGAGCCGCGCGTGTTTGAACTCAAGAGGTGTGTATTTGGACTAAGAGCTCCTTTCTCTTGCCGTTATGTCGTACTCATACCTGTTACAGTGCCTTCTATCAACAGCGTCTGCAGCGTAAACGCCAAGCCGAAGCCGCCAAAAGGGACCGCGAGAGAGCATCTCAGCCCAACTATTTCCCGTCCGTGCCAACAGAGCCACCGAGAAAGTAACCCAGGACGCGGGCCGAAGCGGATCATCGCCTTTCATCATCTTTCCCTGCAGCTTCTCTGACCAAGCTTGTCACGACAAATTTATTGTCAAAAACCGTTGCGGCACGGCTTGCCAAAGGTCATTCGCCCTTTACCACTCTGAGCGGACACAGAAAAGAGAGTTGCGACAATAGCAGAGAGCCAGATTCGGTATCACCGACGCTTTTCGGTCCACTAATATGCACACGATTAGTACATTTGTCCGCAAAATTACTATTACTCCGCATCTTGACTTCATCACTCTAAGCATGTCACATCATCTTTACTCTCAGTTGCAATATTCGTCCTCGTCAAGTCATATGTTCAGCATGGCTGAAACATAGCTCAATTGTCCGCTCTAGCGGCAGCTTTGGGCCTAAAACGGGCGGGCAAACAGGCCATGATGAGCAGATTTTTGTCAGCATCTCATTTCCAACTCCAACAGGGCCAATAATACAGATTTTAACGCAAATAATACGAGGTAGCCAATCATCAAGTCTGCTGATGAAAAGTTTCTTGTTCAGTAAAACCTGGAGAGTATGATGACGAGTGATTGATTCGGTCCCGAATCGGAGTTTGCAGTTGCCTCGCTGACATCGACTATCAAATCGGGAGCCTTGCTAACTACGGAAGCTGGTGATCGATCCGTCCGAAAGCTTACCTGTATTACGGAATAGCACTACTTGTGCAATACAGCGCATAGCTGCAGTTCGTGACAGACGGGGAGCCCTAAAGCAACATGATGGTGGCAGCTTGGCTAGTGCTTACACTTGCGGTGTCCCTACAGCTCTCCAGCTGCATCTTCTGCCACTGTGGTTCCAGGGCTGAAATTACACGCCCTCCACAAGACAAGATTCCGAAGAAAAAGAAAGAGGAAGAGGAGGGGGGTGTGGTGCGCTGTCGTCCACTGGGTTGCTCTTCTTTTCCTGCATCATATGATTGTTGATCTCCAGTGCGGTCCAAGGCGAAGTCGATCGGCGTTCTATGGGCAGAGGCTCCGAGGCGAGGCTGCGGGCGTTGGAAAATGAGCTGCAGGAGCTCCGAATATGACCGTCGGCCACCAGAAAGCAAACTCTAAAGCCTCTCGGTGCCCGATTCCCACCAGAGGGGCTTTGCGACCTGTCAATTTCAAAGCTCAGAGGGCAATCAATACCGGGTCAACGAGGCGTAGCCACCATGGAGTGGCTTCAAAGGACTCGCAGGTATGAGTACCGAAAGTGCTTGTAAGATAGTACTTGGCCCATGCGCATTACCGTCGGTCTTCGCTTATGGATGTACGGGTTACAGCCCGCGGAGACAACATCGGAGGAGTGCTGTTAGCATCCCTCCAAAAGCTCTTGTTTCCGCACATGTCTCTGAGCGAGCCCGGTCCCAGTTCCGTACGAGTATACCTGGCTGTACATCCACCAGCTCAGTCAGTCAGTCAGCGCATCTCACAATCAGACTTCATACACCCTCCCCCCCCGGCAGCCAGGCCAGACTGAAATTGAAACCCCCCGTTGCCGTGGACAGGTAGCTATGCTCATTGTGTAACCCTGCTTGGCATGCTGACATGGAGACATCGACGATGCCCTTTCCGGCTGACTCTGCATACACTGGTGCTAATGGCAGCATTAGCAGTACAGTACGATACCACTAAAGCCCAGTATTCTGGGGAGGTTTGGGATCTGCCCTTCAGTTGTCCCGCACTCCGGCGGCTGTTTCAACCATTGGCTGCCAATCTGGTGGCGGGACTTGGCGCATGCCGTCGCAACTTTTGTCCATTTACAACTTGGGCCTTGTAGCGCCTCACTAGCCAATCACCAATATCTGGGTAGCTATCCTCCATATCGGACGTCGCCTTTATTACCAAGAATCTTTGACCTCTTTTTCTCACCCTTGAGCCCTTCATCTACAGCACAGCTCGACAGGTACGGCATCCCTGAGAAGACGCAGATTTCAGGCGCCTGACAAGGCTCTTACCATCACCGCCGCCCAGCTCATGGCAGTTCAGTCAACGGCAGTGAGCACAGAAGCTCAAATACAGGAAGGGCCATGTGCCTCCATGTGCCTTTTCTAATTTACCCACTTGGTTGGTAAGAATGAGGTGGATGGATTAGCTGGCCCGTGGGTTGAGCTCGACGGATATGTTACGCGGTTCAAGCATCAGAGGAGATGGCCATGGGGGAAAGGGTCTGCAGAGATTCACGCCCTGCGAGGCCCGTGCTTGGCCTATGGCCAGCCTCTGTGTGCCGGGGAGGCGTCAATGCCGTTCTGATGGACGGGCGTGAAGACGTGACCTTGTGGAGGTGCAGCTTTTGTCCCCATAACAAAGTCCGAGCTGTCATCGATGGCAGACGATTCGGTGCTTTATTGAAAAGGCCCTGAAAGGAGAAACCTTGAGCGGCCATTTATCGGTCGGCTAATTTTCCATCTAGGAGATGGAGACGAAGATATGTCCCGGGGTTGCGGTGGGTTCCAGCCTTGAAGCTCGCAAGTATTACTAGTTTCATGCAGGCAACGATGGAAACAAGACAGACTTGAACCTCTGCAAAGGGGATCTCCTCTTGTTGTCTCTGAGTTTTTTTCCTCTTTGGGATCAAACAGATCCCTACGAGCTGGGCCAACCTACCCCCTGGATTCAGTTGGACTTGACTTGACTACCTAGGCCCCCCGTTGAAATTTGAAATTCAAGTTGCTTACGCCAGCAGGTCAGGCGACAAAGGGCCTTGGGATCGATCGCAAAAAGATGCTAAAACGGATACTGTGCCTCTAGGTTTATCCTTTCGGGCCATCGTCCAGCAATGCAATGCACCTCGCCCAGAAGATCGAGATTTCATGGGGGAGGGAAACAGGCCTAATTGCCCGCGCTGCATGGCGGATGGAACACACACACGCACACACCCCCTTCGGCCCTCCGGGGTCACCGACGATCCCAACTGCGTGGTTTCATCGGATCCTGGTGGCTTTGTAAGACGCCTCCAAGGCGAGAATGGGTTTGGGTCGTTTAGGTAATAAGCTGGCGCAAGAAGGGCTTGCTGTTAGGCCAGGTTCAACTAAGCGACCATGAGAGAATAAGCAGGCAAAAGAGAAAGTTTCTAGAAGAAGAGACAAGGATCAAGACTAGCTCAAGGGTGTCTGGAAAAATTCAAGCCGACTCCGAAGAGTACTATCGTTGCCATTGCTATATTGTCAACGGAGGGGTGCGTGCTGGCGGGTTGGAGTTCTGGGGGAGAAACCCTACTTGGTGCTAGGACTTGACGGCACATTTTTCGGAGCTGCATCGTGGGCCTGGCAATGATGAGGAAAGAAGGAAGCGAGAAGCAAGACCAGAGATGAGAGAGTTGGGATGATAATCTCACGGCTCCAGGAGCCATATTCGCCCGGGACACGGTGCTTCCGACAGGATTATCAAACAAGCGTGGCACTGGCGCTTGTTGCGTGCTTTAGCTTCACACCCAATCACGCATCGAGCTCTTTTTTTTTTTTTTTTTTTATTCTGTTGCCTGGCGCGAGTCATATGGTAATTTCGCAATTCCGGTTCCAGACCAGCAAAGACAGCGTGCGCGTGTGTGTACGAGCACTCGTATATGGAGGACAGCGATAGGAAGATCGAAAGCCTAGGGGGGCTGATAAGCAGGACAAATGAGACCCAGTCGTCAGGAGTGGGGATCAAGGCAAAAGACCCAGTTGCACCTATCCGGGTTGCGCATCAGCGTTCAAGAGAAGCCAAACTATTGGACGCTACGCTAACAGACCATGAGTACTAGGTGTTGGTTCTTTGTTTTTCCTTCTTGTGTTCGTTACAAATGCCAAGTCGTGTCGTGTCGGTCAAGTTCGGACAGCCTCGTTTCTTGTTTTCTCATCCTCATCTCGTTCCGGTGAGAGCTGGCTGGGCAACAATTGCTTGGCACCAGACAATGGCCGATTGGTGGACTCGGGACTATTGCGATTGAAGCGACAGCCGGATAGCTCCACGGCCGAGCCTTTTAGGTCTGATGTGGCGGCTGAAAGAAGCCAAAGGACGGCACTTGAGTAAGCATGGCATCAGCTCCCACTGGGCTGTGCAGGCAAAAAGCTCGCGTATTTCAACAACGCTATCCCACTGGTGCCCTCGAATTTCCTTCTTCCAGCTCCGGAGGGAGGGAGGGGCTGAGCCCATCAAAAACTGGTGCCCTTTTGGCCGGAAGTCGGGCCCGATCGGACCGCTGGCGGGCCGGGTTCTGACTCTCACATTCCTGACATCGTGTACTGTCGTAGGGCGAAGTTGCAGACACGAGGTCCAAAAGGCCGGAGGGCGGCCGACGGAATATCACGCCCGCATTGCCGGAGACTTTTTAATAGGCCTTGCTGTCTCATAAGGCTCCGTGACTTGGGGAGGGGCTAGTTCCGTGCATTTTGCATGGGCGACAAGGTATGAGCCATCATGATAGCCTCGCTCGTGCCCTGCTGGAAAGGGGATAGGGCTATTGCAGCTCTGCCGCCACGCCCCGTCGAACTTGCAACGGTGATGCGATGCGGGCGAGGGGAAACGTCAATTGCTGACGCGGGCCACTCATCTTGTCAGCTTCTAATCTGGTTGATTTGCCGGAGAATTACTGACATTTTTTTGGTCATACTGACGTCTTTTTGCTTCTGGCCTCTTTTTTTCTTTTTCGGTTTTCTGCTTCGGCTGCTTTCTGCTTCCTACTCCATCGAGCCACTTTGGATATTGTAATCACATCGTCTGATGATGGACCCCTTGTAAGCAATAGCCTAGAAGTTTGACGTCTTGGCACCCCAATGCGTACAAGTGCTGTGATGTTTTCACGGCTTTTCGTTTTCCAAGTACCATGTTCATGTCAGAGTGATTTTTAATTAAAGAAATAAATTGTAGACGAAGTAGGCGAGGCAGGCGACAGGGCAACGCTATTGTTTATTCTACGGAACCAGGGGCCGGTTTTATGCTACGGGAAAATATAGTATACAGTATAGTATGATCAAGGGACATGGTGATGCAGGACATATCGGAGGTTAAGAGGATGCTCGAGCCAAGAGCCAGGAAGGGAGAAGAGAGAGGGAGATTGGCAAAACGGAGATGACTGGAGGAGATAGTAATCACCGCTCCGGACGGCCGCCCCCTGACGATGATCCCGTTGCCCGATGCTGGTTGCTTGCTGTCTGGTTTCCTAATCACAGATTCCCGTTGCCGCCTCGGCCAGGAGGCATCCGCAGGGCAGCCCTGGACAGCTCCTCATCGACCCTCGCCTTCTGCAGCGAAAAGGCCGGATCTTCACGCGAGCCGCACGAGCACGGGAAGCCCTTCCAGTCGTACCGCCCCACGCCGGCACCGCACTTTGTGTTTGGGCACGACAGCCGGCCGCTCAGCTCGCCCTTTTCCAGCTCGGCGCGCATCCAGCTGAGGGGCTCGATGAAGAAGTGCTGGCATGGCGCTGCGGCGGCGGCGGCGGCGGCATCGTCCTTGGGCTTGTGCGGCACGATGAAGGGCGCCGTGGCCAGGATGCGGCGGCACTTTTTGCACCGGAGCTTCCTGTCCGGCGTGGGGGCCGAAGACGATGATGTCGGCGACGCTGGCGGGTTTGCCTGGGTTGCCGCCTCGTCCTCGAACCAGAGCTGCGAGGGCGCCTGTCCCACGGCGATGCTCTCCCTGGCGGCGCGCTGATACAGCCAGCGCTGGTAGATGGGCTGGGTCTCGATGTCGCCATCGGCAGGGCAGCCCATCTGCCACCAGAGGTCGAGCTGTTCCATGAAGCCCGGGTTGGGTTCGGCAAGGGGCCGCGTCTGCTTGATGAGGGCGAGCGCCGCACGGACGGGCTCGGCGACGGACTCGTCGATTTCGGGGCCGTGAAGAGACGAGGCAAGCTGCGCGCCGGCGGGGCCGGTGAAGCGGTCTGGGTACCGCCAGAGGAGGAATGCGATGAGGGCGGAGATGGAGCGAGATTTCCCGGCGGCGCAGTGGATAAAGACGCCGCCGCGTCGAGGCTGCCTGTGCGAGGGGGGGTCTGAGGCTGCCTCTTTGGAGACGTCCTTGATACTGCTGCTGCTGCTGCTGCTGCTACCGTCTAGGCTAATGCGCTCAACCGCCTTCTCTGCCGTGGCGACATCGCTGCCGGAGCTCTGGTGCTGACTTCTCCGGCTGCGGAGGCCCTCGTCGATGAACTTGACGGCCTTGGGCAGCTCAATGAGGAGGTCTTCGTCCTCGACGTCGTCAATGTCGATGAGGAGGTGCTTGAAGGGCTTGCCGTACTCGGAGAAGGGCTCGTCCTTGAAGTTTTTGAGATTGGCCGGGTTGAAGGAGACGAGGGAGAGGACGTGGGTGATTTTGCGGTCCAAGAGGGACTGAGAGCGGCGGAGGGCCCATAGACTTTTGCTCTGGTTAGCTGTGATGAACTATGATGTAGGAATATATAGGTGAGAGTGAGTGTAGTGTATATACATGTATATATATACGCTTGTATATGAACATCTTACCCTCCAACATAGAGATTGGGCACGCCCTCGACCGTGCTCAATGCCATTTCGACGATGCTCATCTCCAGGGCTTTGTGCTCCGCCAGCTCGAGCTGGTGGCCAAGCTGCTCCCTCTGGCCCTCGACAGGGGGGACGTCTGCCGGCAGCGGGGCCGGTTTATCTGAAGGCGAGGCCACGATGGGTGAGAATGACAGGCGGTTTGCAGCCTGAGAGTTGCTTGGAGATTTGAGGTTCTGGATGGATGGGTAGAGATGAGATGAGATGAGATGAGATGAGAGCTGATTCTTGTTGAATGGAGGTGTTTGTCCGTGCTGGTTGTATGGTTTCTATGCTTCTGTCCAAATGGTTGATGCAAGAGGGGAAAACTCTGCTGCTCCAACCGCTATCTGTCAGAGCTTAGCCGAGCAAAGGGCAGAGCTGGAATCAACAGACGTCAATGTATGAGATGCAAGAACAGCGGGAAATCGTGTTGAATACGTTTGAATCTGCGTGTTCGTCTGTTTGGTTCAGTTCATGAAATGAGGCAGCAATACAATACGATACAGCAAAGCGAGCTGCTGTAGCCTAGAGTTTCAACTTTTCTGTGTGTCTGTCTGCACCGCCACACTGTGAAAAGCTGCACCGCCACAATAACCCCTCCTCTGCTGGAGGTACTCCGTACTTGGTGCAGATACGCTGCTGCTCCTCAGCCTTATAGCAGGGCTGCTCAGCCTCGCCCACAGCAGAGTATGTACCTATAGCCAGTAGCATGGACCTCCATATTGTATGGAGATATTGCAGCACTGTCATCCCCCCATTTCCCGCTGGAGGCCACTGCAACTCCCCCTCCAAATGCCCTGTAGCAGCACCCGCGCACAGGCGCTACAGCGCTCTGTCGCCACCCGTCCACTGTGGTTTCACCAGCACTTTTGTGCAATATAGAGTACTTGGTCCAGGTTAGGGGCGATAACCATCTGTCTCTCTCTCTCTCTCTTCTTACACACCCTCTTGCTCATACACTAGCACAATCCGGCTCTTGAAGCGACTCGCCCCGTCATCCTCTGGAACCGGCGGTACAAGAAAATACAAGCACATACAAGCACCAGCATCTAGAAGAATTGCAATTGATGGCCTGCAAGCAAATCAATAATTGCAGGGGGTTCCATTGCAAGCCAAGCCACTAGAGCATCTCACACGCCCCTCCAATTACATACTCGAAATCCAAGCTGTGGAATCTTTCAGCGATAGTATAATTGCATCCCACTTGGACCACGCCCTTTTGCTCGCGTGCCCTGAAGAAGTTCAGTTGACAAGGGGGAATAAGTTGCTATAGTATTACTATCCTAGGGGAGAAGCTCTGTGAATAAATAATATTGACATTGATCTAATATGCCGGTAGAAAGAAAGTACATGCGTACCTCCTCATGGCTAATGCAGTACGACAGCATCATACAGCCCTCTCTCTCTCTATATTTAGCAAACAACTCTCACACAGCTCCATCCTCAATGCAACTCGATACGCATCACGCCGTCCAAGCACCGGCTCTGTAAGCGCCTTGGCCTCGAATTGCACTACATTACACTTTGTTACACACATGCACCAACCCAGACGCCTGCCGGCACGCACAGATGAAATCGCAACACCAAGGAAACGAGGGAGGGGGTGTCAAGATGCACAAGCCATAGTACGGAGTACAATAAGGCAAATTCCCAGGCAAGGGGCCTACAAATTCCTAACCGGGTAAATCGTTCGAGCTCTACTAGGTAGACGTTGGTGCTTGGACCCTTTGGTTTCTTTTGGGGCTCTCTTGGCGTGCTTCACGCCCCCTTTCTCCGATCACTTGGCAAAAACACCTACTTGTTTTTTTTTTTTCTTTTCTTTCATTCGGATGCTCCTCAGCCGTAGAATCCGTTCCATATATTTCCTAGTAGTGCTTTGTAGTTGCTTTGTCAAGACCCCCGTCCATCGTTAGTTGAACAAAACCTGGCCTTAGCAAGTAAGTTGAAAAAAAGAAAAACGAAACACGAAACACGAAGAAGACTAAAGGCAACACGAATTGCTGTCTTCATTTTGTCCTCGCTTATGCGGGTCCCGGTCTTGACTCTCGTTTTTTATCTCCGATGCATATCCATAAAATAACGGCGGAACAGCCGGTCTCCTGTTTACTAAACACATTTTTAACCATAAAAAAGGGCGTCGTTAGTTGCTCGTCGTATCAGTATCGTCAATACGGATGCTTCGTATGGTGTATAGCGTGTATGGCGTATCGTGGCCAACTCCGCAGGCAATCGGTGGGCGCCAAGCTCCGTTCTAAAGCAACATACCAAACTACCAACAATACACTCAACGATTACAGTCAAAGTGGCCAACCCCGTAGGAAATCGGTAGGCGCCCAGCCCCGTAAGCAAAACAATGCCAAGTCCACGCCCCCGAACCAAACTACCGACACTATTGTATAGGCAACTCTAATAGTGAACAACGGCCCTTTAGCCTCCTCCTCGCCTTATTACCCCAGCTGCACGGCTACAGCTCACGGAGGCTGCCGAGAATATTCATTGGACAGACCGCCTGGCTGAAACTATAACTCCTCGCGCCTTCCATGACACATGTTACGCAATTAGGCGGCCGATCGGATGGGTTTTGATGGGCACCAGTGGCATTCTTGGCAACAAAAGGTCAGCGGGCATGGAAGAGGATGATATAACGTACAAAGTAGGTAAGCACCCTAATAAACATTGATTTTCCCCCGGGAAAACAGGGCGAACTAGTAAAATGCCCAGGCGATAGACTTGGGTACTTTGCGAAAACTAATAGCCACTACGAGGATTTTAGCAGCTGCAAACTCTAAGAAAATAGGCCCAAAAGATCTTCACACGCCGGGGGATCTGCTGGGCAAACCACTGGGCTATTCTGGGGGCGTATTACCATTACCATTACCTTTACCATTACCATTACCTTTACCATTACCATTACTTGATTCATTGTTTGCTTACTCGTAAATCTTACTCGTTCAAGCAAAGTTTATGCTTGGTTTTATAGCCTCCTCTGACTTTGTCCACTTTCCTATTTCCATCAGCCACACAAACAACAATTACTCCAGGATTACTCCAGACAACCCCCCCCCCTTGCGGCGTCAAACCTCCATGCAATTCAAGTCATTCATCACAGTCACTGAACGCTCTCGAACTCCCGGAAGCTAGAACAGCACTCCAGTTGTCAGCTCCGTTAGTCCCTTGTACCCTGTACCCTGTCCAGCGGGCCAATGAGCAGCAGCTGGACTGGTACTGGGGACGTGGATATTTTCCAGCGCCACTAATTTCCGTATACGGGAATTCTCTTTTCGGCCATCCTCATCTTGCATGGGACTCAGGTCAGTGCAGGTCAGCAGCAAATCAAGCATCGGCTGCTCGTTGAAGCCAAGTTTCGCGCCGTTTGAACTTGGCAGACGCTCTTCATGGGAGGAGAAACAAGAGAAATCGCCCGTGCAAACCACGTAGCAAATCAAACCGGAATCAAGCCTCGAAAAAACCCCCCCATCTCTCAAAACTCCATGTAAGCGCCCGCTCACTTACAAAAAGCAGCCCAAAAGCAGAAACAACAAAGACAAAGCCGGTAAATTCCGTCTTCCGTCCCTCACACTGCAAAACAAAAAACAAAAAAAGAACCTAACTACCCCCAAATCTTCCTTGAAGGGCAGCTCCCTCGCGGAATTTCCTTTCTCAGCTACTCTACATGGGGGACCCTCCCCGGCCACAAACAAAAAGGGCCCGTGCCCTCTCACTCTCTGCTCTCTTTTTATCTCTGCTTCTGTCTCGCCTCTGTTCTCTGCTTACCATATGTATTTTCGTTTTTGGCATGTTTCCATCTTGGGGAGGGTTTCATCTCGTCATCACGCATCCACTTTCTCCTCGACGCTATACTCAGCTCCATGGAGGAAACAACAACTAAAAAAAAAGCAGACCAAAATAAGGCCATGCCTATTCTACTCGTACTTGCTGTACTACAAGCACGACTACGTACATAGTAGTAAGCCATCGTTCATATTCCCGCACTCCGCACCAACACCGAAGTGAAGTAGCGTCTCTCCGTCCGTCATCTTGTCATCCGTTACCTCAGCTGCTCAGATGCCGTACTGCACACACCAAGCATCGGCAAACCGCCTGGATCCACCCAAGCTTCATTGGTTACATGCATACTCACCTAGTCCTGTACGAGTACTCGTACTATATACTCAGGCTGGTACTTGCTGTACGGAGTAATACTCGTAGACATGCCAGCAGCATCTGCACTCCATCTCCATCCATACCTGCGACAAGGTGATATCCTGGGCTACTGACCGGCAGCACGACTCGTAGCAGGCAAGAGTAAGACACTTTGTAGTACAGCACAAGTATGTGCGACTCGGCCATGTCAGTTTTGGTCCAAGTATGCATAAATTTGGAGCCAGCTTATGCGCGCGTGCTTTTCGTGCGTTGAATCCTGCCGGGTTGAACATCACAGTATGAGAGACTTTTGGATGAATCGTAGTAGTATTGCCATTTATTTCCCTTTTGAAATTTTTAAAAATTTGTGCCTTGAACCCATTTCCAAGGCTTGTCTTTAAATCACTTTTCTACATGTCTAGCCTCACCCCTTTTCGGCGTTTTGTCTGCCTCGCCGTCTTCCCTTTTTCGCCGGATCCTCCTCTTCTCAAAGCCTAGTGGGCCCGTAATAGCTCTTGATGAAACCTCGTCATCCTTTGTCATACACGCCCATGGCATCAAGGCCGTACTCGTAGCAGAAGTCATCTCAAAGACGAGGCAAGGAATGAAACATCTTTCTCGCGCATGGGTGGCACCACTTTCAGGCGGCTTCCCATGCCAGAAACCCGTCCAGAGGGCATCTGTATGTCAGCTGTTCCGGTCTGATCTTGCCAATGGCGTCCCATGTCTCGTTCGCTGGCGCCGTCACACGACGGCTGGCTGAGCATCTGCTGTCCCTCCCATCTAGGCCGAGGAGGGTAGGGCTTGGGCCAGCCCGTGCCATGTATCTGGGACCAGGGTCTCACGCTTCAGCCCAACCAGAGCCCGTCCATCGTCAGCCACTTGCGTACGGCCCAACCTAGTCTGAAATTCCGCACGGGAATGGTTTGCGACGGGCTCCCACGGCCATGGGCTGCTTTGCTTAGTCCTCTGCAGCACTGCGGCAATCTGCGCATCTACGGATTTCCTTTTCCTCCAGACACAGGCGACGTCGATTGCGTCAGTAATCCTTCCTTCGCAACAGGCCAGTCGCTGTCGTCGTTTCTCTGCTGCAATTCGCTTCCGGACATGGTCATGTCGAGTCCCACAGCTGAGACGGCAATTGAGACGCGAAGCAGAGCGTCTTCATCTAGACTGCCGGCACAGAGAGAAACCGACGTCTGTCGAGACATGGTACATAGCAGACGCGGGTTGCCTGGGGAAGCCTTCCGAGATTCAGCTAGCCTGGAATTGGGCAGTGGTACTCTCGTGCTTGCACCATCAGAGAAAAGGGCAGCCCTGCGATGAGAGACCGGGAGAAGAAGATCCTGAATCCTGTGTGAGCCCGTCTTAGCGGCTGACATGGGGAGCTGCCTCTCCCTCTCTTCGCCGAATTCGGCCGCACAGGCGCAACAGAAGCATGCGCATGTCTCACCCGTCAAGGAATCAGCCGGGGGGGAGGATGCTCTACCTAGGATTCTCTGCAAGCCCAGCTGCGTGCCGTGGTTTTGTCAGCCTGACCTGCGTTGCAAATGTCCAATGGCATCTTCGGCTCAACCTCCTCCTCCCCAAGACCGTTGTTAGGCTGGCACCAATGCATTTTCACCATATTACTCTCAAGGGCACACAAAGCACCCGGTGAGTTTGCATTTGCTTTTCGGAATCACCCTACCTCCATCGGCGGGCTAAGACCATGTGTCCAAGAGTGGCGACATCGTATCCAGCAATCATGATATACCCCGGTCGTATTTCACTTGCGGAAAATCTCACACGATTTCCTCCCAATGTTGAGCCCACAAGATATTTGCGTGCTCCCTTTTTTTTTGTGCGCGCGTGTGTGTACACTGTTTTATTTTTCCTGATTTGATGACACCCAAGCGCCCAGTTATGAATCAATTGATTGTCGTAAAGTCGTTCGTTATCAACGAAAGGAAACGGAAGAGAAGGAGAAAAAAAAGCCTCGGCCAATGCGAAAAAATATTTATTTTGACTGTCAAATGCAATGCAGAGCTCCACTATATCGCCTTCCGGAGCGGGTATTCCTTTTGTTCAACAAAAAAATAAAGAGAAAAAAACTGTGTGGCTATGCCGTCTTCTTAAAGAAACAAGAAGAGCTTTATGTATAAGTATTTCGTTAAGTAAATCGTCATGAGAGCTGCGCTTCAAACGCAGCCGTCGAGAGCCAGGTTTTCACCTCGGCGAAGGGTCCTCCTCCATCAGACAGGCGTTCTCCAGCATGTTAGTCCACTTGCCGCTCGTGCCTGCGTGACTGTGCTTGAGATGCTGCCGGAAGTGGTCGGCCCTGTAGAACTTCTTGGACGAGTTGCACTCTCGGAACTTGTGCACCTCTTGAAGGTGTCGGATCCGCTCCTCCCAGTCCTGGTCAGTAGCGTGTCTTGCCTGGATACCACCGTTGAGTAAGCCGGCCCTCGCTCCAAGTCCCGATCGAGGGAACTCATCCCCACAGTAACCACACGCATCGGCCTCGCCGGGATGCGTTGTCGACTCGTGGAACGCCCGATTGTAGCCCGACAACGCGGAGCACGACCATGAATGACGGCGCACATGAAGAGAGTTCTGGTGTCGCTCGGCCTCATTCTTGTTCTTGAAGCGGTTGCCACAGAAGCTGCACTCATACTGCTTCTCGGCTTCGTGAGCACTAAAGAGGTTGAGTCAGCGCATGGGAATGATAGACATAACAAGACAGCTTATAAAAGGAAATTCGACCCCCCCAAAAAAGGCCTTTGGTGGGGGGCATATAAAAAAAGAAAACTTAGCGTATTGTTTACGTACCTCAGCTCCTCGGCTGTCTCAAACTTCTTGGGCTTTTTGGGACAGCATTCGCACATGTAGAATCCTTGGAACTTTGTGCTGTTGGACTTTTGCATGTCGGGAAGCTTCCGCGGACTGGCGCCAGACGCGGTTCGCGAATGCATAGGCGCTCTGCTGGCAACTGAGGTCTTGGGGCTTGGGTTCAAGGATGCGGGCGTGTTGTATGGAGAAGTGCATGAGGTGGGAGAGAGGGCCCCTGGTGAGACCCCACCGGGTGAGCGGTGGCCATATGAGCTAGTGGCCGGCGGGATAGAGATGAAGAAGTTGGATCGCGAAGAGGCGCTGCTCAGCATTGACGTTGCGGATTGGGGGCCGGAGGACAGACGAGGAGTGGGAGAGCCGCGGGATGCGCCTTGGCCAGACATCATGTGAAGGCCAAGATCATCCGATGCAGGGCTGGCGGCACGGCGCTTCTGACCCGCACCCGCACCTGCGTACACATCCTCAATGTGAAGTCTCTTAAGCGACGATGTCTCATCAATCTCCATGTCGTCAGCAAAGCTGCCCTGGGTGGAAGTGGCATCGTCGCTGTTGTTCCGTCTTGACCTGCCTCGTGGCGAGCGGTCTGGTTCTGAGCTGTCATAAGGAGAGCGGTGGTCAATTGGGGATCGGTGGAAGGGCGTTGAGTTGGGGGAGACGGCCGAAAAGGTGGGTGAGTCTCGGGGTTGTGATTCAAAGGGCGCGCGGCTGTGGATGGGGAGTTGGATGGGCATGTTGGGCAAGCTGGGAGCAAACCGGTCGTTCTGCAGTCCTCGTGAGAGGTCGCTCATGGGACCGCTAAGAAGCGAGCGCGGGGGTGATCTGTCCAGCGTCCGAATGGGAGTCAGCATCTTCTTCGCGCTGTCGCCGTGAAGCTCGGCTGCCGATTGGAATTGGAACTTGTTGTGGTGAAGCCAAAAGGGTTCGTTGGAGAGGGAATCGCGGGACCTGCCATTCTCAACATGTTAGTTTTTTCAAAAGGTATCCGCCAGACTTGCGCAGGTATTCAAGTTCCCACCTGTCCGTGGAAGCATAGCTCGCATAGCCCTCATCGCTGGTAATGCTTCCAGTTTCCCTTCTCTTGTAGCCAGGTCGATCATCCATGTGGCAGGGGCTCATGCTGCCGTAGCCGCTCGCAAAGGAGGAGCGACTGGCAAAGGAAGAGCCGCGAGAGTAGTCTCTCTTGTCCTTGAAGTCGTCCCGGAACTGGGTAGGTGCGTCGCCAAAGGGAAGGGTTCGTGGGGGAGGCAGAGGAGGAGGCACGTCGTCCCGCGTTTCGATACCAGGAATGGCCATTGCCGGACTTCTTGAGAAGGGAATGCCTTGGTCTCTGTATCGATTGGCTCCGTTTCCAGGCACGACGATGCTTGGGAGAGGAGCAGGGACCTCTCTATATTGCGGAGGAAAGGCCATTGTTGTGAGTTGAGGTGGGAGTTGAGAGGCTTTTCAAGTTCGGGAAGAGATGTCGAGAGAAGAAAGCAAAGGCCGAGGTGGGCCTTTGGTGTGGAATATGTGAGCAAAAGGTGTTTGCCGTTACACGCCCATTCGAGTCATGGAAACGAATTGTAGCTGACAGGAGTCAATGCGCCAGTGAAATGGCAAATCTACTGCTTCAGCCGCGGCAACGGGATCCGTCGTACGTGTCGCGTAGGCGAAGCAGGGAAGAAATGCGTAGGTGGCAATGGATTCGGAGTTTTTTTTGCGTCTTCCAGGTCCAGCTCTATGGGCCGCAAAGATGCTCCGAGGCAGTGCGTGCCTAGGTGTGGTTTGAGATGGTAGCTGAACAGGGCTGCCCAAAAACAGGAACAGACAAAGAGGCAAACGTGTAAAGGCGAATAGGATTGGAGAACGAGGATTGGAAGAATGATACACGAAGCCACTAGAGGCAAGTCGAGGGGACCAAAGACATGGGATGCCCTCGAATTATAACAAGTGGGAGGTTAGGACGACCTTTAATGTAGGGGCGAGAGGCGGGAAACCAAAAGAGAAATATCAAGCTTGGACTCCGCTGCGCTGCTCGGCCCAGCCAGAGAGACAGAGAGCAGGGTGTGTGGGTAGAAAGGCGAGCACGGCCAGGGGCGTGCAGATAGGCGACCAGCATTGAGATGGCCTCCAACAAGTGCCAATCCTGTTAGTGCGCGGGTGGTCGTTTGGCCAGAGGAGAACCAGGGACGTGGTTGGACGAGGGGCGCCGTGCGTTGGAGGGGCCATGTTTGTTTCTTGTGTCCAAAAGTAGCCTATCTTTTTTCCTTGACCCTCTCGCCTCCCTATCTTGCTATTTGTTCCCGTTTCCCCCAGCGCTGGGGTTGACACGACGAGGCCGATGGCAACGCAAAGGCACACCGACAAGGCAGCCAGCCGTTGATGGTCGTAACGGCTCTTACCATAGTCCCCTTGATACCAAGCAAAGGCCGGCCAGAGAGCGAGAAGCACCAGCCTTATTGGAGCAGAGCGGAGTAGTCGAAGGGAGGGGGAGGGGCGTATCCATGCTTCTGTTCCCTTGAGGACTTTGCAAGTGTACCAGCAACAGGGGCCAAGAGACGATGCAGAAGTGCTAGTAGTAGAAGCAGAAGTAGAAGCCGAGCGAAGAGCGTTCCCAGAGGATCGGTTGACTTGAGAGGTGCGTTGGACTGCGAGCCCCTCCCCAGGTGTACATACAGGTACAAGAAAGACTTGAGAGTCAACGGTGCTCGGGTGCGGCTGCTCTAGCACCGTCGTACAAGCCAAGTAGCAGAACGGGATGCGCGTGGGCAGCCCTGTCTTAGTGCCTTATGGTCCTTCGACCTGGGGGGGGGGGGGGGGGGGGGGGGGGTTGTATGTCCATCGCTGGGCTGTAGGGCAAGCACTGACGCTGTCTGGGAAGATGAGTGAGAGGAGAACAACACCCCAGTGGCCAGGAGGGGGCGTGTCTGATGCAGCCAGGGACTGGTAGGGTTAAGCACGGTGGTGTGCATGTATGTAGGGCCATTGATCCCACCAGTGGAGCGCCTCTTTTTTAGGCTGGGCTGTCTCTCTCAGGGCTGGACGAGGGACAAGGGGACGAGGGGGCGTCTGGCTTCGACGAGGCGTGGTCGTTGTCCAGTCCAAGTCGGCGCTAAGCAATTAAGGTAGCCAGGCAACATCCATCTCAGGTTGAGGTGAGCAGTGCGGCCCCGGTGCTGGATGCTGGTGCTGGAGCTGCTGGGAATGGATGAATGCCGCTGGTAAACTGACTGATGATGCTGGACGCTGGACATGACGGCCGCTCCACTCGTCCGCCATCCCTCCTGTACTTGCATTCTCCCCAGTCCCTCCTATCCCTATCAGTCATGGCTGCCATCACTCCTCCATGAATGCAGATTCCGGGCCCCTGGCGATGGAAGCGGCAGAAAGGGAAAGGCAACAAAAACCGGGGTCATTTGGCCTGCAGTATATACGAAGTCTGTCGCAGTGTCACTCTCAGAGCCGAACCGGAGAAGACCATATTCCTCCGGCTGGCTGGACAAGAGAGCAGCCAACTCCAGCCAGGGAGAGGGGAGGGGTGTAGGGCTCTGCCATAGCAGCCCTGCCCACAGGCGGTGCCCTCGTTGTACTTGCTCCTGTGTACTCGTGCTATGTCCGGCGCACATAGTTTCCTGCCCATGGTCACGGCCGTGTCAACAGGTTTGGCGGTGGCATTTACCTAAGGTTGGCGTCTTAGCACTGGGCTGCCAAGACTACGGACGTTGAGAAATACCAGCAGATGATGTTTCAGGCATGCCCTTGGTGAAGTATTCGTAATTAGTCGCAGTCGTCCTGACCAGCATCGCGGCCAGCTCTTACGTTAGCGATGGCCTCGGCGAACCAGTCAGCCTGCTGATTTGCGATATATGGTTCGCTGCGCTTGGGGCTCAGCTCATCCCAATGCTGGGGATTTGGAATCGCCCTGAGAGTACGGAGTACCG